AGAACGAATGAAGTATATCAGGACTGGGAAAAAAGATGGAAGAGCGAGAAAATAACTTTCTTTTACCTGGTCCGACGGGGCAAACGAGAAAGCGAATTGTTGATCCATCGACTCGCCTCAGAGGAACGATAGACTTTTGAGTATCAATATTGGCACATGCTCGTGATGGCCTGTCCGAGAGGCAGCAGCTTGGGAGGGGTATGTGAGAAATAGATTTTCAGGTGAGGGGGGGCTGGATGCACCGGGGCCTTGCAAGGTGGATGTCTGATTACTCCGTCGTCCACAACGTCTGGCGTACGTATGGACCTCCTGTACATACATATTTCCAGGGACCAAATACTATGATGATAACGATCAGCCAACAGTCTGCAGGTGCAGGCAAGAAGGATACTGGTGCTATGGAGCTGCGTACCCGGTTTGGGAGGACAAACTGCAGCGGCGGACCGTCGTCATCGAAGGGCCCGGGGCCGACGGTAACTCACGAGTGAGAGGCTGTTGCGTCTGCAAATCCCTCCCGTATCGTGACGCCAATCAAACGGGCCAATCAAACGGCGCTTGGCCCCCGTGGGGTGGAGAAAGATCCTTCAGCACCAGCCACAAATACCGGCTGAGCCACCGAGATGTGCGCGCCACAACTACCTGGACTCGGCAGCGACGACGGAGCCAAAGGAAGGAGAGAAAAATAAATGTGTGGCAGGCTGTGGATGGGGCAGGTGTGATGGCTGGCTGAAGGGGGGGGGGGGGGGTTCAAGGGAAGGCACGAACGCATGCAATCAGACATTTGACGATGGAGAGAAGGGAAGCTACCTGTAGTTCGTACGGAGTACTCGGTACAGTACATGCTTACATTCATACTTGGTCCTTCGATCCATCGCAACGTATGTACCACGTATCTCTGTACTGCTCTCACGAGAACTTCCAAGTTTTTTGTCTTTTTTCTTTTTTTCTTTTTTCCTCTTTTTTCTTTTCTTTTTTTCCCTTTTAGCTCTTTGCTTTCTTTTTTTTTCTTCCAATCTTTTCCTTAACCGAATGGCACGTTCGAGTGGTCTAGCTCCGTCCGACGAATGAGAGTAAGAAGTCGGCATGGTCAGACCTCCCGTTCTGTGTTTCTGTACAACCTCGTTTGCGAAATTCAAAGACGGTCTAGAAGAGATCATTCCCCCCCTCCCTGAACTGGTCTGTGACGCATGATTCAGAGACACCCATATTTCAGATCCGTCCAGGAGTCGAACAATTTTTTTTTTTTTTTTCCTGCCCAGGTTCAAAGCGCACTAAAGTTCGGCGTGGGGTGTTTTATTCGCCCATTCAGAGCTTGCTGGAACCCGCTCCTCTCTGCACCTGGTGATTGGGCGGTCCGCGCAGCCACCTGGGGCCCTCGGAATCAAGTGATTCGCCATTCTCGAGATTCGTCAAAACGTGTACGGGTGAGAGATCTGACCATTTGGGATCGCATGAAGCGGCTTGGCCCGGTGGATCTGAGATCGCAAACCAAGTCCTCCGGACGCTCTAGTTTGTCCGGAGTAACGGATGCCTCTGGGCGTCGACGTACATACTTAACATTACACGCTTACATACATTACCTTCTTCTAGGGTTGGTGAACCACCACCTCGACGGCGTCACCAACTTCCCCCATCATGGCTTTTTACTGGCAGCCGTTTTTTTCCTTTCTCGCAGTGGCTGGAGCCCTTTCTTTTTTTTTTTTCTCCAGTTTGCGGGGAAAAACGAAAATCGCAAAAAGAGTTTCGCCTCCGCAAGTTGAGCTGTTCGTCCTGCGTCGAACGCAAAGCGTTTCTTTTCCCCTTGGACCAGATTGAAAGGAGACAGGACCCAAGAGCTGCTCATTCGCCAGCCCGGGACTTACCGTCCGCTGGTATGTATATGCAAGTACCTATGAACATCCTCAGGAGTACATACAACCTGGTCGCTGCCTTGGTTTTCAGCGAGCTAGTTCCCGGAAATTCGATGATGGACTGCAGTCCGGCCACATCTTGAAAATCTCCGATGACTATACTACGACCAGACTGGGTTCCCAGCCGATTAGTGTCATTTGTCCGTGGATACTACTCATTTCTTTGCTGCTCAGGAAAACCCCCCCTCACCCACAAAAAAAACCCAATACGTATGCAAATGTACTATAAACAAGATTTGGAAGGCTTTTATGGGTCTGGCGATCGACTAAGGAAGCCTAGATTGACCATTATCCAGGGAGTTCCTGCTTCCCCCATCCGAAGCATCTTCAATCACCTGGGCTGTGAGTGGGAGTGTGACGCGGAACGTGAGAGCAAGAGAAGGAAAAAAAAACTTGAAACTGTTGCCGGGTAAAAACCACATGAGGACGGTGCTTGCCCCGACCCTCAATCGGTCCGTGCCATGAGGCCCTTTCAACCCTCTTTACTCCGTATTTATTTATTTTTTACGGTGCGATGGTGGGCGAAGGTGTTGAATGGGTGTACGGAGTAAGGTGATGTCGCGATATCGAGTCCAAACCACCTCCTGGCCCAGGGTCTGATGGACTGCCTAACCGTGAAACCATACCCTAAGAAGCCATGGTTCATCTGGGCGGTTCTGATGTTGGACAGTGCACCCGTCGCCGCCGCCGCCGCCGCCCACTCTTTGGCCCTTTTTTTTTTTCCCCTTCTCTTTTCTGAAGCAGGGTAAATCTTTTCCGTTTTCTGGCGGGCGGGTGGTGGCTGATGGTTCCAAGCTTTGACGCCGTGACTATCCCCGAAATTAACAGCAGGTAAAATCAAATTTTCAGGTCGAGAATTCAAAATAAAAATAAACGATCCAGGAAACATTTAGAATTAAAAACAAAAAAGGAAAAAAAAAAAAAATTAACAAAGTAAAATAAAAGATGACAAGGCGTTGAGAAAGAGAGAGAGGCAAACAGACGTAGACAAGAGACAAGAACCAGTGAGTGAGTGAGACAGGGAGCGCGCGGGTGGGCGAGAGGGAAGAAGATCGTTGGCCCTGCCAGCGTCAGGGAGCTAAAGACGCCCAAGGTTTTGGCTAAAACGTAGCCAGCGGTCGGGCGAGCTCCAAAAAAACGCACGAAAGGGGATTGACAATCCCTGGACTGATCCTCACTGGACCGCAAGACTAAAACCCGACCAAACAGCGCCCTCCCCCGCTTCGCACAGTTCAAGTGGGTAGTTGACTAGTTTTAACTAATTAGTTTAACTAGTTGAGATGGACCGCTAACGAAGTCAAGCCTAGAGGGCGAAAAAAAACCGAACCTTTTTCTCTGCTCTCTCTCTCTCTCTCTCGTCTCTGCGCTGCCTGCTCCCCACGATCTGGAGGGGCCGGGGGTAGGGGGGGTTTGGCCCTTGTTCCTGGCGCAGTGCTGTCGCAAGCAGCTGGTTTGCCTCCCTGCCTGGCTATGCATGCTGCTGGTGTTCTTTCGGCGTTCGACTGGGCTGCCTGTCTCTCTTCTCTCTCGCTTTTTTTTTCTGCAGGGTATATGATGTATGGATGGGCAGTACCTGGTTGCTGAGCAACTGCAGGTTTTGCCACAATAGTTACGGCGTTGGGGTTCGACCCAGGTTCCCAAACACAGGCATTATAGTCGCTTCGTCTACCAGTCATATAGATTCAGACGTTATGTTATTATAACTTGCCCTGTTATTATTACAGGCGGTTAACTGGTTAGGTTAGTTATGTAACTATGTATGTGTGTGCAGCTAATTTATTTCTTTTATTTTATATTATTTTCTTTTCCTTTATTTTATTTTATTTTATTTTTTTTTCCGCCTCTGCAACTGACCCCCTTGTCAGAGAGGCGTGAACTAGCTAGCTCGTGGGCGATGGGGCAAACAGTCTTTTGCCTCAGGCACCATCCCTTCGCCGGCGCCCACGCTGCCAGAAGTATAAAACCGGCGATGGATGTGCGGAGTCCGTCCACCACCGTTAGTTATCGAAAAGCAAAAAAGAAAAATTATGGATCCTCTCTCGTAACCAAGCGTAAATATGCGGAGTACCAGTGGTATCCATTGTTTCGTCTGCCGGTTATATGTATCTACATGACGCCGTACATGCTTCCTTCATTCTTCTTCATACCGCCTGCATCCGCTCTCTCCCTCTTCTCTCAAATCATTCCCTCTGTCTCTGGCCTCTCCGGCTCTGTCTCACTTCCAATTCGTCCGCCAACAATTTAAAACACCAATTGTCCTCGGCTGCTGCCTTTTCTCTCTTTTCTCTCTGTCCTTCTCCCTTCCTGGACGTTGGATTTGAATTCTATCCCAGTCGTTAATCCTTTCTTCCCTCAAGCATACTTCTTCCTCCCTGTCCTAGTCTCCGGAACGCTGCCCCCCTGGCAGACTGGCAGTTAGATTTCGGGATTCCAACTTCAGGATCTCGGAACAGTCCAAGGTATGAAACAAACTCTCTTCCCGTTTCTTAAAAAATTATGGCGGAGGGGGAAAAAAAGAATAATAATAAATAAAAATAAGAAAAAGAAAGAAAGGAAAAACAAAAGAAGGAAAAACGACACTACCATCATACTCCTCCGCCATACTTTTGCATATCATGCATGTTGTACTTAGTTTGAAGGTTATATGAACTCGTCCCGTGCCCACTTCACTTTTCCATTCCTCCCCTCCATCACTGCCTTGTTTTTGGGAGCTCTGATATCCAGCATCCTCATGACCCTCCCTCATTTGCTCTAAGCATATAACCCCCGTTCCAGAACCTGGGATCTTCGTTCCGAAGCGCCCCCCTTCCATACTCCTCCTGCCCTGAGACATACTTATTGCCGGTCGCTTCCTATCTGTTATATATCCGTTCGCTCTTTTTTTTTTTTTTTTTTTTTCGTTTTTTTTTCTTTGGTACTTTCTCTCTTTTGCCATTCTCTTCTTTGTTTTAACATTTTCAACCTTCGCTTAGATACCGGGAAAAAATAACAATACGCAAAAAGAAAGTCAATCTTTTCTTTACTTGCTGCTGCTGTGCGCACAGCGTGCCCTCTCGTTAATATCCCTTGGCCGCAATTCTTTCCAAAGACATGGCTCCCACACAGCGGAGAGGTCCCTGGGTCCCGGAAGAGGACCAAGAATTGCTCCAGCTGGTCCGCACCCAGGGCCCAAATAATTGGGTTCGAATCTCTCAGCATATGAAATATCGATCTCCAAAGCAGTGCAGGGAGCGCTTCCACCAGAACCTGAAGCCCTCGTTGAATCACGACCCCATCACTCCTGAAGAAGGATTGATGATCGAACGCATGGTGAACGAGATGGGCAAGCGGTGGGCGGAGATCGCCAGAAGACTGGGGAACCGAAGCGATAACGCCGTCAAGAACTGGTGGAACGGCAGCATGAACCGAAAGAAGAGACGGCTTGCTCCCACCCGAGAACCCGCTTCCCGAATATTCAATGGTCGAGTCGAGCCTCCTTACCCCAGGAGCCCCGTTAGCCCACAGTTCAGACAGGCACAGCTCCGTGACGGTCAGGCGCCGTGGCTGCTGACCGATTGCCCTCAAAGCGCTCGAGCCTCCATTTATATCCGTGAGGACTGGCCGAGAGAACGGTCCTCTCCAGTCGCACACCATCGATCTCTGCCGCCGCTATTCACCCCAGATTCTTCCTCGCACATCGAACATCCGCTCACTTCGCCCTGCTACTCAGAAGTATCTACCCGGACGTCTGCCGGTCCCCCGTCCATGATCTCAGATCACACATCCGTGGCTTCTGCCTCCCCCAGAACGATAACGTCCCCATCAATACCACCCATTCCCGTGGATATCCACCCAAGTTACGACGAGCGACGACGAGGTAGCGCACCCGTCGTCGGTTTCACATCAAACCAACACCATGCATACAGCTCCATTGCCGGAGCGAAGAGTATGGAGATCCTAGCCGGAAGCAGCCCAATTCGAGATTGGCGCAGCTCTACGAGCGACCCACATCCCCATTTCCGCCCTCACAACCCAGTTCCTGCGTATCAACATCGTCCTCAGTCGGTCCCCGATACGAAGACCCATTCCATCATGACACAAGATCGTGATGCGAGAATGGGCTTGAACAATTTACTCAATTAATTGCCAAGCCTGTCTTCCGAATAATTTTCTACTTATGACATGACCTTTTGCTCCTTTTTCCCTCCGTCTCTCTATAATGGAATGTGGACAATGTCCGTTATATTTTCTTTGGGTGGTCAGGCCTGTTATTACGGCTATCTTTTTAAGCTATTGTTCAACTAGCTATTGTTACGAATTCCTATATCCCCAATGTTCTTCTTATAATTCTACCTCCTTCTCCTATCCGGTCTACATATTCGAGACTCGAAGTTCTATTTATGTGGACATATCAATATCTATTTTTCCTCCCGAAATTTGTACCTGAACATTGTGTGATGGGCAGTGTCTAGTGGATGGCGGCGTATTTGCTGGGTTTGGACGATATTAGAATATTGGGTTGCAAAACGGGTTGGTGTGGAATCGGTGGAGGAGGCATATCTTGGTCGGTTGGTTTTGGATATTTCTTTTTTTTATTTATCTTCTGCCTTACTTTTCTCCTTCTGATACCTCTCTTACTTTTATGTTTTGATTTTTCTTTTTCTTTTTCTTTTTCTTCTTTTTTTTTTTCGCTATTTAATGTTGTATTACATGATGCATTTGCCGAATGTGACTATTACCATCACGACTCATTGGAACTTGTTATTGTTCATGAGAAAAGCAAGGAAGAGGATATTCCTCTTCCATTCATTGCAGAGAGTTACTTGGCTCATGTGTTGAAGAAGGACTTCCCCGTCGTGGGCCACCAAACTACGTGTACATGTATCTATTATGTACATACGTACACGCATACATAGCCAATGTATGTACCTAGATATGGATATATTGCCATGTCCTTTTTACGAGAAGATTTCCTAATCGATCTCATCTTGTGGCACAGCAAGGATGCTAAATGGTGACGCTCCAATGTTACCAACCTTCACTGTTTTGAAGAGCTCTCTACTACCACCACCCTTTTTCTATTATATTTTTATTTATATTCATTCATTTTTATTTTTTATTTATTTATTTATTTTTTTTTTTTTTAAAAGGTACGTGCCTCGATCAGTTGTTCTCAAATATTTGGCCCTGGAGCTGGCGCAATCATTTGTGGAAGGGAGTACACGACCATGCATATACGAGAAGAATGAAGCTAAAAAGAAAAATTAACATGCATTACATATCTATAGTTATATGTATAGATGTAGAAAAGAAAAAAGAAAGCAAGAGGGCAAAAGAGATGCAGCAAATCCCCCAACCCAAGCCCAGCAAACGTGACACCAGAGGCGGTGATGGTGACTCCAACCGGGCTTTATAAATTTTTTGAATGAAACCTTTTTTCTTTTTCTTTTTCCCTCTATCCTTTTCCAGTTTTCTGACACCTGCATAGAAAAAGAGAAGAGAAAGGCATGGAAGGCGGAAAGTCAGGTACTATGCAATATATATTTCTTTTAATTTTTCTTCCTTTTCTCTGGCTTTGACGTTGATGGGCTGCTTGTTATCTCTTCTCCCCCCCTTTTCACCCAGGCAACTACATATCCAGTATGTACGAAGTAGTAGATACGTCATACATGTATAGCCTTCCCCCGCTTGCAGTTGTAAAGCAACGCTTTGTGCATGTCAGAGTGCATGTGTTCCCCTCCGTTGGGGGGGCTCTTTGTTACTCACTTGTCTGCTCCCCCGTGTCTCACAGAGCACAAAGCATGGGGTTCAGTCAGTGTTGATTGACATCAGAAAACGCATACTTGCATTCGGGTGTGTTCTGTTTTTCTTTTTTTCCCTTACTTTTGCTTTTCTCCCCACTCCCCCTTTCTCCCAGCTGCCTCGTATATGCAGACTGGTCGAGCCCGAAACTGCTTGCTGGGGGGTTGTGACCGAGGAGAAAGATTTTTATTGCATCGCGTGGTAACTGCAACCTGTGAAATCCGGGAACGGAAATCTGCAGGTCTCTCCGGCAAAATAAAAAAAAAAAAAAAAAAAAAAGGGGCTGCGAGAAGGGAAAGAGGACATTTTGATGAAGGACATGCGTAGAGGGTATACCCGTACACCATGTGCATGGCTAGAAATATCCTCACCTGCATGTTCATTGTCATATCTCTCCCTTTAAGCCGGAAGCCTTGCCTTGAAGAAAGAAGTGTTGAGAGCTTCAATGGGCCCCGGAAGTAGTTAAGGTACTTAAGCGAGCTGCTGCTGCTGACACCGCCACTTAGGTGCGTTATTTAAGTTGGGAGACCGTTTGTTAGCCCCCTAAGGCATGGGTAGCTAACGGTCCCCGAGGCGTAGCGAAAAGCCTAGTCAGAAAAAAGCAGACATTTGCGTATGTCGCCTATTGAGCAGGAGATCAGTTGCCGACCTTTTTTTTTTCAACGCTTCTCACGTGCGCATGAAGAGATTTGCGTTGGGCGTTGGGTGCGCCAAAAAGATCTCCAGCCTGAGCACTGGGGTGTAATTGGCTGACTACAAGCTAACTTGCAGCAGGAAGCCTTTGAATGATTTTTGGGTCTGCAAATCAATGTTGGTGGTTGAAAACGGAGATTGTCACCTGAGTCGGAACTCCGCCCCCCTTTTAATTTGATGTTCGTTTGTGTGCCAGATTTTTGGGTGTGGTGCGTCGTTGTGTTCCAGAGGTGTTTGTGCCAGAGAGACAGGCAAATATATTTGAAGTATTTGCGCTTTGTACGACGCTGCTAGTACGCACACACCTACCCCGTACATATACAAGAGCTCACAATAGCTGTTTGCGTGTCCTGCGCTGTTCCCCAAGGGAGCGGCCGTGATGGATTACATAAGACGAGGCACCCTGGCGCCAGGCGATGGTTGGCTGGACTTGCCCCGGACAAGCTTCCCGTGCGACGCTAGTGCGGGTGCGCTAACTTAATCCAGACGTTCAGCGATGATGCCAGCCTTCGTCGCCTTCAGACGCCTTCAATCATCGAGTCTCGCAGTCACGAGAGAGCTACGTCAATCTCAATACTTTCAGGTGGATTGGAATTTAGACCTGCAGTTCGACACGCGGGTCATTCATCCAGCCAATCAGCTACGTGCTGAGTGCTCGACCCCTCTGTCTTTTCTTTGTCCCACTTGACCGCAGAAAATGCAAAAGCAATCAGCATATTCAGGTTGTGTCTGCAGAGTAAAGGGGAGAGAGGGGTTATTTCATTGATCCCTGTTGGGCAAGAGCCCCGTTGCGCCGTTTTGCATGCCAGTTATCGCCCGAAGCTGATCCTGGGAACGGCCAACTTTCGTTTTATCACCGACATCTTCTGCCCCAGTAACCCGGTACAGGAAAAGGTTCCATTGAGATTCGATGCAGGTAACAGAAGGGAAAAAGATCGAATATCCCGTTGATCAAATCCCGACTAACCGGCAGCGGTAACTGGTGAACAAAGAAAACGAACAAGAGTGGCGAGAAAAGAAGGTTGTTGAAAACCAATCTTCCGCTCCGCTCGATTATCGCTCTTTATCATTTGCTGTCGTCCCAAAGGGTTGATCCCTGTTTTCATGGTTCAGTGATCCATTTGACCCCTGCTAACTGAATCGAACGAGGTTTGATTTGATGACAATTAGAACGCCTCCAACGGCAGGTGGTTAGACGACATGGGAAGCACTGTGCCTTTTGGTAGACACGGAATGCCGACATATCGTGTGACAAGATTTTTATGGTACTGCTATGACCATACTTCTTGGTTGTCCAATAGATTTTGAACTCGATTGCTTTCGCTCGCGATGGTGGCCTCCATGCCTTACGAGACATGTGCTTGAGACGCAGAAAGCCATGCAAGGTCCTTAGGTGGAAAGGTTACGGGCAGATGACATCGGCACAATACACATGACTTCTGGTGCTGGTACTGACGCCCTCGAGACTATGGGAAAAAGGCCCTTATTACAGAGTCGATTCACCCTTACATGGGTCAGGCGCTCGAATGCGGTGCCCCGTGGTCCAATAGCACAAAGCCGTTTAACTCACATTACACCTTGTTGCACATCTCTTCCGTTTCCATCGAGTGGCATTTATTGGCTACATTATCGATTTTGTGTGACAGTCTCTGCGTTTGCCATGCCTTTAACGACGGGTCGTGCGTCAATAATGGGGGTTTCCAATGGCTGTATGCGATCAAAAGAAATGGATTGACCCATTGGATAGGGACCATTTCGGTTTCCAGTACTCCATACTGCTTCGCGTCCTCCGTTCTTGCTTTAACGGTTCGTTGATCCTACCAATCGACGCGCACTTCAAGGTTATGTGCTGTCGCCTGCGCTTCTGTCAAGTTCTCGTATCTATTATCCTCTCTGGGTAAGGATCGCCTCCCGCAGTTGACTGGTTCCAACTCCCAAACCTCAATCTATACATACATGTCCATATATGTAAAAGTGTTCTCTTTTATTGTGTTGCCGGCAAATTGCTATGGCTGGTATTCTTTTCAAGCACCCAACATCCTATTGTCACGCATATCATTCTCCAGGAAAGCCTCTGCTGATACCATTAGACTAGACCCCGAAACAAGATGACCGCAACCACTAAGAGATATCTTTCACACAAAGGCTCCTTGACCGGCTCCTCCCTCATTAGATGATAGGATGCCTCTGGCCGAGAGCGTTCGCAAGCCTGCATATCCAGGCAAATGAAAGGTGGTCTTTGATGCTCTTAATGGTGTGCAATTAAAGTAGGCAGGGCTCCTGTGACTGCAATTAAAATAACACAAGGATAACGATCCAGCCGGGACCACCACGAAACAACCCCCATATTTTTTTCCCCCGGGGGTTAAGCCCTTGGGATGATGAGTTAGACTCAAGGATGCTGTTAGGAGGCTATGTCTTTCGGCACCGTTGGGAGAGCATGAAAGGATTCACATGGTTATGGACTGTTAGCGACTTTATGTATTATATAAACTATACATATAACCAACAGGTGGCCTTAGCCTAGCCTTGAGCGGCTCCCGACCTACGAGTGGAGTGCTATTATAATACGTACTGGGAGTTGGACGTGTGAGGTGGATTACTGCCAGTAGCCAAGCCAACCCACCTATTTCAGGTGTCTTAGCCAGAATCTCACGCTTTGACGAAACCCTGGGACAGCCATTATATCAAATACCAAGCAGATGAAAGCCCCAACCTCGGGTGATATGTCTGGCGTTTCTTTTCCACAGCGAGAGAAGGTGACAATGCTTGCTGACTAACTAACCCATGCTGTTGATGATCTAAAGCGCGGGGCGCCAAGGCGTGCCCTGTCACGTGGACACGGCTATTTTTGGGCTGGGGTGTACTTATGGAGCTAGCCTGATCTGGAGCAAGCTCACCGGCTCGTTCGAATCTTCAGAATCGCAAAACAATGCAGCTACTCTGACATCAGCAAACCGTGACCTTCTTTCACTGGCTCTGGAGGGATTTCCGAGGCTCCTTGGGTTTGCAGAGGAGAGCTTCTTGTCACCTCGCTTCCGTCTTTGACCATCCCCCACCGGCGTCGTCAGCTGGCATTCACATATCGCCACCTAGAAATCCAGTTGAGCTGCAGCTCAACCACGCGTCACAATGGATACCTCAATGGATATTGACATGGACCTTGACCTGGGGCCGGAGCCGGAGCCAATTGAACTTGTCAGTTTGGCCTCACACTCACTTAACAAACTCTTATCGTGTCCCTGACTCTCTGTCTATAGGACATTGCCTCCACTCCGTTGAACAATGGCACGCAGCTCGAGGACCCGAATATCCTCACAGGCAATGAAGAACCTCAATTCGAAAAAGTGCATATTCGCGGCGTCGATGAATTGACGACGGAGGACATCAAGTGTTTCGCGGCGGAACACTTTCAGGGCGAAGAATTATCGCGAATTGAATGGATCGATGATACATCGGCGAATATCGTATATAGCTCGACGGAAATGGGACTGCAGGCTCTGGCTGCATTTACACAGCAATCTGTGGAGGAAGTTGATTCGGCGCTGCCGTCATTACGTCTGCGTACGGCGAAAGCGTTGTCTACGCACCCTGACTCGGTACTGCAGGTGCGATCGGCGGTGAAGACGGATCGCAAGAAGCATCGCGCGCATGAGGCGAGTCGGTTTTACCTTATGCATCCTGAGCATGACCCACGAGAGAGGGTGAGGCGAGAGTTTGCCGAGAGACGGCGTCGAGGGCGACGAGATGAGAGTACGGGAGACTATAACAGACGCCGGTTTGACGAGAAGGAGAATAGGCGCCGCAAGGGCCTCGCGAGCGAGGAGAAGTTTGATGAATCGATGTATGATGATAGTCGCGAGCCAGATCACGATGAAACCCGAGGCAGACGCAAGGCCGATGATTTGTTCCCCGATCATTTAGATAAGTCAACAGGACGGTTACGGGATCGAAGTGCATCCCCATCCCGTGCAGATGTTGGTAACGGTGTTAGACCTGGTGACGACTCCCGGGACTCCGGAAGAAGATTTCGGGACCGTTCCCCCCGGCACGGAAGGGATAGAAACGGATATACCCGTCTCAATGCCGGAAAGGAACTATTTGGCTCCGCCAACGCTTCTAGTGACGAGAATTCGGGTCGCAGAGAGCTGTTTCCGAATAAAACTGCGGCCAGCTACCTTAAGAAAGAGTTATTTCCGAATAAGACCTCCATCAGCAACCATCGCCGTTCTGATGCCTTCGACGCTGCAGATGAGACGGCCGATTTATTTGCCAAACGTATTTCTATCCCATTGGTTGACGGAGCCCACGACAACGGCCGCGAAGCCGATAACCGAATCAAAGATAATAGCACCGTGGAACTCTTCCCTGAGGGCGTACCCCAAACAGGTCGTGGGCTTAGGATTCGCGGTACATCTGACGATCCAGGCTTCTCCATCCGCGGAAGTGCAGCAAGTTTGAATAATACAATATCAATCAAGGGCACAGCCTCGGTCAGGGAGCTATTCCCGTCGAGATACACCGGAAACGAAGGGAAAGAACTGTTTTCTGATAAACTTGACGGTAGAGGTGGGAAACGGAGAAGGGCGGAGGATATGTTCTACTGAAATTAACAGAAAGCGTTTCTCCTGGATTTTAGGTGGCTTGCTTCTCCAATAATATTTCGTGGGTTTGGTAAAATTGCAATACATCTGGCGCTGGTTTGGGATTGATGGAGCAAGGAAAGATATGATTCAAATATTCTTACGATATAATACACTGATGATAAGAAATAATACCGGTTTATGCTACTTTTTTGTATTGATTGGAAGGAGGTTGGCAGAGATGAGACTTAAAAAACTTATAGGCAACTTTTTGAATCACACAGGATACCAGGTAAATTGTTAAAATTAATCTGTAAGTATTTGCATATAAATTGCTATGTAGCCATCTGTCCATGCACCGCTGCACCATGGGAAAGCGAGGGCATAGGGTGTTTGGTAATTAGAGGGCAGGAAAGATCTAATCTCGGCACGTTATAAAATCCTTCAGCAATCGGATATTGGTAAAAGTATCCGCTGCTGTACACACAATGCCTGTTGGGGTCCTCGCTCGGAGCTGAAATCCACTTTTGAATGGTATCTAGAAGTTGGAATATCTGCGGAAAATGATGTCAAACGATGGGTCGTGAAATGTGGTCCATATTCCTGCAACGGATCTACCTAGACGTGGCTGTTAAGGATGCACGAAAACACCCACATCCCATATAAAAACATGTCGAAGTCAAAAGTCCGTGGGAAAGCAGACCAGCGTTACCGTCAATTATGAATCCTAAGCAGAAAAAGCATGGACCTTGGGGAAACCAGCGCAAAACCCATCTTGCATTATCGAGGACTCGAGATGGAAGCATCTCTCTTGCTCGTTCCCACGGGCTAAAACAACGGGAAAATATGCGGATCTATGGACATAGCAACGCGGCACATTGGGATTCTGATTTCAATGATTTTTTTCATTTGTTTATGCAGATTCTCTCTTGCCCTCCTTGACCTCCTTCTGCAGGAAGTTGTTAGTGTATGATTCTCTCCGGGATTCGGGAGCTAAACGTAGAGCAACACCCGATTCAACTGTGCAACAAAACCGGACGTACCAAAGCCTTCATGGTGCCGTGGAGAGCATGTCTGTGGTTCCGTCTGAACTTGGGATCGACACCCTTGAGGGAAGGGTAACGGTGAGTCTTTGGCTTCTTGATCCTGTTGAAGTTTTGAACGCATTAGCTCGACCTTGGTGCTCCTCGTTGATTATTCCAAGCTTCAGCCCAAAATTTCACAGTTCCTCAGTGATAGCAGGGATCGAGCAATTGATTCCTTGACCACATGGCAAGTATTTTCTCAAGATATCACGACTCGGAGGTTTCGAATTACGTACCCGTTTCTGTGGGCTTTCTTGTTCTGGTTGTGTTGCGACGAGTTCTTGGATTCTGCGAGTTCGACGTGTTAGCTACAGAAGCTGACACACTGAGATAAGATAGTTGTAAATACGTACTGGCCATCTTGACGGTCTGATCGCAACAATGCGGATTGTTGGAGAAATCGGGATAGGGATTGCGACGTCGAACTGGGCCTTCACAACTTTCTCGTCGTCGAAGGACAACCTAAAGGGAGCTGACTTATCTAATCTGCGTTGTTGTGGGATCTCGCTTACATTAACATGGCGACGGGGCTAGTACGAATTTGGATGTATAGCAACAGCCGGGCAACGCAGAAGAATCATATATCGATTTATCTCGACAAATTAACCAGGGACTATGAAATATTTATGAGGCTATTAATGTCTATAGTCAGTAGAATGTACTCCTGTCTCTAGAAGAGAGATTACAACGTGAATGTCCTTGGGGTATCGAAACTATGCCGTCTCCGAGCCTAGCGTAAAGCAGCACTAGATATTGCCTAGAGCGTGTCCAAGGAAGTTGACGACACTGTAGGTATTCAAAGAAGCGTGTATATGACAGCAGGCTATTGAGACTGAAATCACTCATTGCAGGCTCATTTCCTCGCTTTCCGTTCCCTCTGACTGTCCTCCATCCTCCGCCCGTCCAACAACCGCAGTCCCGTGATATCTCTCACCAGATTGGGTTTAGCGCATAATACTGGCCATGCCGACCAATCCCAAACCTTAACTCTTCCAAACCGACGACGTCCACCAGACAATTCGAAGGCCTCTCACTCCGTCATCCCACGACACTCCGTCTCCTCGCACTCCAACACGCCCACAATGTTCACGGCCCGCTTCGCCCGGTCTGCTCTGAGAGCGCGGCCTGCCGCTTTCAGACTACCAATTCAGCAGAGAACCTATGCGCAAGCCGTGTCTGATAAGTTACGGCTTTCTCTGGTCTTGCCGCACGAGGTATAGGAAGATATGCGCTCAATTGGATCGTCTTTCCACAGGATTTTGCTAATCTTTTGAATTCGGATTAGACTATCTACAAATCCGCCGATGTGTATGCCTTCCCCGGACCCCTCCCTCGTTCGCGAAGGATATGTTTTGATAGGGAAATCAAATTGGACGAATGATGGATGAAAAAAACTAGAGGCTAATTGACATGTTTTTGATTGAAAACCAACAGTGTCCAAGTGAACATCGCCGCCGAGTCCGGAGACATGGGTATTCTCTCTAGCCACGTTCCCAGCATCGAACAATTGAGACCCGGTCTCATCGAGATCATCGAGGAGAGCGGACAGACCAAGAAGTTCTTCCGTACGTGATATACAGCCATTGAAACTGCCAAGTTCCCCTTTTTTTTTTTTCCTTTGATTCCAATATCAGCGTGGTGCAGCGGCTAATACGGACCTCACTTTCTGTAGTTGCCGGTGGTTTCGCTGTCGTCCAGCCCGACTCCAATCTCAGCATCAACGCCGTCGAGGGTTTCGCTCTCGAAGATTTCAGCGCTGATGTAGGTCAAACTTTTCCTCGACGAAGCTTGACTTCCTCGATAGGGTACGGTCATGATTCTAACCAGCATCACAGGCCGTCAAGTCACAGATCGGTGAGGCTCAAAGGATTGCGGCCGGTTCCGGAAGTGAGCAAGATATCGCTGAAGCCAAGGTTGAGTTAGAGGTATGCCGACCAAGTTTTCCAAATTCAATTTTTCGGCGGAATAACGCTTGCTAATTACCGTTAAACAGGTCCTTGAGAGCCTTCAGGCTGCTATGAAATAGACTGGAGTGTACATATATATTTTCGATTGACACCGGAACCTCAATGCTAAGCATGTAGAATTATTATTCTTCAATTTTTTACATGTGTCTTGTGTGCTATCATTATATCTTGCTCCATTGGCCAAATTTTTGTTGCCAACTATCTATCCGAACAGCGATTCCAGCCTGCAGGAAACGCTATTTCCGAAGGAACAAACAGTTAAAGGCAACCATCATGTGGATGGAATTCATAAAGGAATGTATAATCAATTTGCTTCCCAGATCTGAAAAGCTATACCAAAAAGGAATGTAGAATTTGTTGCACCATATTCAGTCAATTGTTCCACAACAGAGAAGAAATAAGGCGCTTTCTGGAAATAACAAAATGCGTGATCCAAAATAACTCAATAAACTGTTTTTGAATCATGGTTTTACACATAGGGGGGAGAATGACACCGAAACTTGAGAACAAAATCAAAGATATCAAAGCTGTCTTTCAGAGATAGAAAGAGGTTCGATGATAAATTCTCCCAATCCAACACCAGATCGTATAACTTACCTTTGGGAGAATATCCTGTTCGCCCAGTTGCCCAGCCATGTATTTCCTAAACTTCATACTTCATAATATAATTCCATAAAACATTAACAGTTTCGTCTGACTTATATGTGCATGAATTAAAGAACTGGTTTGGCCGGGTTCATTATGTGAATTCCACCCGACTTCCCCCTTGTCTGGCTTGTGTTCTTCGCTCCGCACGTCGTCGACCACTTCGGCTGGCGAAGCTGCCGCTCAGGTCGGTGCTCATGGTCAAAGGAGAATGTATAGCTCCAGCAGCAGGGATAGGAGGCGGTGGTATCGGAGAAAGGCCACTGCCAGCCGGCGGCATAGGTTCAGGTTGAGGGACCGGCGGTGCTGGAGGAGGAGCAGAAGGGCCAGCGCTCACGACGGATGCATTGCCATTCCGCATCTCCTGTTCCTGTTGTCGCTCCAGCTCTTCAACTCTGCGCCAATGATCGTCGCCTTCGCCTCCAGATAGTGAGGCTTCACGACGACGACGTCCGAATCTACTGCGATCCCTGCGCCTTGCTTCGCGGGTTGCTTCTGCCTCCTCTCGGGTCAATTGTCTCAACGTAACGCGACGACCATTGTTGTGCAATTTCACTTTGATCGAGACCGGAGGAGATTCGACAGACTCTCCTTGCGTACCGCTGAACCGATGTTGATTTGAAGCACCGGCTGCTGCTCCTCCAGCAGCCGCACCCGGGTCAGCTCTCTGGTCCAGAGACGTCACCGTATCAGAACCAAGCTCATGGTGGTGAGGGGGAACTGGAGGGCCATCGCTTGGTGCGGATTGTACAGTTTCCGCGTCCGTGGGGCCGGTTACCTCGCTAAAGGACGGATATCGCTGATCGTTTCTTCGAGAAGGGCGACCATCGCCAGTATATCTCCTCTCTCTCATCATTCTTTCACTTTCCAGGTCAGCCAGTCTCAGTTCTTCCAGTCGTCTCTCCTCTTCTCGCGCTGCACGGCTCTTGAACAAGCCTTTGACTGCACCCAATATACCTGCGCCAAACATTGCATTCCGCGGTCCATGCCCTCCGATATTTCTACTTGTAAATTCAGATTCCGTATACTGGGTTTGAGGTGCACTGGGCGACTGCTCGTACCGATGGCGGTGAGCTGCTGGCGGTGGAGTTCGTCCTTCTTCAAGTCGACTCTCTGTATAATCATCATCATAGCTCTCCGTCGCTGTGTGGGCTGGGCGGTATCTTCCAGATTCGGCATCGCCCTCGCGATCACGGCGCTTATCCAAGGCATGTTTTGCCAACCCTGCCGCACCTGCAATTCCAGCGAACTGAAACAACTTTCTTTTCCAGCCTGCCGGACGTTGGTCCTCTGACTTTTCATCGGTGTAAGGCGCTCTCTCAGATCTATCGTCGATCGAGCTTCTGCTCCGTGAGCGCCTCCGAATCCGACTCCCCAGAATAGCAGCTCCAGCCCCAGCGGCACCAGCAGCTGCAAGAGAGCCATTTCTGTCGTCGATGACTTCCGGTCCTGCTGAATAACTGCGCCTATCGTAATCGAGACCCAAGCGCCGTTCGCGAAGATAAGAGAGGACAAAATAAATTACAAGCAGAGTGAACACAGCTAAAGCGTATAGGATGAACAAGGACAAGGGTGACCCGTAAAGAGTGAGGCCAAGAGGTATTTGAGCAAGACCAAGGAGAGCGATCGCTCGACCCAGCCAACTGTGAATCTGCCACTAGAGTTAGTGAACGGATATATCAACGGATGTGCTTCCCTTACCATTAATGTGAAGGGCTGATATAGTCTTCTCTTGCCCTTTAGCCGATTATGAACAAACCAGCCCCATAATATCTGAGATATAACGAGTACATATATGGCAAGCCCAATTCCATGATGCGGATTTGTCAAACTTCGACTGGGCCCGACCGCAAACCAACCAGTGACAAATACAACCGTCGTGAGGAACAGAGTAAGGATTTGCATCCATATGTGCAATCGAAGCGACCAGTACGAGCTTCGCGAGTAGAATCGAGCTATTAGGATGGAGATAGGGACAAGGCCGAGAAACGTTATCGCCGCAATCACACCATGAGCTCGGATAAGAGAGTGATATCCGGCCATGTTTCGAAAACGATTGCCCATTCCTGGGATGCGCATCAGCTATCCGGCAGAGAAGTAGAGACGGCGCCACAAGACCAACCATTATATTGCATTGTCTCAAAATTGAGACCCATCAGGTTGGGTAGGAGGAAGGTATTCCGCTGGGAATCCCATGTTCCGTCCCCAACGTGTAGAGTATTGGAGGAGTATGTGCTGCTCCCGGGCGGAGCTAATTGGGGAGAGGGCGACATTGCTGCGGGGCCCTACCTCAGAGGGCGGACTGCGTCGCAGTGGACGATGGTAGTACGATTATGCCGCTGTGTCCCGTCGGAGATAGCAGAGGTGATCTTTATAGACCCCTCGCTCCGGGGAATACACCATTCGTTTTCAAACCAGGTACGATAAGGGACAGAGCTTTGTTTCTGAATGGATATATAAATCAATGGCTGGATGTCACGCAGGAACCGTCTCCGGCTTGCCTCACTCGGGTGACAGCTGGCGTTGGTTGGAAGCAGATGGGTCCAGCTCTGCGTGAGGTATCTATACCTCAAGAGAGCGGTGAACGAGTGGCTGGGAGCAAGCTTCTAGCACGAGCAAAACATGGCGTACACAGCGGGAGGGGTCCTGATCGAGGGGAGTAGAGAGGGAGACTGGCAACTACAGCACTTGACGGAGGCAGCACAGCGAGGAATGCCAGAAAGGAGGCGTCCATCGAGCTGTTTCAAGCGGCGGCCGACGGCGCAGCGCAGGCCAGTCGGGCAGCTCGCTGGCGGGGAAACGACAACGGTTTGCCGCATCGGGTTTAGCGCGGACAGCACAGCGCCAGGACAACGCCCTGCTTACATCAGCGGTAAGCTTTGGTCAGTTTCGGGTAGTAATGTTACGTTACGGTCCATCAGATAAGATAAGATCCCGATCGGTGTCACACGACCAAGTAACCTTTCCGCCTCGATCTGGGGGAAATTCAGCACAACCAGGGAGTGTCGCAGGATCGACGCTCACGGGGCTGGCTGGATGATGGGTTTATAAAGCCAACTCGACGCTGCTTCAACAACACCGCGCAGCGCCGCATCTTTGGCTCAGTTTTGAAATGGCGTCCCAAGGAGAAGTGTTCGCAAGGGCGGTATCTCGGTGAGTTCCCTTCTTCCCGTCGTCTCGAACTGATGCTGATCGTGCCATTCGCATCAAAACACAGCCTTATCGGGTGGATATAGTATGTACCTTTTCTTTCTCTCCCCCTTTTCTCAAAAGACCATCTGTTCCACGCCTTAGCCGGGACTATTGATTCGGGAGGATCATGGTTCTAACGACGGTTTACCTTGCAGCATGTTCTGCTGGTCCGCCTCATTCTATCCCCAGCCGATCCTCAACTGGCGCCGTCGCTCAACCCACGGACTAGCGATCGATTTCCCGACAACCAACGTCCTTGGCTTCCTCTGTTACGCCATCTACACCACCGCATTCCTCTACTCTCCGCTGATCCGCGAGCAGTACGCCGCTCGACATCCGAGATCTCCAGAGCCGTCCGTGCGATTTAACGATTTTGCATTCGCCATGCACGCCATAATTCTCAGCGTGACTGTGTATAGCCAGTTTTTCCCGAAAATCTGGGGCTTCAGAGTTTCTAAATTCCAAAGGGTGAGCCGGACTGTGGCGGGTATCTTCTGGGGCTGCATCTGCGCCACCGCCATTATCACGGTCTGGGTAGCGTCGAAGGGAGGCTATGATCCGTCCGGCTGGGCTTGGATCGACGTCGTACGTTTCCCCCACCAAAAAAAAATAAAAAAAATAATAATCACAGCATTTCTCACCATCCTTGAATTTCATATATCCCTCCAATTCTAACCCGCCTTAGATCTACACAGTTTCCTACGTGAAGCTCGTCGTCACCGTGATCAAGTACATCCCCCAAGCATGGGTGAACTACAAGCGCAAATCCACCGTTGGCTGGAGCATAGGTCAGATCCTCCTTGATTTCTCCGGCGGCGTGCTCTCGATCCTACAGCTCATCATCGACTCAGCGCTGGAGGATGATTGGAGTGGGATCACAGGTAACCCCATAAAGCTCTTGCTGGGCAACGTGAGCATCTTTTTCGACCTCATCTTCATGGCCCAGCATTATATCATATACCCGGACAGGCGCATCTCCTTGAAAGACGATGATAATGAGACCGAGCCGCTGTTGGTTGATAATGAATCGCGGGATATTCCATGAGGAATTTCTTTATCTATCGCCTCTCTGTCTTGGTTTAGGTTGCTGATATATACCCCCCGCGCCCTAGAAGATTACCATTTTTTGGATTTCCCCCCACCTCTTTGGGGGAATACATACATACCCGTATCGTTCGACAGGCTGCTTTTGGATAAAACATTGGCAACATATGCATAGATACATCAGGCAAATTGAAATCAATGGCTAAATGGTGCCATGACACGGAGAATTGAAATAATAATCCCACACCAATTGTATCCACTTCATCTTCCGCAAAGTACCGCTAACATCCAACAAGCTTATTCCATAACGCCAGGGCCATACAGATTGAAACTCCCATTGTATAATCTCACGCATGCTCAACTGAACAAATGGGAAGCAATTATATAAAAAGAAAAGAAAACGAAAAAGTCAAGTAAGAGAAGTTTCTCCAGGTTATGTCCTCAGGAAATTCTCGCCATATGTGCACATAAACCCCACGAACCACGCTAAGCCCTGTAGATGAAACAAAGAGGGGGTGGTTACGTGATAAATTTAAATCCCAATACAGTATCAGAAAGGGAAAATTCCGTAGCCCAATTGGGGTTCGCCCGCCCCAGGGGTGGGGGGGAATATAAAATATAAACATGTGTATGAAAAGTAATATATGCAAATGTCGTGACCCGTCCCATGTCTTATGTCTTGTTTTACCTCGGAACTCCGTAGCGACTGAGATGAGGGGGAGGTCTCCTTTTTGGCACCCTAACCGAAACAATATAACAGAAACAAACCCTGGCACTCGTTGAAGGACTACCGATTACCATTACTCCGATAATATTTCCCCGTCGATATCCGTCGGGGTTGGGGTTGGGGGGACAGAGCTGCGAATCCCGTGAACGACATAGTCGAGAGTAGCTAAGGCCGAACAGAAAACAGTTGTTGATTGTCCTAACGAATGTCATGCTCGCCGACGCCTTCCTCGGGCTACGCCTTCGGACCTCTTGGCAAGGACCTGTCGTAGCAAAGGATCATTTTTGTCTTTATCTCCGTGCTGGGCCCGAACGTGTCTGACCATACAAATTAATATAGCTCCAGCCGGGGTGATCGGTTCCGCAACTCACCTTTGAAGATTGTCTGGGCGGGGATACTGGCGTTGCTGGTCTGAGCAAAATGGGCAGATATACCCCGGAGAGTTATGAACTAGGGCATGTCGTTTCATTTCATTTTTCCTTTTGAAGCCCGTTCCCCCTTTACCCCGTGGACAATCTTCCACAGGGCAGTGGTAAGGTCGGTTTTCTGAATGTACATTTGCGTGCGAGCTGTAGTTTAGTAAGTCAAAAAGCCCGCACAGCATTATTTGTCATCTGCTTACTTGAGAAGATATTGTGTCTGAAAGGGCTCTGAATTGCAGCCGGGGTGTTCACACTTGAACCCGCCTGAATTCTGAGGCGTCGATGTCTTGGTCTCATTCTTTCTTGGTTCTATTGGCGTAGGATATCCAGTGGCTGGGCTGCCTGTAAAATGGGAGCTAGTGTCGCCAGGAGACTGAGATTGAGAGCATTCAGCGTTTGTCGATGGTGCCCAATAGGAGCTATGAGGGGTGCCAGCGACGGGCGTGGGCGAGAGGCTTGACATGTCCTTTGTACTAGCAGCAGTGAGGTGGGAAAAAGTGGCCGCACGGCGAAACGAAGCTGGTAGATATTGCGGCTCAAATGTCGAAAAAGCTGGAAAGCGAGCTGGCTCTTCAAAGGAAGGTCCAACTAGTGCCTTGATTGGCGGTAAGTTCCGGGCAGAATCTGGCGACGCCGTCGATTGTGGCGGAGATTGCAGGACCGGCAGGGAGGGAGATGGATGGTGACTTCGACAGACGCGCTTCTGGTCGGGATGGGGCAGCTCCAGCTCTTCCTTCACTCTGGACGATCTGGACGCCACCTCCCGATCCTCCGGGTTTGAATTAATTCTCGGAAGTTGATACTTGAAAGCTGGTTCTTGAGAGTGCATCCGCGTGCGGAATGGGATCCTGTCGTGGTCGCTGAAAGCTTGCTCTTTCTTGATTGGAACAGATTCGCTGGGGTCCATCCACTGATTGCAGATGTTCATGACATTACAGGGATCTTGCGGTTTTCTCTGCTGGACACTTGGAGGGGGCTTCTCCTCGAGGCTCGGTGGATTTTGCACCTCGCATGGTGACCTGCAGGCCGAGTCCGCATGTTGCATGGAATCCTCCGTATGCCTATTTATTCCCTTCAGCTCAGCTCTGTCATTGGATTCACTAGTGTCTGACGGCGAGACCGATTGGACGTGTGCCTGGGTAAGCTGGTGGGCGAGATCTGGTCGGTCTGGCGCTAAGTTTTCGATTATTAGCTCGATCCCTATTGACGTTCTATGTCCTTGCCAACGCCGGTGAGAACCCTTACGGACACGTCCAGAGGGACTTTCTTTTCCTTTGGGGCTTTCACTCTTTTCGGGGACAAATGGAGGGGTTGGGGTCTTATAGGGTCTGAGGTCGACTCGGGACCGCTTGAGTGGAGGAGTGAAAGCCCGGGCATCATCGGAGTCATATACGTCTTCTTCCATGACTGTATCCATACCATAGGCAACACTCAACGCGCAATCATGAAGAGTTACGTAATCCAATACCAAAAAGAGGGCATACGGTGAGCAGAGGCTCTTCGATGGCAGAAGACCGGAGGAAAAAAATATGTCCGGCGGGAGCGCCACAGCTGAGGGAGAGCCGGAAGGGAGGGCAGTAGGGTTGAAATTAAGAGCTGATATGTACGGAGGATAGGGCTGGATGTACGGCTGGGGGGCGTTTTGGAACACAGTTAGCTTTTTTGTGTTGTCAAGCTCATGTCTCGCGAGGGAGCGTCATCGAAACGCAAGCACGGAATGCAAGAGGACAGTCAACTATATCAGGTTCAAGAGGCACGAGCCACAGAGCAGAAGCGAAGCCATCGATGTCAGTTCAGCAGCGCCGCTGCAACGGGCGAAGAGAGGAGCGTGCAATTGGCTGGACAGGCAGGGCCAAGATTCACCGCCGGAATCCAGGGCGCTCGGGGGGCAGAACAAGCGACGCACAAAAGAGGAGCCTTACCGGTAACGGAGCCACGAGATTGTAGAGGGAGGAGGGGGGTTTGAATAGGGGAGGGAGAGAGAGGGTTAGAGAGCAGCCAACAGCGTAGTCATTTAAACGATAGGAGGATAGAAAAGCCGTGCGAACGCAGCAGGTCTACGGGCTAACGAGGCTCCGCAACGCGCGGGGCAAGCGGAGCAGCAGGCTCATTTGCACATTATATTTTGAAATCTTGCGCAGATGCAGAAAAACATGGATCAAGGAAGGGGGTTGCAACCTCACGCCGTGAGCCTAGTGAACGGCAACAGACGCGGGAGTGGCTGAGATTGACGCTTTCGAAGCACAAGGATGAAGCGGACGTTCGCTGGCCCGTCATCGGTTGGGATGCCCTCGCGCGCTGCCGGATCGGGTTTAAGGCGGCCAGCGAGCCCCCATGCACCTGCAGAGCCGCAATCAGCTGACGGGCTCCATCGCCACAGGGGACGGCGAGCACACGGCGTGGGGTGCAAGTGTGTTGAGTGTTGAGTGTTGAGTGTGTGAGAGAGTGAGAGAGAGAGAGAGAGAGTTGAGTGAGTGAGGGTGAGTATGAATGAGAGAGTAGGGGGGGGGGAGAGAGAGAGAGAGAATGTGTGTGTGTGAGAGAGTGAGACTGTGGGTGAGGAACCAAGAGAGAGAGTGTGCGTCTTGTGTGAGGACCGCCGGCGACAAACTGCCTAGCTAACTACGGAATACTTTTCTTCCTACGCAGGAGACAAAAAAAAAAGAAAGAGCTCATTTCTGTGGGAAGCTCGAGAGACGGCGTCCGGTGTGCGCCATGGGTGGAGTGGAAACTCTGTCCCAATCTCGCGAACTACAGTACTTGAACCCCGTTGTGGTATTTTATTCAAGGCTGGCTGCTCTTCTCGATCGGAATTTTGTCCCAACTCCTCTCCTCTCCTCAGCCCTCGGATAATTACCAGCACCTGGAGTGAAGATCCCTCCCTCCATCACATAAAAACATTTCCAACTCCGGTTAGGGGTCCGTGATGGGGCGGAGAACTGTTTGGGCACTCGTGCGGAAGTGAAGTGGGAGTCCTTTTTAAGGACGCCCAGGGGGGAGTAGGTTGGTCAGTTAGGGTTTGATCACGGCCCAATTTATATACTTTTCCAGGACCTGGTCGTCAGGCTGCGAAAGAATAACAGAGTACGGAGTATTGTCCAGCCATCCCCGCCATGTTCGCTTCTTCTTCTTTTTTTTCTTCTCCTTCTCGCTGCACTTTGGAGATCGGATCCAGACGTCAAGAATTGAGTGCTTCGCGTTCTCAAGCTCTCTCCGAGATGGATTTCGAACTGAAGGCCAACCCCCAACAGCGGTGATTCTCGAACGGGCTGAACCGAGCTTGGCAGGCTCACCGAACTTCCACGCCGCCCCCATCATCTTAGATCTTGTCATACTACCGTACGGAGTGCACGAGCTGCGAACTCGGGCTGGGCAGCCGTTAGTCCCGCAAAGTGAGTGTGCAGTCATAAAGCAGCTTATTCTAGTCTCCCTCTCCTCTTCCTGGACGAAGGATAATGCTTCCTTGGACACGCGACGGCAAAATTTGCTTTTCACTGTCATTTCCTCCTATATTCGCTGTCGGGGAGTTAGTCGGGACGGAAAGAACCAACATTCCGTACTTCCGAACCTGACGAAGATACGGAGTATTCCGTACTACGGCTGAGAATCGGAATTCTTGGCTTCATTTCCATTCACAAGCGGGCAACCCGGAGAGCAAAAATATATACATAAGATACAGCCCGTGGCTGTGGAACGATTCAGCTTCTGTTTGGCCGACAGACACCATCTCACCAAGAATCAGTGCGGCTCCGAGCTGACAGTCAGTCTGTAATTAAGCCAGTTTAGTGACTTTGGCTCGTCAGCACGTGGACATTTATCACTCGGACGAGATCGCCCGAGTGAACGGGCTCGCCTGAACACCGTCGGAATATTGACTTAGAATGTTCAAGATATTCCACAACCGCAACATTCTTTCCGTTTGAAACCTTCCTTTATGGAAGATAATAAGGCAAAACACACCGATAGCTTGAAACATAACCTTAATGTTGCGCGTGACATAAGACAATCCCCCCTATCTTCAACTCCTCAGCGCTACGAAGCACTACCTAGCCTCAACAAGTCCAGCACATTTCCTGGATACCCTGTGCACACTTTTCATTAATTTGTTTCGAGGTGCTAAAACAGGGGGGAAGCGTCCAATAAATTCTGATGAGATTTGAAACGTCCTTGATGAGTTGTTCTTGTCTGAACGGAGGACAAAGCGTGGGCTTTATACGAGGCTTTTCAGGTACACTAGTGGACGGCATACCCGCTGCCATGATTGTTGAATTGAAGACTTGCAGGGGTTCTGGACTCGGCGTGGAGAATCGTCCTGTGGAGCAAATCCGCTTCGTTCTTCCTGTTAGAAACTTGCATAATTCTACCCCCGTATCCCGTACAGAGTACACTAACTAGGCTAGACGGCAAACTTCTCTTCGAGATGCTTAGTGCTGCCTTCTCTGCTCCGAGTGTCAAAGAAGAGGGACAGGAAACGGATCTGAAAGCCGAGGATATCATCATGACACGCCCTATGATCTGGGCCGGACAAAGTCCAACAGAGGGCTTAAAGACAAAATATTCATGCATGTTACAGTAAAAGGGGTTTGCCTTCCCCACCAATCTTATTCGGTTATTTTTCTTTTTTTTTTTTTTTTTTTTTTTTCTGTTTCCTTTTAGAATACGAACCGAATCCCCGAAAACGAGGTAAGCCGTTTAGCCATCCAACGTTACTTTAGCCAAATTTAAAGAAATCTAGTACCTCTGGCCACGCAGGGCCGTCTAGAACAAATCCAGAAATAAGAACTCTTTACGGAGGAAATGGGTCAACTAAGGAACATGTCTAACTCGGCCCCGGACTAGAGCTTATTCCTCCGACGTGCGTCCTCCTTCATCTTCCTCACCTTATCATAGGAACGTAGCGCAAAGGGGCCCATCTGCTTTCCGTATTCAGTTGCCCTTGCGCTGCTCGCTTGTCTCAAAGCATATCGAGCTGCTATACCCTGCATGATCACCGAACCCCGGAAACCGTGGAAAGCATCGCCCCAGATCACTTCGGAAGTCGGGTTCCATCCTGCGATGTTGCTGTACCACTGAACGCATTCCTCGCGCGTTGGAAGGCCAGGAGCAGCTTCAGGTGAAAACTCGATGCTGCCGGGGTGTCCGCCCGTGTGTATATATGGGCTGGTCAGGTTGCAGAAGTCCGACAGCGGGTGGCCGATCGTCGCCATCTCCCAGTCCAGGACCCCGATAACCCTGGGCTCTGTCTTGTGGAAAACCATATTGTCAATCTTGTAGTCTCCATGGACGAATGTACCTCGGTCCTTTGGCTGCAGGTCCTTGTTGGAGAAGAATTCCACCATCTCTTCAAAATGCGGCAAGTTTCCGACGGGAACTTTCGTCTCGATGTCAACTGTTTCCGCCTGGGCCTTGGAGATGGTCCGGAAAGTGGCGATCTGTCGGTTGTAGAATCCTGAGTGTCGTCCAAACTTCTCCATGCCAATGGACTTTGGATCAACTCGGTGGAATTTTGCGAGTGTTTCGACGGCGTCTTTCCATCTAGAAGAAATCCGTCAGCTCTCCATTCCACAGTCCCAGCCTTTTCTTTTCTTTTCTTTCCTTTTGGGGTGTGTGTGTGTGTGTGTGTGTGTGTGTGTGTGTGTGTGTGTCGGTGAAGTGCATACATTGCCTTTCTCTCCTGCGGGCTCACATTGGGAATTGCAGGGTCCGTGAAGATACGTCCGTCCAAAAATTCCATTATGTAGAATGCCGTTCCGATGACGCTATCATCTTCGCACAAACAGATGGCCTTTGGGACCGGAACGTCTGTATTCTCGAGGGCATGGATGATCTGGTATTCGCGATCTACTCGATGTGCTGTTTTTGAAAGGAGCTTGCCCGGTGGCTTCTTGCGCATAACGAATTTCTGCCCATCGGAGGCCGTGAGGAGATAGGTTGGATTCGATTGTCCGAATCCGAACTAGATACTCAAGAAAAAAAGAAAGCAAATACATCAGCAGGTAGGTCTTCGAGGACTAGCAGGGTTCGCATAAGATCCCAGGACCGCAAAAGCAATCGTACCTGCTTGACGTCCAGGGGCACCTTTATCGAGGGGACATTCCGCTCAAGATACCGCTCGAATGCTGGGATGTCAATCGGTTGTCGCACGGCACCAGCCATCTTGGTGCAATGACACGGGGAGTTGTACTACTAGCTTTCCTGTGGACAGTGTGATGAGTGGACTGGTAGGTACATCCCCGAGGGAGCGATTCAAATAAATGTCGGCATCTCCTCCATGCCCCTTCGTCGTCGGAGCTTTGCGCTTGTCTTCAGCAGCAACAACCGGGGTGCCGAGGCTAACACCGAGCGTCCTACCAGAGTTTGGCCCTAGTCCCAATATGCGCTAGCGTGGTCTCCAAACCAATAGGAAAGTTTAAATCACGCTTTACCGCGTTTGGACAAGGTTGCTTACGAAGAAAGAGACCGGCACGTGCCATCGCGTCGAGTCGCGCTTTTTGCTGAATCGGAGGAAACGCGATATGTCAATTCAACGACGGACAGTCGAAAGGAACCCTCCGTTATCGAGCAAAGAGTCAGGAACACCACCTGATTGAAACACCTCTTGATATCATGACCAAAGAGACCACTCCTCCTGCACAATCCAACCCCGACACCAACCCTTCCCACCCCGCCCCCTCTCTTCCAAACTCCCCTCTCGCAAAACGTCCCAAGATGACCAACATTGACTCAGCGACCGACTCTTCCTCTCCCGCCGTCACTTCTCTCTCCCAAAACACCCTCCCGCCGCTACTTGTCAAAAAATTACTGCCCCAAGCCCAAGCACCCAAGCGGGGCTCAGCATTCGCCGCCGGTTACGATCTCTACGCCGCGAAGCATACCGTTATTCCCGCCAAGGGCAAGGGACTCGTAGACACCGGCCTTGCTATTGCCGTGCCAGACGGAACATGTAAGGTTCCCACTGCAGAAAACGCATTTGCTTGCTGGAGTCTTTGCACGTGTAGTCTCAACAAATAAATAAGTAAATAAATAAATAGCTGACTACCGATCGCACCAGACGGAAGAATAGCGCCTCGAAGTGGTCTGGCCGCGAAGAACTTCATCGACACCGGCGCCGGCGTCATCGATGCGGACTATCGCGGAGAGGTCAAGGTGTTGCTGTTTAACTTCTCCGATGTGGATTTTACCGTCAACGAAGGAGATAGGATCGCTCAGCTTGTTCTTGAGCGAGTAAGTAGTGGCCGAGCAATGATTCCATTTCCACCTTCAGAGCTTTTCTTTCCCCATTAAGGGGTGGGGGGCAAGGGAAGAAAAAGAATCTAACCAAATTATGCAGATTTATACTCCCGAAATACAGGTAGTCGAGCAACTAGAAGAAAGTGTGAGGGGTGCCGGCGGATTCGGCAGCACTGGCTGAACGAGCTCTAATTATTGGGCAGTTTTGCCGCGAGGCTGCGACGTCTTCGGGCAGCTGGCTTCAGCCATCAGAATGCTGAGGGAGAAAACCACGGTGGTTGTAACGGGCTAGCTTAAAAAAACAAAAAAGCTATTCAAGGCCACCAAAACGGCAATGACACGAGTTGATCAAACTATTAGTGTGTTAGGAGATTAAAAGCAACCTCAAAGGATAGAAAGAGCATCTTGAATCCGAAAGAGAGAGTCGCGTTCGGCGTGAAAATCAATTCTATTCATGATCCATCAACATCTGCAGTCTTGCAGGAACGTCTTAAAGTCATCCCTTCGTCAGGTCCTGTTTAGATTCTATATCGTCTCGCTCTTTAAGCGGGGTATCCGAACCATACATGCTTTAACATAGCAAAGGCTAGATATGCGAGGGGCACAGAGAACACGGTCATCATAGACACCATTCTTCCGCAAAATATTTGATTTCGGGATGTTTCAACAGGTCGACATTGCGTACAAGCCTGATCTCCGCAGCTTTCGTCCGACGCAGACGCTCTCTCTTTGCAAGAGCAGTTTTGCGTTCAGCTTCTGGTAACTCTGCAAACGTAGTATCTTCTTCAGTTTCCGAGTACCTTTCTAGTTCTTCGCTTCTAGCTATCATGGTCTTTTCCAAAATGGCGTTCATGCTGGCAAGGACCTTTTCGGTCGCTTTGGCGAGAGGTAGCTGTGTGGCCGGAACGTGATCAGGCGATACCCAGGAACGCAATTCATGTAATGGGGGCGACATGGGCTCCGCGGCAAAGACAGCTTCCCGCAGCCTTGCAACCATCAGCGCCGCAAACATATCGCCTGTCCCGCTAAAAAAGCAGTCCATAAGCGGCACATCCACCTTAAAGAGGCGGGCAGAACCGTCAGTCTTCATGGTAGAACCAACCACTACGAGTGTATTTAGTCGGGTATCATGAGTGCAGACAGAGTCGTCTGCGGTCGCTAAAGACACCGTTGATGATGAAGCAGATAGGGTGCCGGGAAGCTGTACTGAGGTAACAATGATATGTGGGACGGTGTAGTTGCGGTGAATCGCTGCAACGGCATCCATGAGGTTCGCCAATGATGTGATCTTGATCCCAGAAAGAAGCCTGTTCGATGGTCAGGTACTACTTCCGGTTACACTGCCAGATAACAGGGCAGATAAAGCTAGGGAAACACTCACTCGGCCTCAAATTGATTCGGCAATATCAAGTCCGCAAGCGGGACGAGATTTTTATAGGCAGGTACCACATCTTCATTAACATATATCCGTCCCTGATCTCCCATCACCGGATCGAGTACTAATTGGCTTCCATGTTAACTGTCTGCCCGACCCTGTGGTAGCTGCCCGGCTAAACGTAGGCATCTATGGGGAAACGGGGACAGGACATACCCCAAAAGAATGACCCGGGTCTTTTGAGAGACCTTTGCCTCAGGTCCATTGCGATCGCGCCAATGGCCTCGATCGCGGTTGCACTCGGTGCATAGCCGGTAAGCAAAACGTCAAAGTCCGTCAGATAGCTTTGACGCAGACCATCATACAGACAAGTGATCCCTTCGGCGGATGTCTTCGCGCCTTTGACCTGTCCGTATCCCGTGTGGTTGCCTGCGAAGCGCTGTCAGGATCCAGCCCCTCTGTCTGAATACACCTCAAAAAAAAAAAAAAAAAAAAAAAAAAAAAAAAAGGGGAGACGAGGGAATGACATGGGGAGCAACAACATTGCCAGGCATTCTGCCGAAACAGGAACGACCAATCCACAGATGGGACGAAGGGTAGAATCATGGGACCTCACTAAAGTTGACGGTGTTTAGTGCAGCGACTTCGCATCCCAACGACTGCATTACGAAAGTTGCCATTGTATTCCCCACGTATCTGTGTGATTCAGGTTGCAGGTTAGAAGTCCTGCGTAACAAGCACCAAAGACAGATGGGCAGACGGACAAGCTGCCGTGTCAGATTCCTCGAACGAGGATCCACCAAGCGATGAACATCATCATCATCAACCATGCGTGCCGCTATGCGGCGCAAATCATACGCTCACGGCGGGGATATGTGATGATGTTTGGGGGGGGGGGATGGGTGAAAGAATGCCTTTTGCAGGCAAAGTAGGGAGCAAGGAGTCAGATGTGGGAGCAGAGTCACATACCCATAGACAACCTATCCACGGGGACAGCGTGTCAGAGCAGTTCAAATTCCGGAGAGACGGAGATGGGGACACATACATGGCTTGCGATGGCCAGCACCCGCGTCTCGGGCACCAGATCGGACGACATCTCTCCTCTCTCTCCTCACGAACTTGTAAGTGGTACTGGCTGGATGGGTGCAGCCCTGTCCCTGTATCTGTTCTTGTATCTGTTCCTGGATATGCTTCAGTGCGCGTTCCTGTATCTGTTCCTGTATCTGTTCCCGGATGCGCTCGCTGGACGTTCAGTTTTCGAGTGCACGACGGCGATTGCGGATGGCAGGCGGGACTCTCCGCGCTTTCCTTTTCTTTTGTTTCTTTTTTTAGCTGGATGGCGGTGACTCGTTCCTTCCTCCTCGGAGAATTGCGGTTTCGGGAAGCTGCGAAAGAGCCGACGCTAGCCCCAAAGTGGACTTATCCCTCGGCGTTTGGTGGTCGGAACGGATTTATATAAATCCGTTACGCAACGCCTGCAAACCACTAGTTAGCCTTCAAGTGCCAAAGAATCATAACAAGTCGTTTATCTGAAAATCAACAAGAGATTGTTTGAAGCACCAAGAAGTTGGCGGGCAGGACTAAGATTCACGGCTCAAGCCTGTCTGATTGCAAGGCTCAATCGCATTGTAGTGACCAAAGTCCATTGTTCTGAATCCCTTGGATCCTTATCCTATTGCAACTTCAGGGGGCCCTTTCTGCGTGCCTTGGGTCAGCCGTTTTGTCAATTCACTTCTAGATTCGGAGGCTCAATTCATAATGCAAATCATAGATTGATAAAGCACTGAAGCATCTTGTCTTTATAATTTACACCGAAGGACAAGACATTAATTTGTAGACCATCAGGATCTCCGTCGAGCACTCCATGTCATCATTATCCGGCGATGTTCAACTAAGTTATGACGGGTCCAGAGCCACCCCCACCAAACACCAAGCGCGAGGGGCTAAAAATCAAAAATCCATCCGCCCCGCGATGCAAACAGTCCGCCGTAACATGCAAAGGGAAGGGGAAAAAAAAAAAAAAGGAAAAGGAAAAGAAAAAACATTCACCCATTCAACGGCCCTACCGACAAGCAATTCCTTTCCAATCCAATCCCAAGCATTTACTCTGTATTACTTTGCGCCAACGAAATAAAGTACACACACACACACACACACACACACAATGGAGGCTACCACGCGCCTCACCGTCCTGATCTCCGGCAACGGCACCAACCTGCAAGCCGTCATCGACAGCATCCAAGCCAAACAGCTGCCCGCGACAATCGCCAGAGTGATATCCAACAGGAAAGATGCCTTCGGCCTCGAGCGCGCCACACGCGCGGGCATCCCGACGCTCTACCACAACCTACTAAAGTACAAGAAAGCGCACCCGCCGACGGAAGAAGGCGTGCGGGCCGCGAGGGAAGAGTACGACGCGGAATTGGCGAGGTTGGTGCTGGCTGATTCGCCGGAGCTGGTGGTGTGTCTGGGCTTCCTGCACATCCTGTCAAGAACGTTCTTGGAGCCGCTGGCGAAGGCTGGGGTGGAGATCATCAATCTGCATCCGGCGCTGCCGGGGCAGTTTAATGGCGCAGTGAGTCCTGCGGCCCTTTCTTTCTTTTTCCTTTTTACTTTTCTTCTCTTTTTTCTTTTTTTTTTCTTTTCTTTTTTTTTTTTTTTCTTTTTGGCTTTTCTCTTGCTATTTTTATTTCTATTTATCTGTTGTATTGGTTTACGATTCTGGTCTGCTAATTGGTTTCGCGTTGTAGCATGCAATTGAACGCGCGCACGCGGCGTGGTTGGAAGGAAAGATTGACAAGACCGGAGTCATGATTCACAAAGTTATTGCGGAGGTAGACATGGGCACGCCTCTGCTTGTGAGGGAAATACCGTTTATCAAAGGAGTTGACGAAGACCTGGAAGCACTGGAGAAGAGAATACACGAGATAGAGTGGAAGGTGGTCGTGGAAGGGGTTCAAATTGCTATAGACGAGATACGAGGGAAGAACAAGTCGGCGGGCACGTCGTAAAGATGAAAGGGAGGGAGACAAAACCTGGGCGATAGTTCTCCGCATCAGACCAGTCGAAGTTATGTTCGAGGCCTGCGCCTCCTTGGAGGATCATGCTACGAGAGAGAGCGCAATTTTATCGGACGGTGGCTTTTTTTTTTTTTTTTTATTGGAAGTACATTGCGTTTGTTTCCCGCATGGCTATATCCCTTACACATATTCTCAGTTATTTCCAAATGCTGGATTGGCCGAGACATTGGGAAACTCGATGAACTGAGGTTCATAAAAATTTGACTTGCACATGTCGAGGGAGTTAATATGGGTGTCATTGGCGCCTTGGGGCATATGGGGATTGGAGCGACGCGCACCATTGCGTTTGGATGTTCGCTAACCAGGATGACGATCAATGCATGAGACGGATTCATTGTTTGGGTACTAGGGCCTTTTTTCTTTTTTTTTTTTCCTTTTAGACGACGTAGAGTCGTCGCACGCTGCCAGACTGTGGAAAACTGAGATAGACCAATGCCAGAAGAGCCAAGTTCTGGAGTGCAAGGCACTCAAAGAGGAATCAAAAAGTTTCTTGACTTTGCTGCATATTTGGAATTATACTTTTCATCATAAGCTGCAATACGGCGAGCTGGTTGGCCATATTTATCACACCGGCAAGCCGCTCTGACGATGGGGCTGCCTCACATTTGATGGATCGCCACGACGACAGCGAACATTCTTTTGAAGTGAGTTGTGGGCGGCGGTGCTCCTAGGAGTCTGTCAACGTAGCCAAGTCAACGCCCAAAAACGGCTCTTAATGTTAATAATCAGTATGGCTTCTCCAGAGGAGATGGCCGGGTCTTCCGGTGTGTATGTTCCAAACTGTTGACTGGCTGATTCCATGCATTTGCGGGTGCGTCGATCTTGATCCTTGTAAGGCGCGGGAACGCTTTGGATCTGCAGACACTTGCAGACAGTTGGGAAAAAAAGTACTCCGTAATTAAATATATATAATTAAAGAAATAAAGAAATAGAGGGGGAAGAACCCATGAGTCTCGCATAGACGCACCGCCGAAAGGGCAGACATCTCCGGGCTGATTCATATACGCTTTCTCTCGCTCGTCGTCCGCAGCGCCCTTTTGGCGACACGCAGCCGGGACATTTCCGGCGGACTTTTGCCTTGAACGTGGTACAGCTCATCTTTTTTCTTCTTTTTTGCTTCTTTCATTCTTTTGTGCTTTTTTTTTTCTTTTTTTTTTTTTTTTTTGGGTGTCTGCTCGGAGCCGGTTTTCACTCTCCCCGGTGTCGAGAGAAGAGATTCTGCGGTTTCAAATCGAAATCCTCCTCCGTACAGACTTTTCCTTCTTCTTCTTCTTCTTCTTCTTCTTCTTTTGTTCTTGACATATTGGGGGGGGGGGGGGGGGGGGGGGGCAACTTTTACCTGGTAGGCGATGTCACCGTGCAGGCCCTGGCGTCTGCAGCGTCGGTCGCATGCCCACGGGGTCCCTTGACGCTTTGACGGGGAAGTTGGTTGGCAAACATGAAAGTGTAGTTATATCTTGACCATCATCATCATCATCATCATCGTCGTCGTCATATGCAAGTCGGTTGGGGGCTGGCTAACTCCATAGCTACACGGCTGGTCGGTTAACTCGTTAGTTGGCTCGTTAGCTTCCCTAGGTTAGTTGGTGATTTTGGCTGCTGGAGGCGGCGACTTGCAGCGGACTCTTCTGGCCATCGCTTGTGCCCGGCGCACTATCGATCGAACTGAATATTTAGCCCCCGGGGAGGGGGCGCGTTCTCGTCCACACACACACCCCTGACTGACCAGGCCCCGACGGCTAGCGAGTGTCGCTGGCCGCGGATCACGGAGTCATTCTGTTACATCCAGGTCAGGCCAGGCATCCCGGACACACGCTTCCACCTCGACAAAAACACGTCGCATCGCCGCCCTCTCGTTCTCTCTTCTCCTCTTCTTCTTCTCTTCTTCTCTTCTCCTTCTTCTTCTTCTTCTCTTCTTCCCCCCTCTCAACCCCATGTTTGCTTTCGCTTCAAATAATAACCAGCCCTTTTCCCTTCTCCCAGTTGATCTCCGCTTCCTGGGGCTGTCAATCTCTGTCTGATGAGGCTGTCAGTTCCATCAGCCGCACCAAGAAGCTCTCTTTTCTCTCTCTTTTCCTTCTCGTCTCTAATGAGATGAAGGCGCCATTGGACCACCATCCAGTCCGGTGAAAGACGACGAGGGAATGTGCTGCTGACATTCATTCGTTTTGTTTCCTTTTTCCTTCGCCGCGAACCCGTTCGTCAGACCCCCCGTGAATTCAGTTATACCAGAATCCACTCGCCATGGGGCAAAGCAAGATGCGCACATCCACGCCCGGCGCACGACCTCCGTTTCGATCGCTTCCGGCATTCTTGCTTATAGTTATTTTATTTCTCAATCTACTTTCTCCCACCTCGGCCAGCCTCGTGCACGATCAGGACCACGCGGGCATTTTGCACCCGGAGATCACCGCTTATCCGGTTCCTTCAGCGGCGATCGACGCCGATCCGCTGACAATCTCCCCTCCCGATCTCAGAAAACGGTCCGAGACCGATGACGATGACGGCGAATCCAACACTTCGACGCGATCGCGGCAGACGTCTCCTACTGCTACAATAACCGACTCTCCTGAATCCTCTCCCTCTTCCCCGTCGACCTCGCGCCCGTCCGCCATCCGTCCCTCCATGTCTGGCTCTCCCAGCTCCGGGATAATCGCGTCCACTACCACCGTCCCCGACGGGCCGCTGCCCTCAGCGTTCGACACAAGCATCGGTGGCAACGCCTTCTCCACCAAATCCTGCACTCTCTTCTTCGATGACTTCCTCGGCAACTCCACCTTCAATGAATGCCTCCCCCTCTCCCTGCTCCTCACCACCTCCACCTCCTTTTTCAACGCCGCCAAATCCGTCGTCACACTCACCCGCGTCCTTGACGCCTCCTGCTCCGTCGACACCGCCAAATGCACCGAGCTCCTGAGCCACTTCGGCAGAGAGGTCGGTTCCAAAGCAGCCTGCGACAAGGATCTCGCTGCTGAAAACCCGCTGGTGCTCCAGGCCCGCAACGGCTTTGTCGCCTACAAGTTCGTGCACGACGCCACATGCCTGAAAAACCCGGATACAGGGAGCTATTGTCTCGCTGACGCAGTGACCTCCGAGCAGGCCGCCGACGCTTTCATCTACCACCTTGCCGTGGGCGCAGCGCTACCCGGCTCCACACGTCCGCAGTGCAATAAATGCCTCCAGGCCACGATGGAGGTATACTCGCAGGGCGCTGGCATCGGAGAACAGCCCCTGTCTCTGACCTACAAACCGGCCGCCAAACAGATTAATATCGGCTGTGGCCCGGGCTTTGTTTCCGAGAGCGTGAGAAGCGGGGCTGCCGCTCTGTCTGCGCTGCTTTCACGCTCTTTGTCGCTATATTACCTGAGCTTGCCGCTTACGCTCCTAGTTTTTGACGGCTTTGTATGACACGCTATTCCGCATAATACTCTTTTATATCTATCTCTTTCCTTTCTTTCTCTCATTCAACTACCCTTTTTTGAAACATCCAACTTAATTCTTCCCTCCCCCTTTTTTTTTTTCCCCTCCTTTGGCTTGGGTGATGTACATATTTATTATGCCCTAAGCAATCTCCCTACACGTGTTTCACAAAAAAATAAACCCTTAGCAATGGAGTTGGGGAGTGCTAATGTCCTTACGCTTTTTGTTGTAATTATATCTATTCCGTGCTTGGCCCCATTTTTCTTTTTTCTCCAAATACTTCTTTTTGTTCTCTTTCTATCCTTAGATATGCCTGTATGTAATACCTTAGATAAAGCGCATACGAACCTAGTACTTAATATGACCAATACCTCAATTTCCCTATACAACATATTCGGCCAACTCTATGCGGCGAGTGAAAGGTATGCTATGTTTTGTCCAGAGTCACATTTTCAGTCCCGATTCGTGAGTATTCATTGAACCCAACCCAACTAATATAAGCGGACAGGGGGAAAACAAAATGCTGAGAACGTCTTGACTATGTCACTGCTCTTATGCCTTGTCTAATTTAGAACAAACACCGTGCTTTACTAACTAAAAAAAAAAAAAAAAAAAAAAAAAAAAAAATTCAGGCAAAAGGATTTAGATGAAACCGATTGTATTGACTGATAAGTAGCAGTAATGACCGTCTCACTATACCTATCAACCGCAGCACTAATTCGGCCGTAGGCACTGCGCTAATAGGAAAACTATTGAGGGTCATTGAGGTAATGAAGCTTGAAACCTCGCGATGCACCAAAAATAGTAGTAATAATAATATGCCAATGGGTATAGTAGCTATGCAAGCCATTCAAAAGAGACCAAAAAAATGGAAATCTCAAGACGTCACTAAATCTTGCATATATCATCATACAAATGTGAAAACATAAATCATCAGTCGGAACCAACGCCACAGAGGCATGCCAACAAAAAACCAAAAGAAAAAAAAAGAGAAAGGAAAACTGGCGACTGTGATGTGGGAAGCAAGACCGGAGAAAAGCCAGGAGCATCCGCAGGGACCGAATTCATATACGTAGTCACCGTGTCTACCTCCCCTTAGCTTCTGCGGGCCTTGAATTCGTGGCTGCCGTGAAAATGCTTCGTAACAGACGAATCCGCCGATTGAAGGTCCATGCTTTCATGATCGGTGTCTTTGTCTCGCTTCATCCGCACGTACGCCACCTTGGTGAACCTGCTCAACTGCGCCCAAAGGTGCCGTCCTGCCTCGTGTGCAGCTATTCGTTCCAACAACCCAAGAGTTGCGGTTCGAACCACCGCGTCAGGATGAAACAATCCCAATGAAATATAGAACAGGCCAGCTTGGCTCTCCGGTGCAATAGATATCAGCTGACAAATGGAATTATAATCCTGGATGGCGTTTGAAAACGCTAAATATATGGCTCCTGACTCGGCGGAGCTTAATTTCAGAGAACGTAGGCGGTCATGGTGATGGTGCAAGTCGAGGCTTTGAACCGGCTTGCTTATAGGATACAACGCGGCGGTGTCCTGGATGAAGTAATAGTAAGACCTCGTATTTCTCCAACCCTCGATTCTGTTTACCCACGCAGCGAGTCCACGGTGTTTGGTGTTTTCGTCCGGCCAGACATAGCCGTGGCCCCGAAGATACGACGGATCAGACTGGTTTGGCTGTACAGGAGACTGCGCCTCTGCAGCATCTTCACCGGGACCCATGACGTATAACGCGGTGGCTCCATACACTACCTCCTCAAACGTCGCAGAAATTCTTGTAAATTTGGTAATATACGCTCTCCATTTAGCTCGAATGGCGCCCTCTCCATGTCGTGAGGAGATACTTCGCATAATGTCTTCCATGAAGTTGTTGTCACCAGGAGGGTCGGAGGAGGAGGAACTACCGCCACCAAGGATGGAAGAAGTCGTGACGGGGGCATGCTGCTGAAAGAATTGTGTGCCTTCTGTGACCGGGGCAGGTTCAATACGGCTGCTAATCTTCATACGGCCGCTAGGCAAGTCGCATAACAGGTCCCACCACTCATGATGATTGCCGAAGGCTGGGTTGGTGACACCAGCCACGAACCCGGGAACTTTAAGTAGCTCGTCAATCTTCGTTAAATCGGTATAGGGAAAGGCATGGCGAGTAAATCCTCGAAGAATCCCCCCAGAAGCGAGTGCACAGGCCGCCAGGACTGCTTCAGCAACTTCTCCAGACGGCCGATTGTGGCCCAAAAAGATCACTCGTTTTTGAGTAAGCAATGCGTTGACTAGGACCATGATGGGATGAGTAAATGGGCCACTCGTTGTCAGGTGAGGGTGAAGGGGGAAGGCCTGTGGAGAGGCAGAATGTGGATTGGAAAACGTCTGTATTAACTTAATCAAGGAAAAGTCACCCACAGTCTCCGGAGAGACAGCCGTGGGAACCTTGACAGGAATGGCAATTTCATTATAAATGATTTTAGATTCAAACTCATGGGTATCTCGTGGGAGCGTATACTTTGCAGGGACGAAGGAGCTTGGGTCGCCTCCTTCCAGTTCATATACAGCTCGATCGTCTGCCAAGCGCTGCTTGATCATTCGTTCGAACTTCTCAATGAACATATCTTTCACATCGGTAGCTTGGAGAATATGCCGCTCGAGGTACGAAAGCCGTGGCATAAGGGAGAGGTCCATGGCGTTTAGGGAGTCGTATAGTGTGGCTAGTGTCTCTTGATAAGGCGATTTGAAGTAATCCTCCAATGCCAGTAAAAGCAGTGGCTATTACGGAATTCGACCATCACATTAGCTTTCCCTAACAGGGCTTAAAGCGATAATAAAGTGTTGCTCACCTTGTATATGTGAAGAAAAGAATGCCGTGTACAAATTGCCATGGCCTTGACAACAGCTCCACTAAAAGCAACGTCAGACGAAACTCAACCCCAATGACTAGAAGAAGAAGCTAACGTACCGTTTCACAGAGTTGTCTTGTTTGGTGTTGACAAGATTAAGAACATACATTAATGGCGGACCATCACCGGCTTCCTCATCGTCGTCGTCACCATCATCGTCGGTCGCCTCCTCATCCTCCGTCTGGTCGTGGCCGTCCTGACTGTCTTCCTTCGCCTCGTCCACGGCCTTCTCCGCTTGTCCCTGAGAGTCGTCTCCGTATTCATTCTCGTCTTCCGATCCAGCGTCTCTGTGAAGGAAAAACATGGTCCAGTCCTGGCTCCGGACGTGGGTTTGATCTGGCAACATCAGCTCCGCCAACATATGCTCATCACCGCTGATTGCAGCTGGGTATTGATGCTCCATAATCGGTCCACGATCCACGTGGAATGAAGCGACGAGGATGTACTCTACATGGAGTTCTGGAGAATCGGCAGGGTACTGAGACTTGTACCTCCGCTTCCCTTTCTGAAAACTACTGTATGAATGCACAGACCGTGGTCCCGTGGACTCCTGCGAGCTGGTGGGAGACCTCCGGCCGAGAGAGGTCTGGGAGCGGAGTTTCCTGGGGCTGTCGAAATTCGGGCTTGAGGAGTGGACGGATGCGGGGAATGACGAAACAGACCGGTGCTTCTCGTGAAGAGAGCCGTTGATGGACGGCCGCTGGGACAATGTAGTAGACATCGTGCAGATAATCGAGGGCGAAAAGACAAATAAAACCTGTGTACGTCAGCCATCGAACTGCCCGGTTGGGAGAAGCAGAGTTCAAAACCTCAGGGGTAAACTAAAAGTATTCCACTCCAAGTCCGGCGCCCCCTCCCACTCTAGGTATAGGGAGAGAGTTTACAGGGGTAACTGGTGAATTGATGCGTCAGTTAAGGAGCTGTGAAACTGAATTGAAGAAACGCATTGTTGGTCCTCCCTCAGGGTGTCGAAGAAGACTCCCGTCGCCTTGACTGCTGCCCGGACGTACCCATGCCGTCGCTTCGCTGCCCGCGACAACACGGCGCACGGGCCACCAAGCTGCAACAGCCACAGTTCGGTTTCAGGGGACGGAATATCCCGCTTCCGGAGTTGCGGGGTCTGCCGGATTATCGATGATGCGATTGTTTTGCTTTTCCCCGTTTCGGCAAGGCTTGTCCGTCCAGCTCGGTTGTGTAGTTAACTGGCACCGAACATCACGACTTAGATCAACGGATTAAGGGCTAGCGGAATCCATTACTCCTTATATCGCTGCTCAGCTGTCGAATTTCCTTTGTAAACTACAGCGCCAGCTCCTTATTCAAGATGGTATGAAGTCATTCTCATTGTATTCCGTAATAGTTGACCATAAGCTGACATATTGCTGGTAGGTGACGCCTAACACGACTCCATATAAGCCATCTCCGCTATCCTTTGGATCACCCAGATCGTCTCCTTTCAGACGGCAGTCTGCCGCATCGTCTCCAACTACCGTCCGACCAAACGTGTCGGCAAGCCCCGGAAACAATCAAACGACGCCCAGTCAATCTCCAAGCATGCTAAATCAGCTACCTACGGCCAAAGAAGAAGATGTCTTCGCGAAGGTCAGTGGCTTGCCATCAACACCAAGATTTAGTGGTTTGCACCCATCACCTACCCGCGGTGCGAGTCCTCAATCCCCAGAATTCACCAACCCGACAAGCTTCAAAGCACGCGAAAGCCAATCGGTGAACAGTGACGTGCTGTCTAGACTGCCCGCAGCACAGCTGCGAGAGATGCGCGAGGCTTTTCAAGTCTTAGATCGAGACAATGACGGGCAAATAAATAAAGAAGACGTAGCTAATATCCTGAATAATTTGGGTACGTCCTCCGCGGAGCAAATACTTTTCAAGTCCAAGCACTGAACGATCTTTTTCGGAACAGGCCGGGACTCGTCCGCGTCCGTGACTGCAGCATACTTCCCGCCGGGAGCACCACGGGCGATGAACCTTCCTACATATTTAAATACAATAGCAGCCTTACTTACACCTTTGTCCGACCCTCAAGAACTTCTTAATGCATTTGCAGCTTTCGATGAGGACGACAGCGGGCAGATTGACCTCGCTGAACTCAGAGATGCCCTGCTTAACACTCTTCCAGAAGGCGATGAAAGAAGGCTGACAGAAAGGGAGATTGACGAAGTTGTTTTCGGGTTTACCGGGAGACGCGCTTTTGGTACAAAGGGTGCAAAAACGGCTAATCTGAATGCATCAAGACACCGCGCAGAAGTGTTTCGCTACCAGGACTTTGTCACGAATCTGACGGGGCCGAGCCAGGGTACAAAGAACTCTGTGGCGAAAGCTTAAATGGACAAGGTTGGGTGGGAATGGGTTTGGCAGGCGTTGGGAGGAGGCGTAATGGTGATTGAGTTAAATTCGTTCCAGGTTTCCTTTAATCAAGTTTAAAGTAGGTAATCGATGACATGATGAGAATGTATATATGTGCTCCGTATGCTTCTTCCGGATGATCGACGGCACGAACCGCGTTCAAGGTTTGAAGTCAAACTGGGACTTCCAAGAGCCGACCTCATCGCACTCCAGTCACATGACACACTCTGTTGTATGGACGACGACGAGGTTCACGCAGACAAGGCGTGCTTCGCTGAGGCACGTAGTCTGGCTGCTAACCGAAGCTGTTGAAGCCTGGCCGCCTCTGAGCAAGTCGCATCTTCGCCGAGAGTAGTCGATGAAAAGCTCGGATCACGTTGGATCACACGCTCGTTTCCCGCCTTCGATCTAGCTCTCGCTTGCCCGCAGTGGGCTCCAGCGACCATGGCGTCTCCCAAGTCCCAATCCCAGCTACAACTCCCGCCTTTGCCAAATCTTTCAACGCCACAGCCCGCGCGTACCCTGAGACGGTTCCAATCGCATCAGAACCTGTCAACAAAGCCGCAATCCCTCTCAACTCCATTGCGAGGGCAATCCCATCGCGGCTCGTTAAACCAGCAATCCGACCAGAATGCAAATCAGAATAACACGCAGACTGCCACGGCGACGACGCCTGTACATGGCCGCCACCGGTCAAATAGCGATGTTACGAGTCCCACTGCGATGAGGACAATGACCCAGAAGTCTCGTTCTTCGACCAGAAAATCGGGATCAATGGGATTTCCGGGAAAACGATCTGGGCTTGAGCTGTTGCTGCGAGATGGACCACCAGGGAATGACCTTGTCGCTGGATTGGATGAGTTAAGATATCTTATTTTGTCTAATAGAGTGGATGCTGATGGAGATGGCATGGTACGGCTTGTACGGCTTTTCTTTTTGTCTCCTTGTTCGCAAACTGACACGACTCGCACAGTCTACACATCGCATCTACGTTTGGCTAGCTCTTCTTAATATTCCTCCTCTTCCTACCGACGAATATCTCTCCCTCGTTCACAGAGGACGCTCACCGGCCTATGCCAAAATCCGTAATGACACTTTTCGCACACTCGCTACGGATCCTTTGTTCAAACGCCGGGTCACGGAAGCCAGTCTAATTCGCCTACTCAACGCTGTGGCCTGGAAAATCCACGATTCAAAAGGAGGAGGATCCTCAAGGGGAAAGCAGCCAACGTCAATGGTGTCCAATAGTAGGCGACACTCAAGTAAATTATCCATGGATGCACTTCCTTCGCCAATTTCAGAATACCCTGCGTCTCCCTCATCTACCCAAACAAACACCGCAGATACAGCAATATACGTGCAGGGTATGAATGTTCTCTGTGCTCCCTTCCTTTACGCATCACGAAGCGAAGTCGAAGCCTTCGCCCTGTTTCACCACTTCATCACACAAGAATGCCCAGGATATATCCGCGGTGCCATGGACGGGGTGCACAAGGGTTTAAAATTGGTAGACAAATGTCTCGAAGTGGTCGAGCCCAAGTTGGCCAATCACCTATTCAGCAAGGGCATGCATGCCGAGCTGTATGCATTTCCATCGGTGCTCACATTATGCGCGTGCACGCCACCTCTCCCGGAGGTTCTGCATCTGTGGGATTTCCTTTTCGCGTATGGGCCGCATTTGAATATCCTGTGCATCGTGGCTCAGTTAATTAGAATGCGCGATACGTTACTGGGCACTTCTAGGTATGTTACCGTTGCATTTATAGCTTTTCACAGGCCAAACCATCGTCAATATCTCTCAATTCTAACCCGTGTTTGCAGTCCCAATAAACTTCTCAGATCGTTCCCTTCCCTTGATGCGAAAGATATCATTGCTCTTGCTGTTTTAATTGTGAGGAAGATTCCTGAGGATTTATATGAACAGCTCGTCCAACATGCCAAATAGCCATAGGAAGCGACCAAATGAATGGGGCTAGATCTATCAAAAATGGAAAAGTGTTCGATCTTATTTTGATATCACCCTCCAGACTTATGGAGCTAATTCAGGAGGCTTATGAGTTATGTACATGAAATTACGAATGATGATGTGATGAACAAACAGTGCTGATAAATATTTTTTTTTTTTTTTTTTTTTAATTGATATCTTGCTTTTCTTCTATAGGCTGGACTGCTCTGGCTTTCATAATGGTAGAAAATAAGGGTATCCATGCATCCCAATCCGTTGAGATAATAGCAATCAATTCACGACTGAGATTCTTCCCAAACGCATCTTGAGCACTGGCAGGGCCCGCCCAATGCGCCCATAGCCCACTCCCTTCTTTCCTTTACTACCAATGCCAAGTCACAGTAATGATTTAAGATCTCTTCATCTTTCTTAATGGCAAATCCCCCACGATCATTTTTCCTTCGCTCGCTTTCTTCCGAGCTACCCCACTGCACTCTCTCCGTCTCGTTCCTCGCCACGAAAGTGATCTCACCTCCCCACTCCCAGCGCACATTTGGATCGCAGCTGTGATTTGCTAGGCACCAGAGCGGGTGGACTGCACACACTTCGGGTCCACCGTCCCACGTAGATAAGCGACCGGAGGCTGTGCCACGGAATTTGGCATATAGGGTGTTTACGACCCAGGTATCGTAGGTTCGCAGTGAGTCGAACGGATCAAGGCCCATTTCCTCGAGGATGCGCATGGGTTGAAGGATGTTTAATTGGAAAGAAAAGGGAAGGGTTGCGGAGGGTGGAGGGAGCCTCCCTGCCCAGGCGTCGCATGGGTCATCTTCGATCCGGTGGAAATCTCCCCAGATATATTTCACCTCTGGGAGGTCCAGGGGATGAACTTTCTGCGTCTCTGCCATAGCAAAGGCGCGAGCGACTAGGAGGAGATACAGGTAATCTGCCTTGTCCTTTGGGTTTTGAATGTCTTTCCCTATCGAGGCTAAGCCTTCCTCTCCGCATATAGCGCCATGGTAGGTTTCGCACGCAAGTTTGTAGCACCTTTCGCTGCAGAAAACTGTATCATCGCAATTATCGCATGCCACTGATGGTTCTGCAGAACCAAGTTCTGGCAGCGGGCTATTGCATGCATCGCAGAGATCATCATGTAAACGATTCGTGGCGGTTAACATCGATGACTCGTGCAGTATGGTTTCGCCAGGGATAATATCTTCCTTCGCGAAGAGTCCCAATTGCACAGAGACCTCTTCCCTATTCTCGGGATTCGAGTCATTTTCCGCATCGGCCTCCAAGCCGTGTAATGCAGGTAGATTCACGGTTCGGACCTCACATTTTGGTGCTATGTTCTGCAACCTCTCATTTAAAAATCTCACTATTTCAGGGGAATTCCGATCTGGCTCATGGGCGTTCCATGGATACACAACTCTCCTTGCGTGTCCTTGGACCTGTAGACCCGCTGGATCGAATTGGATATCCCCATCTCTAACATCAGGGCCAGCTCGTAACCGTCGCTGATTGACATAGGCATCCTGAATTTCTTTTATAGATTTTTCCAAGAATGGTTGTGCCAAATTCCCCTCCGCTCCATATTCAAGCTTCAATCCCTGAATGCAAAAGTCATACGCATCTCTCATGCACCCACACTGCGCAAGACTTGCGACTAACAGCGTGTAGACATTGCCGATGTGCTCATGATAGTCGCTCAACGTGACGTCTTCAAATTCAGAATCAGACTCAGACGCTTCATCTTCGTCGCTTCCAATTGAAACGTCACTATCATTGGCACTCGCATCGCTGTTAGGCTCCGACTGCTCATCCACATAAACAGCGCAGTTCCATAGAGCATCAGGCACAATCCTCTTTCGGGCAGGAAATTCACTCTCTGAATCAAGAACGCTGTCAAACAGAGTCAGCGCACGATACGCATCGGTGGCGGCAAGATCAGGGAATCCCAGAGCGAGGTGGATTTTTCCACGTTCCAGATGTCGGATCGGGTTATGAGTGTCATTGAGGAGTGAATCCGTAGCCTTTACTCGCTTGGAGACAAGTTCTGGGTCCAAGAAATGGTTCCTTGAAACCATGACCGATCCCTTGGTATATTCTCGGAGCTTGCGGCTTGCCGGTTTAAACGAATGATGAGATCGTTAGATATGCAAAAGAGTAAAAATCTCCCGGCGCAGGTAACTGTGATCGCCTTTGCAGTTGAAATTTCGGCCGTAGGTACTCGAATCGCAATCCAACGGCCCAGCTACGACTTGCAGGCGCGAAACCAGATGGCAACGGGCACCTCCAACGGATTTCCCAAGACGTCGCCAGAGAGCCAGCCGAGAGGGGGGGGGAAAAAAAATTCAAAAAGTGCAAAATGGCCAGAATCGTCCGGGATTTGTCGACCTTTTTTCTCCAGAACAGATCCAGGCCCTCTAAGCGATCGTAAAGAGCGCCAAAAAGTAACCTTCTCGCGTCGTTTCGTCGCCCAGCGAGGGGCATGTCGCCGCCCGCCGGATTTTTTTTTTCGCCATTATCGTCACATGACCACGACCGCTCAGGGGCAGCGGACGCGACGAGACAGCAGGGTCGAGGACACTGTGCCTGGCTTTCTATGGTTTACTGGGACAGCTCCTGATAAGGATGCTGGCATGAAAATGCATCTAGATCATTCACCCAATGGCCATGGGGCACATGGTTAAGTCACAAGAAGCAAGTGGCTTTCATCCACGTAAAGTCGAGCTCTTACCGTTGGCTATCGCATATTATGGCTTTTGCGACTAAAGAGAAGACACGCATATAGACTATCCTAGTCTCAAACGGGGGAAAGGGTTTAAATAGCACTGCACGCCATGAGGGCGGAACCCTGGACGGTACGGGATAAATGGATGACGGAAAAAAAATGCCTCCTCGGGAAAACACGCAAAGGGAGAACGCCAGAACGAACATTATCACGACAGGCCGCAGTTCAATATCGGTCAGGCCATCATACCATGAGACCGATCCACCATCGTCAATCAAAGTCCAATTTAATGCGAAGATCATCCCGAATCCAAGGCGTAAAGGGTGCCAGATGCGACGAGTGCCTATGTATCATACATCATATTACATTAACTGAATAAAAGGATTAGCTTCCAAACGCAGTATAAGTTTCCTAGGGATCGAGATACTTACATTACAGTTCTCATCCAACACAATCCTCCCCCCTTCCTCCCCCTCGGTGGTGTTGAACCCAACCCTGATGGCTTGTCTTTCCCTCAGCGAAGCGGCTAATCGGGCCAGCATGCTTCTCTATATTTTTCCAAGACTATAAGTACTAGGAAACAGAGAATGGAACACAAGGGGAACAGCAAGAATTTGCATTTTGGAGGGGGCAATACAGTTTGTACACCCCAGCGGTCGATTTTCAAAACCATGAGGCCCATTCAGAAAACGAAACTTCCGTTCTCTGGGCAGCCAAAAGGTGTAGCAGACGTACCGTGATGAATGCTTCGTTCATTCCACCTTGTCGGTTCACATCGTTTTGGCTAGTGATTTGATAGCTGTCTTGCATGCGCTTCCTGCTCCTAAGCCCTAGCGCACTACGTTCGGTTCGGTTGCCTCCAGCAGGATTTCCAGCAACAATATTAGCCTGTGCATCGGGATCAGCGATGTTGATACCAACGCTGGCATCATGTTGTGCTCGGGCATCCGGTGAGAATATCTTAATGGTGTTGTCGATCCCGGATACAGCCAAAGTTGGCTCGTATGGATGGCCTGCTTTAGATTGGTATCCAGATTAGAGCAAAATGAGTGTCAAGGGCGGTCTTACCTTGCACAACATTCACGACATCACTGTCACCAGAAAGGATATTGACTAAATCCGATGTCTTTCGATCCCAAATGAAGATGTTTCCACAGTCGCTGCCGCTAACAACATATTCATCATTCAATCCAAAATAGTTCACATCTTTGACTGTTTTGATATTGCAATGTCCTCGGTAAACGCTTAAATGTGAAGAGCAAGGAACATGGCTCTCCACCCCTCGTCGTCGGCCACTAGATGAATTCCGGATAAATAGTCGTCCCTCTTCTTCATCACTTTCAGAGGTATCTCTCTCATCATCGTCTTCGTCATCATCATCATCATCATCCTCCTCCTCATCGTCCTCATCCAGCTCTTCAGAATCGTCCTCGTCATCTTCTTCCTCATCAGTCTCAACACTAGCCCTTTGATCTTCTGAGTGTTCAGTCGCATTGGTAGCTGATGTCTCTTGCGGCTCTGCATTCTGTTCACTCGTGTCATGATGTCGTCGCCGACTCGAAGAAGACCGACCTGTTATCAATCGGACCTCTGAGATCGGTTCCTCTTCTTCATCTGGGTCTATGTCCTCTTGTAACCTTTCCCTACCGTCGTCTTCATCCTCATCTTCTTCAATGACAGTTCGTAAACCACCAAAGGCACGGTTAACGAATTCAAAATTGACACCTTCGCCCACTTCCATCAAGATGCCTCTCCCAACTTTCAAGCCCCAGAATCTGATCGCAGCATTCTTATCAAGAGAAAGAATCGTTCGGGTGTCCGAACCATCTCCATCCTCGGCTTGACGTGCGGCAGCAGATACGACAAGGTCTTCTAGTGGAACTCTAATTGCTTGCGCGAACGCCTCGACAGCACTGGACTGAGACTCAAACAAGATGCGGGATTCATTATGCTCGAACCTCGAAGCGTCAACGTTAACGATTGGCTCGGTACCAGCGAGCTCCCGGAAATATGGAATCAACGTCTCTTCAATAGCCTCATCCTCAGCACTTTCAAGCAATGGAAACCTGTCAGCATCGCGTCGACTGACACCACGTCGCTTGAAACCTTCCAATATCGCTTGTCGGCCCCCTTCAAGCCACAGTAGAATAGCTTTGAGGAAGTCATATCCAAACTGTGATGAAGGATCAATCATACCATCCTCTGTGGGCGCAGGGCCAATTTTACGAAACAGCGCCAGCTGAGGGCTTTCGCCACCAGTTGCAGTTTGTAATCGCCCTCCTAAGACCCTTGCAAGCGTTCCTGACGCCTGAACAAATCTTCTGGATGATTCGCGGTTTCTACGCAATGCTTGCTGGAAGAGAACGTCATCGTGAGAAGGGTTAAGAGGGTATCTCCAAGTCCTTATCACTTCGTCCATTTCCGGGAGATAAGTTGCAGCATATCCGAGAACTGACGTAAACGAAGCCGTATACGGCGTTGGTCCAGAGGCTGGTGATGCCTCTGCAAATTCTCTCATGGGGCGGTCTACTGAGAATAAGAGCTTTCGAATTTCAACAAGGCCCTTTGCAATGCGGAGACTCAGTTTCTGCGCCTCGTTCAAAACAGACTCCCTTGCTCTCTCCAACACATCTTCAGGGACATCAGTCGCTCTGGAGCCGGAGAGTGAATCGAGTGGAATGTCTTCGGATTCGCCATTCCCGTACCTAACCCTGAATGACATGTCTTCGCCACCGTGTCCATCCTCGGACCTAAGCCGTGATTGATGTCTGGTACTACTGGCTAAGGAAGTTGGTGACACGGCCTTCCCTCGCTTTCTTTTTCTATTCTTGTCCTTCTTCGCCCTGCCGGACCCTGAGCCTTCCTGCTGGTTCGACTGCCTATCTTCCCCTCCATCTCGAGCGTCGGGACTGCGAATAAGGTCGAAGCTGTAGATATGATCACCAGACCAACTCACTATCATCTCGTTAGGGTTGGCATAGCTGATTTTACACGCTGTGATATGGCCATTATCGCGGCTTCTCATCTTCTTCTGGCCATTTGGAGCAAATCTTCGAACACATCTGGTCGCCTGTCCCATGACTTCATCATCGTGGGAGGAAATGCCAGAGAGGCTTCCCGTTTGTCCTCTTTCTTCCAATAAGTCTCTTCCCATCATCCGCCGGTCGTGTAGGAAGCAGTGAAGATGTGCGCCACCAAGAGCAATGTAATGGGGTTGACTTGCAGCACAAGAAATGGTGTTCAAATCGATATGGTACTTTTTGTACGAGATGAGAGGTGGCGGGACATTGGAATCATCATGGTGTAAACCGGGTCTGTACGCCATGAATCCTTGCCCACCTCGAGGAGACGGATAAGCTGAGGAAGGTTGCCGTAAATCCCACTGCCTAACTTCTCCATCTTCCGAGCACGTAAGAAACAAATAAGGAGACGACTCCGTCACTATGCGCTTAACACGATCCGCATGGGATCTGTAGACTCTGCAGTTCGTATTTCCCTCTGTCAGATACCACATTCCATTAAAGAAATTGTTGAATCTCCGACTTCTGGCAGATGCCACAGCAGTGTTTGCGGACCGTCCGGAATATTCAATATCAAACACGCGAACCTCTGAATCTCCAGCGCACGATATCAGCGTCCGATCATTTGAGTGCGGCATGAACTTGACAGAGAATATATTCGCTGAATGACCGGTAAGGATCGTAGTATTAAGGAAGAATGGGGAGGTCGTAGATTCTGGCTGGTATGAGTAGATATTAACATGCTGATCGTCAGATCCCGATGCGAGAAGCTTTCCAGAGGTAGACCAACTATTAAAGAGGAGAACCGCTCGTCAGTAAACCACGGAAAGTAGAACGATGTTTGTACTCCAGAGGAGTTCCCTGGCCCCCCGAACACCTGGAAAACGTACTTTAAAGCATTCACACAGCCTGTGTGCCCACCCAACTCATTTACAATATCCATATCATCGACCCAGAGTTTATCACCGTAGATCCCGCGAATTCCAGCATAGGACCCGGGCTTCCCCAGTTCCCGCTGCAGCAGGCGGTCGTAGATAACCGACTTCATTTTCACGGCGTTCCAGGAAAGCAAAAATCAAAAACCGAGCGTCCAAGAAAGGGAATTAAGTGTGAGAGGCGTTTTCTCTAGATCGGGATGTCCGGGTATTCGCTGGACTGAGGCCCACTTGTCGTGGTCGTCGTCACCCGGACGTAATGATAAATCTACGTCGGCATGGGTGAAGAAGCTCTGGATGGAATCAGTCAGCTTCTCCGCCACCTCATATTGACTAACGCTTCTCTCCCACTGGATGCTCGAAAGTCTCCATTCGACCAAAGGGGGTTCTCAAACAAGAGCACCAGCTGCTCACCTTGTGGGCTAGCTAAGCCAACGGCGTCCCAAGTTCAAGACATCAAAGGGTTTCTCGATTGACCGATATGCCGTAAACTTCTCCTTCGATTGCGATATGTTTTTCAGGAACTTTGACAGAAACGCGGATGTCGGGGAATGTTGCTTTCGAATCCCACTTGACCTTACATAAGACTGTCGTTGAGGATAGATCGCAAGCGGGCACGTGCTCTCCTTAGCGGCGATGATATCATCTGGCGCCATCAAATTCCATCGCCGTACATAGATATCTATTGAAAAAAAAAGGAAGTGAAGTCGTTGATTTGGGTGGGTTCCAAAGCAAGGTATCAGTGTCACCACTGTAGGTAGTTTAGGACTAATTGCTAAACTCTCCAATCCTTCCCATGGCAAGCCATCCACTCCATACCTGATTACAGCTGCTTCCATGCCGGAATCGCCAATTCAACACCGCCGCCTCCGCATCTACGTCCCCGGAGAGATTCAACTCTTCTCTTCACCCATGCCCTCTCCATCTTCACCGCTTCAGCCTCAGTCTTCGCCATGATTTCCAATTCCTCTATCATAGCTTGTATCAAGACCTTATGTCCCCTGACAGCTCGCACCAATGCAGAAGCGTCATAATCCGAAGCACTTTTGTCGTCCGAAGTTGGGCCTATAACTTCTAAGCAATCCAGTTCGCGGGAACATAGCTCCAGTTTCGCCGACAAGGAAGCCACATCGTTTCTCCATCTATCACTCAATGAATTAATAAACCGCAAACCATTCTCGATCGCGGCGGAATTCTCGCCCTTCGCCTGTGACCTGTGCTGCCTGACCTGCATTACGCGTGAAGACCACTCCTCAAATTCTCGCACAGCGATGTTATACCTCCCATCCTGCGATTCAGTAAGGTCCGAAACCTCCAGGATGACTTTCGACAACATCTGTATCTGGGTCAAGAAGTCGTAGCGGCTGTTGGACGCTTTAATCTCAGCCGCAAACTGATCGATTGCTGCTATATTGCGATGTTGCTGTATAGACTGCTCATCGGAAAGGACTGACCGGTAAGTGGTCACGACCGACTCATGTAACTTTCGACACTTGGTATCGGCGCTAGTCTCCCATTGTCGTTTCGTTTGAAGAGCTTGAGAGTGCAGGAGATATAGCTGGAGCAGTTCGGTCTGCAAAAGAGGGACATGCGGAGGCAACGATACCGCGCCATTACTCTCTCCAGCAGCCATGGACAAACTACTCATGGACGGTTTGGCCGCCGGCTTTTTCGGACTATAATGTTGCTGATATGTATTAAACTGCGGTTTAGCAAGCCTCGAAGCCGCCGGCTGGCTGTCCGTCGCGGTTTTATCCTGCCGATGCGTTGTTCCCGCCTGTCCCGCATTCCCCGAATTGAAAGCCTGGCTCCGATGTCTCGCATGGCTCATCGTGGCAGAAGCTACTCTCGACGTAGCCGGCTGCCTCAGAGAAGCCGATCTATCCAATCTCGTCGTCGGTAAATGACCTGTTTTCGCCTGTCCGGAACTCGACCCTTCCGTTGATCGCTGCTGCTGCTGGTTCTTCCCATCCCCCAACCTAGATTCCGCCGCCGACGCCGAACCACCACTTCGTTTAACTGGCGAATACACACTATCCCGTGTAGACGGCGACACACCCGACTGCGCATCTCTCGACTGCTTCGTCTGCGGTTCTGGGATCTGAACTTTCAGCGGGGCGGTCACCGTTCTGTTGGCGGGAATACCGGCAGGGTTTCCGCGCGGCAGAAAGCTCCTTCGCGATGTGAGACCAGGCGTGCTTGCAGCGGACACGCTTCCTTCAGAGGTCGTGTGGGCATGGCTAGGTGGTTTTACAGACGCTGTCGATACGGAGGTTGTGCGGGTGGGTCTGCTGGTAAGGCCAGGTCGACTGGTGCCGGTGGGAGTCTATGGAGGATTTTTTTTTTTTTAACGTGAGCTAAATTTTCATCTTGGAGAAACATATTTACTGGACCGTGATTCATACCGCTGTATCCTGGCCTGCAGGCTTTCTTCTCTGGGCTGACAGAGGATCGCGTAGAGAATGCGACCTTGTGGGGATGGGCATTGTTCGGAATTAGGATTGGCAAGGGTTGAAAAACAGTGAGCTGAGGTCTTCCACACTCAATACTACTTCGTAGTTCACCAACAACTGGGGGGGAGTTTGTGGAGTTGGGGGACTCTTTAGTTACCAAGCACTGCTCTGCCTTCTGAACAGTTCAACCACCCAATGGAATCAGTCAGAGTATTTTACTACGCTGGATGTGCTGGGTGAGTTGTCCCTTGCGGCTCCCACATATATGAATGAGCCTTGTCGCCTTTGAGATAAGATCCTCTCACAAAAGGTAAGTTGACAATAATTTCAATTGTAATTTTGGTTTGGTTATCTTTGGAATTTGAATAGTCTTTACTCTGTAAGGAGTACAGAGTATGTGAGGGCGAAGTTGAGAGTAGAATGCAATGCGAGCTTTTGGCACGCAGAAATCACTATTTATGTTGTTATTATCACCTGTGCAGACTGCAACAGCTTTCCTTTGTCTAAACTGCCCTTTTTGAAATTGATGTAAACAATCAAGAAATACAAAATTCCATCATCACCAATAAAAATATACAGACTCTATTCATTTTAATTCAATATGATACTTGGGGAAATTGACAGGGTAGAAGAGTCCTGTGTTGACAAAAGTTGAGATGTTCGTCGTCGCCACGCAGCTGCTGGGCATTTTAGGCATCAAAATGGTCGCAGTTGTATCTTGTCATCGTTTTGACTGTCGTTGCTTCTTCAGTGCTATGGTTGAGATAGTCTCCGGTTGTTAGCCTTCACTACATTTACAGATTTCATCCGTGAGGCACCTTAACATCGAGTCTCTCCACCGTTTTTAGGCTTTTTTAGCCTGCTCCCTCGAGTGGTTCCCGACTACTATGTTGCGGCGAAGCAGTTCGAAGTGCATCCTTGCGCTGTCCATGGCTTTTCGAAATTCGGACCAGTCAAACATCAGTTCAGGATCTCTATACTTTTTCCTCTGAAGGGATAAAAATCAGACAACGAAAGAGGAAGTGGATCTGTGGAGAAACAATTTTGGCCATAAGCCATCTACAATAGGCCTGGTACTAGTTATCTGCTCGTGTAAACATCGGACCTAACTCGCAATTCTCTCTTCTTTTCTGACGAATTCCGGGGCCAAACCTCTGCGAATGCAGACACTTCTCCAAAGCCTCTGTGGCCGTATATTAAGATCGGACTATAAGGGTCGTTCGACCCTTGCTAGCAGGTATCTTCCGGTCCAGCAGCTCGAAAATTGCTGTTAAACAGTAGACGTGCTGAAGTCAGGCCATTTATAGAACGGCCGCTCCTCAATCTTGACTAGGATCGCAGCCTGAACACTGGGTACGGCTTGAAGGTACCCAGTCAATGAACTTACAAGGCTCTTGTAAGAACCAAGAAAGCCCACCTCTTGAACGAGCACAGGACTCCCCTTGTCCTTGTGGTGAATCGCCAGATCTGCCACCAGCACTGAATAATTGAGCGTCTATTGTGAAATTAACTGTGATGTGTCGTGGGAACAATTAAGGACATCAGAATTGCCCTTTCCTGTCAACTGGGAAACAGTTATAGCGGTCATGCCCGTGAATAGTCGAGAGAACTGACACTCACAGCCAGCAACTTGCGTCAATAAAGGCAACAAGCAATCAAAGTGTTGCCAGGAAGGATAGTACTCCGTGTGTAAAAGGAAGCGCTGGAGAAGTATGACCAGGGAAGCAGAGAGGAAGGTCTGCTCTTGAGAACCAAAATAGTCGAGTGCTAACACGGGTGATAATTCTCCATGGGGTAATAGAAAGCTGCTTCTGCCGGACCAGAATCAGGAAATGACGAAAATGTCCCAATGTCCTTTCTAGTGTCGGCTAAGCAAAGTTCTGGACTCTATGAAGCCACACCAACAACAAAGGCCACAATCGTAAGGCCGTTTAAGCAACATCGTCCAGTTACTTCATACCTTGTAACCCCATAAGAGCTACAGGCGGTGTTCGGATTGCAAAAATTGCACAAGGCCGACTGAGAAAGAAGGGTGCAAGGATCAGGCCAGGATCCGCTCAAAGCCCATGTAAATGTATCTCACAGCCCTCGGAATCTGGTTGAAGCTGTCGCAAATATTTCGAAGTGGTCACGGGCTCAGCTCGTAAAGTGAGTCAATGTTATTTTGAGGCTCGTAACACGTGTCACCATGGCGATTGACACAGCTACTCGATAATTATCGCCGGAAATTGCTTGGCTGGGACTTGCATTGCGCATGTGTGATACTGAAATTGCACCGCCCGCTCTGCATTATCTATCAGCTGGAAGCTTTGAACCACGCACGATCGTTGGCGTCATCATCGCCAGATTGAAGCTCGAGTGTAGGCTAGCATCCGCAACATCTAAGCGCAGACACAGGCGAATCCTGCGTCGCTTGAGCGTATCTGTGCTTAGCAGGCGCAATTGGTGGTAATCAAGCGAAGAGAGAAAGAGAGAGGGGAAAGCAGAGCCGCATCGTGGTACTTTGTATCCCAGACGCCATCTTTTGTCCTAGAAAGAACAAGTACCGATCGGTCTATTTCCACCACCAAAAAAAAAAAAAAAAGAAAAAGGCGCTTGGGAACAGGGTGTGCAGCGAAGTGCATTACTCCGTACATACAGGAGGAAATAGAGCGCTCCCCGGCGCTTAGTGATGTGTCCTCGGATGCAGGAAGAATGCGTCATGACCCTGCGAGCCGTCTTTGAGGGAAAGGGCGGGGATTGCCGCGCCAAGAACAAAACACCTGAAGGGGAACATGCGGCCCACGGAACACAGTAAATCCGGGAAAAAGAGAAAAGAAAACCGGAGCTGGAGAGTGAACGGATCCACGGAAACTGAGGCATATTTCTGCGACTCTGCTGGCGATGTTGCTCTCTGCGACAAGACGTGTCGGAAATGAAATGCTGCTACATAGACAAAAGGTTGTGCGGTGCGGAGTGCATCGCGCACTAAAGACGTGGCGAGCGAGGCGCGGAGGGGGCCAGGTGACGTCACATGGGGTGTTCCTGGGCGGGGCAATTAAGGTTGCGGGTTCCTTCCCTTGCCCGCCAACCAGGATGTCGTCGCCCCAGGGGGGTTGTGAGGGGGAAGGCACGAACAGGCTAGTAGCTCCAAGTGCCCGTCGGTTTGTGGTTTCCTGTGCTCTCTTCCCTGAAAAGGCGCAACTTCGTACTGTGTAGAGGTGCTGAAGGCCTGTGAGAGTGGGATGGGATGAGTGCCCAGTACGTACGGAGTACAGAGTGCCTGTGTTTCCCGGATAGCTCCACCTAATGGAGAACCTCCGGTCCCGCGTCTTCGTTACAGGAGAAGAAACAGAAGAGATGTTCGGCACGGACTAGAATTAACTAGTGGTGATTGTGGGCGTTGGCTTAGACTTTTGAAAAAGTATAGCAACCAAATTTCCTGGATAATGCAAAATGAAAAGGATGAGCCTGCACGATCGAGGTTACGCATAGATGTAGGATGTACGGAGTACGCAGTACGTACGTATGTATGTAGAGATTCGACTTCCAGCGGGAAAGATAGCGGCGGAAACGTGGGAAGGTCTGGCTCATTCAGAACCGCCCAGTTTGTGACAGCTGCGGCAAACGCGGGAAGGCTGAGTGCGAGAAACCCCTCTAATTCCCGCACTCGCAATTTGTATACTTATGTACGGAGTATGTACTCCGTACAATGCGTACACACAATATGTAGGGCGCAACGCACGAACCTCTAAAGGAAGTGTCAACGATTGAAGGATTGAGAGGAATCGTATAACATTACATAGGTATGTATGTGCAAAGTGTGTAGGACAGCCACTGCATGCTCAGCTGCGGGAACAAGCATGATGAATATGTATGCCCCCAGAACCTGAGCGGCAATGTGTCCAGAGGCCTCGAGAAAAAGGCCTCAGACGCTTTAGCCCTGCCTCTCTTCCGACCCTACGCGGGAGATTGACTGCGCGGATCGAGAACAAAAGGGAAAAAAGTGGCTCGACGGAACTTCCATGGCAAGTTATGCAAATCCGTGCGCTTGGCGGAGAGCTCAGCTCGGAGATAACCTATCCGTTGCCTCCGTGGCACGCGACAAACTGTTTCCAGAACCATGTGTCTCTTCCCCACCCCAAGGACCTGGACTCTTCACTCTGGGCATCATTTTTATTTTTAACCCTATCCCAGACCGACCACGACCGCTCGTTCTTCCGCTGAAACCCGGGAGATAAGCGCTGCCGAGTTGGGCCTGCGGGGAGAGCAAAAACAGAAGAAGCGATGCAATTGATAGCCCACTCCAGCCCACGCCCCAGGTCCTCGACCCGCGACGATCATTTCACCGTCAAGGTACAGGGTGCGGTGCAAAGAGACAAAATATGCCCTCATCGTCCATCAATGGCAGGCACAATGATGCAATTTTGATGACAACATCGATGTCGTACTCCGTGATGGCTTGGTCGGCTTTTAAAGTCTCTCATTTGCTGGCTATGGCGCTTGGGGCTCGCCAGTCCTTCAGGTCGCTGCAGGATAACATCATCATGCGTCTTAGGCCCCTCGTGCCGCCTAGCCTGTTCGCTGTGGCCCGATGGATACATACGTTATCCTCTTGCGTAATCCCCTATAGAGTGTCTAGACGGAGAGAGTAGATGTATATATATAGAAAACACATCAAAATGATAAGAGTATGTGTGTTTGTGTCTGATAGTGTATTGAATATTCAACGGGAAAAAACTGACCGGACTACCGGGTAGGGTTTAGGCCAGGGAGGATGGAATTGAAGTCTCGATAGTTTCGTGCAGAATGACTATAGGAAGGGTTGTCCTTTCGCATCCAGTTGCATTCTTGAGATTTTGACTGTTTATCAACGTATCGATTTTGCCTGGCACAACCTCCGCGGCGAGTTTCCGCGTGTATGGTGTGGTTCGTGTTTTGCGAACAACTGCTGCAACGGCGAGACCCATCAGGAGTGAATATACATGCATACACATTGTATCTACATGGATAGATGTCCAGATTATGTAGCGAATGTGGTCGGAAGAGAGGGGGTGGACGTTCAATCCCGGAGAACCAAGCAAGAGGGAGGGGCGCAGGGATTCCCACTGCAGCGGGTTCGCAAAGTCTCAAACCTGTCAGTTGCAGAAGTGATGTATCGTCTCTGCATGGGCTTTTTGCGCAACGAGAGTGGGTTTCTTCAGTGATGCTTTCCATGTGAGGGGCTCCCTGGCATTCTTCTCGAGCTGTTTGGCCGGAAAATCATCTTAGTCTGGGCCTCGTCCCGCTTGACGCTGCGACTTTGAATCTTGGAAATGAACAAGGCAACCCTGAAATTTACCTTGAATAAAAAGGCACAGCGTTTTGATTTTTTTTTTTTTTTTTTATTATTTTTTTAAGGTTCGGCCAATTGACACTGGATTTCCATGTAAAATGCCATGATTCAGCCAAGTCCCCTGGCTAGAAACCAGTTAATTATATAGACTGCGAGCCCCATCCTGCAAAAAGGAAAATTTTCAACAGGATGTTTCATTTCAAACCTTCATTTTTTGTTTTGGCTTACTCCGTACAAAGAAAAAGTAAATTCGAAAAAAATTAAAAAAAAAAAAAAAATAACAATACTACCACTAAGTCCAATTCGGTTTCTCGACCTTCGTTTTGTTCAGCTGAACCTCCCCCTCGCCCCGAGCAGTCGAAGCAGGCGACCACAACTTATTTTTAGGCGGACTCGCCGGCGCACGGAGCACGGAGACTTGTCTGGTCGCTCACTGCCCGGGCGGGTTATGGTACGGTACCAGGCTGCCAGATAACGACACGGTTACGATCCCTGGTTACGCCGCTGGTCGGTGCCGGGCTTAAAAGTAAACTGGCTGCCCAAACTCAAATACTAGTCATACTATTTACCGCGTCTTCCCTTCACGGCCTCCGCTCTCTCTCTCTCTCTCTCGCTCGCGCGCACACACACACACACACATATACTCACACTCACAAAACAACGTTGCTCTTCTCTGCAACACAGAATACGAGAACGCTGCTGTGCCTCTTATGGTCACCGCCTCCCCCTCCCCACTGGCTTCCGTCAAAGAAACCCATACATTAATGAAGAGTGAACCCACCGCATCCTTTTCACCCATCTTCCTGCACACCACAACTGCTCACAAATCTACTTTGACATTCGTGCCGCTGAACACCGTCGCCAGCAGACGGCTATCCATACACTTCTCCCTCAAGCTGTCTCGAGCGACAACCTGCTCCAATCCCTTCAACTCCGCCGAGATGTCTTCCACAGCCGTTCCTCGACAGCCCACTTCGACCGGATCTACTCCAGGCATGCCCCCTCGATCTGTGGATGGTCCTGCCGTAGAGGTCCGCTGCTCTAGATGTCAGCTTTCCCTCAGTCCTGAAAAGTCCGTGCAATTCGGCATCAACTGCTACTACTGCCCACGCTGCGCCTCGATGGTGGGATACAAACGCTGAACATCGGCCTCATCATCATAACCGGCAACACAAATCGGAAACTACGGCCAAAAATAAAAGAAGAGAAAAGAAAAGAGAACAAGACTTGGCTCACAAGGACTATTAAACGGGACACGGATTTTACCGTACACAGGGCATGATACCGGCGGAACTTGATCTCCATATACCTCTCGTTCGTTCGCCTCCCCGCTCGACACGGAATTTTCTTTCAAATCGCTGGCGAAAAAAAAAGACAATAATGATCATACGCTATACTCCGACCCAGAAGGGGAAACAGTTGCTCGCTGGCACCGGTTGATTGCGTATTACGCGAAGAATGGGTAGAAAATTATAAAATACCCAGATCCCCAACTATCGCCCACTCCCAACTCGAACGTCATGCAGCTTTCGGCGTGGAAGCGTGCAGATTTCTAAACAGCCAGCCGTGTGCCTCGTGATCGCCTGGCGCGATCAGCCTGACACCCATGTGGTCCAAACCGCAGCCACCGCCTTTGCTGCAACCGCAGATGAAAGAAACAAAAAAAAAAAAAGTTCCACAGAAACACCAACAAAAAGCACCACCACAAAAAATCCAGCTACCCACCAAGCACACCGCCAATCCCCGACGCTCATCAGATTGCGATCGAAACGGGCCTTTGTCCACTCCCTTGAAATTTACGGACCGAAAAAAAAAAATAATAATAAATAAAAAAAAACAAAAAAGGAGGAAAATAAAACAAAACAATAATAATATAAACGCCAAATTACTCCGTACACGTTGTATAATAATATTTACCTCTCCCTGAATTCCCTTCCATGATGAAGTTACGACATATTGCTTGTTTGAGCGTTTAAGCGACATTAGAAAATGCGGATCTCTTTTTCTTTTTTCTCTCTACTTATTTCCACTCTGTTTTTACTCATCATTCCGTGCTTGCTCCGAACTGAGGCGGATTTGAAAGATTCCTGAATATGTATATCACATTTTAATCCATTCATCCGGAGTTGCGGGCTGGAGGAACATTGTCTTTGAGCAAATCTCATTGTTATACCGGTGTGGCGTCAATTGCCGCAACCTGAGTTGTTATATACCATTTTTGACTTCGGCTTCTCTACCCGGTCTGCTAAACGACGCGATGTGAAAAATGCGATCGTTTGAAATGACCTGGACTTATATACATACACACACTCCTCCACACAGTACGAATCAATGTCTATACTCCGTAGTGTCCGTTTCATCCCAATATCCGAGGAGAAAACTCGCTGGCCATCAACACCCTTTTTTCCCCCTCAAATGTTCGCTAATTTTTATTTCTTTACTTCATTTAATAATTTTTTTTTTTTTTTTTTTATTTTCAGCCACTGCATTTCGCTCCAGCGGCCATGTGGGCTCAGATGAGACCTTTGTGTCCCCCAGGTCCTTTCTCTCACCCTCTCCAGTCCTGGATGGGCCCCATATCGGCCAGCTGCGCACCCATGGATCAAGTGAGCTGGGCCCCCCACAGAATCACTGCCACATGCCCATGATGGATGGCAGTGGTTTTGGCCTCATCCGGAGTATATTCTACATATATTTCAAAACCGCTGGGGTCTATCGAAGTACAGGGTAATTCACATACATACATACATACATACCGTTCATTTAGTCCGGTGGGCAATAATTTTTTGTAAAAAGGCTTTTTTCCTTTTTAAAAGCCCAGGCGGCCGGGCTTCGATAGTTTTAAGGTATCGCTCGCCCGAGTGATTCGAATCGTGCATGACACTAAGTTTTAGGGCGGCGGTTTGGTTGCCACTAACGAGGGCTGCTGGGGAGCCTTACCCTAGCGAACTGCATGCACGGCTTGCACAAGGTGCAGACTTGAAGTTAACATACAGAATGCTCTGCCAAGCATGAAGAACTTTTAATAAATGTCTTTTTTCCTTTTATTTCCATTGAACAAGGAAATTCCTGGATTTTGGATAACTCAGAATGGCCTGATACATATGCTTTGCATTCGCGTACGTCCTTTAGAGAGGACAGCACACCAGGGATGTGTTTCTGAAACACCTCCGCCAGGCTCTCACTGTAACGGCCTCCCCGGGCCGTTTGTGGATAAATCATTCTTAGGTGTGTGTGTGCGCGTGCGTAGGGCCGTCCAGGTGACCTCTTCTTCGCGTTTTCTTTGCGGCTAAGACGGACCCGGTTCCTGCTTTGGAATACATACATGATATGCCCCAGATACGGAGTACATAGTGACATATATACATTGTAACTGTGCTAGTTCCGTGGTTGCGGTGTGGTACTTCTCAGCCTTATCACAGTGGACTTCCGGACTTTCCGGAGTCCAGATGCGGCGTCCGCCGTATTTTGGTTACTCAACAGAGAGACACTCACTCGATCTTCCATTGTCCAGAGCAAACGCGGCGTCCAGAAACAAAAGGGTTGAAAAAGGTACTGTACATATGCACACTTATCCTCCCCTTTATACCCGGTCCATTGTCCAGACGGCTACTCCGTACGGCGTATTACTCCGTCCATTATGAACTCCCGCTTCAACCGTTCGGTAGCCAGCCAGCCAGCCAGCCCTCCCATAGGGGAAAAAAAAAAAAAAAAAAAAAAAAGAAAAAGAAAAAAAAAAGAAAAGGACTATTACACTAGCTGTGGCAAGGGGCTCGGCCGAAGACCAGGAACCATCATGCATGCACCGCCCCCCCGGCAACTTTCCAAGGTTTGGATAGCCGACAAGGAAAAAAAAAAAGAGTAAAGAATAAAAAATCTAATTGAGTTTTTGTTTTCCCTCCCTTCTTCATGCCGGATCGTTCTGCATATATTCCCTGAAGAGACATCGACCCCCTGGCCCTGCGCCGGGGCCTGAGATCCGTCGGGGAATACTGGGATCCTGGGCCCGCGGATCGGACTTTTGACATGCCGCGTATGCAAATCATCGCTCACTACGGAGTATATTACATACATGCTTTGCAAGGGATGGCGAGGTGTGAAAAGGCGAGAATCGTTCCTTGCCGCTCGGCGCTCGCGAGTGACGGGAATTTTTTTTTTTTTTTCTTTTTTTTTCTCTTTCTTTCAGGAGAGAATACACACCGGCAGCGGCACCGAAGCAAACATGCATCAATGATCACTGCATTTGCCAATTGCTCCTTTGAAACACTTGCATGGTCTGAAAGCCAGGAGAACGCAAAAGAAGAAACAATTAACCTTGTATTAACTGACTAACTTGTAAAATAATGGTATCAATAATCTTTGCGAGAAACGGGAAAGCAAACAAAAAAAAAAAAAAATGTTAAAGAAATCCATTTGCCTTTCCCATGAGTGCACCGTAGCCATGCCCTGTCTTTAGTTCGTATAGTTATCCCAGCCATAGTCGAGGAATTACAAATGGATCTCTTGCGCCATTTTAGACAGTTCACCTGCAAAGCACAGTTGTTAGGAACCTAACCTCTCTGGCAAAAAAAAAAAAAAAGGATCAACGAAATTCTGCAAGTCTCACCTTCATAATCTCTCTTTTCTTCTTTGCCACGGCCGGCTTTCATCCCCACACATGACCCATTCACCACCAGTGGCCCGCCACACTTTTTCTCGGGACAAGCCTGCTCTCCCTTCAAGCCTCCTAGGGAGGTGGCAGTAGCTGCATGAGGCTTGTCGCTATCCAGACCAGCCTCGGCCGTTTTATGCTCGTGGGAAGCACTCTTTTCATCCGAACTCGGCTGTTTCGGCTGGCTGCCGCTCGATGGACTTCTTTCTCGGTTGAAACGAACTCTTATCCTCGAGCCCATGAATGTTGAATTGTCAAACATCGATATTGCCGCCTTTGCTACCTCCTCGTCTTGGAAGCTGACCGTAGCACAAACTTTCGTCCGTCCAAAGGATCTTTGATCGAGCACGTCGCACCTGCTCACCGTCCCGGTGGCCTGAAGGTAGTCCTTTAGCTGCTGCGAGGTGGTGCCGGGGCTCAGGTTCTGAACAAAAAGATGTCGCGACGTGGGGGCGGTGGGCTCGACGTTCGACCCTGCACTGTAATTGCTGTTCGCTGAGATGCTACTGCGGTTACTTTGAGGAAAGTGCTGCATGGGCCCCGACGGGGGATAGCGATGAGGGCCCATGGAGCAAGGGTCGAAGTTCGAATGGTAAAAGTGTGGGAAGACAAAGGAGTTGTCGTTCGGTAAGACGAAAGGTAATTGGTATCCTAAGGCGTCCGGAGGAAGTGAGACAAGGTGAGGATGGCAGCCGGGAGTGATGTGGGCTGCATAGGGAGGAAATTCAGGCGACTGTGGGTATACAGGTGATAGGGGAATTCTTCGACTGCTCAGTCAGCAAAGCTCGGTACGGTGTCCTCAAAAAAAGAAAGAAAAAATCCTGGGATTCTTACTCATGGCTGAGATTGCATGTTGGAGACGATATGAGCGGCGAGTGAGAGTATGTGGGAATAAACGGGAGTCGAGGAACAGATGGGCTCTTCGTCGGACCTGCGATAGGATGTGTTGGCGCGTTTGCCATCGATAGAGTTACTGTCAAGCTATGACCATTCCATCCGTTTGTTGATAACCGATCTAGGCAGTTCCGTTAGATCGAGGAGCTTCCTCTGACCAGCTAAAACTAACTGTACGTCCTCCATGCCTCGTCTTCATTTTTGATGATGATCTGCCCTAAACCCGTTGGATGTCCATGGCAGTCGTCATACACCACAGCCTGTCGTATGTGAAGCGCAGTCTGGCGCACAAGATCCTTGAGCTCTTGCCAGCGACATTGGGGTGGAATCTGCTCTCATGCATACACACGTGAGGTGATGAACTTGGGGAGAAGAAAGGATGCATGGAAACTTACTCCCTGAAGGAAAACCACATATTCTTCCTCATGGGACCGACTTCTCTGTCGCCCATTCTTACTTTGCGGTGTTGGAGGCATCACCACAGCTTTCACACCTGTTCGCCGAACGCTAAAACAGATGAATAAGTCTGGGTCAAGGCGGATGTTGACTTCACAAGATCCAAGCTGAGTTCACGGACCGGGGGTTTAAATAGAGCCTATGTGGCTGTTGGCGGTGTTGTGAGAGAGCAGATGCTAATAAAGCCCTTCTCGCTGAGGGTGCTTAGAAGAGCCTGAGGGATCAACTCAAGAGTGTTCAAACCTCTCGTGAATATAAATGGAGTAAAGGCAAGAGTCTAAAATATTCTGTATATCTTGGATTTGCTGATTGTAGGCCTAGATCTGGCGGACTGGGGGGTTAGATAGATGGTTCTGGCTCGGTTCTTATCACAAGTAAAGGTGTCTCACTAGAAGGTAAACAAGACTATTCTCTCTGAGGGAATTGTTGCTCAGAAAAAGAATAACAAGTGGTATTAAGCCGGAGCCTCAATAACAGGAACTCGTAAGAGTATGTTGAACGGTACAAGGAGTTAAAGATAAAAAGAAGACAGGTAGAAGAAAGTATTGCATCCAAGGAAATGGAACTCACCTAAGGACATGTGGGATATGACCTCAAATATATCTATTGTGTATCCCACAAATGGAGTGACTATCTAGCTATTGGGTGGGAAAGGCGGAACGGAAGGCAAAGCCACAAGTGCGTCTACCATCAGATTATGGACCGGACGATTATAATTTCAAGATAAGGCAATTTGACGTCTCGTTTTCCAAGCATCTCATTCACTCGGCACTGCTAGACGTCAGGCAAGATTCGAAGGTCAGGTTTGGATCAGAGACCCCCCCTCCTTGTAATCGGATCTGCCGCAGTATGCACAACTCAAAAAAGGATGACCAGGCTTTCTGCTGGGACATGAACCGGTGCCATGGTGGGCAGGGGCTCCCTTCTTTTCTGCACAGAGTACCTAGTTGAATTGAATGATGCCCTGGTTTGCAAAGCTTCCAGGTCGATGAAGGCTCCACAGCCCACCTCCCTCCGGTCTTAAGCTTAATTTTCCACAGAAATGTGCGCCACTCCTCCGCCCAGCCAGCGCTACAGCTTGCCAGTCATGGACTTCATCAGTGCGCTTAATCAACTGGACAACTGTTACTAAATCCTTGGAAAAGGGGGCAAAGGCTTCGAAAAGCGGGTCATTCCCATGTTTGCACCCGAGACTTCATCAGATAAACCGTAATTACGGGATAAAAGTGGGAGAAAATGTGCCAGCTCATTGAGTCGAGCTGGGTGAACGACTGTCTTTTTTTTTTTTTTTTTTTTTGGCCGTTCTTAGGTCGGAGAAAGCGGCTAGCGAGGTGAAGCTGATCACGCCTTACCCGAATGGCATGTATATGTTTAATCTGAGGGGGTTGACCTCTTTGTTTCTTTTTTGCACGTCTCCCTATCAAGATCATATCCGAAGAAAGAATACGGGAGGACGTGGTGCTAGGTGGCTCGTTCCTCCGACCATTGTGTCTTTGTGGAACGGAGGGGGTCAAGCGTTCGTGTTCATTTCTGCCATTCTCATTTCAAGGAATCGCGAAGGTGCCGCTCAATTTCGACCACAGTGGTGTAAATACGTCGGAGGAGACTGGAGGTAAGCCAGACGAACGATACATGGCGCCCAGGCTGTTGTGGGAAAATTCAGGTAACGATGGCGGCCTGGGTTTTCAACGACCAATTCCAAATCCGTAGGAGTGACTTGCCAGCCGAGTCGAACATGACAGATCTACCCAGGCCAGATTTCGATCGAGGGATCTCCATTTAGGAAAGCCGATCGTTGGGGATTTCTTGCCCCGTCGAATGGTTGGGGCTGGCTGTCAATTCTGCACTTTGTTCGGAGCTTCGTCATTCTAGTTGTCCAATAATCAACAAGCTCTATTCAAAAGACTCCCGGGCGACCCAGTTTCGGTGCTCGGTTTGAGAGGCAAAAACTCTAAGATTCAGCGAATCACCGGCCAAGCCGCCCCAGCGATTCATGGAATTCGCCTTCTGCAGTCGCACAGGAGATAATCTTACTGACCCCTCAATATAGTCTCCGCGCCCAGGCGAAGTGTGCATGCATTGCAGGGCTTGCATGCATGTTTTCAGAGGCCGGTCGGCGCGTCTTTAGGGTGTCCCCGAATGCGGATTCACCCAGAGCCGCGAGGGGGGAGGGAGGAAGAAGGGGGGGGAGGAGCCGAGCATGAATCGGCGACCAGAGGACGAAGAGATACGCTGGGGGGAGGAGGCCTGCCAGCCTCGTATTCTAAGCCTGGAAGCGGTCAACCACACAGGATCCAGCACGAAGTCACGAAATTGCTCCAGCAATAGTTTGTGTGGATCTTCTGAGATTGAGTGACGGGATCTACAGTGGCTGCAGATGAGGCCCCATCATGACGGGCGTCATTCTCATTGGCAACCAACGTGTCTCTCAGCATTCTTCAGCCAGACAGCGAGAGCAGCGAGCATGGCGAATGGCTGCGCAAGGAATTTCCCTCGGAGTGACATCTGTGTCGGGAAATGTGTGTCAAGACGGCGGTGGTACAGCAGTGGTTAGCGATGCAGGCTGCCCAGGTTCTCGCGGGGTCGTCGGGTTGGAAATGATGCAGTGATGGAGTGAATGGCAACGACACTAAGTAGCGAACGAGCAAGTGGCTGCGGACTCAGGTTTTCAGTTCAATAGCGCCGAATTCAAAGGTTTTGGCTGCATGTCTTCAACGACAGAACTGCTTCAAACTCAGCACCTTGGAAATGTGCGGCGAGTTGTGCGTGGTCGGCCAGGCAGCTCACTAAATTGGTGAAAGTTATTTAGTGCTGGGGAGGCGCCCGCAACCCCAAGCCCACCAGCCACTCAGCGCCCGGAAGACCCGCATTGGCCCCTAACAGTCCGCCGCCCCCGCACGCTCTTCGCCCATCGTTTCCCCCAGGTCCCCGAGGTGTCAGGGCCAAAGCACCCAAGATTGACCTGCTAGTTACTCCACTGCCATTGCACTGGTTAGTTGAAATTTCACTCTGCAAGTCAAATATGCATCTGAGTGGAAACGTCAACTTTTCCCTTTATCCTCACAAGCATTGAAGAGAATTCACACCCCCAAGACTCGTGGCAGCCAATGAGCCAATGCGCCATTGTGTGCTGTACATAATATTTGCAAATCACGTCACTAGCTGCGTCCTTAACGTCTGATAGAAGCCAGCGCCACAAGCTGGAGCACTGGTGAAGCCAGGCTATAGGCCAAGAATCAGAAATATTTTCTATTTTCTACTCAATACTCCGTACTCCGTATTTCATTTCATTTCATTTATTTATTTATTTTTGAACCAGCGCGATCCGGTGGCAAAGCCACGCTCTCTGTTCACAATACACATCTGGAATTGATTCTCTATCTACGGAGTACCATGCTTTTTTCTTTTTCCCCTTATCCCTCATATTCGTAGATACTTGCATTGCTCAGGTGAATAAAAAGGATGACTTCCCTAAGAGCCGAGGAAAATCGAAATCGATCAAACACATGCAGCCATCCCTCCTCGCAGCATCTCACAAACCGTTGTCTCTTCAGCGCGTTTGGCGTCACCTTCCGCATTTTGTTCTTGCACATAGCCTTGCCTGTGAACACCTTGCACAAGTGGGCCGAAACCATCGGATAGCGGCGCCCTCGATATCGAAAGGAGGGACTCCGCCTGAACTCCCCTCGCTCTCATCGCTATGCCGTAGTTGTCATCGGCTTCTTCTTGGGAAGCAAGAGAATAGGATCATCCCTATCGGAGATCGACCAAGATTAAATGGCTTCTGGAAAGAGGTATGTAGGACAGCGTGGTAATAGAAGCCAAGAAAATGGATTTAAATTGTCCCTTAATACATAGACCTACAAATGCTGCATGGAATCAAAGGATGCATTGATACAGCTCACAAAACTTCGCTGAAACTTTAGCAAGCGCAAAAGACCCCAAGACAGGAAGAGCGGGATGGACTAAAACAAATTACCTAGTGATAGTAGAGCTAATTGCCATTGCAGAACTATGGTATATGAAGGCTGTAGCAAGAGAGTAATCGTTAAAACAAAAAGGAACCCGATACCCCTAACTGGCATCATAGAAAGTCTGAAGCTCGAGCACGTCCTCGAGTGGGCAATGCTGATCTGGATCGAGATCGGTCTCTTCTTCGGCCAGGACTAGAACGACGATTGGCTCGCGGTGGGGGTGTTCTTGACCGAGACAGTGACCGAGAAAATGAACGAGGATATCTCTTCATTTGTCGACGTCTTGTGTAGGGTGAGGGCGAGCGCGAAGGCGAAAGCGAAGGGCGCCTGGTTCCTCGAGGCCTACTATCTTCGCGATAACGAGGTGGAGTTACGGACCGGGATTGTGAAAGGACCCTACGCTTGGGTCCTCTATCAGGGGAAGGGGATCTGGAATAGCTGTCCCTTCCCATAGAGCTACGTCGACGGTAAGGGGAACGCGACCGCGATGGACTGTACCGGCGTCTGTTGGAACGTGGAGCAGGAACAGGGCTCGCTCCTCGCCGACGTGGCGGAGTCAGGGAACGAGATAAGGAACGCCTGGCACGTCGCCTTTGGAGGGGCGACCTATTTGGCGAAGGTGACCTGCTGGACGTGTATCTGCGCGAAACAGAAGACGAGATAGACCTGGCTCTTCTTCCTGGGGGAGATGGGGATCGAGAATATGACAACGGTCTACCCCGACGTCCTGGTGGAGAGCGGGAACGCGACGTACTATAACTTCGGCTTCGACTAGTACTCCGTGATCTTGGTGTATAGGATCTGTGACGTCCTCGAGACTCGTCCCGATTGCGTCGAGGAGACGGAGACCGGGAGTAGGAACGAGAGCGAGAGGATCCGGTATATGATGAATAACTTGAGTATGAGCTCACAGATTCGGATTCGGATTCGTCTGCAGGAGCCGGCAAAGCTGGCAAAGTCGGTTTCGGAAGATTTTTAAGGTGTTCACGCATTTCCTCTGTGAGAACACCCATTCCAATACTGGTGAAGTAGTTGATGGAGAACCGAGTGTTGCGAGGATTGTCAGTTGGGAATATACCTTCAAAGCTTGGTCGAAGTATGTTATCCTTCAGCCGTTCTAGGAGCTTTGGCATCCCTAGTACTTCGGCAAGATCTTGGAATAGGATCTTGATGAATATACGACTACTTGACGTAGTCTCGTCCTCATTCAGATGGATGACGGAAAGAACGTGCCACCCAATCGCGTCAGAGCTAAGCATGTGCCCAAAGAACCTGGCAATATTTCTCAGACGATTCGTTTCATAACGATGGATTGTGTCATAGTATTTCGCAAAAGCTGCTTCGAAAAGGTCAGCCCATAGGCGATTGAGCTTCGCAAAGCGCTCTCCAATGAGTCCGTAGAATTTAGAATATGTTCGTTCCTGAGAGCAACATTCGACAATCATAGAAGGCAGCTCAGATTCTTGGCCAGGCGGTAGATTGATTTTCATGAGCTTGTGACAGCATTCTTCAAAGTCGATGCTGGACATGATAGTAAGATAAATGGTTCGTCGTAGGTTGACCAGGTCGGTGTTGCTCTGATCTTTAATGTCCATTTGTCGCTCTTCCTCATCCTCCTCATCTTCATCCGATGTTATGTCGGATCCATCTTCTTCCTCGTCATCGCTTCCTTCTCCTAATATTTCGGCTTTAAGCTTCTTATATGCCTCCTCGTGCTCCTCCCACTGTGGGTCAAATTTGAATATGTTGAGACCATCTTGGACCTCGAGCTCATCATCAAGACCAAGACAATGTGTAATCTGATCCTCCTCTTCCACAAGGTCAAGTTCATCCTTGATGGCAGGGTTATCCTTAAAACGATCCTTTCGGACTTGGAATAGAACCTCAATCATATACTGCACACGCTTGTCGATGTCCGCTTCGTGAAGGATATGCCTGAACTGGTCAAACACCGCGAGAGCAATGGCTTGATTCATTTCCTCCAAATGCTGTCCAACCTCTCTGGTAAGGCCGACAGCAATTTCCACGCTATCATCGGTAGGTTTATGAAGAAGGCGAAATAAGATTTCCGCAGCGATGATCTCGTGGGCAACCTGGTGGTTGCATAGATGAGCGATAAAAGTCGTTGAGGAAATGCACACAGCCTTGTCGTTTCGCTTGAACGCTTTACGAAACTGGACAATCAACCGGGTAAGCAATAGCTGTCCGACCTGCGGTAGTTTGGTGTTAACGATAGCCGCCATAGCAGCATAAATCGGCGTGAAGGGCAAACTGGCAGCCTGCGCTTTCATTATACTTCGGCAAAAGAGACCCCTGCCACGAACAAGATTTTCTCCAAAAAGCTCTGGAACGATGTATTTGATGTTAGAGATGTTGACTTTGTTGATCAACCCATTAATGGATTTCTTTAGGGCTTCCCAAGCCATCCGCTGGTACTCTTTGCTCGATTTATCGGTTATCTGCGCCTGCAGAGCGCGAAGTTTCGCAGGAGGTATATATGTGCCTCCAGAGCGCATGTCCAGTAACTTCTCATATTCAGCTTTTGCCGCAGCTTGTTTTTCCTCATCCGTGAGAGGCTTCAAGGGGCCATCGGGCTTCTTAAACTGACGGAATCTCTCGGCCATTTGACGATCCCTTTCAGTTTCGCGGTCGAGATCGGTTTGGGGCCCATTTCGAGAAGAATCGTGGGGGGCAGGGCGTCGGCGGTCTGGTGAAGGCGAACGCGACGATGGCGAACGTTTTCGAGACGATACAGCTTGTGGCGCGTAGGAGGTTCCCGGAGGGGGAGTCGGCAGGCGTACTGCTGATTGCAGCATTACAGAATCCGCCATTTTCACAAAGCTGTTTAAAGAAGTTCAAGGTGCAGTCAAGGGACTGGGACTTTGCCGGGGATTAAAGATGTAGCTTCAGAGATGCGCCAGAAGTTTTGGGAGGTTGGCGGTCACGTGATATCAAGCTTTGGCATCCACGCTGGAGATAAGGGGCGTTCTCCTGAAGAATGATTCAACTAGATGTCGGACGGAGGGGTCATTTGACAATTTGATGCTGTAGGGTCGATTCCGAGAAGCATATTATAGCCTGCTAAAGTAGTAGGACTCTTTACCTCTTTCCTTCAATAACGATGGTGAGCCTTCCGCTGGAAGACGATGAGACTCGAGCGACTAATGCCAACCGGGCACAGTTCGGCCAACTGTTTGGCCTAGCCATGTTGCTCGCGGCGACGGCCATTTTTCTATATTACACTGCCTGGACCTTACTAATGGCAAGACCCTCTCGAGACTTTTGAAACGGGACTCTCCTGGGCACTAATGAATTTGTTTAGCCATTTGTCGACCCTGGACACCCTCTTCACGACCTCTTCCCCCCACGAGTTTGGGCAATTCGCATTCCCGTTATTCTGACACTTCTTGGTTCCGCTGTTGTTGGAACGTTCCTCGGATTAGTTATGATTCGCAGCAACCGGAAGAAGGCCGCCAAAGCGAAAGCAGCAGCGAAGAAGAAAGCCTAGATTCCTTCGTTCATGTGTTTTTATACTCTCCTAATATCGAGCCTGGGTGGCCATCCGTCAAATATATCTTACCCGTCGTTTACTACGCTCTCTGTTGGATTCAGGCTATGTTCAAGCCTAGCGGCACAATGTGTATAGAATAATAGGGTGGAATTGAGAACGTGGACTTGAACCAACGTCCGGCGTTTAGAAAAGACGTCTGTTTTGTTACACTAAAGGATGTTGCATAGATATTGTAATATACCATATGTGAGCTTTTTCGAATCTGACATATGGTACAAACCAGTGCGTGCGTGGTTGCATCTGATCGACGTTTTTGACGTTTACCGCGGGAAAGGAGAACCACAAGCGGCCTGGACGGTTTGTGGTATAACGAAGTCAATCACCTCCGAGTCTCATCTTAGAGGAGGGCTTACTGAATGCATATTCAAGATTAGGAAGGTGGGAAGTTAAAATATTATTGAGCAGAGTAGTCACTTATATTGTACAAAAGGGGATACGCCTTTGCACACTCGGAATGCAGATACTTGCACCAATTGCGCTTTCGGGTAATTAATCAGGCTGGGGCGTTGAAATGCCAGCCACCATCGCGGTGAACATCTTTAATGAATTGAACAGCAGCATCATATGCAGAAATGCGTGTTTGTTCATCAATAGCCATGGACGGGACTGTTGTCCGGGTCAGCTTTTCACGCATGAAGCTTGAATCCTGCAAGAAATAACGCACGCTCTAGCCAGCCATGGACTTGGTTTTCAAAAAGGATGCTCTCAACCCGATAACGTGGCGGAACCTTTACAATGTCATTCAACATAGTACGATGGTTAAGTTGAGAGTCTGCGTCTGCGTTTTGCTGTTCTGGTACTCCAGACGCTATTGCTCCTGAATACCCCGTGCGTTTGGAATCTTCTACTTCTCCTGCATTTGATTGGGCGTTTAGAGCTTCAGCCTCTTCCTTCAACCGTTCCACAAAGACTGTTTGTTCATGTAATAGAATGTCGAGGGTCGGGATGATGAAAAGCATATTCGGGGGTAAAGAAAGAATATCCGCCAAAATTGGGTTTAAAAGCGGATTGTGTAGTTGTCTTGGAGGGTGTAGCCCGGGATATGCATCGAATAAAGGCATGACAAAAGCAAAAGGATCCTTGGCCGGGAGACCTGGAGGTTTGGGCTTGAGCCAGGGTGGGATACGCAGATCTACCTACTCCGCCGCGAATGCGTCAATAATTGGGAAATCGTGTCGGACACCATTTAGCTTTATGGCTTTATGAAGAGGGGAAAGAGAAAATGGACTGGTAGGTGACCAACTGGGTTGTAGAAGGTTACGGAGCCTTTTATATGATGACTGGTCCCAGCCAAACCCTGTGCAACACCAAGCGCCAGGTTACCACCTGCGGAAAAGCCGCTGATGGTCATCAGTTTGGGATCCGCACCCCAAAGCTGTTCACAGTTCTCAACTAGATAAGAAGCGACATCCTGAGTGTCCTCGTGGGCGGTCGGGAATGTGTATCGCGGTGCAAATCTATAGGAGGTGGAGACGACAACGGCACCAGTGCGTCTTGCAACCTCCATGCAAAACGGCGCGTCATACTCTGGCAGACCACCCAGAAAGCCACCACCATGAATATCCAAATGGAGAGGTCTCCCGGGCAGATTTTTTTGCCTGAGACATTTAGGGTTGAAAACAACCGCACGGACAAAGTGGCCAGGATCTCGACGAAGCGGTATCCATATCACACTTTTGTCTCGAGAGAAGGCACATGGAATCCATTTTAGGAAATACGCCAATGACGTGAGCGGCTGCAGAGCCACAAGCCTCCAACGATAGCTGAAGGGGATGGATGGGCAGAAGAGGGCATCGTAAAGATGGCCAAACCACTGACAAAGGAACATTTGAACCCTTTTCGTGTTTTCTGTCTCCAAAGTTTATATAGAAAATTGCAGAAGGGTGGAAGGGACGAAGGAGATCTCAAACACAAGCATCGTGAAGAAAATCGTCGGCAGCCTTCCGACCAGGCATGTCGCCTTTTATAAATAAGGGTAGTCCCTGACCAAGCGCGCCCCGAGCGCCAAGGCTTCCCACCCCGTACAAATGTCTGTTGGAACCGACACCGAGATGGAGATTCGACATCCCTTCGTGCTTACACATGTTAGATATCAGCCATGTAATCCACTGAGCTTGAAGATGACCTGAGACACTCCAGACGAGAGAGGTCATTTAGATGCGTCGCCAGGCAGTGTCTCTAGAGCACACTCTGCCACCGCGTGCTGGGAATCGCGACGGGGGGTCGGTCACATGGGGTGTCTGAGTCAGCATCTGGCCTGGACGACTTACCTCAGCAGGGGTGGGGCTGAGGCGGCTTGGCGTGCGTGTGTTCCTGATTTTTTGCACTGTTTGCATGACGTTGGTGCCCCTCATTCGACGTCAGTTGCCGGACGGCGTTATGTACGGTAACGCCCGGTAAAAATTACGGGGCGAGTGTGCGCTGCTGCCATTGCTGACTGGTTCATCCGCCTTGGCCAGCTGTCCCGGGCGCTGTGTCATTCATCGGAATTACGGAGTACCCTTTCAGTAATTAACCCGTAAGGTCCGTGATCACTCCCCTCCCCGCCCATCCCCAACAATACCTCCTTCATGACTCTTCCCCTGCCAGCTCATCCTCGATCACCGTTTTGTTCAGATACTTTGCTTTGAAGTTTAACGATAAACCTGCTGCCAGACCTCTTCCGTTTGCCGGTTTACGCCCGTCGGTGCCTATCCGCGGCTTCATCAGGAAGCTGAGGAAGCTGACTCGGAGCTGGCCTGATCTTCCTCTCACGAGTGCCGTGCGGTCTGTGTCTTTGTTCTTGAGCCATACATTTGCTCTAGCTGGGCTCCCAAGAGCCCCTTTACAGGGTCGATTCCTCCAAGCTGATCCCTACCGTGTTTTGTATGCCCCCTGCGTCCAGTCCGTGTCATCAGTACCGCCCAACCTCCACGCCCACAGCCCCATCGAACCCCAGGTCCTCTATCACCGACGAGGTGGCACAAGGCAAGAAAAAGAAGAATGCCGCTCGAAAGGATAATAAGACGGCCAAAGCCGAGACGAAGACGCTCCTCGATGACTTGTAAGTTACTCTCACCGCCATACCAATGCTAGCATCGAAGTGGAAATTCCGTGTCTACTATCAGGAGAACCAACGCGAGCTACAGAGAGCTAACTCAGTATCATCTACAGAGAGGTCTCTCAACCTGAGCAACAGCTCCTCGAACCTATTCCGACCCAATTTAATCCGCGGCCCATGGCGAATGACGGCGAACCACCAGTGTTGGATGCCCTCAGCACACTACCCCTGCCAGAGGAGGTCGACATCACCAGACGCACCGATACATGGGCCAGGTCTATTCCTTTCGGCAAGAGTCCTCCTCAGAATATCATGAATGATGCGCACACCGAAGCTTCTCCCCCGGACTTTAGCCTGCCGGTGGACAGAGGAGGCTTCCAACAACCTTCCATGTCGCCGTCCCCTATTGGCAAGCCGCGCCCCATAAGCCTGGGAACAGAGTATTCCAGCCCTACAAGACACCAGTCCAGAGATAGGCAGAAGCGAAACTCGATGAATACTCAATACCACCACCAGCCTCCCCTACCTCACCTCCCTCAAGCTCACTTTTATTCAGCGCCTGACATTGAAATTCCAGGAGTCCCGTCTCCAGCTATTCGAAGAGCGCAAGAAAGTGGATGTTCCTTCTGCGCTATTGACATGCTTCCGTCGCACAAGTCTCGTTCTGGAAAGAAAGTCCTTGTAGTTGGTCAAGATGGTATGCTGGAGGTTATCGCACTTGACAATGAGCAGTCGCGAAGCCTTGGCGCAATCAAGGGGTTGAATGGTCGAGTGCTGGATGCCAAGATCTTGACTTGGGCGTCCGGAAGCGATCCGTTCTCCTCATCTCGGCCTCTCATCGGGGTAACCATATTTGGCCCTATCCCTCAAGAAGACACTGCGTATTGCTCTTCTGCAGCGTCCGAGAACGCCGATTTGGCGGTTCCTGGGGTTTCGAACCGGCCGGATACATTGCCCAGCCGAGCGGACCTACCGCGTATGCAGACTCGTGTACAGATCTATTCGCTAAGAACACAAAGCCTGGTAGCTACGCTGTTCGCGACTAAACCCGAACCTTGTTACCCTACGTTCCCTGGAACCTCTCCAACTGTTCCTCCACCCGCGGGAGAGCTGAAATTATATTCTAGTGGCAACTATGTTGTTCTCGCATCCGGAACGAGTGGAGAGGTGTTTATTTTTGGCGCCGGAGCAAGCCAATCGCCAGGCTCTTACTGTTGCCTCGGAAAGACTTGGACTAGTGTTCGGATGCGAGATACTCGAAGACATTCCAATTCATCCAATTCAACCAATACAGATGAAATTCAATCCGATCCGGGCCGTGAATTAGGACCCGCAGACACGCCGATCTTGTCCCTCAGCGGTCGATGGCTAGCCGTCGTCCCTCCTCCACCATATAGAACCTCGCTTCGCGGTACCATCCATTGTCCGCGAAGCGAGGAGAGGACTTACGGGATTGACGCCCATAATCCGCCATCTCGTCCATCTATAACTTGTGGCGTCGATTGCAACCAAGATGGACTCCTCAATAAAATTGCGAAAGGTGTCACCCAAGAGTTAGTTAGAGGCGCGGCGTGGACGGGAGGCCAAGTTGCTCAAACATGGCATAATTATTTCAATAAGGATACGCAGCCGAGTCAACCTACGGCAACACGCCGGGCGCACCCTTTCGAACCGTCAAGTGTAAACTATCTTCCACCGACTCATGCTCAAGAGCCTCAGCACCCTTCGACCGGTGAGCCTGATTTGGTTTCATTAATCGATTTGAAGCTTTTAGAAGAGGACGAAGGTGCAAAGGCAGCTTCTACTATAACCCCCGTGGCCACTTTCCAGCCCCCTAGCGGATGCAGCTTTGCTTCCTTGTCGCCAAGCGGGCTTATGCTCTTAACCGCAAGCAAGAATGGTGACGTGCAACATGTTTGGGATCTTATGCAAATGCGACATTGCAGAGCGAGAATTTTGATGCTGGAAGATACCTCGTCGACTGCAGCCTCGCATGGTTCCTCTGCACAAGTTCGGGAGATAGCGAAGTTTGACCGTATGACTACAACAAGCATTTTGGATGTCAAATGGACGGGCCCTATTGGAGAGCGCTTAGCTATTGTTACCAAAAACGGCACTATTCATCTATACGATATTCCTCGAGGTGCCTTCCAGTGGCCTCCTTTGCGTCGAGTTCAAGGCAAATCATCGTCTCGTCAGCGCCATTCTGAGAGCCCGCCGGGAGCTGATTTGAGCGAGGCAAACTCCAGCAACCTGAATCGGCTTTCCACAGCGGTTAAAGCTATAGGAGGTACAACCCAGCCATTCATGGCTGCTCTACGGGGGCGCGCACCAAGCATGGGGGCGGCGTTTGGCACAGGCGCGGGATTCGCCTTGTCTTCTCGAGGGAGCAAAGTCCTCGCCTCTGGATTAAGCAAATCTGTAGGCGCTGCAACAGAGACTATGAATGCACTCCGCCATTTCGGTGAAAATCGTTTACATCTTAGTAACTTTGCGAGAGATTGTGGTGTCTCCCGTATAACGTGGTCCGGTGATGAGAAAGATCCCTTACTGGGTGTTGTTGATGGGGAATATTTCAAGATCTATCAAATCCGCCGTGGATCAACCGGAAAGAAGAAGCGGGATCAGTCGGTATTCGGGGCCAAGATACGGGAGATCCGTGTTCCGTCGAGTCTGCGCAACCCCGTTGGCCCTAGCCAGGCATTACTTACAATGGCAACGGCTGATATCAACGGATTTTGGTCACTTCCTTCGCCGACTCGTCCGGTATCTCCTAGAAGCCTAAAGTTTCCGCCTCTTTCCCAAGCAGAAATTGAGACAAACGCACCTTATCAACCGTTTCATACGGACCGCAGAGTCAATCTGATGGTCTTCTCTGGCAGCTATGAAGAAGAGAATATCAATGGCGATCCCTGGGTGTTCGGAAACGCGATCCCTTCGGTACAGCTTCAGGTCCATGGCCATGCATATTCAGAGGATTGCATCTCCGACACGCAAAATCCAGGCGATGCTAAGATGGAAAATCTTGTCAGCTTGGGCAGCAGCGGTGAAAAGGTTGAATATGCAGTGATAACCACCAGACGGAAGAAGACGACCTCAAGCGCTGCTGGCACCGCCGGGGTAGACGACGATGAATTTTTCGAAAATGATTGCGATATTCTTGACTTTGCAAGCGATCGAGTTTGATTTGACTATACTTAACTTGGGGGAGCTCACAACATCCATCCGCAATGCCCCCATAGTTCTTCGGCGCCATGCATTATTTTCTTCTTCTTCTTTTCTTCTTCTTTTTTTTCCTTTTTTTCCCCCCCTCTCTCATGGATTTCTTTGCTATTATTTATCATCATAATGTTCTAGAACAGGCGCAGGTTTGGCATTGCTATCAAGGGATTAGTTAGTGATGCAGCTGCGAGGAATATCGATATTCCTTTTACGGAGTATCGTCAAATGCCTTTTGTTTGCGATTTCCTTATAGTCTAAGACTTTTGTGTTATTATTACATTCCGAGATTTTGGGCTGGAAGACTGAAGTCCTCCATTTGTTTTCCGCTGGTCTCTCGCTGAATATTGAATCTCCGGATTCGTTCGTTCTGCATTACCATTGTTGACCTGCTGGAGCTCGGTTTATTCTTTTGAGTCGCACATTCTCTCGTTTGTACTCTGTGATTCTGTTTTATCCCTGTCATAACACATTTGATTTGCATGAATATAGGAGTTAGATATGGTGGCCTGTGTGCCCGAGTAGCATTTAGTTATTTCATGCTGACACTTTGGAGGGTCTAATAGAGAATCTATTTGAAACTACCCTTGAGGTTCTAGTAGGAAATTGGATTGTAAATATCCAAGGTTAACAAGATCATTGTGGCCTACCTTGACCGAGGCACAGCTGTACCCAGTGCTATGCCCTCCTGGACTTCTTTCATCTCATCTTCCCACCATTGCACAAACTCCCGTAATCTCAACGTTCGTTTCCTAGCCATACTGCGCCCGGAATCAGTTTTCATCTTCAATTCTAGATTCACCAATTTTCCCCTAAAATGCTCGATCGCCTCATCGAGTTCCCAGTGCAGAGGTCCGTTCGCACCAAGCGGTGGGCCTTTGGCACCTAGGTATGTAAAGCATCTCCCGACCCCCACTGCACCTATCGCATCCAGACGATCCGCATCCTGCACGATGGCGAGCTCTGGGTAACCATCCTGATGTATCAGACGCTCCGAGAGGCCAGGATTCTTGATCTCTGTGCTGTAGGAGACGTTAGAGACGATGGTTTGGACCTTCTGGGCCAAGAGCGGATCGCTGCCGCTTTTCACCAGAGTATCCCGGACGATCGTCGTGGGGTCTTCGGTGCTGTTTGGCGGGAGGTACTTCCTGTCTCCGATGTCGTGGAGGAGGGCGGCCAGTGTGATTATTGTCTCGTTGTAGTGGACTTTGGTTCCTCGGCTGCGCTCTGATGCGAGGAGGCGGTGGGCTAGGCGGACGACACGGGTGACGTGCGCTGGGTTATGGGACGGGTCGTGGTCTTGCATTTGCCTTATTACGAATGCTTCCATTCGCGATATCAGGGTGGTATCGGAGATGTCCATGTTCCAAAGACTATTGTGGTTTGTGAGAGACGCGACGCCAGAGGTGCTGCGGTTTCGGGGTTGAAAATTTCCTGGCCGCGACGGAGCAATCGCAAAGGAGGAACGTAACCCCAGCCAGCGACTCCATGAGTATCGCGTCATTTGGCACTGATTTTTCAGGGATACGAAGATGCGGCAGCTTTGGAGTGAAATTCTGCCGGCCACTCTGAGCTTGTCGGGCCGTCGTTAGAGCTGTGCCTGGTTAAAATTGTCACATGACTAGTTGGCTTCTTGGAACTTGGAACTAGAGGAGCTAACCGGGTTTGATGCTTTCAGCATTTTTGCTATTTTTCTTTTTTTTTTTTTTTTTTGCTTGCGTCACATTTCAGGAATGTTTTGATCAGTGGGATAACATCCATGGCTCTAGGTAGTTAAAGCTGTGGTTGCATGCCGATCCGGAAGATCTCGCCGCAGCCAGGCACTGTCCCGGCTGAGTGAGCCTCCTCAGCAAACAGGATTTCAGAGTCATCCTGAAGGCCAAGCTATCCTGAACTGGTCCCAGAGTACAATATTCGGGGCTGGTTTAGTCAAGTACCATCTTGCTGCCAAGACAGAGATCTGCTTTAGTGCCTATCATCGTTCATGGGTCATGAAAGCCATACGCCCGCCTTATTGACTTCATCTGCGCGGGATCGTGTTAGCGTCCCTAGGCTGTGTATAGATCCCAAATACCACTTTACAACTCTCCATGAGCAAGCAGTACAGCGCTGGCATCATTCTACTCCAAGAATTTGAAGCCTTCCACCGCGATGACGATGACATCTCCCACATACCAAGAAACTCGGAATTTCCATAAACTGCATACTGGTCAAACGGAATGATACAGTACCCAAGCTAGAGACACTGCGGGGCCACCCTCCCCGAATAATCTATGTCCGCCGCGAGCCAGGTCATCAGATGATGGCCCTATGCTTCCTGTGGTACTGCACTATAGCTCATGCTAGGAAAACTATACATGAGAAAACACAATGAGCGACACGCAGTTGCGATGGTGGGAGCCCGAAAAGCGAAGCACAAGCACTGTGCTAGTATACTGCAAAGCAGTTCAGTGCAAGGCTTGGTCACTGCAGAAATATGGAATGCACCCCTCACGCTGGCAAGTCTCCAGACAAAAGATGGTGTGGAACAGGGCAATGCAGGACAACATTGTGGAATCTTGGGTTGGTTCAATTTTTCGTTATTTGAAGCCTATCAAACGGCTCAGGATACTCTCTAGAGTGTACCTTGTCTTTCAGCAGGATCTGCTGTTCCAGGAAGCACAGTAAATTACATATCCTTTTGCTCTCTGTGTGTGTGTGTGTTGTTGGCCTTGATATTCCACGTGCTATTAAGACCACTTCTTAGCTATGCAGATTCTACCATTTATTGGGGTGTCTCCCTCCTAGGTCTGACGATAACTAGTGTGGGTTAATATATATGCACCCAGATCTCCTTGATGAACAGGCACAGATCTGCCTGCTTATGTTCTGCAATGGTTTCACTGTCGCCTCTCCTGTGACTGTAACTTTTTCTCGCCTCGCACAATTACTGATGGTATGGACACCATCCCACCCAAAGATTTGGCTGTCACAGGGTGGGTACAAGGAGAAATAGGACTTTCTACAAGTGTTACTGTAATCTCAGCTATTGCAATCTCCCAATCATTAAGCGTTTGGAAGACAACCAGGGCGGCTTGAAGTTGAAGGATGGAAGCCCATTAAAGAGTAAGATAGACAGGAAGAGCTGCAGGGTCAATCTATTGACATATCCAGGCTTCTGAAAGACGCTTGGGGGCCAATCTCAATTTCATTCCACTCCCTCGGCAACATACAAATGTCATTCCTTATACATCCAAGAACCGGTCGAGTGTAGATGACGCCAATGGCCGCGACCGGACTCCAGTTCTATACTTTGTAAGGAAACCCGTATTGACTTGCCCTCTTTGGCCGGCATTCATTTTGGGATCCATTACGGAGTATTGGAGGATCTGAACGGGATAATCCCAAATGAACTACGGACTCTTAACCGCACAAACCCCAGACAGCTATGTATGTACCCTTGCAGAAATGGAAGCAATCAAGGAATTGAAATTTCTCAGCTCATCGAAACTCTGTGTAATAATTCACAGCTCCCAAGTCCCAAACTCCGTTGCAGTTCTCTCAACGGTGCATCTTGGTTCGTGAGTACAGCATGTGGTGCGCATGGGTAAAAAAAAGCAAAAGGAAAAGGAAAAACGCTAAATTTTAATTAACCTTCAAAAGCCTCCGACCACGAAACGCCCGTTCGTACGGGAGTACCTTAGGTAGTTAGTGAAAGCTCGGCTGGACGATCTATCTTCCGAGGGGCTGATATCAAAACTCAACTCTCTTTCTGTGAGGGGCAAAGCTTTTCCAGCGCAGCAATCGCACCATAATGGCGAACAACTCGGCGGGCAAGACTCACTCTGAGTCACAAATATACCTCTCTACCAGAGACGGTGACTACGGCGTGCGACTCCTCAACATCCGTTAAGAATTGACAGTGTGCTGATCGGTTTCAAGCTCTCTTTCGAGACCGTTGTTTTAAAGGGACTTGCCGCTGATGGTGGTCTCTTCTTACCCCATCAAATCCCGCTTGCATCGGACTGGGTACGTGCGTGCCGTTCTATATTTCTATGTCGCATGGACGGTTGCCGCCAGAAGCATGATTATTTTATTTTGGCTTTGGAGCTGTTTCATAGGGATTGAAAGACTAACGATAGACTGCAGCGGAGCTGGAAAGATCTCTCCTACGAGGAGCTGGCCTTACGGATCTTCAGCTTATACGTATCAAGTTCCGAGATTCCCGCGGACGACCTGAAAGCCATAATTGATCGGAGCTACTCAACCTTCCGTGCGAAGGAGGTTACACCGTTGGTGCATCTGCAGGACAACAACCTATACCTTCTTGAACTATTTCACGGCCCAAGCTACTCCTTCAAAGACTGTGCGTTAACGCAAGGCCACTGTGGTTTCCTTGGGCTGACACATATATTAGGCGCCTTGCAATTTTTGGGAAACCTATTCGAATACTTCCTCGCGCGGAAAAACCAGGGAAAAGAAGGAAAAGGTAGGTTTACAGGAGCCTTGCACCGTGACAATGTCTCTGGTGAGCTCGGGCCAAGGCCATATGGACTGACCAGCTAGTAGACAGACATCATCTGACGGTAGTCGGCGCGACGAGCGGCGATGTAAGGCCCTCTCCTACAAACTGTCATCCGGGGAAAGTGCTAACGCATCTGCAGACTGGATCTGCAGCGATTTACGGTCTTAGGGGTAAGAAAGATGTATCCGTGGTCATCCTACACCCGCAGGGTCGTGTCAGCCCCATCCAAGAAGCGCAGATGACAACTTGCTTGGACGCAAATGTCCATAATGTTGCCGTGACGGGGACATTCGACGATTGTCAAGTAAGCATTGAGCACCTTAGAAACATTGGGGCTACGGGCTGATGGCACAACAGGATATCGTCAAGGCTTTGTTCAGCGATCCAGATACGAACAAGACTTTGAAACTCGGTGCCGTTAACTCGATTAACTTTTCGAGAATTCTCGCTCAAATCGTCTATTATTTCTATTCGTACTTCTCTCTTGTGAGAAAGTCAACCACCTTCAACCTCGGTGATCAAGTGCGCTTTGTTGTTCCCACCGGAAACTTTGTCAGTATTACCTTCTTCCTCGCTCACCAAGGGCTTAACCTAACGGACTTGAGATAGGGAGATATATTGGCAGGCTATTTTGCGTTCCGCATGGGTCTTCCTGTGGACAAGCTCGTCATTGCAACAAACGAGAACGACATCCTCGATCGCTTCTGGAAGACAGGTCGATACGAAAAGAAGCCGGCGCAAGGTCAAGAGGCGGAAGGTGGCCTGGAAGTCGATGGAGTGAAAGCTCACGAGGGTGGTGTACGGGAAACACTCAGTCCGGCGATGGACATCCTGGTATCCAGTAACTTCGAGCGACTCCTTTGGTTCTTAGCGTACCAATCCGCAGCCACCGGTGGCAGAGACGAGGAGTCGAACAGGAGACAGGCAGGCCGGGAAGTCAGTGCATGGCTTAAGGACCTGAAGGTAAAGGGTGGATTTGGCCCCGTTTCCAAAGACGTTCTCGACAGTGCACGCAGGTCATTCGAGAGCGAGCGAGTCAGCGATCCGCAGACCCTTGATACAATCAAAACCTTTTATAATAAGGTCGGGTACATCCTGGACCCTCACTCTGCAGTCGGTGTCACGGCTGCCCTTCGGTCCCTGGAACGGGCTGACCCGAATGTCCCGCACATTTCGCTTTCGACAGCCCACCCAGCTAAGTTTGCCGGCGCCGTCGAACTTGCTCTCAAAGATAAGGAGGGATTTAACTTTGAGGCGGAGGTGTTGCCGCAAGAGTTTGTCGGCCTGGACAAGAAGGCCAAGCGCGTCATTACAGTGGAAAATGATTGGAAGGTTGTCAGAGAGCTTGTCAAAAAGCAAGTCAAGACGGAGTCTCAGGCTCAAAGCACTTAAGCACCGGCTTTAGGGCGGAGCGAGGTCATGTTTTCACTCCGTACTCCGTAGATTTCTGTATTAATATTATTAGAGCCTGTTGGCGTCCCTAATTCGTTCTTAGTTAACTCGAGGGTAGCGAGTGTTTCAGCTCATGTGGTGTCGTATCTGCGCAATTGGCGATGGTGACTAACAATACATAGTACGGGGTGGTAACACCGGAATAGTCAGTATGGAGCCATCGTATCAAAGTGGTGAGGGGAAGTAAGCGGCACAACGGAAGGGAAGCTGCATGATCCAGCGATCCTGAAGCACCAACATAACAATGAAATCTCTCCACTGGTCTTGCGGAGACACAGGACTGTACTAGTATGCGGAGAAGCCCGTTGTGGGGGCAAAGATCGCTAAATTTGTCAATGTTCTAGAGGTAGCCGCACAGCCGAAGCAAGGTAATAATAGACATTTGAATATGACGAGGCAACAAACATGGAGCATCTGTTCGTCGCAGTCAAAATTTTTCGGGCCCGAAGTCAATGTCAAAATGCCGAGATATCCCGGAGAAGGGGTGGATTGGTCGAGGGTTCTGAGACAATGCCTCGCAGGGAACCGGGGTGTCTTGCCACGCAAAGAAGTGGTATTCACGAGAAGAAGCGATGGCATGCGCAGATAAACGGGAAAAATGTGCTTCATCACCTTGGTTGGGTTGTTAGGCAGTTCCCCGAGGAAATATTACAGGAAGATTAGTCGGATGCCTAGGTAAGCTATCGGGCTCCAGAGCATTGGAGGTTGAAAGGTAAATGAGCCCTAATACCAGAGATATTGAACAAAAATAATACTGACAGGAGATCACTACTTGTATTGAATAGGAACAATTGATGTTGTACATTGTTTGCCGTCGGTCACCTGAAAGAAATCCTGGATCACGGACGGTTGAAATCCAAAAAAAAAAAAAAAAAAAGAAAAAAGAAAAAAAGAAAAAAAAAAAGGAATGCAACAAAAGATCGCAGCAGATAGCTGGCATGTGATATTGGTTAATATTGACCAGATATTCTCTGTTGACAACAGCATTTGGTGCTCACCATCTGTCCACGACGTGCAGGATCCTTTTGGGGAAATTAGCAGGTCAACTTTCAATTCCAGAAGAATTACTACATAAAGGGCCGGCTAAACCAATTTGACTCGAATGTTATGCAACGACAGACAAATCCAAAGATTAACAAACAATGGCTTGAGAGAGGTCAGGGCACCATAAATTAAGCTGTTAGGAGTAAATGAACAAAGAAAAATAAAAAATTAAGCTTGGCTATAAACAGATCATACACATATCCCCAACACCGAAGGCCCCAACCAGCATTATGGTGTTCGTTGTCATCGCTGTGGTTGAGTAGAGGCATAATTGTAGTCGTTTAGAGGGCAAAGGCAGCGAGAACCAAGCCGAAGAGAGTGGCACAGGAGCCAGTCAGAGCTGCAGCAGCGTTGCTGTTGGCGGGAGCTTCGGTTGAAGTACCGGTTGGCTCAGAGCCAGTTCCTAGCGCGGCTAAATGTTAATGTTTTGTGTGACACGGGAGTCCTATGGGAGTCAGGACAATAGCTTACCAGTTGGAGATCCGGTAGCACTTCCACTAGCACCGTCAGAGCCACCAGCACCGCCAGTAGCACCAGGGGTGGACGAGCCACCGTTTCCACCATCAGCGGGGGCGCTGTTGGAAGGAGAAGAAGGAGGAGGAGTGGCAACGGGAAGCGTAGCAGAGCCGGTGAAGAAGTAGGTCTTGATGCAGTCAGATTGACACTTGGCATAGGCCTCAATGGCAGCTGGGCTTCCGTTGCCCTGGTCGCACTGAGCGGCGCACTGGACGGTCTTGTTGGCCATTGCATCGTCAGGGCATGGCACACCAACACACGCAGCCTGGCAGCAGACGTCTCCCTCAGGACCTAAACAACTAAGTTAGCGAAGATGTTAAAAGAGGGATTTACTCCATGATCGCAGCAGTCTACGTCGAAGTATATCTTTTATTTTAATTTTTCTTTTTATTGTGTGTTTAAACCAGAAAAGAAACTTACACGCGAGAGCGCAGCTGGCGGTTGGGGAGAGTGCCATAGTCGAGGAGGCAGCAGACGCTGCAGCAACGAGAGAGAGAGCAACAACACCGGAGTACTTCATTTTGATCGATGGTAAAATGCTGTACAGAAAAAAAAAGGTACAGAGACTGTGATTAAATGGTTAGACGCGAGAAACGACTGTTTACAAGAAGAGATGAGAAAACGAGCGAACGGATGTGTTATTCCTTCAGGAATCACGGAGCGGGATAACGAGCGTCTTAAAAAAGAGGGAATCGGCCTGGCAACAGAGGCGATTGACAAGCTTAAACTTTCGGTGGGAAATTTACACAAACAAAATTTTGATTCTGGGGAAAAAACTGGACCTTTTTAAAGGCCGTGGGCAGCCAGTGGGCCGCCTAGTAGGGGTGGCCCAGACAATGGTGATCTAAAGGTGACTGATTCCGGCATAGCGTTCGCCCAAAGCAGCTGAGGGGTGAGTTGGCTCAGCTGGCGATTTTTACTATTATTGGTGGCGTTTTGAAGGTTGGACGCCTGCTGCTTCAGATCAAACCACCCTTCGAAGCTCGAGCAGCCCAGAGGAGACGGGGTCAAGTTAGTCACAGGGTGGATGTTGTCTCGGGGACTCCTCCCATCTTGCGGTCTGTCGCTGCCAGCGATGAGGACCAGGTTCCGCCTCGGACAACCCTCCAAAACATTTTGTTTGGCTCACATTGGTTCAAAACACCCGACATCAATAGCACTGGTCTCAGGAAATCCTTGCTTTGTGGTGGAGAACGTGGCTTGGCGGCAAGAGTGGAAAGGTCATAGTCGGTCTCACCTTGCCGGCGGAGAGATGAAGGATGCCCAACCCAAACTCTGCGAAGGATAAGACAAGGTGGAATGCAGGCCCATGTCATCTGCATACTGGCAAAGTAGAATTTTTCTCACTCTTTTCATGTAGTCGAATGTGCTCGAACGACCAGGGGGTGTTGTTGATTCCTGCTTGTTCGCTGGATTTGCATCAGAATATGTACTCTATGCGCTGCTGAGCTCGGTGCTATTGCCAATCAAGACAGCCAACATTTCCATAATTAAGAAAAAGGGGCAAAAAAAGAAAAAAGAAAAAAGAAAAAGAAAAGAAAGAAAAAGCAATTGTAAGAATAAGAGCTATCCCAGCCCGCCAGCGAATGAAGCGTGGACAATTCTTAAACCGCCATACAATCGTCTTGCGATCAGATGATAGTATTATGTAATCTGCCTGTGCCAGTGCCGATGACGTAAGGGCGTTGGTCGAGACCCGTGGACGGTCACCTGACTTCGCGCTGCCTCCTGCTTGGTCGTGGGCGAGACGCGACGGACGCGAATCGAGGCGAGTTGACGACGGCCACGCTCCGTGCTCGCCTCCGTGTTCCGTGCCATTGGACGGACTTGCAGGTCCGGCTACCTGATGACAAGAATGACATAAGACAGCCTGTTTGACAGGCCTCGGGATGTCGTAGCCAGCTAGGATCGTGGCAACAATGGCCGACGACGGCTGTTCTGGACTAAGTGATTTCATCACCGACGACGAGCTCTTCAATGAAGTCACTCTCAACGAGGTGTCGGATTCCCAAACCGGCCGGCCGACAAAGCGTCGCCGCTTAAACAGCCATGAGATAGACACGGACAGCACAGGGAGGAGGGAGATCGAGGAAGCCGGTACGGATTCTGACACTTTCGATCCTTCCCTGCCTCCGAATTCGAAGACGACGGGCAAAGGTAGGAAGAGCAACGACGATAACCCCGCTGCGCGAAAGCCCAAGACGTATACTCCAAAGTACCATGTTGACCAGAAGCCTTTGTTTGTCACCCAAACTCAACCTTCATCGAGCCCGTCAAGGATTCGAGGACCCCGGTGGAAAGCGCCGGAACGCAACAAGCCCTCTACGGCCTCGAAGGCAAAGCAGAAATCCCCGCTTCCAGCAATCTGGGGAAGGAAACCGTCAACGATCGGGAGTCATGGAACGAATGGAAAAGATATCGATGCCGCTATCGCTGCATCACTTCGATCATTTGAGGAAGAGCAATCGGCTCGTGGTGATGCCGAAATGTTAGGTGATTCAATAGAAGAGCCGGGCGATACTCAAGTACATGCACCTCCTGAAAAGGAGACCATCTTTGACTTTGAAGATATCCCGGATGATGCTTTTGATTTTGAGCCGGAATTCACCGAAACCGCGGATAAAGAACCGATCTTGATTTCGTCCCAGCCACGGCCGTCGCAGAACACAACGCGCCGCCCAACCGCTTCCCAAAGCACGAGTTTCCGTCAGACGACTCTGCTGGGCGGCTTCGCCAGCAGTAGCAGTAAACGATCATCTCAACCCGCTACGCAGACTTGGCCATCATCCTCCCGGAACGAACCTCCAACCCATCACGAACTGAACAAGGACGCCCTTCGCACCTGGATTTTTCCAAAGAATCTTGGCAGCAGGAGGGAATACCAGTTCAATATCGCTCACAGGGCACTATTTCATAACCTCCTGGTCGCGCTGCCAACTGGCCTAGGGAAGACGTTTATTGCCGCTACGGTTATGCTGAATTGGTTTCACTGGACAAAAGACGCTCAGATTGTATTCGTTGCTCCGACGAAGCCCCTTGTATCACAGCAGGTGGACGCTTGTTTCCATATTGCGGGAATACCTCGCTCGCAGACGACGCTACTCACCGGCAATACCCCACCAGGTGTGAGGGCCGAAGAATGGCGGTCGAAACGGGTGTTTTTCATGACGCCTCAAACGATAGTGAATGATTTAAAAACGGGAATCGCCGACCCGAAGCGCATTGTCCTCCTGGTCGTTGATGAAGCCCACCGTGCAACGGGAGCTTACGCGTATGTCGAGATTGTCAAGTTTCTTCAAAGGTTCAACAACAGCTTCAGAGTACTAGCGCTGACTGCTACCCCCGGCGCAACCGTCGAAGCAGTCCAAGAGGTAATTGACGGGCTAAGCATATCGAGAATTGAAATACGAACGGAAAAGTCTCTTGATATTCGCGGCTTCGTTCATCAACGGAACGTCGAAACGATAACTTTTGAAAATTCAAGAGATATGATAACTTCGATGGAGCTTTTTGCCAAGGCGTTGCAGCCGGTGGTTGATAGACTTCGAAATCAGAATGCCTATTGGGGTAGGGACCCGATGGCTCTCACGCCTTTCGGTCTAACCAAGGCCCGACAGGAGTGGAATTCCTCCCCGGCAGGGAGAGCGGCATCTTGGCCTGTTAAAGGGACAATCAATTCAATGTTTACTGTGCTCGCCAGCCTTGCGCACGCGATCGATTTGTTGAAGTATCATGGAATTGGCCCGTTCTACAGAAACCTTGTCTCGTTCGAAGATTCGGTTTTGAAGGAGAAGAAAGGCGGCAAATGCGCTTCTCAGATCGTTGCAGATGGTAATTTCAAAGTTTTGATGAGCAAATTACGGTCCTGGACCAATACTGAGGAATTTATCGGACATCCTAAGCTTGAGTATCTGAGACGGGCTATTCTGAATCATTTTTTAGATGCTGGGGGGAAGAACGATGGAGATAGCGAAGGGTCGGACTCGAATACTCGCGTCATGATATTCAGTCACTTTCGCGATAGTGCGGAGGAGATAGTCCGAGTCCTCAGAAAGCATCAGCCGTTTGTACGTCCTCATGTTTTCATCGGGCAGGCAAATGCGAAGGGATCGGAAGGGATGGATCAAAAGACGCAATTGGAAGTTGTAGGGAAGTTCAAGACTGGAACCTACAACACTATTGTGGCGACGTCCATTGGCGAGGAAGGTCTAGATATTGGCGAAGTCGACTTGATTATTTGCTACGACGGTCACTCATCACCCATTCGAATGTTGCAAAGAATGGGACGCACCGGCAGGAAAAGAGCGGGGAATATCATCCTTCTATTATCAAAGGGGAAGGAAGAAGAATCATACAGCAAAGCAAAAGATAACTACGAGAAGATGCAGCAACTGATTGCTTCTGGGTCAAGGTTCACGTTTCACACCGATAAATCTTCGCGAATAGTCCCTCAAGATATTCAGCCGGAAGCTGAAGAAAAGATGATTGAAATTCCAATTGAGAATTCTCAGTTGGGCCTACCAGAACCTGCAAAGCGTTCTCGCGCGCCGAAACGGCCTCCAAAGAAATTCCACATGCCTGATGGTGTCGAAAAGGGTTTTACAAAGGCTTCGCGCCTCGGGCGTACGAACACAGACTCTAATGGTCATCGAAAAAGGAAGAGGGTTGTTCGCACCCCTAGCCCTGAGCTTGAGGAGTTTCCGGACCTTGGTGATTTGTGTGCGAATCAAAGCCAGGAATTAGCGGATGACCCGGATTTTCAGGAAGTAGCTGGCAAGCAGATCCCGCGCCTCCGAATGGACGTATACCCGGAACATCAAAGATCTCTTCGGCCAACAGGATTCATAGAGCATGGAAAGTACACCCGCCGGGTGGTCAAGACCTTTCGAAAGATATCAAAATTAGGGTTTGACTGTGAAGCCCAATATAGAGCAATAGTAGGTGACCCTGATGATGACGGAGAAGGTCTCGAGGGATTATCTACGGACCGGGAGGATGATCCTCAGTCTATCACAGCACATCAGTCTCGCGAGCAATCTCCTCGAGTGGAAAAGCGTTGCGGCACGGAAGAGCTTAGCTCATTAGATATCGAAGCATTCTTCCCAAATTTGACATGGCCCGCACGTCCGGAGGCACCGCGCCCTGAGTCTGATGGAACGGATAACGGGAACCAGAAGCCATCCCAGCGAAAAAAACGCTATATGATCAGTGATGATAGTGATGTGTCTGAATAGGAAGTTCAAGGCCATCTACTTTTTGTTTCGACTTTATATATATATATATATATATATATATATAATACGTTTGTGCGTAGATGTAATCTTCCGCGTTCTAGTGTCAAACACCTGTAAAATATCAGTTTCTTACGCGGCATAAATTGCACCAGATTGTCCGGAGACGCTTTTGCCGACGCACTTTGGGTGTGTCCACGCACCCGTGGGGATGCTGGCATCTTGTTGACCCTGGGACTCCCCAAGCGTCAACAACCGGCATTTCGCAGCAGCTGGTTCCCCAATCCGCTTACAATCGAGTCACAATGGCAGATACACAATTCGACAGTGCCCTGTAAGTTCTCTGTGGATCATCTGCACCTTGCCCTGTCACTAATTTGGCCCTTTTTCACGACCAATTTACCCCGCTCGACGTGGACCGTAAGGGGGGAACATCAGAAGCTAACCCGACGGTCGAATATCTAAATAGAGACCTCCTCCGTCGCCTCTCCCCACGCGATACTAAGCGCAATCTTCAGTATATTACCACCCTCGTCCCAGACCTCACAGAAGACCTCCTCGCTTCCGTCGACCAGCCTCTCGAAATCCGACGCTGCCGCCGTTCACAAAGAGACTACCTCCTTTGCGACTACAATCGAGATGGCGATAGTTACCGCAGCCCTTGGAGCAATGAGTTTGACCCACCACTTGAAGATGGCACGGTACCAAGCGAGAGAGTGAGGAAGATGGAGGTTGCGGCGAACGAGGCGTTTGATGTTTATCGAGAGTTGTATTTTGAAGGGGGTGTAGGGAGTGTGTACTTTTGGGACTTGGATGACGATGGGTTTGCCGGAGTGGTGTTGTTGAAGAAAGGTACGTTTTTCCCTTTGGAATATGTTCCGATATTGCCTCTGGGGATGCTTACGGGAGCGTGTTCCTAGGGATCACACCGGGTTCTAAGAATTCAGGGGCTTGGGATAGTATTCACGTCTTTGAAGCCACAGACAGGGGACGTATATGTCACTATAAGCTTACGAGTACCGTCATCTTACATCTGTCCACCGGCTCAGAAGTACTTGGGGATATGGATCTGAGTGGTAATATGACCAGGCAGATCGAAGCCGATATGCCTATTGAAGGAGACGCTAGCCATGTGGCCAATGTCGGCCGGTTAGTGGAGGATATGGAATTGAAGATGAGAAATCTACTTCGTACGTTCACCGTCAAGCTAGAATGCTTCGAGGGGATGATCCCAGAAGAGGCTAGGCTTCTGGTTTTACGCAGGACTGACGCACATATCTTCACAGAGGAAGTATATTTCGGCAAGGCAAAAGATGTCGTCTCCGAGCTACGAAGTGCGTGTTTCCTCTATTCTACTCTTCTTATTCTTGATAGTTATACTGATATGTGTTTGATTCGTAGGCATACAGCCATTGTCCGAAACAAACAGGGACCGGTCCGCTCACAGAGATATGATCAATTCAATGATGAAATAGTTATTCCACTTAGGACCAGTTTTATGCGAGGCGGTAGACTACCTAGTACCTGGTCCGGCGACATCCGAATCATGATTTACGACGATTCTTTAAGATACTTAGCGCACAGTTGTGAATCCAAAGAACTTCTAGACAATACGCATTTTGACTCTTAAAATGTAAAATTCCCTTTGAATTCATTGGTATCCGCTGCCCATATCATAGTAGCTCTTCAGAGCTGCTTCAATTGTTCCGAGCACTAATCTGTAGCGACGACATTCCGTGTGGCACTGGCTGGAGCAACGGACTATTGGCAAATGAATAGCGTAGCGCAGTAAACAACGCTGTCAGGTGAATTTGGTGATTGCCATAAGGTTGTGCAGGCGTATAACCAAATTAAGAGCCACCACCTGCAAGGATGTATAGGAATGCCGTTGGGTTATTACCTGCTTCAATATCAAGTGCCCTATCCAAGAAAGCATCTGCTTTGGTACACTTTTGACAAGACTTCTGGAGAAAAGACTTCAGTTCGAACTAGAAGCCCGCATTGATTTTGACGAGACACGACGAAGCTTGTCTCCGGCGCAAAGAGAAGGATATTTCAGGTGTATAGGACCAAAAGGGTCTCAATCGATTTCCATAGGCTTCAGCTGCGTGTCACTGTTTCGTTCCGCACTGGGATCCTCGGCGTCCATAGAGCCTAGCTTCATCACAAGGTCCTTGGCTTCCGCCCATAGCTCCGCTTCTTTATCCTTCCCGACGCTGTCTTTCCGGGTATTCAACCAACTAGTTTCAAGCGGGTTAAATGCGGCAGTAGAGGAACCTTCAGCCGTTTTAGTAGTTGTTTCAGGGCGAATAATAGATGCTTCTTCAAGAGCGTAGACTTGTCGGCGCAGACGAACATCGATTGATGAGAGGAGGGCGAAGTATTGCGAAGACGCAGCTTTAAAGGCCTCCTGATGAGCTTCTAAGGCGCTCTTGCTAGAAGGAGAATGGCTATCCTTGGTGCCACCATTGGAAAGAGGTATATTGGTTAAGGCTTGGACTGCAAGCCCCGCCGCGCGGAGCAGCTTTGTAGCATCCTAGGGAGGCGATTAACCATTGTGGCGGTTGGAAGAGGGGAGTTTGTAGACCCTACGCGATCAATTTCGTTCAATTGCTCAATTCTATCAGCAGCGCTGAAGGCGTGATCGGGCTCCTGGGAGTCCATGTCCGTATGCCATGAGAGAAAACAGCTGGCGTATCTGCCTGTCCTCCCTGATAGTTGAAGGTCCAATCAATAGATTTCGTAATATGCTTTCAAAATATCACGTGATTAAACAACAGCTTACATGACTAAGCGCTCTTCGGCCAATTATCAAATTGAGTCCCATAGATTCACGGACGGCATCGTCCTCTGGCATCCATCACTATCATGATACCCTCGTCAAACGAAGCCAGGCCGCTTGATTTGCCCAAGAAAGTGTATTTATATCTACGTCTATCTCCAGTCACAGCCGATCCACAGATCGTGTCACGTCAAAGAGGAGTAGATCAAGATGTCAGCTCCAGGCGGAGCCCCCAGCCCTGGCCCTCGCAGTGGCAGCATGGGCCCGAACAACCCACTGCCTACGCCTACTCAGCAGCAGCCGATGAGTAGCGCTCCTCCTGCCGCTGGTGGAACCCCTACTACGACTACTTCATCACCGGCAGTAATGTCGCAGCAAAACCTGAACCAAATCGTAAGTCGCTGCTACTGCTATCCTGACACTGCCGATATGGTGTTCGTTTCCTGACTCCTGTTTGGTTGCTTCAATCTTCATTCAAAAATTTTATAATATCTTTTATATCTTGTTTGTCAAATCTGCCCTGACCATGCCTTCGATCTTTGTGGTTGAATATAAGCAGCTCCCCCTAGGCATTCATTATTCTTTTATTCCCCGGCTGGATTTATCCAGGTATGAATCTGCTCTATATGGGGTTTTCCATGAGCAGATACCACATGCTGCTGAGTTGTGAGATTTGGTTATATATTGCATCCTCTGTTCACTTGCAGGTTTCCTATTGCCATGCTTAGGCCTTGCTTTCTCCTCTTGTCATTGTCTGATCGTGGATGACTCCTTTTCCATGTCCATTATGGAGTCGCTCAATGCTCCAGAGAAGGCCAAAAAGGCATTTGGGGAAATCCTTGAACCCAGGGGACTTTATATATCAGTTTATCCTAACCAAACAAAAAAAAAAAAGAAAAGAAAAGAAAAGCCATGCAGCAGACAATGTCGGTGGCAGAAGCAACACAAATCGCACAAAAGTGCACTGCTGCAGACATAGAAACTTTTTTTGACTGTGTTCCCTCTTTCTGCTCGGCACATTACATCATTATATTATGTTATGCTTTGATTCGTTTCTGTTTTTTATCGTCTACTGACTGATTCCGTCTCCAGGTCATCGATTATCTCGCAAAAAAAGGGTATAATCGAACTGAGATGATGCTCAGGATGGAGTCTGCGAGTCAGGAGATTGATGGACGCCCTCTTCCCCCTGTGGGGGATGACTCTCGCACAAGGTTCCGTCCTGCCTTTGGTAGGTGATGAATCACTTGACTTGTGTGAGCTACAGTTCTGACGCGCACTAGATATGATCAGGGCATGGGTTGAGAACAACTTGGACATTTACAAGGCAAGTACTTCATTTTACCTCAGTATATCCGTCTCTAACAATATTGGCAGCCTGAGCTCCGACGTATCCTCTGGCCACTTTTTGTCTACTCGTACCTTAGCCTCGTTTCGACATTAGCACCGACGGAAGCCCGTCAGTTTTTCGATGCGAACAAAGATCTCTTTCTTCCTGATCATAGTGAGGATATTCGGACTCTTGGGCCTGTCACTCTTCCTGAGCATCTGAAATCCAACTCTGTAGCGAAAATATACCGGGAAAACAAGTATCGCATCACTCTGAGCAACCCTGCTTTTTCGAATCTCATGCAATATCTGGAGAGCAAAGGAAAGGAAGGTGGTTCTTTGATATCTGCTCTGCTAAGCAGTTATTGCACTATTATAACCAAGGAACGCTCGTCTGATGAACGGTTCAGTTTTGCCGCCATGTTGGCGAGGGCAAATGATATTGATGGTGGCCCACCTCTAGAGGATGAAGGAATCCCTGGTCATCATCCCGGCTCCGCATACACCGGTGACAATCCCACAATGGCAGGTACACTTCCACGTCTCAAGCTGGGGAGACTTCCTCTTGAACCTGACCTTGAAAACGATGTGAGAGCGGAACTTGAGGAGGCAGACAGCAAGGAACCTCCTCAGCCAGGTCGTCCCTCTCTCGTTCAACATTTCGAGCAAATGATCAAAAAAGAAGACGACTTAGAATCCCCATCGCGTGCGGACATTCCTTACCCGGCATCTCTCGCTCGGGATGTGGCGATGGAAGTTCAGAAAGTAAAAGAAAATCGCGATAGATTTAAGGTTGAGGGTCGCACTGGAGGAGTTGGCCCAGCTATCAGCGTCTGCATGTTTACGTTTCACAACACATATGACGGGTATGCAATATATTTCTATGAACATGGGAGATTCACTAACTTTTCAATAGCATTAATTGCCTAGACTTTTCAGGTGACAACATGCTCGTTGCTGCTGGTATGCAGGACTCGTATATTCGGGTTTGGAGTGTCGATGGACTTCCAATCCAGCCTACATACCCAGAACTTGAGGATAAAGACCTTAAACCGTCTAACTCTCGTCGTCTCTACGGCCATTCGGGTCCCGTTTTTGCCGTTGCATTTGCACCCTCAGTTGCGAGCCCAGACGATGCAGAAGTTAAGACAAATACTCGCTGGCTTCTCTCGTCCTCCGGTGACAAGACCATTAGGCTATGGTCTCTTGACCTTTGGCAGTGTATGGTAGTCTATAAAGGACATGACCAGCCAGTTTGGGATTTGGCTTGGGGTCCATATGGCCATTATTTCGTTTCTGGCGGTCACGACAAGACTGCACGGCTTTGGGTCACCGATCGAATCCGACAACAACGAATTTTTGCTGGACATGACCAAGATGTGGACTGCGTCTGTTTCCACCCCAACTCTGCATATATCTTTACTGGGAGCTCAGATAGGACGGTGCGCATGTGGGCCATTACAACTGGAAACGCAGTTCGTATGTTCACTGGGCACACTGGCAATATCACTGCACTTGCATGTAGTAAGAACGGCAGGATTCTCGCTTCAGCCGACGATCACGGCTCTATTTTTCTTTGGGACTTGGCACCTGGCAAACTTCTCAAGCGTATGCGTGGCCACGGAAGGGGAGGAATCTGGTCTCTATCTTTCAGTGCAGAATCAACAGTCCTCGTTTCTGGAGGCGCGGATGGGACCGTTCGTGTTTGGGACGTCGCAGGCCCCGCTACTGATCCTGGTAGCGCTCAAGGAAAGATCATCGGTGAAGGAGGAACGGGGGCAAAAATCGATGCTGCGAGTACCTCAGCGTCTTCTGCTACTCAAACTACGTCCAGTGTGGGAGCCACAAGCAGCAAAAAGAAGGGGAAAGACGTAGTGGTTACTCCAGACCAAATCAGCGCTTTCCCGACGAAGAAAAGCCCAGTTTACAAGGTTCATTTTACTGGGATGAATTTGGTTATTGCTGGGGGCGCATATTTGCCTTGACTCCCTGGTTGTTTACCCTTCTCCATGTGCTGCTACTTACTCCTTACGATTTCTTCAAATTCAGCTTTTTTTTTAAGCTATGGGCATGGGTTGAAACTTTAACGGGAGCATACGGAGGGCAACGGTTTCCTGTGCCTGGCGTTTTGGATACCTTGGCGTGGCTCTGGGTTAACAATTTGGAAGAAGCACCAATCACATGATTTTCATGATTCCCCTTCGTCTCAGGGATGTATTTATTAGCATTTCTAAATGCCATTACCTTGATATTATCTAAAACACAGGGACCAATTTTCTCTCATTTAATAAGTATGATGTGGAGACATACATATTTTTACTTAGTAAAGCCGGAGGAGAGTACTAGCAATGTTAAATAAAACTTCTAAAGTCAGGGTAGCCCAAGTCCCTTGGCCATTGCCTTTGAAGCCATCATGTCCCCAACTTTTGGGGGTAAAACCAAGGCACTTCTATCATTTCGCTTGTAGAAATCAACTAGAATTTGGGCCGTTTTGGCAGGTTGATCTTCGTGAATAAAGTGACCTGCTTCCGGGAAAACTTGTAATTGGTATTTTCCTATGATACAATGATTAAAAGTCTCTTCCTAAGGATTGATACTGCGACTCGTTTTGAACGAGGGTACACATACCTTGCATCTGGCCGATAATCAACTCTTTATCTAACCTGTCTGTGCCTGCGAGAAGGAGCAATTTTCCTCCTCGAGCTTCGAGAAACTTTTTACTTAGACCAATAAACCAGTTTTCCCAAAAAGGTTTTGTGTATGCTAGATTAGTTCTCCATTTCCACGGGCGGCAAGCGTCTGACGAGTCTTCGTGGAGCAGGCCTGGAACTGAAACACGTGCTGATGTTGTATTTCGGATTGTTCGTGAGCGGAGGCTGACGGTGAAGAGTTAGTTAGTTGATCTATGAAAAGAAATTGGTTGCATGACGCAAGAGGAGATTGACATACTGCCAAGTAATACCAGTCGATAAGGATGGGAAACTTGACGGACGAGTTGAAAGATATGTTTCCATGCTCTGAAGGGCATCCATGGCGGAGCCTAAATGAACAATTAGCTTCTGTATTGCCTTTGTTTTGTCCTCATCAGGGCCATTTAAGAAACTGACGGAGAATGTGCTAACCTTCCACGACGTCGAGCACCGCATAAGCAAGGAGATCCGAACCCAATTCACCATTCTTAGCAACATCCGTAACTACGGCGCCGCCAAGGCTGTGTCCAACTAAAACTAACGGTGGCATAGACTCCCACTTCATCTTCACCTTTGCTTGATTGATGACAAACACCAAGTCGCGACTCAGTGTTTCCAAGCGCAGGTCCAGCTCCGCATGGCTTCCCGCATTCCCAGTATCGTCCTGGGTCCCACGCGTGGAAGTAGTGAGTCCATGATCGCGTGCGTCTAAAGATAAAATCCCTGCTTTTGGAAGAATTTTTCTGATTTCTTGGGCACAGGCCGCGAATGACAACCCCGATGACCCTGCTCCGTGATGCATAACGAACAGAGGACCAGAATCCGTTGGCGAGATAATATAGGCGTGATGAACAATGCGCACATCGGCAATATCTTCCTCGAGAAATAGTTCTCTCTCGAAGAAACCCATCCATGGAAGCGAAGATATGTCTGCTCTTCCTGCTTGCGCCCTTTGGAAATTGGGAAAAATTAGACCTCACGTTTTCAGGAAAATGGGCCGTCATGGAATCTCAGAAATCGCATAGCCAAAATAATCAAAGCTGCTTTGCCCATAGGAGCCTATCAAATCACTTGAAAAGTGAAAATGCTTCGACTATAGGGTGGGAGGTTCCATATCGACAAGCTATATGGAATTCACACATTTCAAAAGAGACATACCCACTATTCCTGGCAAACAAATTTTGACTAGGAGACGGCCTCACAGTGCCCGTAGACGAGGCAGATGACGCTGAGGACGAATCATCCTCAAATTCACCATGTCCAGCACCCCGGTGCTCATGCTCCTGTCTCTCGTCGAACATCGGAACATCAGGGGGAAGTCTCGCTAATCGTGATTTGGCAAATGATTTGTGCAGTCCGCTCATACTATCAAATGTGCCCTAGAGCTAGGTTGCTGGGTTTAATTGCCGATTTGACTATCAAGATCGAGCTGAAATTAGCGCCACTATTTGCGCGAACTCCGCTCACCGATATTGGATGATGCTATTAGAACCGAGGGGAATTCTAGGAGTGAGCTGTCTACAAAGAAATAGCTGTTAAAACGGGTATCAAAAGTAATAGTTTATTCTATATAAAAAGGTATTTTCTTGTTGGTGAGACTCATCAAAGGTGTGACGATGAAAACGGCCTGTCCAAAAGTTACGGCCACACGGAGTTGCCTCGTATGGATGATACGCGATGACTAATAAACGTTATACCACGTGATATAGCTAAGCATTTTGTTGGATGCATGAATGACGTCAGGGGATCTGGTTGCCACAAGCAAAGAACAGGGTTATTGCTCACGATCATGAGGAATTGGCGCAACTGCGGCGCATATAACATGCCAGTTTGCTTGGGAAGGGTGCCGTTCGTGTTGGATTTCATCAATTTTATTGGAATTGCCAAGTTAATCGAAAATTTTGAGCACTCTATCTCTAGATTGATGCTGTAGTGCTTCATCATGTCCCCTCTTTGGGGTTCGAAAAGCGACAATAGCCCAAACAGGGAAGAAGGGCCAGAAGACGGTCAGCGAAGTGAAAGGCCTCGAGATCATCGGGATGAAGAAAGAGAGCCTGATGAACAGACCCGTCTGCTGCCGCAACGAGGTGCATATCTGAGTCCGGATGATCCAGCAGTGAGTACATGCATGGGCGGGCAGTGTCTTCATATCGAGGAACCGGCCAGGTTAACAGACACACATTAGGTCTCTCCTTATAACTTATGGGGCGTTCGTGCCCTTCGGTCCTTGACAGTTCTGTTCCTCATAATAACACTTCTATGGTGGGTGTTGTTGCTCGTATCGATCTTCGTCAGTCCTCCGATGATGAACAGTCGCGGTTCCGGGTTCTTCGATTTCTCCTATACAACATTGACGCTCAGCAATCTGCTTATCGCTCTAATTTTCTTTTCCATCCCCTCACTGCCAATGACGATATGGGGAGGTTTAATGTCATTATTTCTGGCGGTAAACCTGTTTATAATCCTCGGAGTTCCGCGACTCCGAGTTGAAGAAGGATGGGTCGGCATTGCATCTGTGGCATGGGCGACGCTTATATCTTTATATTTGGTCGCTCAGACGCGATCTGTGGCTTGGGGAAAAAGAGAGGAAGAAGAGCGTTTGACCGGTCGAGAAGAGACAAGGAGGCCACTACGGGAATGGGTAGCTGTGCTCATTCAAACCATAATTATGACCATAACGGTCCTTATCGCGATCTTGCTCATGTCGACGTTAATTCTTCGTGCAAGAGATGCTAGTCTGGCCCCTCCGGGAAAGAAATACTATGTCGACAATGACAAGTATCAAGTCCATCTCGCATGTATAGGTGATACTCCTTCGGGCGAGCTCACCAAGGATCGCACTACCCCGACTGTGCTCCTCGAAGCCGGCGAAGAGCCAGTTGAGTATTCTTTCTTGACGTGGGTGGATGCTGCTTACCAACATGGCTCGATTCCGCGATACTGCTACTGGGATCGTCCGGGAATTGCGTGGTCCGAGAATGCTCCTTCACCTCATTCTGCTGGGATGTCTGCCGATGCTCTGTCTGAAGCCTTAGCCCTTGCCGATGAAGATGGGCCGTGGGTTCTCGTTTCTAGTGGTATCGGTGGGATATACAGTCGCATCTTTGCTAGTCGGCACACGCACAATATCGACGGAATAATGCTCGTCGACGCCATGCATGAAGATTTCCTCCCTGACTTAGGCAAGCCCGGTAGAGGATTCATGCTGTGGCTACGAGGGATCTTATCTCCTCTTGGGCTAGATCGACTAGCAGGGGCCATTTTCAAGGGCCGTAACCGAGAGGACCGAGTGTACGGGAAACGAGCCTATCAAGCTGGGAAAACCATCAAAGCGAAGCTGCAAGAGAGCTTAGTGGCAGATTCGATAACTAAGAGTGAAATATCAAGTGCTCGGAACATTCAAACACCTTCTACCCCGCTGGTGGTTGTCAGCTCAGGGAAAGAAATGAAGAGAAGCGAGAAGTGGGCTGATAAACAGGAGGACTTGACGAAAATCACTCAAAACCTGCTTGCATGGGATATCGTGAAAGATGCACCTCACGGGGTCTGGGAGACTGTAGAAGGAAAACAGACGTTGGAAAAGAGACTGAAGCAACTTATCGAGGGCAAAAGTTGAGCCAAACTATCAAGCTTTGGGGTATTGATCTTCACGCTGTTATGCTGCGAAGAAAATATGGCAAACAACAATTTCATTCCTTCCTTGAAACATTGTCCTTCTTGGGCGCAGTGACAAGACAGTCTGTGTGTTGTCTTGAGCGTTGGCGCAAAAACTTCCAGGAGGCATTTGAAAGTGTCCTTGGAATCAATCTTTCATCTTGGTGCAACCTGCAAGCATGTATAGTTATACTCCCCACATAGTTATGTGTGGCTTGTTATTCAAATATTTTATCCAATTTGTAAATTTCAGGTTTCACCTTTCGGACCTAGAAGAATCCCTAGTTGTTTGATTGTCTTAGTGTTGACTGAAACAGGATTTCATCATAGTCTGTTCTGTTCCTGTAGTAACACAATACGCTTGCGGATGCTGTTGCTTTCTCAACTCACGCGAGCCTGGCGCTTTTATGAAGTCGCACCTGGTCAGGTGATCAGTACATATGGATCACGTGTTTCTTGTTTGTTTGCAGTGTTTGCTCCGTCCGTTCCGTCTCATGAGGCATCCATGCATGCTGGACATGGAAGCTGATTTCAAGCACAACTGTAAGTGTTGGACCAACGATCCGAGCTAGCCATTGTCATACTCCCGGGTACGTATTATTGTCTACTATTATCCAGCCTTTCCCAAAAGAAACTCTTCGCTAGTGTATGTATACAAATATACAGACGGACATTTAGTACTCAGAATAAGGATCTATATACAAAGCCAATCGCCGCGCGATAATGCTATTCGTATGCTATGCAAGTTCCTTATTGTATTTAGGTTCCGCCACCACTATATTCGAGTCATCGACGGGTACGACAACGTCGGGCCCCAGGTACTTCTGGCCTCGAACAACCCAAGCAACTAGGGCAATAATGAGTGTAGAGCCCAAAGCCAACGAACTCCAGTTCATCGACTGGACAGTTGGATGTGGTTCTATCGGGAAGACCGCAGCAACCAAGAAGCAAACGAGGAACATAAGCGCCAAAATGTTGATAACATTTCCGCCAATCTTGCCGAGAAAGAATGGCGGTGGCTTAGAGAGATTGCCGTAAATGCTACCGTAGTTACGGTTATGTATACGGCAAATGATGGCAACGATGTATGAGGCCAGCAGTGCAGAGATTGCGATAGTTTGGATGTTTAAGAATGCCTCAGTGGAACCGAGTGGGATCAAAGCGATGCAACAGCCGATGAACCAGGTTAGGAAGACAGCGTTAGCAGGGACATGTTTGTGCGGAGAAACCTATATGAGAACTGTCAATAACCGTCCGTCTGTGGGCAGACTAAGCAATAGATCAACGTACGCGGCTTATCCACTCCGAGTAAGGCAACCCGCCATCACGAGCAAAAGCGTAAAGCTGGCGAGATGAAGTTGTGTTCGCGTTGATGGCGCAGAACAATAAGAAGAAAATGATGAAAGCCATCAAAACCAGCACTGGCTTGCGGTCTTGCGTGGCATTTAGAAGGATTTGGACCCAGGGAGCTCCAGTAGGCGTTTCTAAAACTTCTTTAACGTTGCCCACAACAAACATAGCGGCTAGCAAAATCATAAAGCCGACAAGATAATTGACGCTGGCGGTGATCATCATAGCTCTGGGGAGGTGTCTCGACGCATCCTTCAATTCTTCCGCCAGGTGGACCGCGGAATCGGCTCCGATCATGGTAATGACAGGGCCACTCGCACCCACGAAGCATGCGGTGCCAACGCTTCCCCATCCGGCATTATCTTGGAAGACTGTGAAGACTTCCCTGGCGCTAGACCGATCTCCCATAACAAGGAGAATAATGAAGATCGCGAAGAACTCCAAAATATACAGTGCAAAAACGACGCCTTCAATGCCTGGCATTTTTCTTGCGCAAAAGGTGTTGAAAACGACAGCCAATGTACATATCGCAATGGTAAGAGTCACAACGTGCCATGGCTTCGGGTTGTATGCAGGTGAAGCTACCACGGCAAAAGCTTGTATGGTGGCTCCACCAACATTGGCAGGCGCTGGGACAGCAGCTTGCCACCCCAAAGCACACATCCATCCTAAATTGAAACGAAGATAGTGTCAATCCAATCTGTAAGTGCTCGTACAGATTACATCGGGATACCAACCGACAATGTAGCTGGCAAGTTTTCGCCACTTTGCCGGAGCAAACACAGCTACCCAATGGTACTGCCCACCGGCAGCAGGTTCACTTCATCGATCAGGACATCGAACAACACCCAACATCTATGGCCAACTTACAGAGATGCCATCTCCGCCATTGATAGGACCACAGTGAACATACCGACACACACTCCTACATAGACCCAAACCGCGCCGGCGGGGCCGCCGTTCGTCAGGGAAAGAGCAGCAGTACTGTTGGGTACAATTAGTAAGACAAACTGATCGGCCCAAATTGTAACTTTCTCTTCTGCTCTGGAAGACCAGCTGGGCACTCACAATAAGGAGAATGGCCATGTTAGACCTAAAATCACTGAATACCCGGCAAGCGTTATCGTGGTATAAACACGCTACATACATATTAGTAAAAAATGGGGGATGGAGGGAAAGGTCACTCTAGAGGTGATATCAGGAAGGTTTCTCACATTCAATTCTTGCAATTTATTCATTCGCCTCATGTCCTCCGCATCCTTTGCGGTACCCGCAACGGGTGTCGTACGTGACTTACCCCTGCCATTGAAGAGAACCATCTTGCTAACGAGAAGTTCGCGCAATATCTTCAAAGGAAACTTTTCGAAATGGATTCGTAGAAAAGAAGGAGGAACTACAAGTGGGAAACGGAGGAAAGGGAGATGAGGGAATTGACCATTCCCACACCTGGTTCCCTGTAGGGTTCTCAGTTGCCGTCGATACCCTTGGAGGGGCGCATATGTACCCTATCAAAGCAACGGCCTCAGCAACCACAACTGTCCCGACCTCATGGGAGGTTTGGGCTCTCGGCTACCATTCTCCGTTGAACTCACTCCACGCGAGCTTGCAAGCTCGAACTTCGGACATTCACTTTCACGTTTCGCCTGTTGATTGTGGAGCGTGAAACCCGAATAGCTGACTGGGGGAAGCCCAGTGCCAAGATTGTTAGCCGTTTTTCCCGTCAACCGCGTGCGCCTTTGAGCATGGACCTGAAACGCATGTTCACCGTTAATTGGGTAATGCGCACATCGGTCCCGGTTCACATACGGCCTCCTCCGTACGGCCCGGACAAATCCTTCCGCGACTTAGCGAATATGCATGTTCGGGCCAATTCCAAATTTTCCCCGGAGCCAATTTGCCGGGGTGTCAGACAGCTTTTTCGGGGGTCTGGGCACCCGAATCGACCAATTTTCAGGTGAGCCAGGAGAGCAACAGCACTCGGCAAGATATTTTGTGTTGTTTTATCTTCCAAATATGGATAATCTTCTCAATAACCAGGGCGTGAGGCATAAAAATGCGCGATTGGAGGAATTGCCTATCCTTATAACACGGTCTAAGCCTAACAGCTCAATGCGCATTCCTGTTGGATTTCATACCCTAGTTCTCATCCCGCTCAACAGCAGACATTAATAAAATGTTGCGATACTAGATGTGATTAACCGCGTCACAACCTGGGACGTTAACGTATTTTTATCCCAGAATGCCAATTGATCGAAATTTTGATTTCCTTAAATTCCACGGGAAGATGCAATATGGTGCTCAGTTCTTGTGTTATACTAACCCTGAACCCCGAGCCCACCAACATTCAACACCCAGAGGGAATGGCGGTTGTCGAGGGCCGCGACCGCCTCTCCAGCCTGTCAGCGGACAACCATCAGCCATGGCTATGGGTCACGCATATGTTCTCGCTGGCATTCGTAACCCTGACGGCCCTTATCAGAACCCGAATAAAAAGAAGGCATTATGGCATCGAAGACGCTATGCTTCTTGTCAGCCATGTAAGTCTCAATCTGTGTGCTCTCCCGCTCCTTGCGCAGCTTGCTGATGAAAGAGTTTTCGTCTCTGGCCATTCTTCGAACAGACCTTCTATGTCACCTATTGGATTGTTCTCTTGATGGCAATTCTCGCTTCCCTCGGCAAGTCTGAAAAGGTGACAAGCGAGGCTGATATTGCGAGAGCGTCAAAAGTTCGTTATTGCTTCAGTTGTGCAGGTTGCTTCCGCTGACAGTGGTTTTGTTCACAGTTCGTGTTCGGCAGTCGAATCTTGCTGGCCTTGATTCTCTGCACCGTTCAAATCTCAAACATATTGCTGGTCTATAACATTTTCACCAAATCGGTGGAGCCTTCGCGCATTTCACTTTATGTCCTCCTAGGGGTTACTCTGGCCCAGGGTTTTGTGGGACCTCTGACAATATCGGCCGGGTGCTCACTGGACCGCATACCCTACGTTGGGAAGAATTCTGGGTGTTCCAGTACAGTACGGTTTAATCTCGTTTCCGTCGCACCTCTTTTCGTTCATTGCTGACTATGTGTATAGATAGTTCGTTGGATTATTTTCACCACCTTCGAGACAGTACTGGAATGCGCGCCTATTATTCGAGTGATGACCCAAGTAACCTGCCTGCAAGTTAGCCGCAAGACGAAAATTTTCGTGGTAGCCGCGTTTTCCAGCAGATTGGTGTAAGTACATAGGTTATTTCAAAGAGGATTCGATCAATTCTGACTTTAAGTAAAGAGTGCTGATCCCGGCATGGGTTCACGTAGCCTGTTATGACCGTTTCCTGAAAAAGGGACGTTCTAATATTGGGATCGTGTCAACAATCATCACGGAAGAGCTTTGGGCAAGTATTGCACTTTTCTCAGCGTCCATACCAGTTTTGATGCGTGTAGCGAAGCAATTCACCGTGTCGAGAGAGGTGGGTGATAGGATCATCCGCGATTCCCGCTACGTTGGATCATCACGGTCGAAGAAGACTCTTGACCACAACATCGAGATGACTCCAACAAGCAGCCAAGGGAATTGGCAGCCGTTGAGGAATAAGACGGAGCCATACCTTCACGAGGATAACTATAACGCTGCGATCCTCTCGAAGAAGAAAACTACAGGATCGATCAACAGCGCAAGCGAATCACAGGTGGGGATCTTGAGGGAAGTCCAAGTTGAAGTTTCATCTCTTCGTGTACATAAGGAAAGCCTTGAAGCACCCGTCACTCGTTGATATTTCTTTTTCTTTTTTTCTTTGAAAACATCTTCTCTTTTCCCTTTCAAGGTGTATGCGACTAATACGGAGGACCGGAGCTGAGATAGGACCACATTCTTCGGCAGGAAGCGATGTACGGCGTTGATAGGCACATTGGGAGAGGGACGAGTAGTCTCTTGCAAACTGTCAAATCCTTTGATATGGGACGTGCCCTCTCCTCTCCGCCTAGTCGTCATCTTCACTTCAGATCGTCACCTCTTTTCGGGGGTGCTTCTATTCTCTCTCGCAGAGAGTTGATAGGGTTGTGAGTGATCACGTGACCTGTTTGGTTTGGTTTGGAAATTTATAGCCCCGAGTCTCCGAGCAGCTTCTCAACCTCGCAAGGGTTACATCCTGATACATTCCCTTCCCGCTTTCATTGACAGGGGTGAGTGGAAGCACCCGGATTCCAGCTCTAACTGGACTAGACCTAGTATGCAAGGACACTTGAAGGCAGCACCTTTGGTGAATCATCGAAGCTGCTAAAAAAACGAGCTGCAGCCCCAACTACAATGGACTCTTGTAGTTGGTTACTTGGCATCAACACCCTAGTGTTGAGGTAGCATTTTTTGTATTTTCCCGTCTATGCCAGCCTCTGTGTTTTTCCCCAAATTTTCCATTTCCAACTCCTTACTGTTTCAATTCCTTCGCCCACCATGGACACATTTCCGCTCGAAATAATTGATCTCATTGTATTCTTTGCCGACCATGAGACGCGCGATCAGTTACTCACCGTCTCCCGCCGTTTTCAATGCTCGGTTGAGAAGTACAATTGGAGCGGCTACTGCTGCACTACTCGCAGCATGATGAAAAAGTTCCTCGAAATGTATCGTGGCTACCGCTCCCGGTACCTTCGCTACATCAGCGTCCGTGTGGAATTTCCGTATCTAGTGGACACCGAAAAAATGCCGATCAAGTGTCGTGAGACCACCGATGAGATCCAAGCCAATAACGAGCGTCTTACACGTCAGATTATGGGATTATTCAAGGCCCTGAAGACTTTAGAAGAGCGAGAAGGCCCACATAATCGGCCAGCGGGCATCCGTTTGCATATCGAAAATCCTTACCAACGTGACAACAATCATAAGCATTGTTACCACCACCGATACCGTGGCTGGCGCCTCAGTCTGCTTAACCCGGAGGATCTACCTACTCTCTCGTGTGTCCAAGAGCTCACTATAAATAAGTCATCGGAGTTGGTCGGCTCTGGGTACAGCGAGGAAAGCATGCGACCCCTGGATCTTGGCCTCGTTTCTGCTCTTATTTCCAAGCTTCCTAATCTGGAGGTTTTAAACTGCTTGTATCTCTCCGAGCGTTTTCCAGAGGCTTACGAGGACGAGGTGGTTTCACACTTTACGCGGCCATGGGAAGGGCCTTGGCGTGATACCAGGCATGCCTTTGGCAACACGATGCTGAGTGCACCCACATTGCCTCATAAAATTGAAAAAGCTGAACTTCTCTTTGGCCATAGCCCCCGTTCAGAACTTATGGTCGATCAAGCTCGCGCGCTGCCTGACTTGGTTGACCCTTTTACCTATGACCCAGTCAGCACAGCTCTCCGCGTGTTCTCACAGCGCGTGGTCGAGTTGAAGATACGCGCGTGCGCTGACAGCACCATTTTCTGGCCGTCTCCGGATGATGCAAAATCGGAGTCCCCGTTTTGGCCCTATTTGAGACACCTCCGTGTCGAGTTCCGGCCTGTGTCACCTTCTGGGGTGTGGTATTTCCAAGGTTCGCGCGGAGAGGGTCGGAACACCACCGGATTTAAGGTTACGCAGGAGCACTATCCTCCGGTCGAAGAAAACGCAGATGATGAGCGATGGGATGATGTTTGGGCCTGGGAAGGTGGCCGCTTTGAGAACCGTTGTCCCAATATGTTCCGGATCGTGCCTAACGATGAGGTCATCGAGCCACTGCTAGAGGCGTTTGCAAAGGCAATGGAGAAAATGCCGTTGTTAGAAACGGCCGAGCTATTTACAATGTTAACCTTCTTCCCCGGCGGGGACACCCAGCAGGAATATCCCGATGATGAAATCGACAAGCGGTACCTATGGGGTTTAAGGTATCATTTTCCTAAGGATAACAAAAGTGGCCCGCTTCTTGAATGGCGGGTCGGCGATTGGCGTCCAAGTAAGAAACTACTACAGCGTTTCCACGATCTCGGGAGCCACAAGGCCGGGAAGCCATTCCAGGAGAAGTGGCTGGACTGGCAATATCTAGATTGGTCGGATCCGTGGCGCGATCTTACCCATTCTTGATCTCTTTTCTTTTTGTCTCTCTCCCTTCTTCTTCTTCTTCTTTATTTTTTTTCTGAGTCCATACTGGAAATGGAAACGAGCCGAATGTGTATAGGAGGTCTTTTGATTTTGAAGCTTATGGTGGTGTGCACGAATGTATGTATTTACAGACATGGTAGGCCAAAACTTGCGTTCTCACGCTCTACGAGGCTCTGCGTCTGCAAAAGAGCGTTGTTCCCAGCCTCGCTACTCGGGCTTCTGCTGCTCGTCCGAGAGCAAGCTCAATTATATCCTAATTCGTGATCATTCGACTTCCAAATGAAGCGCAACAAAAGCCTGAGGGTGGGCTAGCAGTGCAAACACGACAAACAATGGACGCGGGCCAAGCGGTGCAAACGGTGCAAACAAACTCTTGTGCATACGCAATAAAACTTCGACCCCCATTTTTTTTCTTCCATCTTCACGGCTTTACAAATGAGGCATCATCAGAACATCAATCATTGTACTCTGTACTCCGTACCTTACAGTCTATTATCATCGTATGCTTTATTTTGAGTGGCATTTAAAGTCTGATAATTTCTGTTCTATCCTACCATGCTGCACCCACATGTTACCCACACACAGCAATACCCACCCTCGTGTTCGTCCATCAGCCACTCCCAATTAAAATGGATTTTTCCATTGCGAGAATGCTGATCGCGCCTTATCAAGAGCGTCGATTTTTTTAATCAATGCTCTTTTCTTCTTTTTCTCGTCTTGTTGCATCTGATTGTCGTTTGGATCGGGCTCCGCCGCGTCTCTCGCTGCTTTGCTTGCCCACAAGTCCTTCAGCTTTGGAGTCCAGTCTATGACCGGCTTGGTCGTCTTGGTGAAAGCTAAGATGTGTTGCCTCCTCATGTATTTGTTCCACTCTTTCTCCAGGCCCTGTGGCTTCCAAGGTGTATATTTCACATTGTTGACTACGCGTGGGTGTTTGGACAATTCCTTGTCGATTAATCCGAACATCTTGCCCACACGCTCTTTTTGGCGCTTGAGGTGGGCGGCGATGGTTGGATCTTTGTGATATAAAACCGAACCGACGAGCTCGCGCAGGGTCTTCACAGCTTGGTCGGGTTGTTTCTCGACGCCGTCTTTGAGAGTTTTGCTCGCAACGATCTGTGAATCGCTACCCCAAGCCTAAATTTTGAGAAAATGGTTAGCAGTCTGCAAATCTCGAATCAACGCGCTGTCCTCTCTCCCTTCTCCCTTGTCTAGCTGCTTTTTCTCAATAGCCCTAGCCTTGGAGAGGGTCGGCTATCAGCACAACATTCAATTTTTCTTCGCTCTTGTCATCGAATGTCTCGCGAAAATTGGCGTCATTTGGAAAATAGATGCAACACGGCAATGCCTTCTTCTGAATCTCAAAACGCTTACCTTTCCTTTGGACGGGATGTTGATCCGATGCTCTAAGACAACAAGCTCATTGCTGTAGCGGGTCTTTGTCGGATAACAATCTCCAAGGTGAGCAACCGGCGTGCTCTTGCTTCCGCCGATATTAATCGGGTCAATATCCCATAGCGCCTCGAAGTACGTGCAAAACGAGACCTTTACCCTCTTTCCCTGACCGTTTTTCCAATTCGGATCGGGGTGATCATACACCAAACCTTTCGTCTTGTTGAGATACGCCAGGAATTTTCCGGGAAGCTGGAACTCAAGAATGTGCTCCGTATCATACTGAATACCCTTTACACGGGAGGCTAGTGGCGTCCCGAAACTATAATCATCGCAATCTATCTTCTCGAAACCGTAAATCGGAGCTTTCTGCCCGAGAGAAAAATCACGTCAGCTCAACCTTACTGAAACAGCAGCGGGAAACACTTCAGGATCTGGCTGGTGGTCATATTACTTACTGGTAATTCGCCGCCGGTAGGATAAGTGCTCTTCATCAACAGTTTGCCGCAAAGCAGAGATTCCTTTGTGTTGGAACGCTTTTCCAATTCGCCACGCGTATCCAAGCTTGCTCTGGCTCCCGACGTTAAGCTATAATAGTCGTCCCCGTCCGTGAGATACTTGTCGTTATCCCATATGCCCGGAATTTGAAGGCAGTCATTACGGTTCTCTGGAAAGTCTGGTCCCGCCTCATCCTTCGGACAGAAAAGGTCTCCAACAGGAATATGGAATTTAGGGCCATAAACAGCAGCGCGCTTCTGTAGGCTGTGGTGACTGGCATTCTCTGAGTGTTTTAGGTGTGCCTTCGAGGTCATGTTGCCCTCGGTACTCCACGGAAGGCCTAGTGGCATACTGCCTTGCACTGTTGGTAGCCCTCCCAGATTAGGACATGTGCCGCCTTTAATAATGTCCTTCTCCCAACCGACTATGTCGTATGTGGTCTCAGGCCATTTGAGGATACTTGCGTCAGCTCGTGCGTACAACTTGGCGCCCACTTGCATGCCGTAGGTGAAGGGACATGTGGCCTCGGTGCTGATTCCGGCGGCCATTTTGACAAGGATGCTACCTTCACCCACAACCCCGACTGTGGCACCTCCGACCTTCCATCTATCATCAAATCTGACACCGAATTCTAATCAAGTTCATTGTGTGTTAGTGAGATGCCTATAATCATTCTTGCCGGACCGTCGATGTCACAATGATAGCCTCAGCAGCACCTCATGAAAAGTATTGAGGCTTTTGTTCTCCTTGAGAAGTAGGGTCCAAACTCACCGGCTGCTGCACTAAGTTTCGCAGTGATATCCCCTTCTACGGCCACGCCGGCATAAAATTCTGGCCTTTGGATGCCACTGAAATCCCCCGTTCTGTCCAAATCTGGGTCACCTGGCCCAATTTCCTTCGGCTTATACTCATCCATACCGCCATCTGGGAGCGTCTGCCTGATTTCCCATTTGGCAATGCTTATTTTGGTCTCAAATTTCGCCGCTACAGACAGCTGGGCATCAAGACCGCCGGAAATGTGAATCTGTGGGCCGATGGTTGCTATTCCGGGGATACGAAACGACGTTCCGGGAAAGGGAAGAGTGAGAATTGTTTTCTCCTTGCTGTAGGAAATGCTTGCCACGGCATCGAGCGTGAGGGTCGCTGTGATTTCACCTTCGTTGTAGAACGTGAGATAAGATTTGCTCAGATCAAGAGGGGCGATTAGGCTCGTGACGATCATTGTAAAGCCGAAAGATGTCGAGACTCTCATATTCGTTAGGGCTTTCGCTGAGATATGGCCGTCATATTTGACATTGTTCCTCTCGCACTCCCAAGTTTCGTCGACGATTACAGCAGTGAAAGTCTCGTCGACATCATGTGTAAAGTCACGCTTAATCTCAGGTTTAACCATCTTTTTCAGCCACTCGAGCACGGTAGACCCGAACCATCTCTCCTGGAGTTCCCGTTTGTCAAGTCCTCCGAAATGATAGTCGTCGCGGAATTCTTCTTCGAGCCATCTGACATGATTACCCCCGACGTCTTCTAGTGATCTCTTTCGCTTCTTGGATGGCGTCGCCGCAACTACTTCATCCCAATAATTATCTTGATTGCTGAAGTCCACACGCATTTGCGTGTTGCCGAGGTCGCGGGGAACCCGCGAGAAATCATAGTCGAATGTCAAGTCGTAAACAACGCCCCTGGAGCCAAGGTGCGCCAGATGACGGGGAACCATCTGCCGCTTTGCTGGCTCCATTGACTTGGCAACAGCGTACTTGCCAGGGCCGCAGCCTTTAGGCATTTGAAGAATTGTTCCAGGAACACCGTGACCAAGACCAATCTTATAACAGTTACTCGTTTCTGAAAAATCTGTGCACACCATTTGGATCGTGTGCTCACCCTCTGTCACGGCGTCTTTACAACCAAAGACTTCCCAATGCGACCCATCACGCTTGTCGATGGACACCTGGAGCTCTTCGGGAGAAGTGAGAACGACGAATTGAAAAGCTGTATCACTGGGGTTGTCATCTTCGTCGTCTAAATTAAGATCAAAATCTGTGTCGATATTGTCCCCCGTTGGGGGATCCTTGAACAGGTTCTCGAGAGGGACAGGGAGGAAGAGATGCTCTCCTTTGACAGGTTGGCAACAGAAAACGCGAGCACGCTCCAACTTCACACCACATGTGTCGCCAGCTCCGTAGTAGCTGTCAGTGAGTTGCACCTCTGAGTTCGCATCGCAGTGGTTGTCGAAGCAGCTGCCTGGTTCACCGTGCCATTTGCAATTCTTCCACTTCTTGGCATCTTCTTCAGGACAGCAGTACAGTTTCATTAGATCCAACTCAATTGCATCTAAAACCTCTGAGAGCTCGTCTCCAAACAACAACCCGATGGGCGTACGCCTTCCTATGATGTCAAATATCTTCTGGGCGATGTCGACTAGATCGGACAGGAAGGTCCCAGAGAAGGTCTGAAATGCTTGTCAGATCACATCGCTATTTCACTTGCAGTGATAAATGGGTGCTTATCGGGTGAACAAGACAATATTTCGAGAAAAGGGGCTTCTTACCATGGCTTTGTCACCAGAATTGCATTTCTTACCTATGCCTTGCCAGTAGCACTTGTTCTCCTGGGCAAGAGGGCTCTTGCAGCAATACGCTTTGTGACCGTCGTTACAGTGATGTCCGCTCCCCCACTTGTTCAATTGGAGTAGAACCTCGTCGTCATTGCAATGGCCATTGCACAACGGGGCCGTTCCTCGCCAGGTGCAGTCATCAGGATTAGGAGCTCCCGCCAGGGGACAGCACAGCTTGCTCTTCTTATCATCCTTTCCGCACTTCTGTTCGGTGATCTTGATAAATCCGGCCTTACAGTTACCGTCGCATCCTGTCACATAGCAATCCGGAATGTACGCGTCCTGGGAACCGCATTAGAATGTCTAAGGATTTCATGGGCATAAGAAGGACTCACGTCATACAATGACTTGTCTTTCGCGTTATCCTTGAAGTCACCAAGGCGTTTCGGTGCAATAACAGCTTGGAGAGCACTGAGATCATCGTCATCTTGATCGATCTGACCATTACTTTATCAGTAATGATATTTTTTCTCCCCCTTCCGAGTAAGGGACTCGACTTACCGCCCATATCAAGTAGCCCCCAAGTCCCAGTTCCTTAGCGAGTTCTTTCTTTTGTTTGAAGGTCTCCGCATCATCCTGGGAGCAGTTAGCGCCTTCAAGGCCTAATAAGGAAACCGTATGATCCTGCAGTTCCGTGCGAGTTCTCAATCAAGGGGCCTTACATATGAAACCCATTGGTCGCCGGAATATGTGATATACTTGACACCGGCAGTTTTGTCATGGAAAGGCTTAAGCTTGTCTGTCTTGATCATTGCCATGATCTCCCGGTAGGTGAGAATACCTGACTCCCCGCTGCAGGCTCCCTTCGCGGCTCCTCCCTTGAAGACACAGCCAGGCTTGTCGCATGCTGGATCTTGGAGCTGGAAGCTGCGTCCATAGAAACCAAGACCCATGTTGACTTTGTGTGCAGGGACGTCGTTACGCCAAAGAAGATCAAGGGCCAGTCTCATCTCGGTAATATTGGAGTGGCCATAGATGTGACTGCCGATGGGATTGTCACGGTCCCATACACCGTGCAAACTATGATTGTGGAGCCGGTCAGTGTCTAGCGCACAAACATGGCTAGCAGGTTGTGAAATCTTACTCGTAAGTCATCATATTTACGAAATCCACATAATCCACTGCCTTGAGATCGAAATGGCGAAGGTACCAGTAACTGCTTGGTGCGGTGAATGACACAGAATAATGCATGGGCTGCTTCTTGTTCACGTCATTCAATTCCTTAAGGAACTTCACGAAGTTCTTTCCGTCTCCTGGGATGCCACCGCGGTCATCAGCACCCGGATACTCCTATTGAAAGGTTAATACTTAATCCCGATACAAATATGGAACGGAGATCATGGGCAAGTACATACCCAGTCAAAGTCAACGCCGTCAAAGGCATATTGTCGCATGAAAGAGAAAAGGTTATCTATAAACTTGGCGCGATTCTCTTTTGTGCTGACCATGTTACTGAAAACCTTTTGTGTTGGGCCTGGTGCTCATTGTCAGTGACATTAACGAACTTGCTTCGACTTCTCTAACCGCCAATGCCATACTTCCACATGATTTGCTTGTGGTGTTGGCAAGGATGCCTTAAAGGGTTGGGGGTGGATCCCACCTGGATCGTTGAAAGTCCAGCCACCAAGAGCAATGACTGTCTTCAGACCTGGATTTTTCTTTTTAAGTGACGTGAAGTCGGAAAATAACTTGTCAGGAAGACCGTCCATCCCCGCGATCTTGAAATCGCCAGGGGTAATGTACCCAAATGAGAAGAAAAGATGAGTGAGCGAATTGACTGGAATATCTTTCAAGCCCTAGAACAAATGTGTTTGAGTTAAAGCCTAGTATAGGTTTGTATGGAGCACTTACCATGCCCTGACAGTTGCTGTCATGACGCCAGGCTTCATAATAACCGATGATTATGTTCTGCTCGCTAGCCTTTTTCCCCGGACGCGGCTGGTCACAGTTCGATTGGCATCCTGGTTCATCATCTGTGCCCTTTTCGCAAAACTCCTTTGTCATGCCGCAGAATCCCCATTTACTACAGCACACATTGAGAGGGCACTCTTTACCGGGTGGGTCGGCATTCTTGCCACACTCGGCTTTGGCGTCACAGTTTGACCAGCACACTTCATTAGGACTAATGTTGTTAGTGCCGCAGTACTCTTCGCCATAGTTGCAGGACAAAGTCTTCTTGGGGCAGCAAGCTCCTGCATTTGTGTCAGCACAATGTGCATTCAAAACATTTTATAGTTGAGCACAAGGGCAAATACCGTTGCTACATGGGCGGTCAGGTGCACAGGAATAATCTTCAGCGATATTGAAGTCAGTTGCAAGCAGGAATTTGACATTTTCCTGCGCAGCAGGACAGATCGGGAGAGCATCGTCTCCACGAGACTTAGCAGAATAATCAAAGATCCTGGGATGATATCAACAGAGCTCCCTCTTACGGTCTGGCAGGAAGTATAAATTCAGGGTCAAACATACGAGGCGGGATTTCGGCAAGTATTTGGGCTCTCATCCCTTGGTTTTAATGAATGATGGAGATGGCGATGGCCGTGATTATGTGAATGAGGGAATGCTGATGCTAAGATTGCTAGCCCAGCGTGTAAAATAAGGAAAGCTAAGGAGCGCATACTGACCCAGCAGCCTTCAGGCTACCTTCGGGGTCAATAGGAAAAAGGGATACACAAAGGGACAAAAGAGTGGACGTGTTTCCTTGACACAGCTCTTTCCCATTGCTTAAAACAAGGTCGTCGTCGTATGTATATATCGAGGATATCAGAGTTGCGATAAGGCCTTCGCTTGCCATCCCTCCCTTGTGACTATCATGCAATTGCTACGGTGTAATTTCGACCCTGCCATTTCACGAAGTGTTGGATGAACTATTGCCGTCTCATTTCCAATGTCACAGGGGAGTTCAACGTATCAACAGAGCAGTTTAGCAAAGTTAAGTGTTGGTGAAGGTCTCAAATTTAACCGACGGCAGACTTGCTCATTTGAGTGGAATCCGTTTATGTCCGAAAGGTGGATCGCATATCCAACTGTGCCTGCATTGTGCATAAGCGGCTTGGTCGAGCTTTGATTCAGCCCGGATTTCTGGTGAAGAAAGTACTAATCCCTGCTGGTAATCAACTCGTGCAGACTAACAAGGATATTTAGAAGGATTTAGAACACGAGCGCGCCCACTTCTCTCAATATTACAATAACCGATGCTGTTTGCCCTTGCAGGAACGGTGTTAGGGTGCGGAGGAAATGTCACCTCAGATTGCTTCTAAACTTTATTTTTACAGAATAACTCCGCATAGATACCAGCATTGCTAAAATTGCCCGCGCATTGACGTTGGAATGCTAGCCATGCTGCTCAACCCGGAAGCTCCTCATAAAACTTCTATGGCGCCCTGGGCGGCTTGCAAAGAGTCCGCGGTGCAGCCTCCCTTCTTTTTCTCCAACTGTTGACGCTCCTTTCAGAGTGTGGTCAAGATGCCACGGCCATTCGTTTTTGCATCATCGGTTCCGCTCCTTACGCATGTTTTTCACTTTGCTACCCTTCTCGGAATTTGGGGTCAGCCCGTGTTTGCCATTCCGATGGTATACAATGCGTCTGTCCCGACGACGTTGACAGATACGTGCGCCAAAGCCCTTCTGTCTGACGTATCCTGTGATCCAACGGTCAGGAATTTCCACCCAGGCTTCTACTATCCTCCTAAAACTTTGGAAAGAGCATGCACCAGCACTTGCAAAGATTCCATTGATGCATATTGGAATGCTGTTCAGTCGTCCTGCGGAAACGAGACTTTGACCGCGTCATTTGATCTGGAGGCGTCGGTGCTCATTGTTCCAGGGACTTACAAGTACCTCTATGAGTACATTTGTCTTCAAGATAGCGGGAGATACTGTAATAATGTTGCAGCTACAGCGGCAGCCATCGCTGACCCAGGAAGTATGCAGTAACCTTTTTTTAACTTCCGTCTTCTATCTGTCCCTGAAACTCACATGGCGTCTGGCGCAGACTCCAGATTTAATTATCTCGACGCGGTTCCTTCGGGTACTGTTCCTCCAGATCCTTGTGATATGTGCTTTATAAAAAGCCTTCGGCTGCAGGCCGGTTCGCCGTACTTTGATGGACCTGCGCTTGCTAGCATGTCCGCCTATGAATCAATGACCAGTAAATGCGGTGTGACTGGGCAGCCGCTGACCACGACCACTATTGGGTTTTATACGTGAGTGCATGACAACTCTCTTTCAGATATAACCCCTTGACTCGAAATTCATATTGACATATCCCAGTGAGGAGCCGGTGGTTACTCCTGCGCCGTGTATGGGGAAAAAGTACTCGATCCAGCCAGGGGATGACTGTTACAGTATCTCACGCTCACAGGGAGTGGGAACTGCCTGGCTTCTATCGGACAACAATCTGGCGTCATACTGTGATGACTTTCCCACGTCTGGCGATTTGTGTATTGTTAACACCTGCAAAACTTACACTGTAAAACCCAAAGACACTTGTGGTGGTATCGCTAAAAGCGCAAATATCACTATTCCCCAGCTCAAGGCGTGGAACCCCGTAAGTTGGAATCGTATCGAGGCCATGCTAACAAGGCAATCCGTAGCTAACCATGCAGCTCTAGATCATCAATGCGGGTTGCTATAACATGGATAGGTTGAATGGTACTCAACTATGTATCTCTGCACCGGGCACTGAATGGGTGCCTCCCTCTGTGACAGACCTTCCAGGCGCGACGGTCACTACTCCGGCACCAGTCCCCACTGATGCTGCTTCGGGATCAAACACTTACTGCGGCAGGTGGTACAAAGTGAAAAAGGGCGACTATTGCAACCTTCTCGTGCTCAAGTTCGCTATTTCAATGGAAGACTTCATATTCTTGAACCCAGCAATCAATAGCAATTGCACCAATTTATATGCCGACGAAAGCTATTGCGTTCAAGCAGTTGGAGATAGTAGGTGTCCAAATTATCCCAAATTTTTTTACGAAGGATCTATACTGACCTCGGTTTAGTCAACACCTACTCAGGAAAGCCTGGATATATAACTACACCAACTGGAGCCATTCCAACAGCCATCGAGACCCCATTCCCAGCTCGGCCTAATGCCACTGCGGCGCCATATGAAAGATTAAACCCCAGCTTGCCGTTGGCGAAAGGGACGCGTGATGGCTGTGTCCACTACTTCGATGGGGCGGACTACCAGTTCAACCTGACAGACACTGATTGGCACAGCAACTGTGAGGTTGCTATTGAAGTATACGGTGTGGACCCCGAATCCTTTGCAGTTTGGAATGCCGGGTTAGGCAATGTCAGTCAGCCGGAATGTTCATTCAAAGAGGGCTTTCGATACTGTGGTAGCTACTACTTGCAAAAGGATGACGTTGAGAGTGAAAACCCAACACCCACAATGCCACCCGACACAACCACAACAGCCGCAACACCCACCGGCCCTTCCCCGACCTCTCCAACAATGACAGGCCAACCTTCAACCTGCAACAAGTGGCATACCGTCGAACAAGGAGATACCTGCGATACTGTGACACAGAAGTACGGCTTGAAACGCGAAGAGTTCCTGGCTTGGAACCCTTCCGTCAGCTCTGACTGTAGTCAAAATTTCTGGCTGGGTTACGCATACTGCGTCGGCGTTGAAGGCACAACTCCCCCGATGACTACTACTACCACGAATGTACCTACTCCCCTTCCGACCAAGCCGCCAGCAGAGTGGACACAACCTGGCATGGCGGAGAATTGTGTCAAGTGGGACCGTGCCACTAGTGGAGACTACTGTGCCGCTCTGGCGGAGCGGAACGGAATTACCGTCGTGCAGCTAGCGGAGTGGAATACCGCGCTTGGCGCCAATGGGTCCAAATGTGATACCCAGTTCTGGTTGGATTACTACTACTGCGTTGCTGTTTCTGGTTAAACCGGAGGTTGATGATGGCTTGGGCTTAGAAGAGCCCCGAGTTTCTGTTTATAGGAAGTTATGTTAATCACCTTAATATCTTCTTCGGAATATTGATAGGTTCTCAGGAGATCGCGTATATGTATGTGTGTACAACCAGTCCATCCATATTACCATTGAATTATGGAAATTAGCCCTAGCAGGCCTGTAGTTGCCCTTGAAATCCCATACTTCTCGCGATCAGCATCTTTGCATGCATTGCAGTTGAAAAATAGTTGCATGGCGTTTTTATTCCCATTTCCCTTCTACCCTTTTTAACCTTTTACCTTGTAGCTGGTGGCGCCAACCCGACTCAATTAAATTTCAGATCCAACATGACTAAGGATTACACATAGCCCCGATGTCCGGCCCTTAATGACGATTTCCATATCAAGCTACTAAATAAGGTCAAACTGCCGAATTACCTTTCTGAGGAAAAGCGTTGTCTTGCAAGGTATATACTTAAGTATCCGTCCCATTCTGTTCATGCTAGGTACGCTCATATCCGCACCAATACGAGACCATAGGGTGAGAATCGATGGTAGATACGGGGATGGTAGATGGGAGGTAATTTGAAAATAAATCGAGGTGGCCGAATGGAAAGCTAGGTTCGTACGCACGTGGAAACGACGGGAGATTTTATTCTAGGCTAGCCCCCTTAAACCTCTTAGCAAGCTGATCACTATCGGAAGTCAAAGTCTTTGGATATAAAGGCACATGGCGAGTGTGATTTTTGTTGGAACTAGAGCTCTCGGTTTGGAATGGCCAAGAGCGTTTTGGGGGCGGCTCACCGCTCTCCTGAAGTATGGTCACCAGTGTAGCCCAGCCTGGTGTATTAATCAACTGGACGCCATCGGCTGGATCGTGTGTTCGAGCGACAGTGCAAAGGAGGGCTTCCTCTTCCTGGAGAGAAATCATTAGCCACTAAATCTATTACTCGAATTGAAATAAAAATCAACTTACCTTACTCAAGATACCGAGACCATGCATGAAACACAGTAGGTGGAAATTGGATACAGCCCGTATCGCTCCGTCGGGATCCGAGCGTGAAAGGAGCTTCTTTGCAACGTTTCGAATATCCTGACTCTCCCCAATAACCTCTCTATTCTCAATCGGAAATGTAGTATCGGCAAACAAAGCTGAAGGCTCTGTTGGGAAGCCATGGGTTAAGGTCACAAAAAGATATTCAACGGGGAAGGCCGGTTTAGCGTTCTCTTGAACATTCGCACCATATTCGTTGACTTTCCTATAGAAAACTTCGGGGATATATCGCGCGTTCCCGGTGTCCGCATTTTCCAACTCATTCTCACGCTGCACAAGCATCACCGAAGGGTCTGCAGAAGGTTCGACGATATCTGCTCTCACCATTTCCACGGCCGAATTGGACGCTTGATACGCACTAATGGAAATCGCACCATTCTCATCTCCACTCAAAATGCATGTAACAAAATTGGAGCCAAACCTGCCAGTTTCGCTCCACTTACTTGGTTTGGGGTATCGCGCTTGGAGTCGAGCCGCAAAAGCAACTTCGAGCGAAGAGAGGTAGTAAGAATCAATATGTCGTCGAGAGATAACAGTACCATCCCCAAGCCCTGAGTCCAGAAGATCAGTGAAAATAACGCCCACCTTTTCAAGCCCGCATAGCTTTGCCACTTCATCGACATCCCTCTCATTCTCCCATTCACGAAGTGTTATCCCATCAACCTCATCAACTTGAGGCGGTTCATAGATAGCCTGTACAACAGCCTTTACGCCAAGAGGCACCTCGGAATATTCTTCATATGTACCATACAAAAACCCGAGTCTCTGTGAACCCGATTTTCGCCAAAAGTCAAGTAAAGAATTAATGAGATCCGGCGAGGCAAACTCGACGTGATCCACCATTCGAAATTCCTGCGGCTGTAGTGTGATGGCGCTGGGTTGACATTTCGTGCATATTCCTTCAGGCCACGCTGGATGCCCGGATGGGCAATCTTTCCGCACCCTATAGTAAGGTTCTGTCAATGGGGGCATAAAGGAGCTCCCTAGCTCTGGTTTATTTTTTGACGAGTTGACTTTTCGTAAATAAGAATGGAAGGAGAGATGTTTAATCTTCTTGTCTGCCAGATATTCGGGGGCATATGGCTCCAGTGGCATGCAATAATCGCACATTCCCTTTGGGCCGTGGCGGCACATCTTCAAATCCCGTCCTCGTGGTATTTTGCCATCTTTCTTATCTAGTCTGTCGTCCAGAGCGGATTGCTGAACAACTTCCCATGGATTCTTAATGAGCGCGGTTGGAGACGAGGGCTGAGGGGGTGCTGGTAGGTCCTGTTCCGGTACTGGTGCTCCATTTAGTCGACGTGAAATGTGCTGCATGTTTCCAGCCGACGTGTTGGAGGATTTGCCATTTACAAGAGTCGACTGTTCACTATATCCGATGAATAACTTGTCCCCGTGCCTTAATATTACGCTCTGTTAATCTTCTATAGAGTTCCGGGTAGCACAAGGAGGTGCAATTGCATACTTTAGGCCAACTTGTTGTATAGAAACACCATCGAGCAGGCTAAGCTTTCTCTCCTGGCCCCCAGTGCCTATGGGTTGATTTGATAGGGCTATGGATGTGGGATCAACATTCTGAGGTAAATTCGAGAGGATCTAGATGTCATAGCGATATATGTAAGCCTAGGTGTCACACTAAACGAGAATGCCACACTAAGCTCCCGAGATAAATCCCATTCAGACATATGCCAATACTACCTTTGGTAATAGAGCCGGAAAGAGTTCAGCAGGTTCAACGGTCAAGCGGAACTGCCCATTTCGGCTCTCGAACCGGAGGATGAGGGGTTTTGGAGGCGCCATAGCTCGGGTGACGGAATACAGAGCGTTGGGTAGAGCGGATCTAGCAAGAGTGTTCTCTTCACCAAGCTCGCATGTTGGTTAAAAACGTTAAAATATGGGAGCAGAAATATTTCTGTAGCTACTCCAGAAATGCGATTCTTGCAGGGGGCAAAGAGTATATAAGAACTGTCGTGAAGATTCAACGAAAGATGAGGGCATTTGAGGACGTCAACGGCGATGTGTTGCCTGGCTGAGGTCATCGCTCCGCGGCCAGCTCTGAACGGCCGCCGGCGTGCTTACTCACCCACAGCGCCAAGTTGGCCCGCGCAGGATCAATGTTTTGCCGATCGCCGGGACACGCCAAACAGGCGATCGCTCATTTGTGGAATGGGCCATAGGGATGGAGGTTACAGTATCGTTGGATTTTGGGGGTTACTTGCAGAAGTTGGCGTGACAGGTAGCTTAAGTTTCCTCGTCCAAAAAATTCCTTGTAATCGAACTGCTCCTTTATTTGCACTGCACCCCAGCCTCACCCGAGGCTTGCAGCCACGACGAACTATGGTGCTTCCACTGGGAATTCCTGACTACATACATAGACGAGCCCATTACCTAGGTATTGTCCGTCTAGAAGGCCCGTGCTAGCTCTCTTCAAATCCTTTCAGAAGGCCATTATCTAGTCAGAGCTACATGACAGCCAGTTCCATTGAAAGACCCAGAGTAAGCCGCCCAACACGGCTTGCCACTACGCTTCATCCGCCCCTACGAAGGATGGGTAAAGGGTCGACGGAGGATCGGGGAATCAACGTGGCAAGCCCGAAGGCCTCCTGGCTCCGAGGGCACGTTGTACCCTGTACATCATGCTGACACTCCCCTGTTGGTTGTTTGTATGGACCGATTGGTAGCCCCTTACCTCCCTTTCTGGTCGTGATTCCTCTCTCTGGTGCGCCGCCAGTTATGTTGATAAAACGCTTCCAGCGGCCTTAATCGGACCTACAAGCTCTAAATCGCTGACTTAAATCCGGTTTGAAGAGAGCTTTCTCAAGGAATAGCGTAAAGTGCCTCTCCGCTCCGGCCGTCCCAGGGGAGAATAAATTAGCAACTGCACCCCCCGGCCCTCGAGGTCGTATTTCCTCGTTCTATATAGTTTGCAACCGAATGACCAAGATCTAAACAGTTGGTTTACTTGTCAAACCTTCACTATGCCATTCGGCGACTTCCAAAAGTCTTCAAAGGACATTCAACTTCTCTCCGAACATATTCTGGCCGCTGAATGTGAGGTCCCTGGGAGTGGCTATAATCATAGCGAGATGGATCTCGACAATTGTCTGGGTGATGACAATGGTATCACTTGCTATCGAGTTTTCTCCCTGTTCCGGCATTAAAATTTCTCCCTCACTTGTTTCTATGAAATACTTCTGAATTCGACGAGCGAACTATCCCCACATGGTGTATGCTAATGAGGCCAACAGGCAATTTCCAGTGGGGAGGAAGGAACTTCCACAGCCACGCTCATAACATCATATTTCACCCTGACGAGGGCGTTGCCCATGTGCCTGTCCTTCGGGCAGACCTTGACGGCGGAAGCAAGCAGAGTAATGTGAACCTGGGCGAGAGAATTGGCAATGTCAACGGCCATCTGGTGTTCAGGTGGTAAGTCTTCTTGTTATGAAGCATTGAAGATTCCCTGATGATATGTAGAAGAGGAGTGGATCTCCTCCGCTCATCTTGATATGCTGTGATTCGGCTTCGGACTAAAAGTGTTTGGTAATGTTGCTTTTCTATGGGGAAATTCAGCTATGAGGCAATTGTTTTGCTCTTAGTACTCCGTGGTGATGCTACTTCGACAACTACAAGTAACGATGTCTGAAACAATCCTTATCAAATGAAAAAAGTTTAGAGCATCCTTCCCCCTTCACTAAGATACAAAAGCTCATTGTGTAGTGTATCCCTAGCATTTTCTACTAAGAAATTAAAGCATTATCCGCGAATACTAGACGCCATTCGCAGAAACTGCAGGACCGCAGAACCAGATGATATCAGTTAGAGTATAACACAGCGCTTTGGTAACCCACAAGGACCGTCCTCAACCACTTCATCCTCAACATGACAATTCTTTGTTGGAACTTGCTGAGTCGTAATTTCGGGGTGTTCCTTTTCAGATAGAGATGGAGCTTCATGCAGTCATGCAAACCTAACCTTTGCGACAGCGTCGTAGAACGCCTTGCCTTGGATCTCTGCGAGCTCAATCTCCATGGAGGAGGGGTTTCGGGAGCCATCCCCAGCCTTGATAAGCCGAAAAAGTAAGCGTAGTTCGATAACATAAATAGAAAAAGAGAAACATCGTTATATATATATATATTGGAAAGTTGCTTACAGCGAAAGTTCCTGCACCCCATGGGCTGCCACCTCGAGCTTCTGAGAGGTTCGAAAGAATGGGGAAAGCGGTCTTATAGCCAAGCGGGACAAAGATCATTCCGTGATGAACGAAGGTGCTCATAGCCGCGATGACCGTGGACTCCTGGCCACCGCCGGGAGTGCCAGTGGAAACAAAAGTTCCTACATATTTACCCCAGAAACCTCCTTTTGCCCAAATAGAGCCAGTTTTGTCCCAGAAAGCCTTCCATTGAGCTGGGAAGTTCCCATAACGGGTGGGTATCCCGAACAAAATGGCATCATATTTCAACAGATCTTCTGGCGCGGCGATTGGGTGATTTGATTTAGCAGGGGCGTGCATTTTAGCGAGAACTTCATCTGAAAGAGTTTCTTCGATCCTGCGGCGACCTCCCAAGTTAGATCCTCGCTTACTTAACTAACAATTCTGTAAAAGCATGTTTGCAGCGCCAATTTGACCTAATCGACACAACCTCGGGCAGGGTGCGTACTGGTATAGATCGGCTGTGCCCCCGGCAGCCTCAATGCCTCGTTTTTCAGCCTCCGCGAGCTTCAATATGTGTCCATACATGGAATACTAGAACCATAAACTGCCATAAGCGGATGTTTGCCCAGTGATAAGTTTCGCAAGGGGCCAGAGCACGTACAAAGACGATCGCAATTTTGGGAGCCATGGTGGAGAGCTGCAAGTCCAATGAATTGGCGTTCAAGGTTAAAAAGGGTATTCTTAAGGAAGACGTTCAAGCGAGCAAAATGCAATTGAGCTTTGGTAATATCCTCTCACCATGGTGAAAACTGGGATGGGGATGGATGCACACTCCGTGTATATGTACGCACTCCAGGAGTCAATGACGTGCCTGGGCGAGTAAGCTTAAGGAGGGCTACAGATCCTGGGCCAAGTGGCTTGCCGGTTGGAAGGCAACCATAACGGGATTCTGGCCCAAAAGAAGCACTGCTCCATGCGATTTCCCAAACTAAATTTTTGGACCTGGGATGAATAGTTGGTCAACTAATCCAATTCCAGAGCAAATTGTTGCTGTTTGGCTTATGAAGCACTGACAAATATAAGAGCCGCAACGCGCCGAGGGGAACAAATTGGTGATCAACTCCGACAGGGCTGTAGAGCAGGCGGTCGCGGGTATCATCTGTGGTCTCGGCTGCGCCGGACAGCGTGCCTTGCGAGTCGCACAAGGTTGGACGCTTGTGCTTAGTTGAAGCTGACAAAATCGCACTTGAAGTGGGCGTGTGGGGGGACCGGCCAGCCCAGCCCGGTTTCTCAAGCGCCGACAGCGCGGTTTTCGCTCGGGCTTTTTCATGATTCCATCCCGGGGAGCAGAAACGACGCGCATTTGGTGTGGTGATCCGCGCACGTCAATTGCCTGTGCCTTGAAGATACACCAACCCAGCGCACCGCTGCAGGTGGTAGGAGAACTAATGCTCTCCATACTCCGTACAAGCTATGCATTTCACAGCTCAACGGCAGCTAACCATAGCAACTCTTTTGACCACGAGCAACAGCCGGTCATCTCCATTTCTCGTTCCTTCTTCCACTTTTTCAACTATCAGTTCGAAATCAGTTTTATGGGCTCTGGTCTCTCCCAGCGCAAATCTGGCCGCAAGTACCATATTGAACCCCAAAGCCACAGAGGACAACATGCTCGACAGTCAGAGCTTCCAGGGAAAAGATAACCCGCCCGTACATTCACTGTCTGAAAGCATGCAAACCTTTGCAATATCTATCTCGCTTGCTCTAAAGCATCTCGCAAAGAAGCTCCTGCATTGGTGAAACACTCCCTGTTCGACTTGCGACTGCTAACTGACTTAAGCTTCCAACTCTATGGTGAGACATGGTTAGATCTCCAGCAAACCAAGTTATTTTCGAGGTGTTGAAGCGGAAAAGCAGCACCTGCGCAAACTCATTTTCTCTTTGGCCTCTCGCTGTCTGTTAGCCAATATTCGGGTATAATGCTACTTAGTGATATGGAATCATCTCCCTAGATGCAAAAACGATCCTCCTCCAGTCTATCATTGGAACTTCTAGCCATTGGTACCTCCGTGATGTCGCCGTGCAGACCACTCGGTTATATCGGCGCCCTCGCCATCCTTTACGTCCTCTTGAAGCTCTCGGCAACAATATACGTTTTTATCCGTCCCTCCCGCCTCTCCAAATATCTTCGCAAGGATGTAGATACCTACGCTCTCATAACTGGAGCTACGGATGGGATTGGGCTGGGATTTGCCCGCGAGCTCTGCAGGCAGGGTTTTGGCGTCATCTTGCACGGCAGGTGTCAACATAAGCTCCAACGAACGCGGGACATACTGAAAGATGAATATCCGGACGCCCAGATTCGCACATTCATTTGCGATGCAGCCCTTCTGAACCCTCCGGAGGTCTTTGATAGCCTCGCACGCGAACTACAAGACGTGAACCTGACTGTTCTGATCAATAATGTCGGTGGTCAAGCTGGCTCCGTTCAGGGCCCATACAAAAGCTATCTGGATTACACCCACGAGCAAATCGATCGCGTGATAAGCGTCAATACGCGATTCATGACCCAGCTTACTCGTGTGCTGCTACCGCTACTTGATCGAAATGGACCCAGTTTAATTCTTAACATGAGTTCATTCGCTGCTAGAGGAACTCCCTACGTTGCTGTCTACAGCGCCACTAAGGGATACGTAAAGACTTTCTCCGCTGCATTAGCAATGGAAATGAGGATGCAGAAGAAGAAAATCGATGTTGTGGCTCTCAATGTTGCTGAGGTTCAGAGTGGTAGCCACACGGTCCCAACAAGTTTATTTATCCCTACTGGAAGGCAATTCGCGCGATCTGCTCTGAAGAATGTGGGCTACGGGAGCGAAACAGTGGAAGGTTATTGGCCGCATGCAGTTCAGGGTGTATTTGTTGATATGATTCCTGAATGGATGAGACAGATAACTGTGATGCAGGCTGTGAGGTCAAGAATCGCTGCGCTCCCCGGAATATCGAAAAATGTTAAGTAAAATGAGTTGCCGGACAAAATAACCACACAGTCAATCTACAAAAATGTATATTGCTGTGTGCTGCGTGAAACAGTCTTCTTTGGATGCTTGGACTAAAATGACCTTGGAATTTTTCGAATTTATTGTCTGTTCTATCATAAACGGCAAATTGGTATATCAAATAAAGAATGTTGCATGTATGACCGACATGAACCCCCAAATATATGTCCATATATTCTGTCTGATATCAAACCAAGAACCGAGCTACTCAGCAGGCTGCCGCAATCCCAAAGACCGCTATTTCTGCCATCCTCCTCCGATCAATTTCTTTCTTCAACATCAGCAAACAAGTTGCCACCACCAGTGCTTCGTCGACCTCTACCCCTATCGCACGATCATCCAGGAGCAACTCCCCTCCATTGCCAGCCGCAGATTTTGAAGCACCCTGCGGTCTGGTATGCTCATTCCTCACCAATTGGGCAACACGTCGGCCAATCCTGTCGGGATTATTATTCTCCAGACTCTCCAGGACAAGGAGCTTCTTGCAATTCCAGCGAGGATCATCACATTGGATGTACCGCCATTGGAAAGAGTCGCCGTAGAACGTGGTGAAGTATTGCGTGCGAGAATTCCATTTTCCCACGACTTTGATTTCGGGAGTAGAGGCATTGACGGCAGTGTCTGTGTTCGTATCTGTGTCAAGCGTGTTATCATTGGACGCGCTACGAATCACAGGGTCGCGATGAGGCCCGAAGAAGTAGCATGTCTTAAGTAGGTCTCCGAACTGAGGGGAGGAGAGCGTTGCATCTCCTGAAGACCGCTTTTCGCGTCGGGAGACATATGCTACTGAGCCATCTGGGTTGTGGATATTAACCTCTAGCTCGTAGGAGGCGACAGGGAGGCGGATGAGACGGACTCCCTGGGAGTTTATGAATAGAGATCTGCTCGGATTGAACGTAGATGGTGCCTGCGTATTGGAAGTCGCTGTCTCCGCGCTGCTGATGGACGATGTGATACTTGGAGAGCGTCTCGGTGCCTTGGCTCTTTCTTTTTCATTAATTGAAATGCCGATTGACGTTTTATTGTCCATTATGAAGAAGAATTAATATTCAGAGAAACTATAAAATGTACTGGGACGGACCCTTTTTACTGGATATCTGGAAAGCGATTTCCACCTCTGTTACCGGTGGCCCTTTTTATTCTTCTTCATAGCCAGTGTACCATCACTGCTATCCCCACACATTATGGCAATTTATCGTATTTCCAATGGCCATAACTTGACCGTTACCAGTGCACCGTTAATTATTCGTCGGGATAGCAAGATCAACGTGGCTGTAACCTGATGTCGTGCACGAAGGGTGTTGACAACTTGGAAAATTAGGTAAGTAATACGAGGACCGAACACGTCAGATTCCCGGTCCTCAGCCGCATTGCAAGCGGAATACAAGTCCTCTTGTGAAAAGAGCGTAGTTGTTAGCTTCGCGGGTTTTATCTAGGTTGTGGAATGCAATGCTGGAAAAAAAAAAAAAAAAAAAAAAGAAGAAGAAGAGGAAGAGAAAGACGTCGTCAAGCCTGGCGGAAACGGAAACATCAGTATGTTCATCTCCCTATTGACACTTTTGGCGTTTTAAGAGGTTGACATTTTACTAATTATATATAGAGTGCTCTGATTCTCACACACCAAAGCCTAAGATGTTGGCATGCATATATAAGGGCAGGTGTAATTTCTTCTCTTCCCTCCCGGGCTCGGTTGCCTCTTGTTTCCGCCATATAGATCTCAGTAGCCCAGCCAGTTATTCCTAAACTGGTCATCCGTCCTGATCCTTCAATTGTCACGCATCAATCCACAATGGTGGTCCAAAAGTCCTGCTCTAGGAGCGTATAGACAATCAGCCCATTCCCAAGGCTGCAAGACCTTTTCCTATATATATAAAGATCAGCCACTATATGCAGTCGTTAAAAAAAAGGATAATATGATAAAAGCAGTCGTGAGTTGCATTTATGAATGCCAATCTAGAGTAATAATTTCTATCGTGGGCTTAAGCCCTGACTCGGCACCGTTTTAATTTGACACTGCCCTGCTTGTCTGCGAGGCCCAAAAATCCTAACAAAAAATTGAAAACAAAGAGACTGAAAGATATGAAGCCCGAAATTAGGTAGTTAGAAATCTGAAATTCCTCTTCAATTGCCAAGGGTTTCGGAATTTCGTTGATCCCATGGCGGAATAATTGCAAGAATAGCTGCGCTTGAGTACTCCGTTTGCGTGGAGGCCTCATTTCCATAGACCATATGGCTTAAAGCTTGTTTTCTACTCCCTGGCTTATTTATCCAGTTAATATCGGAAACGCATATGCTCGGCCAGAACGAGCCGAGAACCTTGCTAGAATTAGCTCTTGGAAAACGAAAGGAACACCTGCAGAATAACTGGAGAAAACATACTTCTGGAAATGGCGTATCATAATCCCATTCACTCGTGGCCATGGGATGCAATGCAGTCCCCACTATATTAACCCGCAAGCCGGCACCATGAGGAATTCTTGTCTTGTACAGAAATTGCCACCTCTTGTGTACATCTTGGACGTAATCATCACTGTGAAATAGATGGAAATACTTCAATTTCAAGGGTCTTGGTGTCGTTTCTTTCCGTGTACTATTAACGTAGCCTTGTTTGCGATATTCGCGAAGCTCACAAGATGACGAATAGTCCCTCTCATAGATATTGGCCTTGTTATCGGTTGTTAGTTCCATGTGCCCTCCGGAGGAAAATATACCTCAGACGAGCAGATTTTATCGTAACTCACATGGAGGATGGGCATAATCCGAACCCAAAGTCCGAGGGATTTCAAAGTCGCGTAAAGCGCCATATCCGCACCCTTGAGCTTTCGAGGCAGTAAGAGGTTGGCTTCTTTGCTGGTGTGAGGATAAGAATGGGAGCAGAAAATGCCGAGAATACCGCCTAATCCGAAGTCAGCAAGAAGTTCAATCGTTTTTACCTACAGACCGCCAACCTTCATCCATAAAATCGGCCTGGGCAAGCAAACCCTTCATTCGGGCGTACAGAGGTAGAGTACGAGGGTCAACTAATGGGTTAGGCAATAAGCTTGCACCAAGCGGTTCGGTGATGAACAAGTTATATGTCAAAGTTACCCGATGTCCTTCAGTAACACGTTCTATCTCATGTTCGCAATCGCTGTAAAATGCCGCCCACTGGATATTTGAAAGGCTTCCATCATCCCAAGGAAACTCCACGGAGGCACCCAGATGGCGGACTACAAGTTTTCCACCTTGGTGAGGTGATGGAAGACAGACCACTAAGGATCCAAACTGGTTTGGAGAGCGTGGGGTATCAACGTGTGCGCGAAATAATCCTGAAGGGCCAGAGTAAACCTGCTATTTTTAGCCACAGTTTGGATCTTTTCGGATACGGGGACAAACATTCAACTTGTAGAGCTCAGCTCTCACCCGACGAAACTCCAGAGCATTCTCTAGCGAAGAGCTTATGTTCGGTAGCAATGTTTGCTCAACAGAATCCAGGATACCGAAGTCGGCTGGGTGGAACGTGGTGCCGAAACGGCCAGTGTCGAGTTTTCCAGCGTGGCGGTAAGAAGGATCCAGCACGTCTTGATGACCGAGCCCAAATGTAGCTGGGGTACAGTCTTCGACTAACGTCTGGAATGAACCAGTATTGGAATCTGCATTTGATCCAGGTAGAATGGTTTTGCAAATGGTTCCATCCTTGGAAGACCAATACAGAGTGACCGGGGAGGATTGTCGCAACACATCGCATCTATCCTGCGAGTGGGTGATGGCAATTGAGCCACCGCAAGTGAACAATGCTTCGGATTGGTCGTCTTTGACCACGGATTTTAGCTCGTCGAGTTGTAATTGACCTACCCCTGGAGATGTAATCCTGGAATCGTCCTTGTCCTGTTTGACGGATACACCCTGTACATTAAGATCCCGTGTACCTCTGACCTCCAATAGCTTTTTGTGCAGCTCTTTGTCACCTGTGCCAGTTAGATCTCTGCATATGACACATCCAAAAAGGTCTCACCGCTTGGTGCCGTCTTCTCCCACAGTAACCATTCCTTCCATCGCTTTCTCAACCTCGCTTCAAGTATGTCCAGTTTATGGTCACGTGTGGCGGAGTCTGGGAACTCCTCTTCGCAAAATTCCGGGATGAAAGAGTCTAATTCAGCCAACAGGTCATCTTCAATTTGGTCCAGCAAAGACCCGTCAACTGGCTTCTCGCCTTCTTTGAGATTTTCAACGGGGATCCACGGAAAACCTTTTTTCTTTCCTGGGAGTTGATAGGTCCGAGATATAAATTTATCAAGGCAGGCATCAATTTTGCAATCCTGGCCACGTTTGTTAGTTAATTACCCAATCGGGGTGCCACTAAATGTCTACCTTGACCATAAGTTCCCGAATAGCTTTCGCAAATTCCTGCAAAGACATGGGAAATTTTCCGAGCTGCTCCGGGTTGCCGTCGTGCTGGTCTGACATCGTGGATGATGCCCGTGCAAGGCTTTGGAGAAATGTCACCTTGTGTCACGTTCAAAAGGGATCAGGAAGAAAGTGGATTGAAATAGTAGAATGTTGAAAGTGCATTCAATCAGTCTTTTCTGAATTGATATTTGGAAAAGCCAAAGGATCAAGAGGCGAAGCCTCAGTATTTATGTCCTGGGAACATTTTCCCGATTTTCCTATTCAAAGCCCAGTGACAGCTATCTGCTTCCTGTTCCATCTGTTTTGCTTAGGATTTAGGCAGCTACCTGCCTTAGGTTCATTTGCCGCAACAAGGTGTAACATGGCCGGCTCTTTCAACTTCGATAGACAACAAATCAATGGTGAAGAGGTTCAAGGACTGGATGATCATAATCAAAACACTGCATGCAGAATCAATTGATGCCTATGCCACTGTGGTTGTCCTGGGAATAAATTTAGGCAGCATTCCTATGGGCGTGGTCTTTCGGTATCACGGTTGAACCAGCCACTTATTTAATCTCATTTTCAGCATGCGAGATACACGTTGCTCGGGACATTTTCTTGGTTCGCAACGCCTGATTGGCTGCATAAATGCGCCAGACACCTGGATACCTTTGAGGAGCATGATCGTTCAGTGATGAAGTTCAATGCACCTCACAATGTCTGTGTTGAATATCCCAAACCCCAAGGCGGGGTTTTCGCTCAACTTGGATGGAAATATCTCCGTTCTGTTCAAGTTCACGCGCACCAAACCTTGCTGGTTGCTCTATCCAAAGCACAGCCAATTCTCTATCCTAGAGTAATAACCAACGCATTCAAATGTTCTGTTGCGTCTTTGTCCATCTATCTCGTCCCACAAGCACTGTGCTCAGAATCATCGCGCTATTTACAAGCACTGGTGACACTTCAATCCATCCAACAATAGTGCCGGGAATGAGCAAATCACATCCATGGATAGTGAGATTGCGCACCAGTGTGGAATATGGATAACCGGCCTTGTGGGCTTGACTCTGCGGTTTCGTTTTCGCGCTTCCGTTGGCGGTTGATCCGTTTGACCTTTTGCTTTTTGGTTTCGAGTACTTGTTTGTCGGCTGTCGCGTGGGACCACGCGACTGACGCTCATTTGGTTCTAAGTACAGCTGGAAAAGTTGCCAGATATTTCCTATTATTGAGAACAGGAGGGCATAGAACCAGAATTTGTTGGCTTCGATAAGCGCCATTCTACTCCACTTTGTAGAGTGAAATCCCAATGAGTTGGGCTGCCAACGGTGTAATATATGTCAGCTGTCCATCACGTTTAAACACGTTGGGCTCTAACATGGCTTCACTACATGTATAAACCCATCCGGAAAGGCTCCTTCAAAGCTGATAACACTCACGATAGTGAAAGCCTCCAACCAAAGGTAGCACCCGTAGGAGCTCAAGCTGCACACTTCAATGGCCACAGCTGTCCGCCCACGACGGTTGATAGTCTCATTTTGTCCAATCAACGTATCCCACGCATTTCCAAAATAAGTAATAAATTGAAAATAGCGAAAGTATCGACGTCCTAGGTGATGGGAATGTTTAATTAACATCGATGCAGAGTAGTTCCTTGCTAGTGAAAAGTACCAAGAGCAAATTGATTTCCCACGCCCTTCCATCTCCAAGCTTCTTTATTCCCTACCGGCTTCCATGCCACTACTAATTGGCAGACTGCCTGGAGTAGGCGGAGCGCATTTTCAATCCCGGGAGCCGTGTTCATATAATGGGCGAATTGCAGGGCGAAGGGACGCTTTGGTGTCGACATGGGTGATGTTTTGGGAGCAATGAGGCCGCGAAGGTAGCTAGGTTGTCCCAACAGTGAAAGGGAGGGAGATCAATTGGTCATGTTATCTTTGGTTGGATGCCAGAAGAGCGGGTTTTTATTTTAACAATGTTATCCCGAGGATATAAGTTAACCAATACGACAGTAGGATGTATTAACGGTTCGCCGGATTGTGGAGTCCGCCATGCACCCCAAGCCGAGTAACATACGAAACGAGCCCCTTATTGAATTCAAACCGCCTTCGATGCATTAAAGAGTTCATGGTGTTACAAAATCTACAAACATACGAAGTACGCCGTACACAAGAACACAATTAAAGCATGAATGCGAAAAGCAACGCCGCTGGGTATCTTCAAATCATCAAGTCCAATACAGCGTCAAGAAAACCGATCCTTGTTCCAACCGTGTACTTTTTAATGAAAATCCGCAACAGAATCATCCACAAACGCCATGTCCATGCAGTTTTTTTTTTCTGACAAGCGAATAGTGAAAATGAGCCCTCGACCACAGCTATAGCCTCTTCCCGCGAAATCTTCCACCCATAAACCGCCCGCCGCGACCTCGTTCTCTCCTCCATTCTCTTTCCCTCTCCTCCTCTTTCTCCTGTTCCTCTCTGATTCTAGCCTTCTCTCTCTCGATTTCCTCCGCAGTTTTTTCCACTTTCACCGTGGGTTTCGGCAAATTCTCCGGCCATCTTGGATGAGCACCCGTCGTGCAAACTCTTCCCTCAGGACAAAATCCTGCCAAGTAGAAAGGACATATCTTCCTGCGAACATGCTTCTTTGCACATAAAGGCCCTAACGGACAGAATCCCTTATCATAATGTTCACAAGGTGGTAATTTGGCTTCTTCGGAAACGTGCTGATATAGACAATCGTCGCCGTTGGCGCAATACCCGCTTCGCGCAAAAGCCTGGCATTCCGGCATGCGGCGCAAATTATATTCATGTAGATATTCGCATTTTATTCCCTTCTTGCATAGCCCCTTCAAGTAATGCTTGCATACAAGGCTGCCGTGTGTAGACGATGGAGCAATCGCGGGCGAAGTAGCCGTAGAGATTCGGGAGGGGGTTGGATGGCGGTCTGGGCACATAGGCCCGAGTGGGCAGTGGCCTTCTCGATAAGCCTTGCAGACGGGAACATCCGAGGCGAGCCCAAAACCGAACGTCTTGCGAAGGAACGGGCTGAAGGCGAAGTTGGTGAAGTTTGGGTCGCGAGGACTGTCGGCGGATACGATCCGGTCTGCAACACGATGAACCTCTGCCATCGTATAAGCACTTGACGGTGAAAGCAGCTTCTCGAAGCAGAGCAGGTGATAGATAGGCGAGAGTTCCAACCTAGGTCACTGTTTGTAATCGACATGAGAAGCCAGGAGGAAGTGGATGAACAAAGCCGCAGAGCTTGCTTCAGCCATTTGGTAAAATTACATAAGCAAGCGCTCAAATGGATGGAGTTGTCGGCGTTTTTAACAATCATGGCGCGCCGATGGGTCGAGACTCGAATGCTGTGGCACGCATCTGCTCTTACACAGACGTTTTTGCCGCCTTCGATGCTCGCAACACCAGTTTTTGGAAAAGGCTCCTGTTAGCGGTTCCTCTGTTTATTCGACTATATGAGTCAGATAATCTCTGCATACCGAGCTATGCAGGGTTCATGCTAGCTAAAGGTATCACCAACGACGCGTGTGATGCTACGAGGAGAGGGTAAACAGCGGAAGAAAGACTCTGGGGCCCAGACCGATTCCGGGCCTTCCTGTCACTATTCCTCATTGTTTTAGGTCTTCACAGTGCCTATCTCAATACAATACGTCGCGGTGACACTGGCCAGATGGTGATGATCGTCTCCCTTTTTAACACTATAGGAAAGTCATATCCGGGCCGTCCCAATGTGTCAATAATGAGCAGCCGATTGCTGTGATGATATCTAATCTTACTATGCATGTGGGTTAAGCCTGCTTGGACACATGGTTAGGTTACATATCCATCGGCGGCAGAGGGCTTGTAACTCTCCACGGTAAGGAACAGGCTCAGCGGAATGCGTCCTCTATGGGAAATTGAACTCACTTCCATTAAATATTCCATGAAGCTATGAATTATCGTGGGATCAACCTTTATAGCTGATATAGTTTTCTATTCTATATTTGGCAGCGGCGGAGGGGGGTTCAGTCACCCTAGAAGGCAACCAGCTCGATCATGTACTCTGTTATCGAAGATCTCGTGGAGACATATCGATACTCAAGCCAAGGTTGCTAATCCCGGTCAATCCAGGGGTGAGATGTATGCTAAAATCCTCGGCCTTCATTCCAGCGAAGCAACGGTGAATTTCGACTCCAGGGCTCCCTCTCACAAGCAGTAACAACGTTCAGAACAATCATTGTTTGTCGGCGCAGGAGGTTTGTGCAAGTGGACTGTCAGGAATCATCCCTTGATGTAAGGCAAAATGGGCTTGGAACAGCTGTATCTAGCACCAAGACTATTGCTTAAGGGATGAGTTGCTTTGTTTCCCAGGAAAGCTGACTGTTGTCTTAAGAATACCAGGCGGTTGTCGCGAGCAGCCTTTACATCCAAAAAAAAAAAGGAAAGATGGCCCAATGCAGAGTACAATACACTCAAAGATCATGATTTTCATCAGTAGACTGAGCAACACCCAGTGTTACTCTGTACATGTAGTAGTTACATACTACAGACAGGACATTCGGGCGAACAGGAGGTCGAGATGGTGCCTTGTCGTACAACATGGGAGTTAGTGAATTACAGGCCTGTCAAAGAAGTTAGAACTACGGAGTAGTGAAATAACTAACTAGTTAGTTAACTAATAAGTTACTAAGTACGGAGTCCTCCGTACTTCAGACTTAAATAACTAGTTAAGTTAACGCGCAGGTAAGTTGCATAGCTAAGTGATTCAATCAAGCCAGCGAAGCAAGCAGCGATCTGCTTCACGAGATATAGCTGGTGAATTTCCTACAATTCATGTCTTCCGAGCAGTCAAATATATGGAGTAGTCACCATCAAAATAAAATCCCAGACTTGTGTGTAAATCACTGGGTCTTCACCTGCACAGAGTAAATCCCTTGATTGCATGCATTGTCACGCTCGAAAAGTGGAGCAGCTGATGATCTCCAGTAACTTTTGAACTTTCTGGTTCAACCCAGTGTGGACTTTGATTCCTCATTTCCCCAGCTGCTCGGGGATGAATCCTTAAGGTTGAGATTTGTTTCCTTTGTCTCCCCTCTAAGCCAGGTATTCCCACGACGTATTCCATAGGCATTGCGTGCAGGGACCTGCGTGTCAGTAGGATCATCGGCGGCTGACCAAGATCGTCGTCTTGCCGGGGACGAAGGGGCTGAAAGGAAAGGACTTGCAACCAAGTTCGCGACTTTCTAAGTCTTAGCTCGATGTACTGACATGTAGCATCCAGTGTACCTTCGAAGAGTACACGCAACTCTGCTATTCTCTCTTACCCATTCCAAATCAACTTCTCCATCTTTCGCCTTTCTAACTATCTCCTTTTGAAGTCTCCCGGTCTTTCTTTCTGTCCATTCAAAGCGAATTTGCATTTCGCTTTATCTTCCTTTTCAACCGGTGCCCTGGCAAGGCCAGCTTCGATGCATGATGTTCAAATACACCGGACCTACCTATGGCCCCTGGCCCCTAGGAATCAACGGGGCCACTGGCCAGTCTGACAATATTTTGGGCCCAAGTGACATCTCTATTTATTTCAATGCCGTCTACTACCCGAGCTGGAGGATCTATAAAAGGCAGCCTCCGTCGTCGCTGAGGTTGGGATGCGTGAGCCATGTGTTTTACGCTTTTGCATGGTATGAACCAGCCGAGATGTGTTTTTGAGTCTGGGATGGTTTTGGGCGTCTCAAAACAGGTAATGGGTATGATATGCTAACTGTTGTTGCTTTCAGGGTGAACCCGGACGGCACCGTCAGAGTGAGCATTCTCCATTCCTATATACCCACGCAGCTCGAATGGTGAATTGATATGTACCTTGCAGCTCAGCGATGAATGGGCGGATGACCAAATGCCTGTGGATGGCACACAAGGATGTATCAGAGCATTTACTCAACTCAAAGGACAATACACAGGGATGAAGGTGATCCTTTCGATCGGCGGCGGAGGAACCGGCAGTCAACATTTCGCCACCGTCGCCAAAGACCCGATCGCGCTCCAGAACTTTATACAGAGTGCAAAGAATATGGTGGATCGGTTTGGCCTTGACGGGCTTGATAGTACGTTTGTCCCTCAGTCAACAGCCACGGAGCAGCATGCTGAGGCTAACATGGATCCGGGCAGTTGACTGGGAACACCCTTCTGACTCGCAGCAAGGAGAAGACTACGTCAATCTCCTACGCTTACTACGAGAGGGCCTTCCGTGGCCGCAGTATACGCTAACCACTGCCCTACCGGCAGGAGAGTGGGCCTTGAGGCACATCAACCTCATCCACGCCCAATGCTACGTCGATCTAATCAATCTCATGACCTATGATTTTTCCGGTCCTTGGACACCTCATAGTGGTCATCAATCCCAGCTATTTTCCCCTCATATCCCGCATAGCGAGGCGGCAGGAATCAGCTGTCACTCTGGCATATCATACGTGCTCGCGCAGGGTGTTCCGTCGAGTAAAATTCTCCTCGGCATATCCGTATACGGTCGAGCGTTCCCGGGAACGACGGGGGTCGGACAGACACACTGCATTAGCAATGAGACGCCTGAAGACAAAATTGTGTTTGATTATTGTGACTTACCACTGCCAGGTAGCGTAGAGCAGCACGATGACCGTTTGTGTGCAGCATTCTGCGTGGATCGTAACGTGGGGTTTGTTTCATACGATTCGACAAGGACAGTGGTGCAGAAAGCAAAGTTTGTGAGGGAGATGGCACTAGGAGGTTTGTTTTATTGGCATGTTGCGGCGGATGCAGTTGGGAAAAGGAGTCTGGTCGCGGCGGGGTACAGTGCACTACATGATTTGTAGTTTCAGGGAAAAAAATATTAAAAAAATAATAAAGTGTGCAGTACTATCGTTAAGTCATTTCGCGTGTACAGCTGCTGCCATTATTCATTATTACGAACTATATACAACTCTCATGTAAGCATAGAGTGCTCTCAACAGGCATATGCAAGCCTAGTAGGGTATCCAAACATTTATCGCATACAGTACCACGGACACCCACGGACAGCATGTCAGACGCCTGTGGGGCGGGGAGAGCATTTGGCAGATATTTCCAATGTAAAATCTGGTTCCAACTCCCCAAAAGAAAAGCAACATGATCGTGGTTTATGAACCATGAATAAGGTAGGTAGGCACATGTGTGGATATGTGACCTTTTCCCGGTATGTTATGTATGTATACAGATAGCCAGCCTCCAAATAAACCGACCAAGATATATGCATTGTTCTGGCCCCGAAAGATTATACAGCATTCCGGCTCGGGATGCTTTGATATGGACGAAGTGAAAAATAATAACAATAAGAACACCAATGATGGGATATATAAAAGTATAAAAATGGGCAAAATGGAACAGGAGGGGAGGGGTGTTTACTCGAACAACACCGCTCCGACATTCAAGTCCACATGGAGTCGGTTGGAGGCTAAGGCCTTAGTATAGTAAGGGAGATCCTCGCCGTTGTACCTGGCCGACTCTCCGACGATCTCGATGGGGAGGATGCCGTCTCGGTATGGGGCGCTTCTGCCGGCAATGAGGCCGAGGACCTTGGCTTGGTTGACTTTGGACGTCATTTCGACGTTGTTGTCACCGGGGCGGATGACGACATTGTTCATGAAGGATTGGCCAATGGGTTCACCGTCCACGGAGAGGTTGAGTGTGAGGTTGCCCTGTTTCATTGAGGGTGTTCAGAATGGAACGTTTTAGAGGAGACCGCCGCGGTGGTGGGGGGGAGGGGAATCTGCTTACCATGGTGAGAGTCATGACGCTAGGGTTAGGGATGAACACGTTTCCTCTCATGTTAGTTCCGTCATCCAGGGCAGGAGTGATGAGGTCAAAATCGGTCACGTTGAAGCCCTTGAGACCGTTGAGGCCCTTCAATGTGACGGTCTTGTCGTAGTTTACGGTGGTCTTGGGCAGGGATCCTTCTCGCAGGCCAGTCCGGCCGTGGATGATCATGGAAACGTCTTCTTGCTTCATGACAGCGAGGGAGAAAGCCGCAAAAGCGTCGGCATTGGGCAGGGATACGTCCTGGTCGATTTTAGCAACGGCTCCATCGACGGCCTTGACAGATGGCACATCGAGCTTGAGGAATGGCTGCTCGTTGTCGGGGAGGGAAACGTCGGCGTTGAAAGCGTCGAGTATTGGGTGATATTTGCTCTTGGAGCCGATGACCTGCGTCAGTCTGATATGGAAGGATTCTGGAGCTGGGTCGGTGATTTCCATCTCCGTGATCTCGAGAGTCGATCGGTTGACATCACGCTGGGCAATGTTCGGGTATCCAACATAGATGCTGTCGGGCGCATCAGCATGTGGTTCAACGCGTTGTTCGAATATCACGACTTACACAGGCAGGACGACAACAAGGACGACAACGATGAAGCCAATGAGATAGGCCCACCAAAAGCGCTTGCAATGCGCAGCACAGCCGCGCTTGCGCGGTTCTGGCACGGCGGCTTCGACCGTCCCCTGGTTATTCTTCTCCGAATTGTCCGACATCTTTGATGAACGTTGTTCTTCTTCTTTTTCTTTTTTTTTGCCGTCCCTTTGTTCGTTCCTCCTTTCCTACAGGGGAATGCTCCTTTGAGCCACAGAAGCAGGGCTTGTCAAAGAGGGAGAGGACTCCTATAAGGTTACACAAGAATCAAGAATCAGTCACACAAAATTCAAGTCAAAGCCAAAGAAGAATACGGAGCAGTGAGTTTAGTGACGACAGCCCGCGGCGGGAAGCACAGGTGAAGTCGCCAACTTGATCGCGATAGTGTGCACATAATCAATGTCCCTAGAAACATGTTTCATGACGATTTCGAGATTCAGGAGACACAGAATGGCGAGGGTGCCTAGCCCCAACAAAGGGACCCGAAACATCCCTGGGGAAAATAATATATCACGACAATTCTATGGACAGGCCATACCTTGTTATCAAGCTCAACGAGCTCACGTCTGTGCAGACCAAACGAGCAGAAAGGAGAGGAAAAGGGATACGAGTCGCAAAAGCACTCACACAAGCAGAGGTAAGGACGGGCGACTCGGACAAGGAGGCGAAAAAAGACAGGAAGAGGGAGAGAAGAGGGAGAGGGAGGAAGGGATAATTTATGAATTATTATTTTCCCTAGGGAGTTTCTCTCTCTTCCGCAGCTTTTATTTTTTGAAAGCGATAGTCGAGGTCTCCATCACTGTATTTAATTTATCCCCGCTTATAGCACCATCCCGATATCCATAACCTTTTGGCACGGAGTAAGCTCTCGTCTTCCATGGATCCCCGTTGTCTCCTGCCCACCCCCCAACTAATTCAAACCCCTCGAACGCAGCCGCAAACCGGACTAGCGGCCATACCTCGACGGGCATTGGCGCTGTGTGGTCTCTAGATCTACAGTCCGGGGCTTAGTCCGCTGCTAGCAATGTGAGAGCAATGTTGGTAGCCTTCACATGTCGCCCGCCAGGACCAAATTACCCGCGGCCCAAGACCTGATGGCTGAGATCGTTAACTGGTTAGTTATCGTTAGCCAAATGGCCGGCGTCTTGGGCGGCCAGGATTCATAGTCTGTATATTTCTGAAGCGCTTGTTCGCTTGGTGGGAATACAGCTGTGGGGAAGAAAGTCTAAAGAGAAAATTTTGCATGTCATTCTGGAGCAGGAGTGTGGAGACGGGACCTGGCTTCGTTGCTGTGTGCTTTTCTGTCACTGACGCCCAGTCGTGGTCTTCCTGAGTCTGTTCTTTGCCACAGAGACGGCCAGGCCGGCTAAGAAGGGCCTGTTTGTGTGGCCACTTCCAAACAGCCAGCCAGACAAGTGCCACGCACGGCCAGGCTTTTTCCTGCGAGTCAAAGGCAAGAAGCACATGCCATCTGAATGGTCAGCGCAGCCAGTCAAGATCGACAGCCTGTCTCTCGAAAAGACACTAGGGGCCAATCGGCGAACTGCAGACCAGCCCCAAGAAAAGAGAAGCAAAACTGCCAGGGTAGAATTGCAAGGGGTTTCCTCTGGGCGCAATATTAATTGACTTTGGCGCGCCCTGAACATTCCATGGTTGAGCCCGAACACCTGAACCAGACCCGTCGACCGTTTTAATTCTTTTCTGTAGCATTGCCACTCTTTTCGCAATCAAAGCCATCATTTATCCGGACAAATTTTAGTCTAGTCCGTAAATGCCCACATGATGCTGCGTTGGAGCTCTTTAGCGTCCTTCGCAACTGGATTGTCATTGGAAGAATCAAAGCTAGCTTCGACGAACGGCTCTTTAGACTCTTCGACTTTCAAAAATAGATCAGAACCGTTTATGATTCTCGAAAATCACGAGTCTTTCTGTAACAAAACCACATTTTCGTCCTGGAGCATTGCTTTCTCACCTTATGAAAATTGGGAGTTCGGGAGGACGCCGGGTTGGTTCGTGGCCGCAGGCTGATCTCTCCACTCTGTCCCACGATTAACCTGGTGCGACGCGACACAACAATAATCGACGAGTTGGAATTGAAGTCCTTGTCAGAGATGTGCATTTAGCTACAGTACACATGCTTTGCTCTGCTGGACAGAGGGTTGATTTGAGTCGACTCTCGGAGCAGATGATTTCACATGCAGCGATTCTGAAATCCTCTGTCTGTCTGGAAAGCCATAACGACAGCTGAGATCAACGGGTCGACAGGGCATCTTGCAACTCATTTTAACTAGACGGATTCGATAATGGTAAAGGTAATAACTCAACCAGCTAGCTATATCCTCCTGAATGCTATCAGCAAGAATTATTTACTACAACCGTTTCTCACCAAAAGCAAACATATAATGTTCAAAGCCACACTCCGCATCCTTCCCCGCGCGTTTCGACCCCGGACGCAAAGACACGCATATAAAGTTTTGATTTGCGTGGAGTAATTCTCCTCAAGATACGGAGTACAAACGACAACTATGGAAAAGAGGAGCAGACAAACCTTGGGAAAGAAAAAAGAAAACCCTACTCCATATGGAGTTACCCCGTGCGTTGGTCTGTCCTGACAAATCTCGGGGGAGTCGTGGATTATCACATGTGTTTTGCGAGAGCAGCCCGATAATGCCGAAAGAAGGAAAAAAAGCGGAAGTGGCTTTGCAACCCCGCCAACCTTTTTCTTTCGAGTCATCGCGTTGTTTCTCTCTCTCTTTGTCTGTCTCTGACGAGCTTCTGACGCCCTGCAGCATGCGTGCGTTGCTCTTCGTATTGTTAGATATTTGCTGTTGCTGTCAAGAGTCTAGGCTATGCAGGATCCGATGTGTGAGACTCCTACGCATGCCTAAACAGACCTACGCCCCGATTTGAATTTTGATGATAGGGAACGAACCGCGAAATATACGCCAAAGTTGCTGCAATTCCAAAGGGCGGAACAAATTGGTCCCAATTATACTTATTCTTACAAAAAAGCCCTCGAACGGCACCACATCCACCAAAACAAAAAAAAGAAAAAGAAAAAAAGAAAGGAGATATTAACAAGCATACTAATGATAATAAGCTAGCCAGGTCCGAATTGAAGGTGGTAGAAAAAAATAAAATTAGCCCCTGGCTTGTCAAGAATTGAAATGTTGGGAAGAGGACAAAGAAGAAAAAAAGAGGATATCGGATCAGTATATGAAGACGGAAGAAGAAAAAGGAAAATCCGGTGGGACTGCCCCGACCTATGTAGGTATGTGTAGGTATGATTCCCGCTCATAAAATGTGTAAGAACTAAACCCTCCACGCCGTGGGGCCATATAGAAACATGAACGAGTATGAAGCGAACAGGATTCAACAAACTGAAAAGAGTTCAGATAAAACGACAGATCAAATGCCCGGGGTGCCAGATGTAGAAAATCAATTCCGGGAATGAACCGCAGAAAGTAAATGCAAAAGTTAAAGGAAGACTAAACAGTCACAACGAGGGACGAGCGCCTGATATTAATCAACAATCATGAGCATTAGACTTCTTTCGACCAAATATCGATCTTGTTCGAGATTTGTTCCGTGAAGGCTGCTTCTCTGAGCTACTAATCGACTTCACGTTCGCATCAGGCAAAGTTGGCTCATCATCGCCCATGTATTTATCTTTGTATATCCTTTTTTTTGGCACAATGTCAGCACAATTGATATCCAAAACAATGAAATAGGTGAATAAAGGAGAACATACCAACTATTCCCCACCATACTCATGCCTTTCGCCTCCGCCATTCGATAATACTTCGCCGCCTTCTTCAGATCCTTCTTACATCCAACACCCTCAGCATAGCAGTATCCAGCTTCTGCCAAGGCATCGACATCACCCCACTGTCCTGCGATTTCAAAACACCTTCGAGCCAAGGTCTTGTCCTGATCGACTCCCCATCCATTGAGGTGGCTCACACCCAGCTCATAGATACTGAGTGCGAACTGGGCCTGACGAGCTTTTTGTTCCTGGAGAGCTTTACCCCTAGGCTGTAAATCTGCCGTATTCACCTCTTGTGTGATATCCGCAACTGAATTAACTGCCTTGCGCAGCCACTCAACGCCTTCCTGCGGGTTTGGGCGCATTCCCCATCCGTGTCGGCAAGCTAATGCATACATTAGCATGCCGGTAGGATGGTTCTGCATTGCCGCCAATCGTAGATAATAAGTCGATTCTTTGAGTGATCCATTTTCGTGGCAAGCGATACCTTTAGCGACATAATCCTCTGCAGAGGGCTGGTCGGGATTATCACCATTATCGCTGGGTTTGCTTTCCTTGTGGCTGGTATGCGGACGTATGGTGCTCCCGCTATTTGCGGAGGTGGATTTAGCATCGTCTTGGTCGCTTGATTTTGGTTTCGCTTTGGTGCTGGAGCTTGGTGTTCTCAAAGTCAGCACCTCACGGCTATCGTTTTCAAAGGAATGGCGGGATGGGGCTGCTGGCGATCGGTTAATTTGCTTAATACTTCTTGCCGGTGAAGTCTTTGCTGGGGACGCCCTCTGTGTGGTTGGAGGAGAAGTAGGCTGCTGTTGTATTTTCGCAGGTGATGGGGACGGGGTCCGAGCAAACTTCTCTCTGACGGCACTTGGTGGAGGGGATTCAAAGAGAGGTTCTTTCCACTCAAAATGTGGAGCTTGCAAGCCGGAGAAAACGGTTGAGTCCCTCACAACCTCTCTTCCACGGGGCAGATTATACTTTGCATATGTGTATGTTGCCGAAGGTGGAGGCTCCTCTGCGTCCTGTGTAGATAGAGGAGAGCGTTCCGAGGTATTAATAGGAGCTGGGCGATTGTCTCGAGTCATCATGCGGGGTTGCAGCTCGTTGGGAGTTGGGTCCGGAGTCAACGGAGAGGGGAGGGAGATGCTGGTGCTCGACCTACTAAGGGGCCGGGAGAAATTGAATGAGGGTCGCTGGAGCACATGGGGCGTACCAGACCTTTCTGATGCTGGTGACAAGGAACGTGGATCTGGGCGGGTGAAATTTGACATTGGTGAATGAGGCATGGACATGCCACTGCTTGATGACAGTTTCCTAGGCTTTGAAAATGTAGAACCCGCATTGGAACTGGTATAATAGTCGTCATCTGAACTTTCTGTATGCGACAGACCCGGGCTGCTAGATGACCGGGGTAAGGGGATTGGAGGAACAAGTGTGTCGGACCTGGATCTCGACATAGGGTCGTTATGCGATTCCTTCTTTGAGGTCGTTACGCCTACTCCCACCAACGGTCGACCCGCTGGCCCTGCAGCATCACGCACGCCCAAGCCTAGTCCAACCTCCTCATTTGGTGACCCTGGGATATTGTCTTTCGAAGCAGAGCGGCTCACGCCTTCCCTTCCCCAGGGTCGCGGGTCGCCTCCATCCTGATCAGCAGGTAAGCCACTCAATCGGGGATGCTGAGATATCGGCCTAAATTTAGGTTCCTCCACCGCTAGATGATTGTGCTCTCGAAACGCAGGACTAAGTGGTGGCTTGGAGCCCTCGCGAGTCCCCTCACTTGAGGCCGATCGAAAATAACCGGGTCGCGGACGGGAAAGGGACCGAGCAACGCTGGCCGGTGGAATGCGACTCAGGCGTCGGCCATCTTTCCTCGATTGGTCGAATTGTTTCGCGAGAAGTCGACCTTGGGCGGCGAAGGCATCCAAGGGTGACAGTGCTGGGGGGATCTCGCCGTCATAATGGGCAATGCGCGGAGAGGAGGTTAAGCGCTCACCAGGCAATATTTTGCCTGGGCTGGCTTGCAACCTCGAAGGATCATCAGTCGCCATAAAAGTATAACGTAAAAAGGAGTGACACGGTGATTCGCCCGGTGTAATTGCTCAGAATCGATTAGATTTTGTGGGACAGACTCGTTGACTCGGATTCGCAGCTGGAGGCCGAAATTGCGCCCATTTGAGATGTCAAGAAAGGATGCTGTGGGAGACAATTGTCCTGCAATGTGAGATTATATTTTACTTCCTTGGTTGGTGGAAAGGTGACGTCTTTTGGAAAACGAGAGAGCCGGGGGAGAACAGCGAAGCCAAAATGAGAATCAGGGTGACCGATCAAGAGGCCGTCGGCAATGGGAAAGGCAAACGATTCAGACTGCCGTCGCTTGGAGAGCCTGCAAACGAATGGACCATAATAAAGGACAGATCAGACCGGAGCTCTCCAAGAAAGAGAGGGTGAATTCTCACAACACGCCAGGAGGTGAAGAAGTTTGACAGTTGCATGCAACAACAGCGATGGATGTTTGACGTTCTCTCCCTCCCACCTTTGTCTCCACAGTGGCATCCTCAGGGGCCGGGCTAACTAAATTAACTCAGAGTTGGTTAGTGAGAGAGCACTAAGAGATTGACTGTGTAGCTAATTTCATTTTGCGCCAATGAATGGCTGCAGCTTTGCAAAAAAAGAACAGGGCCAACCCAGACTGGATCGATCCTTTGTCGTCTTCCCATCCAGAGACAAAGATCTCAGGGCAGCCTCCAGTCCGGCTGTTCTCTTTGGAAGCAACTGGCCTCGACACGGGGCAGAGAAGAGAATAAGAAACACGGCCAAGAACATCAGACACAAGCCCAGCAGCTCGTTTCCGTATTCGTCTCACCATTTTTTGAATCAAGAAGACACAACACACTTCATGAATCAGACGGGCTGAACACCAAAACACCATCACTATGGACACAAGATGGCGGGAAAAAATTACCACACAACAGTCTCTCCATTTAGGCGGCTGGGTTGTGGTTATTGTTATGTATCTACCGGTCACCAAGCTAGTTTGTCTTCAGCGAAACCCGACGGTCGTTTGGGAGCCACAAAATTGTATTTGATCCATCATCATCATCATCGAAGCCGGCTCTTCCCTTCTCACCGGACCTTTCCCGGTCCCATGTTTCATCCAACTACGCCGCTGCTTTGGTCCGGCCGCGAGCTCTGGCGAGGAGGCACATCTCCCCGAGTCAATCCTCAAAGTCATGAAGAATTGTTAGCTTTATTTTTGATTCCTGCCCCTGACGACGCTAGGATTCCCCTGTTTGGGTGCTGTTATTAGAGCAACAAATCCTACTAACTTTCAAGGATTAGTCAACTTGTGATGTCTCCTGCAGAGGGGGGAAAAAGGGTACCACGCGGATCATACTGCACTAGATTTTGAATGTTACATCTGTCAATAGCTCTAAGAGATTTGACTGGGAGGAGACAAGCTCAGCTTTTGGAAGTCATACAAGCTGGGGAGCTCTGGGAGTCCTGTGAGTGCACAGCTCTTTTATTCCTTGTGATGCATCATAGCACATCCCATTGCCAGTAAACGCCCCCGGGAAAATGGGATCGGTCACCCTTACAGAGCACTTCCACTGGTCTCTTATGTGTTAGGGAACTTTTTCTAAAATGCGACACTGACCTCTTTTTGCCAGATATTTACTGCAGCTTCTAAGTTTCACCCCCTGGATAACCTTTCTTTTTGGATTTCACTTTTTCTCAACAAGCAGTCACACAGCATTTGTATCAGCGATACTCCCAAAAATGATTGATAACCCGTGGGATCTTGTCATCAGAAATAAGGGCGTCGTCATTAACAAGGGGATCACTATATTGTAGGCAGTTTAGTCCAAGCCATGTAGGAGACATCTGCACCTGCGGAATGAGAGTAAGGTCTTGCTCCCTAGTCTCCTGTTCGGAACTTTGTAGTTATAGTTACACTGCTGCAGCCTCCGCGCACATCCTAATCTTTGTTGCGGGGACCTCGTGATGTTTCTTTTAAAATATGCTCAGTGTGAGATGGCGGTTATCGACCGGCTGGAGCTGAATTGCATTCCAATTTGACCAATGCATGTCACTCTGGTGGCAGGGCTTATGGCGCCTTAATCATCGTCATTTTCTTTCCCATTTTCAATAACTTCGCACAAGGACATTGTGCAGGAGAACAAAAAAATTCTTCAAAATATAATAATGGCTAGAAATTGGGTTGTTTGGCAACAAATATGTAGAAACAGTTGCTCTATATGAGAAAGAACAGGCTGGAGGCCGCATGATAAGGCATCCAAGCTATCATACCCCCAGAGATCCTCCACCCACCGGATGTGCTTAGGGAAGAGTATGGCACTAGAGGCGGCCGAAGGGAGTCAGCCACTCCGGTAGTTGTGCTCCGGCCCAAGCACAAGGTACTGCTAACCACACCCGCCTGTCTAAGAGACGCTGAGAAATTCTAGTAATCGGTTCCGCCTTATCATATGACAGCAACATCGAGCCAACATACACCATCGAGTATATAAATGGTCGTAGGTTTAAATATCACTGTACATATCAAGATTCTGCATGAAGAGTTGCCGAAACAGGTTAAATTTTGCGAGTTGAGGTTTTTAGCATCGTCCTCCTGCAGCTGGGGATAGAAGGACACCATCGCCATGAACTAAAGCCCCGCACACCCGTCAAAAACGTCGTCGATTTGTAAAATCTTTTCATCTGGGAAAACGGAACCTTTCCCAGGGGCGAAGGTAACCCGTCGCACAAACATTTCGATTCGGTGCTTCAATATATGTATGAACAAGCGTTATGGGACCGAGGGAGAATGAAGTTTATTGAGGTTCACGCCATCTGGAACAACCCGTGACTCTGAGAGCATCTTCTTGCGCATCCAAGGTAAAGAAACGCAGAAACAATGGCATTGCACCCACCTTGATGTACGTCCACGGTGCTGGACATCCCGCGGGCTCAGCTGACGCCTTCAAAACAGCGGCCGTATAGGGAGTAAACTCGCTGCAAAATCCAGTATCTAGGTGTAAACCAACAAAGAGAAAAGCTGGCCGGAGAATAGGCCTGTGCAACCCAGTTGAGCGGGTTTATGCGGGTATCTTTAAGTCGTTATTTGATCAAAACAAAACACTCCGGGCTCCGTAACCTGTAGTTGTCAGGCTTTGGCTACGGTAAGATCGCAGCGGCGTTTCATTGAATACCCCATATAGTTACCTTTCTCTATGTGCCTGATCGTGGGCTATGAGACAGGATGTTCCTCACTCTGATGTTGTGGGGGGAGGTCGGTTTAAGCTTTCACCTTTTCCTGACTGCCCGAGATTGCCTCTCTGTGCGGATGTTGAACTCGCGACCGATTGGAGCCCAAGCAGAAGTTATCTAACTTTAAAACGAAGCCATGACATCATGATCATTATCTTCCATGCTCGTCACCATTGATGGATGTGTGGTACAGCGCCAGTGAGCCGTTGTGTGCAACTTGCGGAGGCCACAAGGTGTTGGTGACGGCAGACATCCTGAGGCCGGGTCGAGGAGAGACTGCCCAGCGACCAGTGAACAGCACCAGTTTGAACTAATTCGCTTGGCACATCGAACCGCCACGAGGCAGTCTCTCTCCCAAGTCCATCAAGGGCTTCCTGCCAGCTGGAAGCTTTAGGCACTCACACTCAAATCTCACGTTTGTCCCAAGGGACGGCCAAAGCCACCGCGCCGAAACCTGCCGTAACTATAAGTCGTTGACCCCGCGGATGTCACGATGTTTGCTGAGACATGAACTGATCCTCTGGTATCAAGCCAAAACTATCCTGGCCTCTCTGCCCGTACTTAAACTGACCATCTCTTCGAGTCAGAACATGTACCTTTTATGTTATCTCTACCCCCTCTCTTGGATATACACGTTCCTCCTTCCGGCATCTTTTGCATTTACATGCACATAGAACCGCCCGCCCCGCGGCGATTAGTATATAAATCAACCACCTACAATAGAGCACCAAGGCGGAAATGGCCTTTTCACTCAAAAGCCTTTTCCGCACGAACGGCTGGGACGACCGTCCCTTCGCCTTCGAAACTTCTTGGTTCTTCCCACCTTTGGTATTTGGCATCGTGCGCATCGTTATTTCGGTCTACTCTTTGGTGACCATCTTGGTCATCTATGGCTGGTCAGCTACGCATGGCCAAACCAGCAACATTGCTCGGTGGTTTAGCTACTTCACAAACCTGTCATTCGTGGGAGTAGCTGCATATTTCCTTGTCGCAGGAATACATAGCTTCTGCTACGCTGCGAGAGGACGGTCGGTGTTGTTCGAGAAATGGCCGAGATTTCTCCGCTCGCTGCACAGCCTACTGTATACAACAGTTACGGTTTTTCCCCTTTTGGTGCTGATCGTGTACTGGGCGATCCTGTACCGGGGAACTTGGTTTCCTGTGGTCTTTAACGCCTGGACAAATGTCAGCATTTCATATTTCCACTCTCCCTTCCTAATCTCGCTAATCAAAACTAACAAAAATTCCCCAGGTCTCCCAACACATCTTGCCAGCCTTCTTCGCGCTCTTCGAGATTATCTTTGCCAACGCCTTGCTCAGGCCTCTTATCCATCTCCTCTACATAATCCTCATCCTCGTGCTCTATATCGCACTCGCCTACATTACACACGCGGACCAGGGCTTCTACACATACTCCTTCCTTGACCCGGGTCGGAACGGCAGGCAAACTCGGCGCGTGGCGGCTTATATATTCGCCATCGCCGGTGCGACTATTGCGTTATACGGTGTCGTCAATCTGATGATATGGATCCGCCTGAGGTATACTCGCGAAAGAACGAAATTGTCGCGGGTCGCATCACAGCCGGAGGGGGAGTTAAATCATGCGGAAATGGGCATGGTTGAGCGGACGAAGTAGCAACCCCCAAGGAGGAAGAGGGAACGGGAACTTGGGAAATTGTTAAGTGATATATTCTCAATTTACATTGGGCAATATGTATTGGCGTGCGATTTTTGTGGTTTTGAAATATACCCCCCCAAATGATGTTAATTCTAATATCCATATAACTCTGTCTGATGTTCTACAGAGTAGACTTAATATGATCGCCTCTGACATTGCTTCCGGATTAATAATAGCAGCGTATGAGTCCTATCAATACCAGCGCTGAACAGTTCTCCTTGCCCCTGAGACCCACATCTTTAATCCATCATTGTTTTCTGTCCAGATGTATTAAATCTCAACGCATGACGAGAGATACATACATTTGCACGTCAAAAAGTGCACCATGTACGGTGTCTAACTAGAAATATCCCTTGAAACAGGCGGGTAAGGATGATTCCCCATGCAGTACGGAGTACATCCAACCGACAAAGAAAGGCGATATTTCCCCACATAACTCTACGCAAGGGATATCAGATTTGTTAGATCATCTCTCTGGTCAGTTGATCGAACGCTAATACGACGCCAATATTGGGGCTACGACTTAGCGGGTCATGTCCGTACCAAATTCGTAAACGTGCACTGGTCTTTGATCATTCTCGTCTGCGCCTGACGAGGGATTGGGCTCCTGTTCCCTGTTGAGATCGAACTGTTTAACGTCAACAGAGCAATAGGCACATTTAAACATTGTCCTGACTTGAATGAATGCGGACTGGCGGTAGCGGTCCGGTGCCTGAATCTTACACATGTTAAGGAAATCGGCGTGGTGTGAGAGAAACTTCGACAAGATAATTCCCTGCTTCATCTGCCTTCGAATGGTTATCACATATTTTGTGGATCCCCGTAGAAGAGCCATAAAAATTTGCAATGCTATCAAGGCCGTCAATGGGTGTAAATGTCGCTTTTGTGAAATAGGACGCAGGGACCCTAGCTGGTCTCGGCATCGTTAAAAATCCGCGGCTAACACAACAATTGTAATGCGGTTTTCGATTTCCAAAAAAGTACGGCTCGCTCGATGACCTATATGTCGAGCTAATCGCACGGGATTCCATTATGAATGGTTAGCCGAGGTGATACGATGGAGTCAGAGGGATAGCCTACATCCCGCATAATCCTCAGGCTCTGGAGATCTGCAGAAACAAGGACGCTTATTTCGGGCGTAAAAGGCCAGGCAACGTGATGGAATATCCAGCTCGGTCCTCCGTCATGTTGTTGAAACGCAATATCGATGACGCCAAACTCTTCACCGGCAGATGTCGGGATCCATGAAAAGTATGGTCAATACGATGTGAGAGGCGAGGACTTGGAGTAGGGCTAAGTTGGAGATGTTTTGAGTGAAGATGCAGCCGGTTGGCTCCTATGGGCTACATAAAACAGCTATTACATTTCAAGAGGGACATGAAAGGGTGAAGTGTAGGCAGAGAAGGGAGCAAATAAACGAAACATGTCAAATTCATGAGTTGTGTATGGACTGACACAGCTAGAAGGTACATGGTAATAAGTTCCTACATGATTTGTTTGTCGGTGAATAACCTCATAATTCCCACATCCACTCCATGCAGATATTATATACTGATTAGAAAACCTAGATCCATTCCCCAGGATTCTGTAACCTCGCCAGGAAGACGCCAAAACCCAGTGCCTTCGTTAACAAAAAGAGACGGCACCACCAAGTTAAAATACACAGTTTGAAAAGGAGCGGAGAATAAGTAACACAATAAGACTGTGAGAAGGGTCATCATCTGTTTTGGAACTAAGAAATCTTTTCCCATGCCCCTTCGCTTCCGTAGCCATTGCCGTCCTCAGACCCAGAATCAGAGAAGAATGCCGGATATCCAGTTCGTAAACCAAGCATCCAGCCAATCAACATGCTGGGAATAACGTTCCCAATGATTGCGTAGGTTCTGGAGCCCCGACCGACATAAACGACTTGTTGCTTGCGTTTTCGTCCAAAAATAGCCTTTTGACGAGGTGCAAGAGCATCAAAAACGGCAAAATGTAGCTCCTTTGCCGGCGTTCCATGCAGGCTACCAGCTCCGCTTGATCTCCCTACGCGATGGCCAATACTTGACAGGTACGATGAGCCATAAAGAGCACGCTGCTGTGGCTGCCAGGTGAGAACTTCCGTGCCCTTGTTCTGTCCGTTTGTATTTCGAAACTGTCGTCCCAGATCAAGGTTACCAAGTTTGAGTTCAACAATATCAACAGAACCGTGTCCACTCTCCAAGAGTTGTAACTCTTGTCGCAAACTCGTTGCGAAGCCGGCGAGTGCTCTCGTTACAGCAACTTCAGGGCTTGCGAATGGAGAGGAAAGCGAGGATTGGATGGAAGGAGTTATCAAAACTATAGAACTGCTGTTACTTTTTAAGGTAAGAAGAGGTAGAAATAGTTGCGCTGTAAGTATGGGGTACAGTAGGCGAGTGTTGATGGCGTCTGCCCAGTTCGAGGCCGGTATAGTGGCGACGGGACCGACAGGATATGTTAGCGAGGGCACTAGAATGAGCCCGGTTAGCTGGCAAGTGTGTGGTGGCACTCCTGGCATAGGAGCTTGAGGGTTCGTGATAAGAGACTGGATAACGTAGAGCGAAGGATGCATTTCAGACGGTTCCGATGGTGTCTGCGCCTAAGTTAGGTATCGATTTGCTAGAAGAAAAGGGAAGGGACATACATTGGCTAGGTCCAACCAGAGTGAGCGAATGTCCTCTCGTGCTTCATTCTCAACCACATGCTCCTCCTCGGCCGACGTGACTGTAATGAAGACTATGAACCCTCTTCGCTCAAGGTCGCAAGCTATAGATCTCGTAATTGGCTCATGCGCAGAGCCCGCAATAACTATCTAAATGTTAACATGCCCAATCAAAGGTCGTTGCGCACATTTGAAGTGGATTTGACAGTCCATACCAACTATTTCTTTCCGGGCCCCATTGCCCGCCCTCCTTGCTTTCCGCTTTTTCACGCCTAGTTTTCTATTCCCATATATTAATAGCCCTCCAGTTCCAATGAAGGCTAAGACGGCGGCAGTCAATGCACGGTGTTCCACTACCCAGTCATGTACCCTGTCCACCATCGACTTTGGAGGCAATGTGCGCGGAAGCGGTTGGCCATGTCTTGGGGGAGGCTTGAGATACGTAGGGAGCCAAGATTGGCGTGATAGCGCATCTCGAACGTTCGAAGCTGCTCGATCTATATGATGATCGATGGAATTTGCGACCTGCGTGGAGTACCGTTTTACATCGTTTGGGACCCAGGATAGCTTCTGAAGCTGTGAGCTTTTGTCCGAAGTTTCAGCGGCAGCGAGGTTTGTCTTTTGTTAAGCTTACATAGTCAAAGAAGAATTCATCGTCGCTTGTCATTCTGGATAGGTTAGCTCTTAATAGAAGCACTCAATCCTCTTTGGCGGTTGGATATAACTAATGATTCCGCATCGAGTGCGGTTCGCGGGGGTAGACCGAAAAAGAAACTCGATGATGTTATTTGCCACTGTAAGTACACCGTCTTAGGGCTGGGGGTGACGTTTGTCAGCAGCCTTGAGCTGTAAACGCATCTTCCTCCATAGAGCCTGCAGCGTTCATTTCACCGCGGAATAGCATGGTCCACGAGAGCCGGGGGAGTGTCTGAAGGTTCCGTGATGGATGGAAATTTCTAGACATCCTCACTCAATTCAACGGTCATGGCAGTAGTTAGTGAATAATGCTGATTTATCATCAAAATTTTCTACGAAATCCCGATAGCTGGCCTTGAGGCGTCGCTCAGAGTTACCTCAGAAGGCGTCTTCGCCTTCTGGAGTGAATTTTTGAGTCCAATCATCACAATTTTGAGATGATACTTGCTTCTATTCTTTTACTCACACCTGTTTAGATTTTTGTTCCGCATAATAAAAGCGCCTCAAAATGAGGGAGTTTGACGCTCTCGTCTCCGAGTACCAACATGACAAGCGCAAGCCCAAGGAAGCGGAAGCCTTGACAACTCTGCGCAAAGTTGCTTCTTTAGTCAAACCGATTATGCGTCAGAGATCTTGGAGAGTCGGGACACTTTGCGAATTCTACCCTGCACAGGCCAACTTATTAGGCCTAAATATCAACCATGGCGAGAAGATATGTCTTCGGTTGAGAAGTCCGCATGACGAGAAGCAGTTCATCCCTCTCGAGCAAATAGTCGATACCATGCTTCATGAGTGAGTTCCTCTGATTGAGTTCGTTCCCATACCCTTTTCTAGGCTTGTTCCTTACTAGATATGTTTAGGTTATGCCATATTGTTCATGGACCTCATAACCAAGAGTTCCACGCGCTCTGGAACCAGCTCCGTGATGAACACGAACAGCTTGTCCGGAAAGGATATACTGGTGAAGGCTTTCTCTCGGCGGGACACCGGCTTGGTGGTAAAAGAGTTCCACCGGACGAATTGCGGAGACAGGCTCGTGCGGCTGCTGAAAAACGCCGGGTTCTCACGGCAGGATCTGGCCAAAGGCTCGGAGGCATGCCCCCTTCTCGAGGTGCGGATATGAGGAAGGTTATTGCGGATGCTGCAGAGAGACGGAAAAAGGTAACTGAAGGTTGCGCCAGTGGTACAAAGGAGGGCCAAAAACTCGCGGACGAGGTTTCGCATAACGGATTCAGGACAAAGGCAGAAGAAGATGATGCCAATGAACGTGCGATTATGGAGGCGTATATTGAGCTAATCCAACAAGAAGAGAGGGAACAGTATGGCAGCTTATACGTGCCCCCGAGTGCCGCCAATCCAGCAGGACCACGAGCTCTTGCACCACCCCCTGTCCCTGAGAGTACAAAACCAAGGCTTACGACTACATCGGAACAAACGACAGAAGGGGATATAGACATTTGGCCATGTCCAGTATGTACTCTCGTAAATCCATCGATGTTCCTGTGTTGTGATGCATGCGGGTCAGAACGTCCCCAAGTCGTGAATCCTTCTCCGCCTCAAAAACCACCAAGGCCTTCCCAGAAACATTCGTTTCCCGAAGAAAGGCAGTCGGCCGGTAGCAATTCTTCGACGAAACCTCGCAGATCTGCGGTCGATTCGCTGAGAGAGATCGACGACCGAATGGCGAAAAAGCCCCTTGGGTGGGTTTGTCATATGTGTGGAACATTTATGGAATCGGAATGGTGGACTTGCGCGTGCTGCGGAACAATGAAACAATCGTCATGATTTTACTAAGGGCTGGGTTGATGGGAAATATTTGCAGATTATGATGTTTATGAACAATACCCCTTTTGATATACAGGGTACGGAGTAGAGATACGGAGTATAGGAATTTGCTTTTTCTGCTGCTTTGGAGATTCCGGGTTAGTACGGAGTGCTCTGTACGGAGTATGGTCCACTGGCTTCTGTCAATATTTTCATTCAACCTCAAACCTGTCGCTGCCCTCCACATCGAGCAGCGATTTGGGATTTCAACCTGCCAACTGGAGCTGCTCACGCCGCCCGCTGAAACCTTGTCGGATAAACTATTCACCGAATTTCTGCAGGTAGTTAACCTTCAAAATTTGAAGTTTTTATGTTGGAACTTCCACACAACAAAGTCCACAACTTGAACCATTCAAAGCAGTTCAGCTGCATTGGACTTCGCTCAGCCTTCTCCTTGCCTTCTTGCATTAACTTATGTTAACTTGAGTAAGTGTCTCTATATTTCTTGTTTCCGCAACATTAGCACATATACTGCGCACAACATGCCATTTCAACGACTACATGATGATCTACCATGACCCATATACTTAGGAAGAGCCGGAAGAGGAATGGCAGCCCATCAACTCCTCCTTTGAGAGGGAAAACTCCAAAGATAAATATGTACCAAGAAACCCAGCAGGGAAGGCAAAACGGCAGCTTTGGTTCTTGACGCATCGTCATATGTGTTCTTCGCTCCGATGCTATTCCCTTTTGTCTTCTCCTGCTGCGCGTATTGGTTCATTGCCATTTTATCTAGGGGGATGGGATTGTCGTCGGTGCTTAGAACGGGTTCTGCTGATATTGTACCTATTATCTCGAGGAAGGAAGGTGGGATATTCTTTCGTTGCTGTTCGGGTTCGGGATCAGATTGGGCCTTAACTTTTGAGGTCGAAATGTTCTGGATCTGGGACATGCTACAGACGCTGTATCTCACCTTCTTACCTTGCTTTACCTTGGTTTAACCACATTTTCCTTTATTGCTAGTGTGAAAGTGAAAGCTAACATGTGCCATGGGTTACTGCCCTAGATTTAGGAATACCTTGCCCAACAGTACACAACCATAATCTTAGCGAGAAGCTACAACGGGAGCACAGGATATTTTAGATATACTCACCAGTGCATAGGTGTGACGAGGAGAGATGTATGATCCTTTGGGTGCTTGTTGCTTCCATAGCTAATAGACAGCTACAACTCGAGCATTATGATATTTAAATCTATTTCTTGCTTTATGATATGCTCTTTATAATAACTTATACATAAGCCCTTGTTACCATCTGCAAAGGCGACTATTCACAGCAACTCCGGAAGGTATCCAAAAAATAACAATTGCAACTCCTTCCAGGGCGCCACTTTTGACCAAAGATCTTTTTTTTTTTTCCATCGCTAATGCTTTCTTCAGGCCACAGTGATAAACTGTCTCTTCTTTACACCTCTTTGCTGCTGTTCTTCCTGTTCCCACATCTCCTCGTCAATGTAATCCGACTTGCCCTTATCTCGTACCTGCCCGCCAATAAACTGCAACGCAGCCAAATTATAACCCATTTCATCCTTCTGCTTGGAAAGTACTCGTCGAAGATTTCCTCGGATATCATCCAGCATCGGTCTCATCATTTTGCTCGCCACTATTTGCCGATGATGCGTCTTGAGGGTGAAAAATAATATGCGGCACGTCAAGGGAATATCCCATTCTTTGCTGGCCCAGATATTCAAAAATGTAAAAAGAGCGGGGAGTTGTGAAAAAGGAAGGACAAGAAGGGCATCTTGCAGAAAAGCAGCGGGGATCTTCTGGATGGTGTTGAGAAGATACTTTTCGGCCGAAACATTGCCATATGCAAGATAGAGAGGGTTTCGGGACGGGGGTGCCACCTTGGGATTAGAGGCTTTGCGCTCATTGAACTCACGCAATAGCTCTAGATCTTCCATTCCAAGTTCAAGAGCTTCAATGATTCTTTCTCCCGCCGTTAAAGTTTCCATAGTTTGTTTGCTGGCGGCCACGGCCTCTGCTTTGTCATCGCCTTCAGCAGCCGCTTCGTCCCGATCTAGAGACTCAGCGAGGTTTTGCTCATATAACTCTTCTAATTCCTTCTCTCGCTCCTCTTCCAAGAATATCTGTTCATCAGTCTGTTGCCAGATTCTTATACTCTTATCATGACTTGCGGTAACGATGAAGTCTCCAGAATGGCTTATTATCAAAGACCAAATCTCCCCGTGGTGACCTTCGAGTTTTTGTATTTGCTCAAACTTATCGCCATCCCAATATTTAATTAGGCGATCCTTGCTAGCGCTAAAGAAGTTGTGGCCGTCTCCTTTGTTATTAGGCATGAACGCAACCGCCATGATGCTGTCCTGATGTGCGAACAGTGCCTTATGACAGTCACCGAAATCGAGACCCCAGAGTCGTACATTCTTATCCGCAGAGCAAGTGACGATTAATTTGCTGTCGTATGAAATATCCATGTTGAGGACGGGAAGTTTATGACCATAAAGATTCAAGAAAAGCTTCAGGGTATCAACGAAAAAGACTTTGACTGTGTTGTCCAAAAGAGAGATAGCGAGCAGACGAGCATCTGGAGAGAACTTAAGGCTAAGAATATCATCGTTCACTTTGAGAGTCCGCGTATGTACGAGCTTCAGCTTCGGCATCGTGCGTTTGGTGCCAAGAATTTCCTCTTGAACGATCTCAAACTTCCAGAACTTCGCGGTCTTGTCGGCACTACCAGTAACCATAGACTTTCCGTCAGGATGAACATGCAGAGACCACACCGGACCTTCATGAGCCTGAATTGTGTCAAGGAGGGTGGACGAGGCGATGTCAAACACTTCTAGTTCTCCATTCTTGTTCCCAACAACCACAATTTTATCTCCAGGAAGGAAAGTCGAACATAGAGCATAACCACAGTCCAATGTTCGGAGACACGTCTGCGTTCGGATATTCCAAATCTTCAAGTTTCCATTAGAGGCGGACGAGAGCATCCTATCGTCCGAACTTAGTGCTAGTGATCGAACATCTGTTCGATGGCCGGGGATCTCGACGGACAATGTCCGGCTGTAATCAATCTCTTCCTGATCCTTCTTCTTCTTCTCTGCAGAGACAACGTTATAAACCTCCAGCTGGTTGTTTGTCGTTGCCGCGAGGAACTGCAATCCTTTTCCACCCATCCAATCTACTGACCGGATCTTTCCTCCAGTTCTGACAATTGCGTGTGACACAAAGATTTCAGTTATTGGTACAGCCGCGAGAGAATCCGGACCGCTCGGTACGAGATTGGCGTTTTCACCGTCCTGGTCTCCATCTTTCTCCTTTCTCCTCTTTCGCTTTCTGGCCAGACTTTTCTGGATTTCTTTTTCACCTTTAATACGTAATATTTCAACCGACTTTTCAGAGCCGTGAACGGCGATGTAATCTGCGTGCGGATGAAAGTGCACGCCAAGCGTTCGATCTTTGCCCTGGCGATATAAATTTCCCCGGTCCAGCAGGATCTTCTGCATATTCACCCCTTCTTTCTCCTTTGCAATTTCTTTCATGGCATTCGAGTCAATCGACCACACCCTTAGCTCCCCTTCGTTCCCGGCAGTAATACATCCACTCTGGTCGGGTGATAGGGCTAGACTCCAACATTCCCCGTTACTTTGAGCAATGTGTGTCTCGATACAATGTTGTGAAGATAAATCCCAAATCTTGATCAACGAATCCTTTCCCGTGCTCAAGAGAAACTTCTGTTGCTCAGAGCCATCTTGTAGTTCTGCAGTATCATCTTCAGCGTTGGAGTCGGACAAGAAATGAAGCGAAGTAATCTGGTCGGTATGACCGCGTAATTTTACGAGGCCGACCTCTGCAATTAAGTCCCATATAATAATATTAGTGTCTCGCGAGCCGCTTGCCAACCGTGTTCCTCCTTGATCGAATGCTAGCTGTGTGACTGCAGTTTTATGACCGTTGAATGAAATAATAACTGTACCCAACCGGGAGTCCCATAATCGAATGCTGCCATCCTCATATCTACCTCCAATATTAGTGCCAACTCAAATATAGACAAAGTATACAATTCATACCCAACCGCAAAGATATCCTCGTCAGCTTTGCTCCGCGAAATACAGGTAACTCGCGCACTGCAATCGGAGTCCCGCCACTTCGCTAGCATTTCTCCTTTTTTCACATCCCAACAGACGATATCTTCCCCGGCACCTACAATTGCTCGCCCAGCGCCTGTATGGCGAGGAGCCGCCAAGGGACCTTCATCTTTTATCCAGACCACATTCGATGTAGCGGAGGTAACGAGGCCAAAAGTTTTCGACGCTTCGAATTTTCTATAGAAGTAAGAGAAAGAACGTCAGCATTTATTTATGGGATATGGATACAATGGTTCTCGCTTACAAGTACGACTTGACCATCTTTTCTCCCTGGATTCACGGGAATCGAAGCAATTCCGCAGTTGCGCCCGCTGTCCGCAGCTACTCCGTCTGGTGGTTGAAGAAAATGAAAATAAAGTTTCGAAGCTGCTGCGCTCCGGCGACCGACACACACCAGCTTGGCAGGCTTGGTCCCCAAACCAAGGAGCGCCAACCATCAAGGCGATGACGACGGAGCAGATACAGGCATACTATCGCCCATCGCATTTCTCAGGCCCAGCGAGATCAATTACTGGAAGGAACCCCAATTCTGTCATGCCCATTTCCTTGGCATAATGTTGCTTCTAGATTACCAGAATGTCCTTCTTCAATCTTTGCTCACGGAGCGGTTCTCCGCGTAAGTATCCCCCGCCTAAGCATGTATGCAGTGGCCTACATTCTCCCGCTCTTCCGCTGACGCTGCACCGTATAGCGCATCTCCCGTATCGATCGACCAAATAGTCTCCGATTTCGACGGCGTCACCTTCCATGTCTCTACACCCGAATCCAAAACGAAGATCCTCATCTCCATCTCCGTGAAATGCTTCCGTGAACTGATACAATACGGCGCTCAGGATGTCCTTGAGAGGGAATATGGTCCATATATCGTATCCCCGGAAGCCGGATATGACTTCTCTATTGTTGTGGACCTCGAAAACCTTCCATCTGAACCCGAGGCGCGTGGAGAGCTCATAAACCGGATTTCACTCCTGAAACGAAATGCCATGGCTGCACCATTTGAGCGGGCGTTCCAGCAATATTCAAAGCTCGAAGAAGAAGCTGTAAAGTACACAACGGAGGCTATACCTCAGCGAGTCAAGGATGGAGGAGAGGTGATGACCATTCATTACCGCGAAGAAGAGGCCATATTTATCAAAGCGTATCACGACAGTGTGGCGGTAATCTTTAGCACGGTCTTCAGGGATGAGACAGATAGGATCTTCGGCAAGGTGTTTTTGCAGGTGTGCCTTTTAATTAACTTACCCGAGCCATCGATAGGCTGGTTTACTGATAGGATACTTAGGAACTTGTTGATGTTAGAAGGAGGGCAATAACGAACGCTCCACAGGTATTGTTCCGGCATGATCCTCCGCTAGAATTACAAGGAGTACCAGGACTTAAAAACGCTCAAAATGGCGAAATTGGTTATATTACCTTTAGTAAGGCCGAACTTTCAGCCTTATACCATTCTCAGCTAACATTCCCTTAAGTTCTCTACCCTCGACACCTACTTCCCCAGAAGCGCGCTGAGACCATTTCACATATTCAAACTTTCCGAGACTACTTCCACTATCATATTAAGGCATCCAAGGTTTGTCATAAAACATGGCCTGCAATTGTCAGGTAGGAGTGCTAACGTACATGCCCTTATAGGCATATATCCACACCCGTATGCGGAAACGAACAGCCGACTTCCTTCAGGGTAAGTGATTCAATTATTTGCTGGATTTTTATTAGGATTCAAGGCTAATATATAACCTAGTTCTCAACCGTGCCCGGCCTGAAAATGAGGAACGAGAAAGGAAGACTGCCAGTGGAAGAACGTTCAGAGTTCAAGGCTAGAATAAGTCTGGACAAGGGGGTAGTTTTTCTAAGTTGTAGCACTTTCTTCCCATGTACTCTGAGAACCGCCATATAGATCTTGCTGCAGCTTCCAACGCTCATCCCAGATACATAGCAATAGTCTTAATTGGCCATTTATATCAGTTGAAAATGAAACTGGCACAAAGCCTCTGATATATATTATAAAACCTGAGCCTGCTAAATGGGCGAAAAAAACAAAAAAAAAATCCATATGTTACCCATGCCGAGCAATCAGCCCATCGAGCCATATCACAGCTTGCGGTGAGTCACAACAGAGGCTCCTGACGGTGGCAGCCTTGCCAGCCACCTGATATAAAGTCCAGATAGGCCTCTAAAACTTTTACCTGCAAACCAGGAGGGGGCCCTTTGTTGGGAAAATATTTTCAACACCACATTTATGAAACTGGGAAACGGAGAGTTCCAAACACCACAAAGGTGAGTGTAGTTAAGCTCTTGACACCCCCAGACCTAGATGTTATATCCACTCAACCTATCTTCCCCGGAACCACTAACAATATCAAAACTCACTATTATCACCCTTTTTTAGGATGATTAATAGCATATCACAAACAGGACTCCTATGTGCTCAATTAATCGTAATATCAGATAGAGCTCTTGTTGTTGGGGCATTCAGTATCATGAATGGCGGCTGCGCTTCAGATTGTCGCTCGTGTAGTGACTGTGTAATAGGAGGTGAATGGGGCGGAGACACGTATTCATTTGCGCCATGATACCCTCAATTGAAATTTTTTTTAAGAATAGAAGGCCGGGAGAAAAGGAGGAGGTTGAGCTATCTCAGCTCGATTCTTTTTGACAGCTGCCAACCCTACTTTCCCACAAGCTTTCTCAGTATCTGCTCTCCATAGTTCTTCACCTCCCACGGCATACCTCAACATCATTATCACAACTGCATCTTTTCAATTTGGATTCAAGCTTGCAAGTTTATTATCCTTGTTCGTGCGTGGAGCCTGAGAGCTTTCAAATTTCGACCATTTCAGGCCGATAACCTGCGAAGATGTCTTCAGTGTCATCGTCGTCGATGGCATCCGACAATAGTTGCTATCTTTTGCCGAGTTCTAGGTACGAAGGGCCTCCGTACTGTATTAGAGAACCTAGCCCCAAGAGATACGAAGAAGTAGAGCCCCCTTATGGACTCAGTACTCGATCTTTCGGTGAATATAACCATGAGAAACCTCCGAAGCTCGAGGCCACTTATGGAGGCAGTGTCCCGTTTCGCAACGAGTATCAAATTGATAGACAAGAGAAGCCCTCACCCACCCATGGAAATGGTACTCGCTTTTACGCAAACATCAAGCACAAGGTACGAGAGGAAATCAAACCGGTTTACGCAAGTGGTATTCGACCCCTCGAGGAACGTATATCTGAGAGGCTCGAGGGAATTGTGGAGTTGGCCTCCAAAGTATACGGCATTGCAAAAGTGGTTCTGGAAGTCATGATGGCCTTTGGTGCAGTTGTATGTTCCCCTAAGGTATAAAGATTACTTGTCACAGACAACGTAACTAACACCTTCGAACTAGATCGACGCCACTCCGACCGGAATCAAGTTCTATATCGAGCGACTTGAGAACCAAATGACCCAGAAAACTTGCTCAAAGCTCCTCGCTGCCGTAGAAGATCTCTTCTACGCAACACATGCAACACTGAATATCGAAATCAGAAACCTTGAGCTTTGCGAAAGCTTTCACTTTGACATCCGCAACTTAGCTCCGAACAATAAGTTCAACTCTAAAGAATGCTTGCCAGAACCGAGTCATTTGAGATTGGTCTTCCAGACATGCAAAGAATATTTGACTTCTGATTGTGTGCGTAAATTCCTTGACCAAGAGCTTATTCGCCAGAAGCAAGGGGAGTACGTCAATCAGACCATGAGAATGAGCATGGCAGCAGGTTACAACCCCGAAAATGAGCTGGTTTTCCGCCAGCATATTCAAAAGTTGGTTACCGAGCCAGAATCACCATATTGTCGCCGATGGACGGGACTCAACCCAATTCATGAAGCCAGTCCAGGGATGGTCCTTGGAACTTTGAAGGAAAAGTATCTTGGCATTCTTGCCAGGGAAGCAAAGCAGGAAAAAAAGAAATCAAGAAGACAATCAGAACGCCACAGCACCGATTCAACCCATGAAGAATTGAGACACGTTACAGCGAACCGTGAAGCATCCTATGCCATGCTCCACGGCATGTCGGTGGGCGAGCATCGAAGACAGGAAGAATCCATGTCACTTAGTGCGTACGTCAAGGAAAACCTATGCATTTGCTTCGGATACTGCGACTGTTCCCGCAAGTGCACCCTCAAGGGAAGCCGAAAGTGTCCATGTAGTTCAAGGTTGAGCGTCATCTGCGATAGTCACGAAGCAGACGAGAAAGAATGCTTTGCCGAAAAGTGCGCGGATATTGCAGCAAATGTATTTGATCGTCTATCTGCGGTTAAACGTGGTGTGCATATTTTTCAGATGATGGCGGAATTGGATATGCGCCTGGATCGTTTCCATGAAGCAGTCGTCGACTATCGGCAACAATGCGAGAGAGCATCGGGCGGTTTGACGCGACGTTCAGATTTTTAAGGATGGGTCTCGGAAGATCTCCGTACTTGGCGACAGGGCTTTGACGATAGGGACTTCTCCGGAAGGGTGGGTTTACGACGTCACGGACATTTTGCGCTTTTTCTTCCTCAGGAAGGCTATGGTAGCGAAGACACGATGCATATGGACTTGCGATGGATGGCAAGCCCTGTCTATTCCTTTATGGTTTCGACGGTGTGGAATATGAACCTGTTGAGGAAGATCTTGTACTTTTTGTTTTTAGTTTGTTGAACAAATCCTCCGTCATGACAAGCTTAAATTAGGCACTTTGGCTGCAAAATCGCAACCTTAAAACCTTGTATCCCTGTATGGGGCGTCTGTTAGCGTTGGTGGGACTCAGCTCCGGCGGCCTCGGCATTCCCTCAACGAATCGCATGTAGAGTAGATAGCCTCTCGAGTCTCACATGAGAACCGTAATGGGGCTAGGTCATCTGTTGATGCCATATTAGCGGTCATTTTTGTTGGATGTCAGGCCAGCCGTCAGAGGCGTTCGGATCCTCAAAATGACTGTTCGCCGTCGTGCCACGCCGTCCATCTCTCCTGATCACAATATTCCACCGACCAAACAACTTCGACATATATTTGCTCCAGCATGCTCACAGCCTGATTGCATGTGAGCGTCTGACATGTTATCACTGACGCTGGCATGGTCCTTAATATTCCAGCTGTTTTTCGGGCTCTGATATCATCATCTTCCAAACAAAACCCAAGCAGGCATCTACGTCACAGGTTCTCGCAATGGAGAGCTGCTAACTCGACCTACGGTATATCCACTCCATCGCCTGCGAAGTCAGAAGACTCTCTCGCCAAATGTCCCTTTGTATTCGACACAGGCTACGCTCTATCTCCGAAGCGGCCGTCCCGGCCTTTCCCTCCCCCTTTCATATCGCCGCCGTCTTCGTCGTTCTCCGATCCTTTGACGACGCATCATCGGAGCCAAGATGCGAGACCATCGGTCAACGGAGAGATTATCAGGGGGTTGACAAATGGCGATGATGCGATCCTTGTTTCTCAGCATTTTCTCGGAGTAAATGATGGAGTTGGCGCTTGGGCAACGAAACCCCATGGTCATGCGGCGTAAGAATTCTTTACTCTTTGAGTCTGGACCTGTTCAAGAGCTCATCCTTTGGTCTTCGTGTAGGTTATGGTCTCGATTGATCCTCCATTTCTGGGCTCTGGAAGTAGAGCGCAATGTCAATTCAACGCATCCCGATCCCGTGGAATTCCTGCAGAGAGCTTATGAGCAGACAGTTCTTGCTACGTCGTCACCGAATGAGTGGTTCGGAACTACTACAAGCGCTACCGCTCTCTTACATTACAAAAACAACGCAGGCTCGGTGACGCCACTGCTTTATGTAACGAACATTGGAGATTGTCAGATTCTTGTGCTACGCCCTAAAGAGGAAAAGGTGGTCTTTAGGACCCATGGCCAGTGGCATTGGTTTGATTGCCCCATGCAGCTCGGCACCAACAGCGTTGACAGACCACGGCATGACGCTACGTTGTCTGTAGTTGACCTCGAAGAAGATGATATCGTTGTTGCCTTATCCGATGGTGTCACGGATAACCTCTGGGAGCAAGACGTTTTGGACGTGATATTATTAAGCTTGAAGCACTGGGAAAGTGGCAAGGTGGAGAACGATGTCGGAGACCGTACCGCTGGCAAAGGCGGCGGAATGGTGTATATTGCGCAGCAACTGTTGCAAACAGCGAGATCCATCGCGCAGGATCCATCAGCGCAAACTCCATACATGGAGAAGGCAATTGATGCTGGATTGGCCATTTCAGGAGGTAGGTTCTGTCTTCGCCTCTCAAAGGACTCCATCCTGATGATTTACAGGCAAAATGGATGATATCAGTGTGGTTGTTGGCCTCTGCGGAAGGAAGCCAACGTGATATAAACCTTCCGCGCTTCCCCTATCTAGAAGCAAGCGCGTAGGCTTAGCTCTCAAGATAAACCGCTTAAAATTCGACTTTTTTAAGCGCCTTCGTGACAATGAGGACAAACAACCCTAGAGCTTCAACGAGCATTCCAACAGGTAAATTGAAACCAACCTTCGGAGTGTTCCTATGTAACTAATGATTACTGCAGGTTCTCGCTATTTGCTTTTCGGAGCTTTTTGCTTGGGTGCAGGTTGAAACACCTCCCCTCCCTAATGCGAGATCGGAAATAGAATTTTGTGTTTTGCAGCGATGCATTTGCTAAGGTGTTTCTCCAATAGCGTAACGGCACTTTATGGAGTATGGTTACTTTTTCCCATGGAACCCTTTTTTGTTGATATCCGATTTCGAACACAGTGCCGTCAGATGTTGCCTTTCGTCCAGCTGCCGGTCACATTGCTCTTTGCTCGATTCGGCTTTCGGTGTTTGACGGCGTGATATCCCATCCTAAGTGGCCACCGAAACTAGTCCGGATCATGATTAATAAGTCCCAAGATAGAATTTTAAAGAAATAGTTATAGTACCTTAAAGATTTAATATAGTAATCGAAGTTTAAGAATCTATGGAGACGGCATACCGAGTACTCCGTATGAAGTTGCGTTGAGTGCGAAAACCCAAGCAAACTCCTTCTTGGCGATACCTTGAGCTCCAAGAAAATTTATCAAACATCGGACTTGGAACTACCGACTCTGCATGACCAAAACGCTCTTTCTCCTCAGTGTCTAATTTCAATTAAATCATTTCGAGCGTAGTCTGTTCATTACAGTTACGATGAGGGCGAAACGATCAAAAAAGTACCGCAAGTTAATGCATCAGTACGAGATTACTTTTGGCTTCCGTGAGCCTTATCAAGTCCTAGGTGAAAAGGCGCCCATGACCGCGATTGTACATTTCTGATCAAACAAGCTAACCATTCCCATTTGAAAATAGTCGATTCCCATTTTTTACAAGCTGTATATGCCTTTAAGATGGATTTGATACCCGCGCTGGAACGCACCCTACAAGGGAAAGTGAAACCTTGTGAGTTTCTCGCTTCCGTACGCCGACGTCTTTTCGCAGAGATAGGCTGTGCTAATTCGAAGATATAGTTATAACAAAATGTTCCCTCGCTGCAGTGATGGCGGCTTCTTCGACCTTGTCTTCCACTTCTTCCTCCTCTCAACAATCGAAATCAGCTCCGCAGAGACGACCTCCACAACTTCCCCCACCGACCGTGCTTCCCCTCCGCTACTGCTCGCATAACGAAGATGATTCACCAATTGATGAAGCCAGCTGTTTGCTTTCCTTACTATCGCCGAGTGCAGACTCAAAAAAGAATAAAGAGCACTACATTTTAGCGTCCGCAGACCCAGCTGCCCCGCCGGCAGATGACAAAAGACGAAAATTACCCAGGCCTCCACCGAGATATGATCTTAGAAGGGATGCGCGATTGATACCCGGTGTTCCAATCATATATGTAAAGCGATCGGTAATGATATTAGAGCCGATGAGCGGGTCTTCTGAGGGAGTGCGAGATGGAGTTGAGAGGGGAAAATTCAAGGCTGGACTGGTTTCAGCGGTAAAGAAGAGAAAGAGAGACGATGATGAAGATAAAGACAGGGAACCGAAGACAAAACAAGCGAAAAGGGTCAAAGGCCCGAATCCCCTAAGTGTTAAGAAACCGAAGAAGAGAGAGGACCCCGCGCCACAAAGGGAAGGTCTGCAAACCAAGCCTCAGGAGGAGGTTCTCACCATTGCGAAAGACGCCGATAGGGATAATGCGGAGGGTGCGCCGGTGAAGACAAAGAGGAAGAGGAAGCATAAACACAAGTCACACCAAGAAGGTGAAGCAAGGCATCATGTTTCGATAGAAGTTGAAACGTGATACCAAAGCGGCATGCAGCCAATTCAGCCTAATTTCAAGATGCAAAGATTCCTGCCCAAGAGTAGAAGGTCCATTTCTAACGTGGTAGTATTGTACAGAGTAGGGTATATCCGCTGTAAATCCTGCATTGTGCATCCTCTCTCCATGCTTATATGCCCCGTAAAAAAATAACAAAGAGTTGAATCAAAAGAGTAAACCCAAGATGTCATACACCGACCGGCAGAAATACAATGTCATCAGAAAGTACCATGTACGTTGGAGCGTAGCATCGCCTCAAGAATATTTTCGACTCTATTCTCCCCGATCTTTCCAGATCTGCTCGATCCTCGACCGGTTTTCCCGTGCCATGTCACGGTTTTTCTTCGCTCGCTTGAATCGTTCTGCGCCGAGACACCGGTTGACTTCGCGCTTAACCTCGTTGCAACCTCCAACGGCCTTGTAGAGAAAACCCCGGGCATGGCATTCGTCCAGGGCGTTCATGATTTCTTCGCAATCTAAAGGCGAGCCAGCAATCAGTGATGAGTTCCAACCTGGCGTTCGGGAAGCTAGGTTACCCACTTATGTTATCTTTGGTGTGGAGGTGGGAATGCATTGTGAAAGCTCACACGCTGCTGAGGGTCAAAATATTTAGTTAAATGAAAAAAGCCTGTGTTTTAAAGGGATTAGCGGCGTGATGAGGATGTTGGAGGGATGTGGTTTTGATTTCATGCGGTTTCAATGTTGGAGCGGGATGGCCTGGAACCTGGCGGAAATTGCTTGTTGATTTTCTGCCAAGGCGGTGAGCCCGTGTCCCACCAGCTTGCTTATCAAAATTTGAAATTTGTTTATCGCAAACATCAGACGACGATAAATTTTTTTTCTTCTTTTTTGGTGGGGAAGAGCTGGCACTTATTTCTCATCTTGATTCTGAAAGGTGCTCTGTATCTGCTTTCTGTGGTCGGGCCGGATCGAGTGTTCGTGAACCCTTTCGCCGATTTCCTCCAAACATTTCTTCCTACTCCAAAGCAACCAACCAGCGAGAGCTAGTTTCGAGAAGAGAAGAGCCGCGAACGGTGCACGGAAAATGTCCTCGATGATAACGGCCACCGCATGGGTGCGCCGTGGGATCGCAGCCCAATTTCCTGAAAAATACGAACTGGACGAAGATGAGATTAATAGAATATCGGAACTTGCAAGAGTTCAGCTTGAAGATGCAAAAATAGATCTGAAAGCGGCGCGAGAAGGGAATGGAGGTGAAGAGATGGACATGGATGAAGGAGAACACGAAGCTGGAAGCTCCTCAAAGGTAGAGGGCAAAGGAAAAGGCAAAGAAGCCACCAAAGGGTCAGTACATGGTGACTTAGAAGCGGTTTGGGTAGTTCAGCCCGGAATTCTGCTTGCTGATGGTATCGTGTGATAGCAATGAGAATGGAAATGCCGATGACGACGATGATTTGAAAGAGTACGACATGGAACATTACGACAGTGATGTTGTCGATGAGGACGGCGAGCAGGTCACAATGTTCGGGAACGTTAAATCTCTCGCCTATCACCAACCCCACGAGCAAGATCCGTACCTCGTGGTACCAGAAGGCGAGGATGAGGACAATGAAAGGGAAGAACTACAGATCTTGCCATCCGACAACCTAATACTGGCCGGTAAGGTTGAAGACGAAGTCGCCCATCTGGAAGTATACGTGTATGAGGATGCGGAGGACAACCTCTACGTGCACCATGATATTATGCTTCCAGCCATACCACTGTGTGTGGAATGGCTGGACATGCCTGTTGGAAGGGGATCAGAAAACCGCTCGCACGGAAACTTTGTGGCGGTTGGTACCATGGAGCCTGACATCGAGATCTGGGATCTCGACCTGGTGGACTGTATGTATCCAAATGCCATCCTGGGGCAAGGAAGTGAAGAGGAAAGCACCGATGCAATATCGAAGAAGAAAAAGAAGAAGTCGAAAAAGGCCAACGATGGTTACCACGTAGATTCCGTTTTGGCTCTTGCGGCAAACAGACAGCATCGCAACCTGTTGGCTTCGGGATCAGCGGATCAGACCGTTAAACTATGGGATCTGAATACGCTTAAATGCGCTAAATCATACGCGAATCACAAAGACAAGATCTGCTCGTTGGACTGGCACCCGAAGGAGTCTACCATCCTCCTCAGTGGGAGCTACGATAAGACTGTCGTTGCAGCCGATATGAGAGCGCCAGAAGCGAAAACAGCGCGCTTCCACGTTGACAGTGACGTCGAAAACGTGCGGTGGGATCCTCATGACCCGAATTTTTTCTACGTTACGACAGACAACGGCATCGTTTACTGCCACGACATCCGCAATGCGTCCGCTAAGCCCGAGTCGATAAGGCCGCTGTGGACGCTCCAGGCACACGATTCCTCCGTATCAGCGTTCGACGTCAATCCCTGCATCCCGGGCTTCATTGCCACCGGGTCCACGGACAAACAGGTTAAGCTCTGGAACATACAGGATAACAAACCAAGCATGGTGGTGTCGAGAAAGTTGGAAGTGGGAAAGGTCTTTGCTACTTCCTTCGCTCCAGACAATGAAGTTAGCTTCCGCCTTGCTGTCGCCGGAAGCAAAGGCGTGGTACAAGTTTGGGACACGTCGACCAACGCCGCAGTTCGCCGAGCCTTTGCAGGTCGACTCGGCGCTTCCGTGCAGTTCAACGAAGCGAAGGAGGAACGGTTGGTGGGCGTTGCACAAGACGACAGCGACGACTCTGATGATGACGAGGAAATGAATGCAGATGGGCAAGAGGGAGCAGGACGAGATGGCTGGGAATCTATGGATGAAGACTAGGCTAATGGCTCGCTTGTCAGCGAGCGCCTCGGGTTACGCCAGCCAATTCTCCGGATGGCGATTCGCTCTGGTTATCGAAATCATTGAGAAAAAAAAAGTAAATCTATATGTGGATCAAAAAGCTCTTGCAGGTACTATTAATACCCCGGATTTCGCGTACATTTATGCCCCGTCCTGCTCCTATCATTCAATGTGACGTTGGCTTTTCAATATGATAAAGTTGATCTCGCAAAGTTCTTTCGCATGCTTCCGAAAAAAAAAAGCCGCTTAATATTCTGTAGTGAAACACGAGAAGCAATATCCAGTTACATGGCTGTGTATGTCGGCGCTAGGTCCAGGAGTTCGCAGATCATAAACAGAATACCCTGGATAGACGTCCTAATTTGTGTCAGCCATCCATCGGCTAAATGAATAAAAGCAACCATTTTCATCGCCAGGTTGCTCCGTGCTCGGCCCATTTCGACATCAGGCTATTTTTTTTCCTTAAAAAAAAAATAAAAATAAAAATAAAAATAAAAAAAGATATCTCGGGGTCATGGCAGTGTTGAATCCCGAGTTCTGCGAATTATGGACTAGGTACTCCGTACTCCATACGGAGTGCGAGATCACAAGCAAGGCTGCCATTTATGTTAATTAACGGAAGCACAAAAATCCCCGCTGCGATCACCATGTGGCGTATACTTTTCAGGCCCTCTCGAAATGCAAGAAATTGAATTTTGGGCTTTTTGTCGTCCCCATGTCAACGCCCAATCATAAGTATGTCCGAGACACACACACTCTCTCTCTCTGTGTATGTCCGAGACACACACACTCTCTCTCTCTGTGTATGTCTCCGTTCCGTACCACAGGACTCTGTGGCGCCCCTACAAAGGATATATCGCAAAATGCAGACGTAAGAAAACTCTCGTGGAATCTGTCGTTAGACTTTTGTCTTCACCAAGAAGGTTATGGCGGTGGGACATGTGTGTATGTATGTACGGAGAATGTATGGGCAGAAAAAGCTGGGAGGCAACGAACAGTCCGATGGTTGCCGTGGAGCATGCAAGGAACGGGGGTCTCTGGACCGTTCATTGTCCCGAATCCCGATGTCAGGCACAGCGAATAGTTATGGAGAAAGTTTACATGGATCAATGGATGATTCCCCAAAAAAAAAAAAGAAAAAGAAAAAGAAAGGAAAAAAAATCGGCCCCCCATGTACCCCGTAGTTGGCTAGCAACTGCGATCTATTGGAGGTCGCAACACAGGAAATAGGGGGTTATGTTGCTCGATCCTGGAGTGTCATACATACAGGGGAGCAAACCAAATATATACTCCGTATGTCGTTACATATCGAGACGATGACGGATCGGCAGCACCAAGACCCTTCTTCATCTTGGTCGAAACAAGTGGCCGGGAGCGAGACGCAAGCTTTGTCAGATGTCAGTGTTTCAGCTTCCGCAATTGGTCCAGAGGGTGGAGAGAATCGAAGTCCGTGATGGAGTTGCATTTCACGTGGAGGAGCCGGGCTAAAATGCGGCGTTCCGAGATACATATGGATGAATCGGGTCAAGGAGGGAGAGAGGCCCAAGGGACCGGTTGGGACATGTTTTGAGGGGCGGAAGCGTCGGCCAGGCAGACTGGCAGTGCACGAGATGGCGTTGGCCGGCCGGGAGGCCGTTTTTGCAGGCGTCGATATCCTCTCAAGTAGTCGACGGTGGCCGAGTTCGTGCTCAATCGCGCCCTGGGGATCCAGCGGTTCGCGAAGTCCCGTCGGCCGGCACCAATAATTTTGGCGTCCTCGTGCCCAACTGCACCCGGTGGGAAGGAAGTCACTCTGCGCTTTGCCTTGTGAGGGCCCCAACTCAGAGGAAGAGGGAAGGGTGGAAAGGATGGAGCCAATCCAAAATCAATCCCTGCCCCCGGTCGCAACACAGTGATGGCCAATGGTAAAACGCATAAAATTTGAGCTGGTGGCCTTTCCATGGTGAAATGAGACGATATTGGCCAATCAGCGCGGCGAGGCCCCTGGACGGCCCCGTGCACATTTTCTCGGTCGCTTTGCATTCCAGGACCGTGAGAGCCCAACCATTCCCAAACAGGCATGGCGCGTGCTTGCCGATCCACGGATGCCTGACAGGGAATACCCACGGCAGGAGCAACCCCTTGCCCAAGCCCCGGCCCGGTCTCGACCAACTGTTTTGTTTCGCGTTGTTTGGCCGGTCGCTGCGGTGGGGCTTGGCGCTCTCAACCCCCTCCCACCCGGCCGCCCGTGTGTCAGGGCAACTGCGGTCGGTGGTGGTGGTGGTGTCGCCGTCGTGACACACACACACACAGAGAGAGACACCTGCACACGCCCACCCCACGCCCCTTAAACTCTGCGCGGGTGCGCCGTCGCCTGGGCTGGAGGGCCAAGGTGGTGACACTCCGTCCCTCCCGCTGGTTGGGTGGAGGCGTCTTGCTCGCATGGCTGCCGGTCCCCTTCACCTCCAGTAAGCCCACCCACTCCCTCCACTCCGATCCATCCATCCATCCATCCATCCATCCCATCTTCTCTTCATATTTTTCTCCTCTCCTTCACGATTTTCCTCCCTCTATCATCTCTTTCTCTCTCCCCCCCCCGGTCCCCCCCGGCGCAGTCACCTCTTCTCCTTCTTCATTTCATTCGGGCCACGCTCCTTTAGGCGCCTGCTTCCTCTTCTTTGTGTGATCTTTCTTCAGCGTCCTGGTTGTCGCTCCTTTTCTATCCCTACCCGCCGCTTTATCGAAAAGGAAGTCCACACACTCCGTCCCTCCTTTAAAGCCAAGCAAAACGTCACTTGGATGACCTGGTCATATTGCTGTGCAATAATTGAAGAAAAAAAAAAGAAAAAGCAAAAAATACATTCCCATTCCTTGACGACAACATTGCATCTCGTGTTACACCGCAGCTGGTTCCTGTTTTCGGAAACACATTGTTGGGGTGGATTCACTCTGCACACGCGCCACAGTCACCAGAGACGATTCACACCGCATCAACCCCCCACCTGCAGCTTGACTCCGGAGTTCTGCAAAAGTCCTCATCGCTGGAGCAGAGAATAAAATTACTACTTCGACAACCCAGGGAAACTCCAGCTTGCGATCTTGGAACTGAATAGAGTTCAATTGTCAAAAGTACCACCATGTCGGGTTCCCAGTCCCTCATGAGAGCGTTCACAAAGCGCCAGAAAAGGCCAAAGGTCTCTGCACCTATGCCCTTCCGCGAAGGCCAGGTCAAATTCGCCCCTGGAACCATCGATCGTTCGCGGATCTCCCCTGCAATCGAACTCATCTCCTCCACCAATGTCCTCGCTTACACCGCCCCGGATCTACCCTCCACCAAAAGCCCAAACGGGCTCTCTTCCTCCTCGTCCTCCTCCTTTCGCTCTGCCGACGACTTGGATGTGCCCAACTTCACCCCCATCACCTCTCCTGCCACCTCGACCCGTGACGAGTCCCCAATCTCCACCGAACCTAGTCTTCCTCCCTACTTCGAGTCGACGAAGCGACCAAAGCCAAGCGCCAGGTCTTCCGCCTCCTCGTCGCGATCGAAGGATGCTACGCCTCCAATCCCGCAGCGCGCACTCTTGCACACGAAGTCACAGCCCAACCTTGGACGAGAAGGACCTCCGTCCAAGATGACCCTTCCCCCGATTTCTCTCAATAACCCAGCCTCCTCTCGAGTGAACTACGAACCTTACAATACTCTGCCGGAATCGACGCACCCATTCATGAAGGAGCTGGAACAGGTCAACGAGGTGGCCGAGGAGTTCACTCGCGGAGTACGTGACGAGGAAGAGGAAATTCTATTGAACAAGGGATTAAAGAAGTTTGCGGTGGAGGATTATATTTTCGAAATTCAAGATCTGTATCAGACCTATTTCGGAGACGAGCTCGGTGAGCGGCAGCCTATGGGCGGGGCATGGATCTGATTCTCCCTTTGATGCCCTCCATACGCCATCGCTCACAAAACAGTCGACTTACTACCAAGGGAAAAAGAACTAGAAATAATTAAAAAAAAAAAAAAAAAAAAAAAAAAAAAGAAAAGAAAGAAAGAAAGAAATGAGCCCTTCTGGCTTTGGCCAGGCCAGATCCATCTCTCGGCGCCTCGACCGGGATCACGCGAATACATAATTTTCGGCTATATATTGTGCGGTTCTCTATGTTCGAATCTGTCACGATCATTCCGTCCTACTCAGTTGCTTTTTTGTGTCTATATTTATCTTCATATTTATAATGCTCACGCTTCCCCCCATCCAATGTCCTATTTCCTTATATTTGTTATGAGTATTGATTCCCCCCTATTTATGACCGGTTTTGAGTTTTTATGGTTGCACTGGGTTCGGTATTTGTGTCTCTTGTTTCCCTTACATGTCAGTTCCAGTAAGCAATGGCTATTGTTCGCCGGAAATAGATCTCGAGTGATACTTCTGCATGCCAGCTGTTTGTAATCTCCCCATGAGTTCAGTTCCGGACGGTACACGGATAGCTTTGTCATCTACATTAGTAAAGAGACACATCCGCGCTCTTCTATCGAGAGTGAAAGTCTCAACTCTTTCGCCCTCTTAAGGTGTCCCAGCAAGTTCAAACTCGGAGCATTAAGCCAAATAGTTATCCTATTAGCAGGGTGTGAACGCGTAGAATCCACTCGGTACACCTTCACCGAGCTTACGGACTTCTTTTATTGTACCATGATTCCCCTGTCCCGAGCATTGAAAAAAGAAGCATTCCGTTTCGACAGTGCGGGTTAATCAACTGCGGCTTCAATGCGATCGAGCGCACGCGCGTCTGATTGGCTCCGACAAAAACGCCGCCAAGCGACCCGTCGCGCGGGGCTCGTCGGATTAATATTTCCCCGAAGTACGGTTTTCTGCAGCTTAGTAATTTTGTCTCACCGCCTTTGAATTTTGAGTTTTTGTGGGATTTTGCGGACAAACACAAAAACCGCAGGTGAGATTTCAACTTGCCAGGCAGCTCTCTGGTCTGTGTGTTGTTGGCCTGTTGGGGGTTTCTTCTTCTTTCACGGTGGCCCTTTTCCATCCTCCTTTTATTTCCTTTTTTTTTTCCAACATATAATTTACATTGCCTCATCCTCCTATGCTGGGTTGAATCCCAGGATGCATAGCTTCGACGTTCTCGTGGATTTTCCAGCTCGATTCTGCCCTTTAAGTCTCATAAACGTTTCACTTTGAGCCCTCGAGAAACCGTTCTGACTCTCGTGCCCTTCGGGGTGAAACCTGAGGCTTTATTTGTACACTTTACACACTCCAGACATTTTTTTTTTTGAACCTTGGCGAGGTCGAGAGGACCTTTTTTACTCTCCGTCCATCTTGAAGCTCACGCGACCCAACACGAAACGACTAAAACGCGAAGCAACCGTCTTTTTTTCCGATCTCAACGGCCATCCGGCCCGGTCGAGATTCTTAGCCTTCCTGTCAGTATGCCGGTAGCCCAAACGTCGCGCACAATGTCCAGATTCCATTCTTCAAGCCGTGGCGACACTCCACCTTCGTCCGCTCCGTCGATGTCGATGCCATCCAAGTCCATCCTAAAGGTCCCGATGGCCACCGCCCAGAAACGTAAAAAGATAGACATGGATCTCTCCTCCGATGTCTCCACCGGTTCTGATTCTCCGGGTGCAGCAGTGCCGAATAAGAAACGTGCGAGAGTCACCTTCGAGATGGATACCCCCGGAAAGGGCCCAGGACAGCAGGCTGTGATAAGTGGTGATGTAGGCGCTCCAGCTTATGAGAAAAGCACGGCTTTGGTGCGAGAGGAAGTCAGCCGTGCTATTCAGCGCCATCTAGTTGGTGATAGTGATGCGTATGATCGTGTTAAGGAGATATTCTCTGTAGATCCAAAGGCATTAGAGGTCGACGGATCCCCGGTTTACGACTTACCTACACATACTTCGCTGAAGAATCATCTTCTGGGCTTGTTGTCGAATGTGTCGGCGCTTGACAGCGCCTGCAGTGGTCTTGTTCATGCAGTCCTTGATAGCGAGTGGCTTGGAAGAGATGAAGCCTATGTGAAGCTCTTCGTGAGGTTCCTAGGCACATTGGCTGCCGCTCGTGGCGGTTATTTGACTGCGGTGTTGAGGATGTTGGTGAATAATCTACGTGAGGGTAAGGCCCCCAATCTCCATCGCTTCGACTGATACCTCTGTTGACTGAGTGCCTTGTCCGAGTAGTCCCTTTTGGCACTGGCAGGCTTCCCGGTTACGCCGTCGTTCGAAATGCCGAAATATATGACCGAGTTCATTTCGGCATCCAACACATCATCCAATTAATTCCTGCCGGAAGTGTTACACTATCTCCTATCCTCTCTTCAGGCTTCCCGCACGATACGGATACAGCAAAGGCGCATATTGTATTCACTCGCAATTTGATTAAAATGATAGATTACGCACCCGAGTTGCGATCTGATATTCTTGCTCTAATAACTGAGAAGCTAGTAAAGATTGATGTGCAAATTCAAGTTGATTTAGACGATTTTGAGGACGAGGATGAGGAAAAACTCCACAACGAGATTACAGCTGAGGCATTCGTCTTGGAGGATGATAACTCGGATGTCGAAAGTACCATCAGCGACGAAGAAAGCACGAGTGCTGAGACGCAGCGTTTCAAAGCACTTAAGGAAAACATCAACAAGATTGATTATATGCTTGATTTGCTATTTGAATATTATTCCGGTCCGTTCAATTACGGCACTTTGGACGACAAAGAAAACAATCTAGACCTCCTCCTGGCTCACTTCCAGAACATCATCCTTCCTACTTACCGCTCTCGTCACTCTCAGTTCCTCCTCTTCCATTACTCGCAATCGTCTCCGATTCTGGTCGATCGATTTGCCGCTGCTTGCATTCAGATTATTCTCAGCAAGTCACATCCCTCTGTTCTTCGTCAGTATGCCGCTGCCTATCTGGCAAGTTTCGTGGCTCGAGGCGCCCACGTAACAAGCGAAGTTGTGCGCGACGTATTTGATCTTTTATGCACTCATCTAAAAAACCTAATTACCGAATACGAATCTAACTGTCGCGGGCCGGATCTCCGTCGTTATGCTACCTTTTACGCGACCGCCCAAGCAATCCTCTACATCTTCTGCTTCCGCTGGAGAGATCTTACAACCGCTGCCCAGGAAGGAGACATCGACATCCATGTTGAGCTTGACTTGGACCAAGTCCGTTTCCCACCAAATATCAGTGACGTCCTCCATACTGCAATCCATTCCAAACTTAACCCGCTGAAAATCTGCTCCCCGTCTATTGTGCGCGAGTTTGCTCGCATTGCGCATCACGTTGGATTCATGTACGTCTTCCCGCTTTTAGAAACCAACAAACGTATCCGCATCTTCACGTTTCGCTCCTCCATGTCCATGGATTCCCGCTTCGGGCAGATCGAGCGCGAGACACGCGCAGATAACGATCTGGGCCCGCAGTTGGATGCATATTTCCCATTTGATCCATATAATTTGCCTCGCAGTCGTCGATGGTTGGAAGGTGATTATGTCGAGTGGCGCGGCGTGCCGGGTTTAAGGGACGATGATGATGACGACGATACTGATGGTCGATATGATGAAGAGGACGAGCTTGATCATTGCACAGAGACCGATGAGGATGCTCATTGACCGAGAAATACGAAGCAAAGGTCCATTTTTTTAATCATCTGATGAGGTTGGGTTTCCACTTTTGTTTTGCTGGGTTGAGTTTGGCGTCGGTTCATGGCAAATTATTTGGCGCATGGGGGGATGAACATGAAGATTGGTTTGATGTCTTCGCAAAAGCCAGCCTGCGGTCACCGAAAAAATTCAACGGCGTTGACTCACAGACGAATCAACGAATGTGAAATACTATGGCGAGCGGGAGTATTATATTCGAGTCGCCCATATGCCCTTTTCTTTTATCCATTTACGGAGTACACGTCCCGCAAATTCCCCCAGATGCATACGACTCGCGGTTTTGAACGAGTGCTTTTCTTCGTAACGTCTTGTGGGATGGCCTTGATTTTGATAGGTTGAAAAAGAGCGTATTGGTTTTGTATTGAATCGATGCGTTTTATGAAGTCCCGAGTTTCCCGATGCGGTATCCAGCCACCCAGGCTGTTGGAATCTACTTGTATGTACGGAGTACTCCACACCTCTATGATACGTGGTGTGTACATTGTATATACTCCGTAGATTCAGAAAAATAGTTAAACGCTAGATAACAAAAAAAAGCAATAAACATTCGAATTCAATGCCATTTGTATTAATGTCTATTCATATATATATTGACTGTCTATTGGCCGACGACAGCTATAGACATCAGGGTATAAAGTGTTAATACCGGCGGCACACATGATCACAGGATAATACATGGGGTGCTGTGCATTATATCGTCCACCAGTAAAAAGAAAACAAAGGCACTGTAGATCACAGGATGAGAGAGCATCAGGGGCACTCCATCTCCCGGCCTTCCTCAAAAATCTTCTTCATCTGTTCTGCTGCCGCCAAATAAAACACGTCGATCCTTCCCTGGTCCCTGAATGGATTCACCGATTTATCCCACGCATGCTTCGATTGCTCGATCATCATCGATCGCACCCTCTTCCCCTGTCCTTCCAGCTGATGCACAAATTCTTGCCCTTCGTGCAGCAGCATATCCCATTCACACATGTATATGAATACATCGGTAGGGAGGGCCTCGCAGATCAACTCTGGAGGCGCACGAATGGGCGACGCAAACGGCGATGAGCGATCGTCGTGGTTGGGAAGATAGCTGTTGTCGAAGAGGGTGGTGAGACATGAGGGAAGCGACTTTTTGGGGTGGGCGCATCGGCCGCGCCGGACATCACGGGGAAGGACAAAGTCAAGGACAGGGTACCAGGAGACGAGGGAGACTATTCTCAGGTTGAGATCGGTGGCGGTGGTGGTGGTGGTGGCCAGGAGCTTGTGGCTGGAGTCATAGCGAGAAAGGTCTGGTCGGCTGGCGTTCTCTAGAGATGACGAGGAAAAGTAGCTGAGGTTCGGCGGTGTAGATGCGGAGAAACGGCTTCGTAGGAGCAGCGGGACTGAGAAAACTAAGTTGCCTCCCGCAGAAAAGCCTGAAAGGGTAACTCGGCTGGTATCAAGGTGTAACTCCGAGGCATGCTCTTGAAGATATAGCAAAGCCTCCACTCCATCGTCGACAGCAGCCGGGAACGGATGTTCGGGCGCCAGGCGGTAATCAACGCTTACAACCACTGCGTTCGCGATGTTGGTAACGATTTGCGCCCAACGAGCGTCATCGGTAGCCCGTCCCAAGCAGAAACCGCCGCCATGAAAGTTGACCACCACCGGATACCTGTGGCCATTTGATGAAGCGTTGGCGTACTCCTTGGGGGTATAAAAGTGAAGCTTTACTGAATGCCCTGGTAACCTTCGTGTGAAATGCGGAGCTGGCGGCCCAGGCAGAGGATATCCATGAAAGAACATGCCAATCCGCATAAGCGCTCGGAGAATAACGGCCTTCACGAGCAGCCAGATCCGGCTTACTGCAGGCGACGCAGTCGCATCCGCCATCCCAGACCTTTTTATCAGTTATTGAATATCCAACGCGGCCATTCCAGGGAAATATGACAAGATACGAAAACTCGCGGGGAATGACTATAACACTCCGCTGGGAGCTAGAGTGCCGGAATTGTCCACTCTTTAACTCGTGCGCCTACTAGTAAGATAAAGCATTACGCCTAGTTAGCAGTGGCGTGTCACGTAGGTACGCAAGTGCAATGATCCAGGCCCTCGTGACGATACACCATTTCGGCTGATAATCACCAATTTGGAATGGATCCTGGGTGGCAAAAAGGGGCCGGGCTAAGACCTGGTCTGACGAGTGTGTTTCATGCGCGTGGGCTTTAAACTCAGCAATTCTTCCAGGGAATAGACAAACTCACCGGCCCTATGTTTTAGGATGTCCTTTTTTGGCCTTCAAAGTTATTATCCGGTTGATGGAGATCACTCGGTGGAAGCTTTTCGATGGTGCGAAGCCTAAAACAGCACACGAGAGACAATGAAAATGGCTGATTAAGGATAACTATGGGCTATACTCTATATGTTCCGAGTAAATTCATAAACTCTGTTCCACACAATGGTCAGGCACAGGACATATCGCGTTGCTCTGCTTGATGCCTCGCATGGATGGCCCGGTATGGGAGATAAAATTCAGGATGCGGAATGACCGTGACGTCAATTGCGCCATGCAAATCTGACCCAGCAAGGTCTCCTCAGCTTTGACGCCCGGTGGACGACGACTTGACATTCGAATGCACGTTATGTCCTTGGAAAATTGGCGTTGTTCGATTGATGGGGATCCAGCAAGTTACTCCGTGTGTGGGGCAAGACTGCACCCGTCTGACTGGATGAATTGATACCGCGTTCTTGGAGAAATATCCCCAGATCTGCAGCACCGCTAAAACTTGGACGATTGACAGCAACGACCATCTCACGCCATATCGAGTGCCCTAGTTGCCGGAGTATCTGCTATCTGGCCTAGCAGTCTACGAGAGCCTTTTTCCCCCTTTTTGATGGCAAAGCAGGCTGAAAACCGCGGACGAATAACTATGGTCAAAAAATTACCTGTTTAGTGATGCTTATTACTGCCACTGCGGATTTGCTACGCAAAGATGATTCGGCTTATGAAGTAAGACTGTGGCTTTGCATCACCAGCTACTATTTGGATATTTACGCGAAGCTTGTTCTGATAATTTTGAGAGCACGAAATGGTCAGCCGCCTTCGCAGCCACTTTGAGTGCAATCTATTGAAACATTGTATAAAAATGCGCAAGCTCTTATTCTGGCTGGCCGGCTGGCTGGTAAATGGCTATGTGTTTGCATAGCTCCTTAGAGCTAAGACTATCACTTCATCTTGTCTCCAACAATGCCCCAAAAGATCCTGCTACCCTTACATTGCGACCATACTATATGGACACTTATTGAAGAAACTGAACCTTCATAACTAACAAGTGCATGCAATTTATGTACAACAGCATCATCATACAGCATGGACAACCCCCAAAGTCTTCTGCTAGTCCATGTCCATGAATGTGCGATAAAGACTTTATTTGGGGAATTTTCTAAACATATCCCCGATCATATCAATTGGAGCCGTCATAAGGCCGATGGCCGTCTCGAATGGTGGCTTATCTGGCGCCGAAGGATGCGAGCGGGTGGGCACAAACATTTTGGTCCGTCCAAATGACTTCTCAAGCTCGTCGCTCTCTTCAGTCGACAGAGCCTCTTCCAGAGCAGGGAGGTCTTCAGCCTCTTCCTCCTTGATATGTTCGCTCAAATTGCTCATCAGTGATTTGATCGTGGGAATGAAATTTGGCTCGGTCGGTTCCATGTTCTGGAACTGTTTGAGCTGCTCTTTGACCTAGAAATGAATTAAAAATTTTTCTTCAAAGATGCGCCCGTGATTATTAGTAGATAATACCACTTGATGCTCCTGCCTATCTCTATCTGCTTTCTTCTTCCCATCTAAGTGGAGATGCTTTTCAAAAGCTGGATAGACTAGTAGTTCCTCGCCAATTGAGTGCCGCGCCAGTTCCCAGGTGAATTGATTCCGATACCGAATTTTAGTATCGTCGTCAGTGGCATTGATGATTTGGTTATAATAATCCTCCAACTCCCTGTGGTCCTTTTTAACCGAGTCTGAGAGGCCCATGGTGGCGGTTGAGGCAGAAAATTGACGATGAAATGGATATTTTCTTGAAAAGATAGTGAAACGTGAAATAGAGCTCAGGGCTCGGTTAGGTGTGGTCCCTAATGGTAATTTGAGCATAGAAAAGAATTCTTAGGAAGCTTGATGATCATCTCCCAAGTCCTCGCACGGTCAACGGTTTTATATTTGGGCTCCTTGGTTCAAATCTTCATGCTGCCTAAGACTGATGAACAACCCCTCCATTCCTGTTTGCAGCCCGTTAATTCATATGATGGAACAACATGGTTGGCCCAAAGGTCAGATCCTGATTTGGGATCGTTTCCAAGTTTACTGAGGGATGCTGTCATGGGGTTTAGAGCACGCCGTTAGCTAAGGGAGCATGAAAATTCCGAACGGCAAGGAAAAATAAAATCCTGGAATCCTGGGATAAAATGATCGAATATCAAGATTCAGTCTTTTAACGGACGTCCCAGAAGCAACACCATCCCGCTTCGCAGCCCTGTCTGATATATGACGTTGAATTTGGCTTCCCGGCACTTGACTAATAAGCTTTCGGCTAGCGGCTGAAATTTATCGGAATAAAACTCGGCCCGGACGGTCTAGGCTGGCCCCCGGCCAGCATGTGGGCAGCAGCACACTTTTCCACTCGTGTCTCTCAGAATTCATGATATCCGGATGGGTAGCCATGGACAGTTGCCCTGATGCCCAGATAAATGACATAACGGTATAACAACACCTAAGATGGCAAAATCACAGGTTCAAGCGCTTACCCTCCAGCCCTGTGAAATGGACCCGCCACATGCTGCCTATTACCGATCACCTAGGCCTTCTTCTGCCACTGACTCTTAAGCTTGACCTCTTCTACCTATTTTTAACTTTCCGGTATTCGTTTAGAGCCCCAATCCGGTGGTGATAACTTTATCCAGCCATGGTCAGCCGAGGTCAGGAACAGTGCTACCAAGCAACGTGCAGAGGTTTTACATGACAGGACCCAAGCTCATAAGGGAGGACGACATCCAATTCTCTGGTATTCTCCCTTGAGTTTGGTCATCTTTGCGGGAACAACCTGACTTTGACGCCTCCGACCCATTTCATTAGCTTGATAAAACCGAACTAGAGTGGGATTGGTCTCATTTAGAATATCAAGCATGATATATCCGGGATAAAGGGAGCGGTCCCACGGTCCAGTCGTAGAAAGGAAAGAACTCATCTCCTAAATCCTCCAGCACGAGTTCATGCTTGCCAGAACCCAGTCACCTATACCTCGTAACGATTACCAATATCATTTCTGTATAACTAACTACGACATTGATGGCTTCAGCTTACGTGAGCATATATCGCGCAGCCGATGTCTCCCGATGGCCACGAAGAGGACAGTGGTTCCAGGCCCTTTTTGCCTTCCGTCCTGAGGAATTTCAGCTGCTTCGATTCCGAGGAACTACCAAGTCAAAGCCCCAGCTGCCCTGTACTCCGCAGGCTTGTCGGCTCTGTGCACGGGGCAATGACGTAACAAAGTTCGTGGATTCGGCGATTGGCTCCGCTCTCGCCGGCGCCTTTTCTTCACTACCTGTCATGACGTCATTAACTGCCTCTCGTCGCTGCTTCTTGTCCAGCTCTCGTCGTTTTGCCATCGCCCGCATTATTGCGAGCAGCGCGCGAGACGGCAAGATTTACTTTCGAAACGAAATCTCAGGGGATCTCCGGGATTTAGTTAAGCCTCGATATTGGGGAAGTGTGAGCTGGGGACATTGACCGTAGTGGAACTAAGTTTTGGTCATTTGGTAAAAGACCGCTCTGAGCATTATTCAAGCTTTTTGGGCCAATTTTTTTTAGCACGGTTGCGCCTGTAAGTGTGACTCGTTTAGATTTGCAGATACGGAGTACGAGTGCGGTATTTCGTTCTGATATCCAGCCCCCGCCATGATCTAGCAGCCCCCGTATTGAAGCCAATCTCTGTATAAGAGTACTTGCCTCCCCGTCGCAGTAAGCTCTTTGCGAAAGTATTTCATTTTTCATCAACAGACATCGTATAGAAGCACAATGAACCGCGGCATAGGTCTACCATCCTGGTGATAAAGTTACCCATTTCCTGTTCCTTTAACCACTCATCGCCTCAGGAACACTTCCAAACTTGATGAGCGTCCAAAACACATTCGATCACAGGTGAAGTCACCCTCCATCCGCGACTGTTCTCCCCGGGTGATATACGAGTCTTCCTTGATTATTCTGCCTTTGCGAACTGAGCTAACCGTTCGAGTGATCAGTGTCAATCTTTTTCTAGAAAATAGTCATTCCCCAACAGAAAATTCTGTTCTGTTGACGTTGCTTCTGCTGCAATCCTGCCCGTAAGCAATAACGGCCTTTAAGGCGAAATTTCGACGAATACATTGAGGGTCAAGGACCTACCGGAAGAGACAAAAGGGCGATACTCGTGAAAGAGCACCACCGCAAGTCACCATGTCGATTAAGCTAGCATTGGCAAAAATTAAAAAGGTCAGCTCAGATAGCGAATTGGTATCACCCCGCCGGAGCATAGCTCAATTCATGCATGGCCGCGACTTCGTATACTCGAGCGATGACACAAGCGAGGATAGCGAGTCCATGAGCCGAAAGGAGCTTAGACGTGAAACACGACGGAAAGCGAAATCACAATCCCGTTCTCGAGCGAGTGAAGAATCCAGTATTGATCTTGTGAGGAAGAAAGAGAGAGATGAACAAGCTGCAAAGGAGGAAACTGATGAGATGCGGGCGCGATATGGGGATTTGCCCTTTATGCAATCACGGGATCGCCCACGACAAACCCTCGCCAAGTTTGATTCAATCACTCCCGACATGGCTGGGCAGGAGATCACTTTTCGTGCGCGCCTTCATGTCGTTCGCCGCATGGGACAGAAGTTGGTTTTTCTTGTTTTCCGTCAGCAAGTGATCACTCTACAAGGCGTCCTTACCGAGAAGAAGGGAGAGATATCTATTCTTATGATTCAGTGGGCAGAGCACATCCGGGTTGGCTCTATACTCAAAGTGAAGGGGGTGATCCGAAAACCAGAAGTTCCCGTCATTGGGACAACTATGCATGACCTGGAGGTACATATCCAGGAAATCCATGTCATCGTCCGAAGAGAAGAGCCAATCCCATTCAGCGTCTATGAAGCCGAACTCCCAGCAGTGGAAGAGGAAAAGATCGAAGGTAGACGTACACGAGTGCCGGACCGGACAAGATTATCGAATCGCATCCTTGATCTTCGGACAGACACGTCCCAGTCAATTTTCCGCATTCAGTCCGTAATCTCTTCATATTTCCGTTCCACGTTGGACTCAATGGGCTTCATTGAGATACACACACCAAAGTTGCAGGGCGCAGCGACCGAATCGGGGGCCAGCGTTTTCAGCGTACGTTATTTCAATCGTCCTGCTTTCTTAGCCCAAAGTCCTCAGCTTGCGAAACAAATGGCTATCGCTTCTGATTTTGAGCGAGTATACGAGATTGGAGCAGTCTTCCGCGCGGAAAACTCCAATACCCATAGACACTTAACTGAATACACGGGTTTAGATATCGAAATGGCGATTGAGGAGCATTATCATGAATCTCTGGAAGTCATTGATCAAGTGATAAAAAAGATCTTCGAGGTAATTTATGGCAAGCACAGACGAGAGGTGCAGATCGTCAAGCACCAATTTCCCTCTGAGGATCTGGTCTGGCTGGACAAGACCCCTATCATCACGTTCTCCGAAGGTATCAGGATGCTCAACGAATCTGGATGGAGAACTGAGGATGGGAAAGAGCTCTCAGACCTGGAAGATATTTCAACTCGCGACGAGATTCGACTAGGTGAACTAGTCAAGGAGAAATACCACACTGACTATTACATCATGGACAAATTCCCCGCGTCCGCTCGACCTTTCTACGCGATGCCTGACCCAAATGATAACAGATTCACGAACGCGTACGATATTTTCGTACGAGGTCAAGAAATCGTATCTGGTGGGCAGCGTATTCATAATCCAATCATGCTTGAAGAGCGTATGAGGCAAATGGGTGTCGATCCTGCCTCCATGGAAGAATATATGGAAGGATTCCAATGGGGTGTACCTCCTCACGCCGGTGCTGGTATTGGTTTGGAGAGAATGCTGATGTTAATTCTGAAACTGGGCAATATACGACTTGCTTCAATGTTCCACCGTGATCCCAAGAGCTTCCCGGCTCAAGACCAACCAATGGTTCTAAGACACCCGGAAGCATCCACACTTCACCCTCCATGGGAAAGTAATTCGACATCGGCGAATGAGGCTCCGCTAATCGAACGAAAGTTCCAGGAACTCGCAGACCTTATTGCAAATTACGGCGATGCCACCTCCACGTCTTGGTTCGATGAACGATTTCAGGTATGGAGGGACGTCAATACTGGCGCCGCAGTTGCCTACGTACCCATCAACGGGTACGCTATCATCGCAGGAAATCCACTCTGCGATGTTTCACAGTACCCAAAAATTGTACCACAGTTCCTCCGCTGGCTCAAGAAGGAGACTCGACTAAAACCCATCTGGATCCTCTGCTGCCTCGAGGTCGAAGATATCCTCGGTGAAAAACTCGGCTGGCGGAGCCTGTCCTGCGTTGCTGAAGAACGAGTCGATCCGCTGCACAATCAAGCCGCGTCTGACGGTGAAATAGCCCGCAAGATTCGCCAAGCTGAGAACAACGGAGTAAAAATCACCACTTTCCAGTTCGGCCAGTCAATACCTGGGAAGCTCCAGGAGAGAATCGACAAGCGAATTCATGGCTGGCTTTCCAACCGCAAAGGAACGCAAATCCACCTCTCTCACATAAGACCGTGGCGGGACCAACGGCACAGACAGTATTTCTATGCTACCGACCGCGACGGCAATATCTGCTCCTTTGTTACGCTTGCGCAGCTCTCTCCTAAAAACGGTATGCAAGTCAAATATAGCTTGGACTTCCCTGGTTCACCTTCCGGCTCCATCGAGTATATCGTCACGCACGCTATTCAAACAGCGGCTAAATCGGGAGTCAAAATGCTTACTTTCGGCGGTGGCGCAACTGCGACGTTAACTCCAGGGCACAACATCAGTAGTACAAAGGCAAAAATCCTAGCGACAACGTATGAAGCTATCGTGAAGCAATTTAAGTTGAATAGAAAAACGGAATTTAGGGCAAAACTGGGTGCCCATGAGGATCCGGTTTATATTGCATACCCGAAACACGGACTGGGGACGAAAGGAATCAGAGCAGTCCTGAATTTCTTTGAAGATTGATTTTGACACCGTGCCTCTTTTTTCCCGGCAAAGTTAATATTGTGTCCTATTTTGCGCTGTCAGTAAGAATGCTGGAGTTTTTGTCAATGGATATCCTTCTTTTAATACATTTTCTGATACCTGTTGATAAAATTTGAGGCGCTCTTGGATTATGTCTTTGATATGTATATCTATTCATTCACAGCCTATGTAAGTAGAGAATTTGATATTTTCGCAACTCACGAAGAGACTCCAATTGCAGAGTAGATAACTGTCGCTGTGCAGTGAGCTGACCTCCTCCCATCAATGGCTTGATTTCCCTGCTAAAAGGGGCGTGTCCTAATCAAGCGACTAGTTATATGCTACTAGGCTAGGGACCCTAGAGGAGCTCTGTTCAAAGCCATCTTAGGAGACTTGCCATCCAGATCAGCGGGCAGTGCTTGCACTAAAAGTCGAGGTTACCATCTCGATGTCCCAGGCATTGATGCGGCATTGCGTCTTGATGTGTCATTGTCCACGGTCGACCAGACTAACTACATGTGACTTCATGTCCAGGGTTTCTGGAGCAAACTGGGGAAAAGAAGATGGGAAGATTGTACGCACCGAGGAGTGAAAAAAGAAAATCTTAAGGGGAAAAAGGGAAGGAAAAAAAATCCAAAAGATAATTGGACACTTCCGGCGGGACTCGAACCCGCAACCTTCAGATTGCCTGATATAGAAGTCTGACGCGCTACCATTGCGCCACGGAAGCCCGGTTCGGTGGATGGTTTTTCCCCTACATCGATTATTAATAGTAGCGATGCTAAAAATGTAGCCATTCAAGCAAAGTCCTAAAAGCCCGCTAGAGTTTGGCTAGCTCATGGGTGATCTTTGTGGGTAGTACGGAGTACTCCGTACTCCGTATTATTCCTACAATCAAAACTCTTTCACTTTTGAGTGGCTACAAAAGACATCAGTCCTAGAAGTCTATGGGGTACTGCAGAGACACTACAGAATGTGAGGTTGATTTTCTCACCCTCCAGAAGGGCCATCCACAAACTGCAAGAAGATCTCTTCTCCAGAGACAGTCTGGTGGCTCTCACTGAGTGACCACACTTGGATTGGCTATATGGACAACGCTGAAGTTCCAATTACTAAGCCCGAAGTGTGAGAAAATGGATAACCATCCACCATTTTAACTATAACATTACAGCGTACAGGTGTTTCTCCGACCATCTCCTAGATTTGTTGGCCTGCTTTTCAAGCAGATTGCCCAGGCTTTTCTGTTGATGGTCATCACATTCTTGGGCTTTGCATTCTCAAATACTGTGCTAATCACTGGAGCTGTATGATTCAAAATCACTCGAGCAACTTTGATCCACATCAGCAAGAAAGTCAGAGATTATTTTTTGAAGAGTGAACTTATTGTGGCAGCGAATGCTGACATCCACCCTGGCCATAAGTATGACCTTTGTTCCCGGGAAGGTACATGTAGTTCAAGCAAAATGCAATCTATCTGACAAGAACACAGAGTTTGGATTCACATTGAGAGTGGGAAAAAAGCTCAGTAAGCATAACTGCAACAAGAAGACAGTTTATAATGCTATAAAATGGATCCCGAGGCCCTCTGAGCTGGTCAAAAGGCTACCGGTGCAACACAATAAATAGTAATTCTATAAGATGTTCATCATGTTGGGTTGGATATGGCCGAACAGACACTCAAGCTTTGCTAGTACAATGCTGATATTTACACTCAATGATATGGGCTATGATTTTGGAGTCAGGCCATTTTCCTTCATTGATGAAGGCGCCCGCCTGGCCAAAACGAGCAGGGAATCTTCTTTACATACAATATCTAATAAATTGGAAATTCCCTGTGGTGCTAGGAGAGATATAGTTCACCCTGGCACTACATGTGTTGCAGTCTTAGTTCCTGGCCGGAATGAGGGAACGTACAGTCAAGATAAAGACCTAAAGTTACACTGATAGGTCATCTACACCAACTACAATTTGTGGAATTAGCTTTGAGAAATAATAAACAGAACCCGCTTGAGCCATCTAACACCTATCTAGTTCCCTATGAAGCATAAGAAACAGGCTATTCAGTGAAAGAGCAAGCACCAGGTGTCTGAACTAAAAAGGGCATATCGAAGCACCTCCCTAGCAATGACATAGCATACATGTGGCATGGTACATTAAAACGTCAGAATTGGGGGGTAAGAAACATTTCATCACTTCAAAAAGACATTAACCGCTAGCCGTGCTTTTAACCCGAACCCCCGGTGTATTTTCGGTACGACGCGAATTGAAAAGAGAAAAACAAAAAAGAAGTCATCATCGTCTCATAGAAAGCATTTAGTCAACCTCCTCCATGGTGCTCTCACCGGTAGCCTCAGTGGCGGCGGTTTCTTCAGCCTTCTCCTCGGAAGTCTCGGCCTCCTCGTCGACGTTCAAGCCAAGAGAAACAAGCTTGTGGATGCGCTCGGCAAAGCCAGCGGGTTCGTCGATGGTGAAGCCGGAGACGAGGAGAGAGGTCTCGTAGAGGAGCTGGGTGATAGACTTGACAGTGCGGTCATTCTCACCGTCCTGCTCGACCTTCTTCTTCAATTCCTTGATGATGGGGGAACGAGGAGAGATTTCGAAAGTCTTCTTGGAGGCCATGTAAGCACTCATGGAAGTGTCACGGAGAGCCTGAGCCTTCATGATACGCTCCATGTTAGCAGACCAGCCGAACTGGCCGGTGCGGATGGCGCATGGAGATCCGATCAACTTGTGGGAAACGACGACCTTCTCAACCTTGTCGCCCAAGACGTTCTTCAGAGCCTTGGCAAGGCCTTCGTATTCCTTCTCTTCAGCCTCGCGAGCCTTCTTCTCCTCCTCGGTCTCCTCGAGCTCGAAATCCTTGGTGATGTCAACGAGTTTCTTGCCATCGAATTCCTTGAGCTGAGTCATGGCATATTCGTCAATGGGGTCAACCAGGAACAAAACTTCGAAGTTCTTCTCCTTGAGGGAGTCGAGGAAGGGGGACTTCTGGACAGCCTTGAGGGATTCACCAGTGATGTAGTACATCTGCTTCTGGTGCTCCTGCATGCGGGTAACGTAGTCAGTGAGAGAAGTGGTCTCATCACCAGACTTGGTGGAGTGGAAGCGAAGGAGCTTGGCAAGAGATTGGCGGTTCTGGGAATCCTCATGGATACCAAGCTTGATGTTCTTGCTGAAAGCACTGTAGAACTTGTCGAACTGCTCACGGTCCTCGGCAATTTCGTTGAACAACTCGAGGGACTTCTTAACAATATTCTTCTTGATGACCTTCATGATCTTGTTTTGCTGGAGGGTCTCACGAGACAGGTTGAGAGGAAGGTCCTCAGAGTCGACAACACCCTTGATGAAGCCGAGCCACTCAGGAATGAGATCGGTGGCATCGTCGGTGATGAAGACGCGGCGGACATAGAGCTTGATGTTGTTCTTGGTCTTCTTAGTTTCGAAGAGATCGAATGGAGCACGCTTGGGAACGAAGAGGATAGCGCGGAACTCAAGCTGGCCCTCGACGGAGAAGTGCTTGACAGCAAGGTGGTCCTCCCAATCGCTATAATCCTGTTAGAATACGCTTTTATGCTTACTCAAAAGATGGGAATTTCATAGGAAACTTACTTAGAGAGAGTCTTGTAGAAAGAGCCGTATTCCTCCTGGGTGATGTCGGCAGGGTTACGGGTCCAGATTGGCTTGGTCTTGTTAAGTTCCTCCTCCTCAATCTTCGACTCCTTGATCTTCTTGGTTTTCTTGGCCTTCTTTTCCTCTTCTTCATCGTCAACTTCTTCGATCTTGGCCTCCTTCTTGTCATCTTCCTCGGCCTTGGTTTCTTCCTCGTCCTCATCTGGGACCTCCTTCTCAGTCTCCTTCAAGACATGAAGGTAGATAGGGTAGGAGATGAATTCGGAATGCTTCTTAACGACTTCCTTGATTCTGCTCTCGTTAAGGTAGTCGGTCTGCTCATCCTTGAGGTGGAGAATGATCTTGGTTCCACGGCCAAGAGGCTCACCGTCAACATCCTGAGTCAGGGTGAAAGTGCCTCCGGCGCTAGACTCCCAGATGTACTGCTCGTCGTCATTGTGCTTGGAAACGACGGTGACTTTGTCGGCAACGAGATAGGCAGAATAGAAACCGACACCGAACTGACCAATCATGGAAATATCAGCACCAGCAGTGAGTGCTTCCATGAATTGCTTGGTGCCAGATCGAGCAATTGTACCAAGGTTGTTAACAAGGTCCTATCACGGTGGTAGTCAGCATGGCATTTCTCCAAAGCAATTGCGCGAAAGGACTAGACTTACAGCCTTGGTCATACCAATACCAGTATCGCGGATGGTGAGTGTCTTGCTTTCCTTGTCAGGAATGATATCGATGCGGAGATCCTTGTTGGCATCGAGCTTGCTTGGGTCGGAGAGAGCCTCATAACGGATCTTGTCAAGAGCATCAGAACAGTTAGAGATCAATTCTCGAAGAAAGATCTCCTTGTTCGAATAGACAGTGTTGATAATGAGGGAGAGAAGCTGAGAAATCTCAGCCTGAAACTCAAAGGTCTCGGAAGCCATGATGGAGGTGGTGAAACGATATTCTACAGGGATTTCATAGCAAGTCAGTAAACAACCCAAAAGATTCAGTGATTTCAAGTGAGACGCGTGGAACGAGGCAGTCAACAGCTCTCAAGGATCTTTCTGTTGTTTGTTTAAGACTGTTCAAGCAATGGCCACAAGACAAAGGCAGCTGTGCAATAATGATAACAAGCAAACTGGGCAACACTCACATGAAGCTCAAAGAAGTGGAGAGAGAATCAAGGCGGTCAACAGTAAGGAAGAGGTGAGGAGCTTTGAGGGATGTTTGCGCGATGGAGCTGGGGAGGAGGGGAGACAAGAGACAATTAATGAGAGAAGAGAGGGAGAAAAAGAGGAAGAGAAAGAAAAGAGGAAACACAGAGAGATTAAATTTTTGGAGCTTCGAGCAGGCAGAGAGAGTGCCAGAGCCTAAGCGAATCTTCCATAAAGTTCCATGGAGTGCTTCACATTCCATTGCGGTCGAAAACAGCCCGCGCTAGGCCTCTTCTGGCTAAGATAGAACGACAGTTTCCAAGGTAACGAAATCTTCCAACCACTTCACTCTTTTTACTCTGTAGTCTTCACAACAAAGCACACTCTCACACCTTTCTTATGGCTATTGTTTGCTCCAGCCACAGGGCTCTACAGGGTTGGTGGCCATCTGCTACTTCACTCTGGCTTGTGGCATGATTGCTCGGAAACCAGCTTTGATATTGGCTTCGGCCGGCTGTCCTACCCCTCTAGTTACAGCACTTGTACCCCAAATCAAAGCCAATGTTGCAAGTGTATTCGACTCTCTTCATACTGCCCTACTGTTATCATTCCCTGTGTCACTTGTTTCGAAAGTGCGTGGTCGAATGAACCAAGGAACCTTTGCGCCTTGAAGCCCCTCAGCAAGCAGCAGTTGTTGTCCTTTGTCCAGTGGAAAGTGCTGAGAGCGCTGGAATACCAAAGTAGTCGTGGGGGCGGGCATTACTCGTAACTAGCAGCCTTTTGGCACCACGGGTCAGTTTATGCTCTTATCTGCATCCGTATCCTGGGGGAAATATGGGAGTTCACTTAAATAGCAATATTTGACAATATGTCCCTACCAATCACCGCACTCGTCTAAATTCTTGATCTACAAAGTATTTACAGCCCAGAGTACGCTGTACCTCATGCACTGAACGTCGTTTTACATTTTTTAGGCCCCCCGGGAATCTCCTGTACCATCTCCAAGAACCAAGCGTAGAATCAATTAAACTTCTCCGCGCCTGAGCGAGGCAGAGATTTCTCCCTCGCTGTCGCCACTTCACTGAGCGGCGGCAAGTTGGCCATTCTGGTTGGCCACCAGCCAGCGGAGATCCGATGCCAAGGTCTAGAACGTTCTCTGAAGGCGGCTATTCGGGAAAACCTTATAACGAGAATTTCGTTTTCAGGTCCGCTCTGCCGCCTTGATCATCGAGCCCCAAGAATCGAGCGTTCACCAGGCTGCGAGCGTTCGGAAGCATTTTGTACGGAGAAACAGGACTGGGAAGTAAATGTTATTGTACCTATTTACATGGGGCTTCCTAAATAATACGAAATTTCAGAAACCTGGAGGTGTTAGAAACTAAACTTGCTCTAGGTCCAATTCGCCAAAAGACCCAGCCCCAGTAATGATAACAGGCAGCGCATACTCCAAACTCCCTTGGAAAGGCCCAGCGAATCAGAGAAGGAATTCTGTTACAAATGTGGTGCACTAAACAAATGGAAACAACTTTAGGAAGTAGGTTAAAGCTGGGCAGGTCGGAAACGCCTTGATTGCGCCAGTAGATGCACGCCAGAAAAATAGACTGACGCCGTTAAAGTGATAACAACACCAATGTTTTTTTTGGATCCGTCCTCTGTCCTCTCAATAAGCCCGGATCCAGTTTGATAAGTCATGCGACGTTAGGCCTAGTGTTCTTGCAAGCCATAACGCCAGTCCTCCAACAAAGCCAACCCCACCGATGACTTGGAGAACGATCCACCCCCGTCGCTTCATATCCTCATTCCACCTGATTAGTCCCAGAGGGTCACTGGCACTCATATTCCCAGTACGATATCGAAGCTGGCGACCGTCATGGCTATGCACTGTTAGGACGCCGGTCTCTTTCTCGTAAGCAGTGACATGGCCTATAGGAACGAGCGTCCCATCCGCCACGCATTCGTCGAGCCGTTTAGTTAGCCACGCGGCCCGCTCGTCTCGAGCTAGGCGCTCATATTGCATCCTCTCATTTTGGAGACTGCATTGTAGATCTGTGGCCCATTTGGCAAGCTGGATCTGAGCCAAGTGCTCTTCTCGTCGAGTATGGTCCGCCACTCGGGCTAACGTGTACTCTGAAAGGCCCCTACTTTTCCGCGGTGAATCGAGGACCTGCGACTGTGATATCGAAGAGAACGGAGAGGTAAATCGGGAATCAATAAAGTCAGATGGGGCTGAGGTTGGGGTGGTTACTCGTTGCTCGAACGCAAATTTCCCAAGATTATGTGACCGTATCAATTTCTTTGCTGCGGAATGGCGGAACCAGACAAAGTTATCTTGGTCAAAGATCTTGTCTAAAAGGAAGCCAAGCTCAGACAGTGCCAATGGCTGTATGTAATCCGGACTCATTAACACACTGGCATCCATCATTTCATCATCGCTTGTTGTGACTGACGAAATCGAGAATGGAGCACGTGGAGTAGGTACATCGTCACTGCGGGACAGGGAATCTCCAAAAAAGGTTCCAATGCTAGCTTCTCGCGCTTTCTGAAGGAATATATTTTTCAAACCATGAATCTGCTCTGATGAAAGGGTGTCCGCTTTTGCTATTAATGGGATAACATTGCTAAAGTCGGATAACCGCTTAATTGATTGGATATCGGACATAAGCGTGTCTATTCAAAAAATTAGCAGAGTCTATCGTTATATATGTAGAAGTCTAGAATACTTGCCTTGGGAAATAAGATACAGGATTGCATCGACCTGTGATCCACCATTCCCACTTAGCAAACCTTGAAGATCAGCGTTGCCGGAATGGATAGCAGTGGTCGCCCTCCGGAATTGTTGAATCATATATTGAATCTCCAAGTTTGTTTGTTCTATCTGATCCACACACGTATTGACGGTGTCCACGAAGCAAAGATTCCGCTCCAAAACCACATCCCCTAGACTTTTTCGCCTCCGTAGTACCCTCGAGTCTTCAAGATCTGACCACCACGTTGGATACGGTTTAGTGCTTGCGTAAATCTCCGCGATTGAGGGGCGATCCCGTACGCGCCGAATCCTCTTCCCATGCTGCACATTCTGTTTCTTTGAGTTTGAGAGGCGGGTGTGGGATGTATTTTGGGGGAGAGGATCGATATGCACAATGTCCTCGCAGGCCTGAACGATAGATTTCAAGAGACACGTCTTCCCTGAACCTATAATCCTCGTGTAAGAGCGCGATTAAAAAAAAACTGAACATCAATCATATCTCACCTGTACTGCCAGCGATCATCACCTTCAGTCTCCCAAGGGATTTGCCCCTCTCAGTAAATGGCCTTCGACTTGGCATTTTTATACTTGGCATAACAAGTTGTGAGGCACTGTCTTGAAGCTCAGGCGAGCTGCTAGGATTCTCCTCATCGCTATATTCTACTACATGGTTGTTAACTTCGTCAAGAATGGAGATCTCATCGGAACGGCGGAATGATCGAGTAGATGCCGATTTTGGGCTTCCAGGGAGAGATCCTGGTACAGCAGGAGACCCAAGGAGAAGAGGCGTTAGAGGGAGCGAAGGTGCATTTTCCATAGATTGGTTATGCCCAAAAGCAGAAGAAGATGGTCTGCTCGACACCACATCATCGGCAGCGACCGGTTTAACTGTAGATATCCTGTGTAAGAGTGGAGAGATAGGCTTTGTACTGTCTTCTAAGCCATGATTATCTGAAGCTGCGTGGTGGGACTCCTCTCCGGATAACTCCATGGCCTCCTCCAAGCTTTGTACCCCATACGTGCTATCGCGAGCTCTACCTGAACTTCTAGACCGGGATCGCTCCATATCGTCGCTTCGACTAAGGAAAAATGATTCTGGTCTAGCATGGGGTTCTGTAAAATGTGTCGAGACTTTCTGGTTGGAAATCGAGGGCTTGCGGGGATGGGAGGTCTGTTGGTCTGTGACGCAGGGCCGCATTGTTGAACAAACAGGGCACTTAAGCAAGGCTGCCTCGAAATGAGCTATTTCTAAGATGTCAGTTTAACCAGGCATGATTTCAATGTTTTTCAGAGGAGGGGGTGCCGAAAACCTCACTCCCTTCCAGCACTGTCTGAAAGTTGCAAGCCTGTGCTCGGGCAGTTGATGTTTGCCTGCCACCGTCATGTCATGCGGGTCCTTCAGGCATCTCCGGCTAGTACGTGGGGTAACTTTTCGCCGACCACGGGGCAGCTGGCTATGTAGTTAAGTTAACTCCAGCGTGTCAACTAGTTGCTTAGTTCCGCACCAACGAACAAAGCTATCAACACACATCACTCAGGTTGCTACACAGGAACAAATGCACAGTACATATATACAGAGTACAGTGGATGCTTACTCTATGTGTATTATATGTATTCAACCCTAGAGCTACTGTAGGCACCTGGAAGCAGTGTGACCTTCTACACTGATTTGTAGGTGAACTGTTACAATGCACGTCATTCATTTCCATAACAGCGGAAATCAGCTGTCCATGCTGGGTGCTGACATAAAAAAGGAATATCCGGTGTGGGAAATAAGCTTCTTGGAAACTGATAGCATGATATGCACTTCACTCTGATAGATACATTTTCCAGTCGGTCTCACAGATTTATCTCCGCCTACTTTCGCGTGAAAAGGGTAAGGATGAATAGAAAACTGTTTCAGAAACCTTTGAGCAATTTTAAAGGCATTTCTGACATGTTATTATCATTCAATTTTGAGAGAAACACATAAGAGGCAAGGTATTATCAATAGTTTAAGTCATCCAATTTTGTACAGAGTACGGGGTACTTTGGTCCTCTGTACCCCATGGGGCAAAGTTTCTCTGGGCTTATGATCTGGAAGAATCTGAAACCAGTGTCATTATCTTCAAGTAGCTCAACGGTCTAGCGGAGGTGTTTCAGATGGTGATTTCTTGCACTGACCTTCTGTCTTTTACCTGCTCACGAGGCCCCAAGCGCAAGGCGTTTTTCGGCTTTCAAATGATGTCATGTTACAGATGGCTAAACGCGCTGAAGCTTCAAATCCAAGCTTTGTGTGGTAAGTTTTCTTGAGAAAAAGGAATCTTCAAGTTGGCAACATTGGATTGTATCTTCAATGAGCAGACCTGGGAATATGTAGATGGGTATTTTCAAACTCCAGTAACCCTAGGAACAACTTGTATCAACTATGGCAAAATGCCAAGCTCTCAGGGAAAGAGACTGATAGTTAGTTACCTGCTCCACACACAAGTGGTTATGCAGAAGGCACCGCGGGTGTATCTCATTAGCTAACGGGCAGGACAGCCGTTCTACTCCGTAGAGATAAAAGAGATGTTCGGACATCTTAGAGATAATCCTATATCGGTAATGCTCGCCACATCACACCCCGGTTGGGGGGCGGCCTAACAAATTTTGGAACCTGGATTCGCGAACGCATCCATTTCTAATAATATATCGCTCCTCGTCTGCTGCCCAAAAGATTCGAATTTTTGAGACCAGCTCATCTCTGCATACCGCCACATCAGGCAAGTCAACGCGACTCAGCAACTACCAATTATCCATGGAAGGCCTGTCGTTCGGTTTTGGTCATCTGCAAGAGCTGCGTCCCCATACCATTCTCGGCTAGTAACGGCCTGATGCCATTGGTTGCAGAAAAATGAGGACATCCTGGGGGATCGATTTTGACTGGGCTTTCCCATAAACGTGGGATTTGGCGCTTCGGGGACCTGGACCCGGCAATCCGAAAACTCTCTGCTGACGATTGGCAGACTGACAGCCGAAGGGTCAGTCTCACGTTGTCAAGTAGATCTTCCCAGATCCCTCTGGTCAAGTTGAACTGTTGAGCTGGAAAGGAGAGCTTTTTGTAATCGGGTACAAGAGAGTGTTTCTGGCTATCCCAGCCTTTTCGTAATTTGCCTCCTCGGAAGATCTTTTCGAACCCATGTCAGGATGTTCTCCACAAGGCAGATTCCATAGGAAAAAGCAAAAACGCGTGGGATCTCTCTGGGGAGGGAATGTCGAGCGTCGGCTGGCGGGCTGGGCTGTTAAGCTAGGGTTGCGCTAGTAAGCAGCACTACCCGGTGACCATCGACCACGGCTCGGGCCAGGCTAGACCCGATTCAGCATCCCTCCCCACCGCGGTCGTCAGTGTCAACCACATCCACCGCCGTGCTTCTCGGTCACTCGCTTCGAAATTTGCTCTCTGGCTTGTGGCCGTGTTCATGAGAAAGATCATGCCACTGAGGTGTTCTTGTTCCTTCGTCCCGCCCGATACATGAAAGCGCTGCTTCTCCAAGCTATGATCCGGCCTGGTTTTCCCCTCATTTCGTCCTAGATTGCCGCTTTAGTCACCTCTCCGACATTGCCCCTCAGGACGAAAAGCGCAACGGTTTCCGTATCCCCGAGCACTGCCAGTCAAAAATAAACCCTTGCGATGAACCAAGATCCCTCATTGGCATCGTGGTCCGGCCATATGCCTGAAGATTCTCTGATTTCTGGCTCTAGCGAGGACCTGTCAAATCTGCTCGACTTTGACTTTGATCTGGCCGACTTAGGAACTCCAGTTGACCAGCATGGCAACCCTATTGCCACCTCGGTCTCGCAGGTGCCGACTACTCTGGTGCAGGATGCTCAGTTGACGGGAATGGAAGGGATTCAGACCTCTCAACCTCAGCAGTATGCGACTTCATTTACTGATCAGATGCAATCCATTGAAATGCAAGGAGTCACTTGCACTCAGGCGCAAGTGAATCCGACGCATTTTTATCTTCAGAAGCAGCACCAGCATGGAATCGTTCCCCAGGGCTTCGGGCAACCCCATCAGTTTGTCCCACCCACTCCAAACAGCACCGAGTTACACGGAGGTGTCGCACGGTACCCCCCTCCATTAGACACTGGGGCTCAGCGACGATACGAACCGTATACTCGCGGAACTGATGACCAGGTGAGCAATGCTTACGGCCATATAGCTCTAGTCCCTAGCTGATAATATGTGAACTCACTAGGGTGCTTTCACGCCATTGATATCGCCTGCAATGACCCCTCTGGAGCAGCAACTGCGCTTTCCAGAATATGCAACTCCCGGTGAATATCTAACGCCGTTGACATCGCCTGCCCTCGAGGCACACAACCACAATGGCAACGGATTCATGCTTAGTCAAACTGCGGGGGTGGATATGGGTTTTGTCACTTCACCCGTGGACACGAGACATCAGCTACCCGCCAGCACAGCTCCGTCGTCTCCTGCAATTCTCAGGCGCCATAGGCGAAAGTCTTCCATTGCACAGAGGTCCAATGCTCGTCAAGTTCGTCAGTCTCCTTCCATGAGACCGATGAGCAGCCGTCAAAAGTCTCGGCCAGGTTCTGCAATCATCCCTGGTGGTGACATGCGAATGTGGAACAGAGATCTTTCCCAGGATCCCTCGCTGTCAGATAAACGGAATGGTTCGCGACAAAGTAGCAGTACCGAAAGCTCAGGCCAAGATTCCGTGTCTCCAGAGCCGTTAAGCGAACCTTTGATGCCGCCACCAGCCCTCCCACGTGCTTTTAAGTCACCATATATGGCTGCACAGGAGTCAAGCTCGGAGCAAAGAGCGAGGGAAGCCGCGACTCCCGCAACATTGATGAAGTTGCAAAGCCGGCCAACCGAAGCCAACTCTAGTGCCAATTTCTCGCGACCCGGTTCTGTTGTAATTTCAAATGTCCCCGAAGAGACAATGGAAGATATCTCACTTCCAGAAGCGGCCTCAAACGTCGACCAGGCTGCTACTTCAACCAGTAGTACGATCACTGATGCGAATGAGCTTACGCCGAGATTAGCCGCAAAGCAAACACCGGTTTTGAAGTCGTTGAAGGAAACAAATGGCCAAGGCACTGCTTCGGTGACTCCAAGCCCGCAAATAGGTGCGATGAAATCTCCAATGGGGCCGGTTGGACTTAAAAGGGCAGATTCTAGACCGGGAGGGAGAACGTCTAAGAAGCGGCAGAGTGGAAGTACTTCACAGATCAGCCCGGCCTTGAGACCGAAAATAAGTCCAAGCATACAGCCTCTTATTCGTGCAGAAGGTATGAATATCTTCGTTTCCTATAATCTCGATTCTGTTTGCTTACGTGATGGTATAGGAATTTCGTCTGAGACATCTGCCCTCTATCTTGCCTCCAAATCAAACTATCAACATATCCTGGAGGGAACAGTTCTTCCAGGGGTCTCGTATCCGGAAAATTTGGCTGAGAATTTGAGTTCGAAACGCACAAATCATAAACTTGCAGAACAAGGACGACGGAACCGCATTAACACCGCTCTTAAAGAAATAGAAAGGCTCCTGCCCCCTTCCTTGACACACGATGGAAATAAAGACAAGGATAAAGATAAAGCCGCCGAAGGTCGAGCGAATGGAACGTCTTCCAAGTCTCCAGATAAACCCGCATCCCACCAGCCAATTAGCAAAGCTAGCACAGTGGAGCTAGCCATTGTCTATATCAAAGCGCTGCAACAAGAACTTGCTGAAACGAAAAAGCAATTGAAAGACTTGACAACAAAATTAGACGGGACCGAAAATCCAAACATAGCTCTAGAGAAAGTCAATTCCGAAAAGACAGCAACTCAGCCAGGCAAATCCGACCCTGAAGCGCCCACTGCTACCCAGAAAACGACAACTGCAGAGGAACCAAACCCTGAAAACGATGAATCAAAGGCCGCGCAATGAACGCAAAAACTGTCAGTCTTATCCTCGCGAAAATCTTCTCCGCGTTCTATTCTTCTATGATTATTCCCTTAAATTTTTTTTTTTTTTTTTTGTTAATAATTGCATTTTCTCCACATATATGCACAAAATGTCAGCTGGTATAATACTCCCTCAGGTTCGCGTTGCGGTCAACTCCTATCCTTAATGTGACAGACTCATCTTCGATGTCAGATGGACCCGTCTTTTGGTAGGATTACGTTTCTAGCGACTTATTTTGTTCGCTACCTCTCTTCTTTTTCTCTTTTTTTTCGTGTATATCCTCCGAACCCGGTGCATTTAGCGGGGAGCTGCTATTTTCATCGCACCGTGAATTATCATTGTTCCAATCATTCAGCGGCGGGGACGGTAGGTAGGTCTGGGTGGATATCTGCTACAATTTTTATGCTCTATGTTTTGTCCCTCAAATGATTTCCGGTTTCTCGCTTGTTTCTTTGTTTATATATATTTTTTTTATTTTTTCCGTTTCCTTTCGCTACTCGAGATGCGAAGCACTATTAGTATATAAAAAAATTTGTGCCATTAAAGTATCCGTTAGCTATTGATCCTAAGGTATGTCCTAAATTCTAATGTGTAGAATAGAGGGTAGATAGCTGCTGATGGTTTTTCCATTATTCAACTGGCCAGGATGGAAATCAATATGTGGGTGTTCTACTTCGTCTCTTGCCACTCATCAGATGCGAGAATGTCCTGCATATTTCGTATTCACTTGTACGCTTCCGGCTCTATAATCAGACCATTTACTAGTTTCCTACAAGGCATCGACGTCGCGCACCAAAATCCCCACGTAAAAGATATAGAGCACGGAGTAGTCAATTACCTGAAAATAAGGGGCTAATTTATTCATTTCGCTAACACGAAACATAGTACATGGAAACACCACGAAGACAAAGCCTCACGAGGGTCCCGTCCAGCACCGGAAATGCAAAGCCAAGTCTCCATTTTCCGCTCCACCCCACTCCCAGACCAGACCTTGACACACCTCCGCCGGGTTATTACCTGATCCTATTGATCGTCATTGCGCTTTCATTCAGACATTAATGCCCACTAAGCACCACCTTTTTGTTGCTGCCATGATGTTTTATCAAAGGGAAATAATACACAGGAGTATCAGCAGAAGTAGGTAACTGCAAACGACCATAAAGAACAAGAACAGAGTGAAAAACCACGACATAGAAAAGTTGAAGTAATAGTTAATGCTAACCTGGGGCATGGAATGTCTGCAAAAGCGCCCAAAAGAAAAAAAAGAAAAAGTAAGAAATAAGTCATATTGCGCGTGACAAAGGTTTCCATGCTCGCTAGATCATCTCAAGCAAACATTAAATCAAGAGAACTAATAAAGCAGCATATGCAATAGCACAAGGTGTCAAGGTTTAAAGGGGGGGAAAAAATGAAACGTGTCAAACGGATTTGAGTACAAAGTAAAATAAGAAATAAAGCTTTTTCCAAGCACCTCAAAATGCGACCCCAGGTGACTCCTTAAAAGAAACTAGACGCACCAGAAGACCATAAAATACCACGAAGGCATGTATTTATGCATCTCTAGTGAAATGTACAGGACAAGAACAGGCTTGTTTAAGCCCATCATGTCACAAATCGTAGAGGCAAGGAAAAGGGAAAGAACTCATACGGCTTGGGACTGGGGACGACCTTTGGGAGTAATAGTGCCGCCGCGGCCGCCTCTAGGAGTGAAACGTCCAGAGTCTTTCTGAAATCCACCACGACCTTGACTAGCGGTACGGTCGCCACGTCCACGGCCAGCACCACCCCTACCAGGGCCATAACTAGCATTGCCTCCGTAAGCAGTGGCTCGTGGACGTCGCTCTTCCACAGTGATACGTTCAGTGCCAATTTGATGAGGATTAGCTGCGACGGCGGCCTTGTAACCAGCAGCATCTGCAAATTCCACAAAAGCACAGCTCTGTCCATTAAGGGTTAGTTATTGATGGCGTATAAAAAGGAAGATTTGGCGGGATACTTACACGTTGGCGACTGACATCAAAATACTTGAGCTTACCAAAGCGCTGAAGAGTCTGCTTGAGGAGGGCAGCATCGACTTTGTCGTTAACGTTTTTAATGTATGCAAGCACATTGTCATCGCGACCTCTGCCGGCAGTTTGCCATTCAGAGCTTGAGGTCGAAGAAGTTTGGCTTGGAGCGCTCTCACCATTAGCGGGAGGAGCTGGCTGGGAAGGAGCAGCTGCGACCTTGGGCTGTGCGGCTGGGGCAGCCTGTGGCACAGCGACAGGCGTGGGGACCGCGGCAGCGGCAGCTTTATTGGCGTTCGAAGAAGCAATGGAAGCCCAGGTCATGGAGACAGGCCTAGCTGGAGGAATGTTCTCCTTTTCAGCAGCAGGGGTTGCAGCCTTGGGCGGTGAGACGATGGGAGTTGGTTCAGGTTCCTTGGGCTTCTCCTGCTGCAAAGCTTCAGTAGTGACTTCGGCAGCCTGCGCTGGCTCGACAACTGCTTCAGGCTCCTCAGGCTTAGTCTCAACAACTTCTTTCACGGACTCCTGAAGCTTCTCATCAACTTCCTGTGCCGCAGCTTCGGTATCAGCTTGGCGCTCAGTCTCAAGCCATTGAGGAGCAGCCTGTTGTTCGGCTGGCTCAGAAGGAGCCTCTGCGGCCGGGGCCTCCACGGCGTCTTGCTCGTCGGCAATAGCCTCTCCATCGTCGTCAACTAAGAATCGGATAATATCGTTCAAAACATAATATCCATTTCTCTGTTCAGCCAAGACAAAGGTCTGGACAAACTTGCGTGGAGGCTCAGACCTGTTAGACAGCTCTCCAATAACAGATACCAAGATGTTATCGAACGAAGCCTGGGAGTCGACATTCAAAACCCTGACTTTGGTATCGTGAAAATCAAGAGATTTGATGCGATCCTGAATGGCCTGGTACGACACCATGATTAGCACTAGCTTGAAAAAAAACCGAGTGGTATATCAGTGTTTCGGTACTTACAGTTTGGCCAACAGAAACGCCAACTTTCTCCGCCTCATTTCCAGAGACAAACTGAGACTTGCGCGAATAGAAGAGGTGAAGCTTCTCAGGGGTCCGGCTGAGGGTAGTGTAGTACTGTTCGACGAAGAACCACGCAACTTCTTCCTTGGGGATGTCATTCTTGGCTTCCTGCGGTGGAGGAGCCGGAGTCGAAGCGTTGCTCGGCTGGTGAGTATGCGGTGCATTAGCGGCAGGGTAGCGATCAGCGTGGTACGGAGCGGGCTGGTGGTGGGTATAAGCTCCGTTGACGTGAGATGGAGCTTCGGTTGCCATTTCGAAAACTTTGTCGAGTATGGAGGATAAACGAAAATTTAAATTATATGAGGTTGTCCCGTGGAATAAGACTGGGAATCTTAGCGATAGCTAAGGCTGATCGAGGTCTAGAAGCTTTTTCTCTATTGGCCGGTGAAGAAAGTTAGTTCCAGTTTTGATCGCCTTTTAGGAGCAGGAGAATGAAGAGGGGATTGGCTCTCAAGGCTTACAATCTGAATAGAGAGGTGTAGAAGAGCTGCAGAGCACGGCGTGCTGGGAAGAGAACAGGGTCGTAGCGCGTTGCACTGCGGTAAAGAACTTTTTCAGGGTCGCGTTAGGAGAGAAGAAAAAAGGCTGAGGTCAAAGAAGCTTTTGTAAGGAAAAGAACTGAAACCGCGACTGGGACTCAAGTATCAAAAGCGATGGGAATCGAAAAATAAGGTGAAGGCTGGGAAAAAAAAACAGCTGTAGAAAGATAAGAAGTCTAGAAGAAGTGGTGGATGGATGGGAAGTCGATGGAGGACGTGGTTGTTGTGAGAGGCGAAGATGTTGTGTGGAACTGAAAATTGAGGGAAAGGAAGGGAGGTTTGATGAACGTCGAAATGGGGGGGAATCTGCCGCTGCCCGCCGCCTTTTGTCATCACGAAGAAAATTTCTGCAGCGCGAAAACAAAGTAGACGGCGCTTCTCCTCCACCCAGGCGCCCAGTTCGAACCATCCATCACACGCCGCGTTCACTTTATTTTTTAGAGTTCTTTTTCATATTACTGTTTCATCTTTGTCAGAATATGATCTTCTTGTCTCTGGTCTTGAGTGCCGCATCAAGTCTGGAGAGTCCAGTAACCATGGAGTACACCACCTCAGCGAACTCCCCGTAAGGAGTGCAAACCCTTGCATTCAAATAAATCACCGCCCATCTACCGTCGTATCGCAGAGTCTAAGCATTAACCTAGCTTCAATTCCGAATCTTACGGCCATCGGGTACTGGATGCACTACATGAAGTAACCACCATCCGTGTCTCACTCTGGTTGACGGTACAGAGTCAATCACAACGTAAACCAAGGCGCAACGCCCAAATGTGATTAAATATCTTTATACTTCGGCTGAAAAAATTGCATGGGACGCTTTTGTATCAAACAGCGGGGCCGCATTGCATAGCAACGCTAGCAGGTCATGGAGGCTACCAAGCACTCCGTACTGACTGCTGGTTTCTCTCGGTGCCCACCTTGCTCACGTAATTATCCAGCTCTTTACCAACTTTCTGCGACTCAACGTCGATGAGCTCCACTCTGATTAGTTGCCCCGTTGACGTGGAAGACTGATAAGGGACGGTCATCCGATAAACATAACAAACTGCGGTGCGCAGGATATTCTTGATTGACCGGCCCTAACGAGTTGAGCGCGATAGGGGATCAGAACAAAGTATAGCTCACACATGCTTTGGGAAAGGGCAGGGAAGCTGGGACGGCAGCCCGTAACTAGCATTATTTTTTGAACTTCCCGAGAATTTTAAATACAGCACGGTTACTAGCTTCTCAAGGCCCATCCACGTTCATCTTGCAGTTCATCAAGGTCATATTCGCCCATATCTGCGTGGCTCTCTTCGGATAGGTGGTGGAAAGCCGATGGTTATGTAAACCCGGCTTCAGAAGACATCGTCAAAATCCTCCCTTCGGTTTGTTGTGAGAATCAGAATTCCCTGAAAGTATTCAATCGTCCGCAGGAACACTGCCCACGCATCAATATCAGAATTTGTCTTTACCAGGAGGAGAGAGAGAGGGTATCATGAGCCCTACCGGCCACTATTGCATTTCTGCTGATCTCTTCTATGCTCCGCTTTGCCATAAATACATCCGCTTCATCCAAGAGCACAATGCCATTCCATTTGGTAGTGATTATAAATGCAGCCGATTTCCCTGTTTAACTTCCTTACAACAGTACTTAGCTCATCATCTGACATCTGATACAGAGGGTTTTCGACATTCAGCAAGGCTTTGTAAGATGCCGTTAGTTGAGATGGGAGATATGTCAAGAAGGAATATGCCTTTGCTGGGACCTCTAGGACAAAGACATACCGGTAGTGAGCGTCTTCCCTAGGCCTGGTTCTCTGTATACGTTATTTCAGTGAGCTGTCTCGACTCGAAATGCTAACCAACACGCACCCATGGAGCAGAAAGTCAATCCTTGTCCCTTTTCTGCGGATGATCGTCAAACATCGTCAAACATAGCCATATTTTTCCCATGATGGGCTTTAGATAAAGAGTTAACGAGCTTTTTCTTTCCTTCTGGCAGCCAGATGTAGTTCAAGATTGGTCGTTCCATTCCACCGGAAACATCTTATCTAGTGCTGCCCACGTCGACTTTCTCTGTTCAAGGATATAAGCTGGAACCCGAACCAGACACAGCAGACGAATATCAGGACATCCGTATTTTTTAAGTAGCGCCGTCTTTAAAAGCTCATCTGGACCCAATTCCGTCTCGTCTCTCTTTTCCGAGCTCGATTCCGAATTCAAACTAGTTCCTCCCGTGCCCCTCTTTCGTTGGAATTGGATTTCAGGGGTTTCAGTCTCTTTTTCCTTTGAGAGCCCAGCATGGAGTAATGACGGACGTATTTCTTTCTTCTCTAAATAAGATGAGAAGTTCTAGGACGATATGGCCATCGATCTATCGGAAGAGAGTTGGTTAGTTTCCGGACATTGGACAAGCAATACCTCGTGTGTTGGTCTAGCCACTGGATCATCGCTCTGCCAGCGCGGACTGCTGTAGGACATATGAGCAGAGCCTTGAACATTCTCCCCAAGGATGTCTATGAGTGTCTTCCCCCTTTTAAAACGCAATGTCTCAAGTTTATTCCGTTGGGGCCAAAAGGCTATTGGAACAACGGGCAGATCAGATATCTCACGAGATTCGGGGAAGGTGGGAAATGATATCCAATCTCCTCCAGGCCTAGCTTCGTACCATCGAAGCCGAAACGCAGTCCTGATAATGGCACAGAATTCCATAGTGCCGTCTAAGCACCCCCAATCCAAGCATTGTTCTCTGTCAGCTAAAGAGTACTACGAAAATACGCTTCGTTAAATGCGTCTCCCTCTCGAAGGCTGCCACTATGCTAAGTAGACTAGTTCCCTAGAAAGATAGTAACTACCGCTAATAGCAACATTTACTCGCTATTCCTACAGCACAGCTATTGAAAGCGCGGAGGACTGGATGAAAAACTGGGTTTTCGAGGAGAAAGGCATTCTTGTCAGCTGAGAGCTCTGCGTCTGGTCTATGATGGCAATGTGTGGCGCACTGGTGTTTGGGGGTATCACAATCAGAGTCACGGTCCGCGATTAAGTCCCCGTCGTTGACCCTTGCAATATCACAACGTACTACTGGGTGTTTGCTGCATTTGTTCTACTGGTCGCTAAGAGCATCAGAGTGGGCGAATGGCCCTGGAGAGACTTTCTCTACTGTCGCGTCTTCTGCCGTAGTGTCTCGGAGCTCCATTATGATTAGGGTGGAAGAACAGCTCATACCAGCCAAGGTCTTCCAAGAAGAGCAGTACACATTTCTCAAGACACGTGGGTCTTATAATTGTTTACTCAGCTGGTGATCAGACGATGGGTTTTCCATCTACGTCCCAATGACCCTGCAAACCATGCTATTTAGTGGGCTCGTTATGATTCAGGTTCGATCACTTGGAGAAAATGGCGTAATTTGTCTAGATGGGCAGGAATGGTCAGAATATACATATAGCTCCCAATTAAACCCCCTACCTGAAGAGAGCAAGTATATTATCAGTAATCAAATACCCGGCGTCGACTCCCAAGGGGCCGGGTTGCAGAGAACAGTTCTTAATCTGTATGAGATGGTATGGGCCTATATAATCGGGATCTGTATTGGAAACGGAATTTTTATGTGATGGTCACTCTTTCATGAGACTTTGTATCCAAACCAAGCAAAGCTCCATGGTTGTTAGGGCAATCTTGGGTTTCCGAAAAATATTGCTGTCTGAAGAATAGGAAAAGAATCGCATTGATATCCAAGTTGACTGTTGCAACAGTCATTTAATTATCCAATAAACCGATGACAACGGTCCAGACTTTCCAATCCGTTCATGAATTCAATATGCAGCAGATCTCAGTAGGGTGCTTTAATAGAAACACAAATACTCTTGAGTATGGAGTGCAAGCCTGGCAAATTCATGATTCTGTATGGGGAAAGAGGTAGAGGGAGGGGAGGGCAGACGGTTATCTTATTACTAGAAGGTCATCTATATATTTTGAGGAATTCAAGAGCCTGGCCATCTGCACTTTTCTAAACTATCAAAACATGTATGGGGAAACCTGTAATCGAATCACAAACATCGAGTCACTGGGCATGAAAACTGGTATCTAGAAAGAGTCGTCACAATGCACATCCAGCTGCTAATCAAACCCGCATATAATCAACTCCCTCCAAAACGGTCATGGCCCCCCACTGAGGGAGCGGATAACCGATAGACAATATCAAGGGAAGTTTTGTTTAAAAAAAAAGAAAAAATATCCATGGTGATGCAAGTCAAATAAAATCGCGGAGACACGTTAAACAGGGAGGGGGTATAAATGAATCGGTCTAGTTTGGCGCTTCGGCGACCTTCAATGCTTTCTTCTCGTCCAAAATAATCGGCTTGCGCATGACGGCATCCTGGCTGGTCATTCTCCGTCTCAAAGCACGCTCGACTTTCGCTCCGAGGGCTAATTTACTGAGATTTTCGGATTTCTCCGCACTGGGCACGAACCGCTGCTGGTTTAGGCGCTTGTTCTCCAGGCGGTCCAGGCCTTCGCCCAGCTCTCTAATTTCGTTTAGTCGGCTTTCGCTGGTCATGCTGCTTGAGATGGTACGATCGCTGATCGTGGAGAAGCGTTGAGAGTTCCGCTGAGAACTGAGCTGTTAGATTGGGACAAATCAGCCTCGTGCGCTTCATGGAGGGAGAGAAGGGGGGGAGTTTTGGAATTCACGGGTGCAAAAAAGAATCAAGGGGCGTCAAAAGCATACCGATGGTGCCATGATAGGTCGCTGGGACTCGAGAGACTGTCTCCTTGCCATTCTTGGAAGCATATGAATGGGGTATCTGGTTGTTTAATGTTTGAATTTGGGGCGCGATAAGGAACTGTGGAAACGAGTGCGGGTTGCAATGGTGTTGATCAGCCCGAGTCGAAATTCGGCCTCTTTCTTGATACGTTAGCCAACGATCTGGGTGGAATGCCGACAACTCATCGCCACGGAATAAAAGTCAGGAGCAGCAGCAGGGAATAGCGGACCGGGTGGGGAGGATCGCGGGCAAGGTACTCCGTAGCCGCTGAGGAATCGGGTTCATCCATACCTCTAGGAAAGATGCTCTGGATCTGCACAAAATGTGTAATCGACGAATTATCTGGGATCACTGCAGGAGACCGAAAGCATAAGGCACATATAGGGACAATGGAGGGACAGGAGAAGGGATTCAAGGAGCAGCCTGGTCCAGGACTTTTTGCAGGATGGCGAAAGTCCGGGCTGCGTTTCGCGCCCGCTGTTCTCGTAAGATTGTATGTTCAGGACCGTAATGGAGGTGGTTTTCTTGTGTATGACACAGCAGGGATATCCATACAAACTCGGGTGAATCCCCTGAGGGGGTGGATATGATTGGACCATCGGCAAAGGGTTCCACAATAAAAACAAACTTGTCACATGGGAGATCGTGACAGGCAGTATGTACAGTAAGTTACAAGACAGACAGACAGACAGATAACGAGGTTGCCCGCTGATGCACCTCGCCTCCGTCTTCCCTGCGCAGTTACATGGAGGCCGATACTTTTTGCTTTTTCCTCCTCCTTCCCGTGTGGTCAACCGGTTGAGCGGGCTTAAAAACAAGGGTACTCGATATTTGCGAAGTTCAAGTTTGATTCGCCATCTGAAGCGATGATCAGCCCATGCGAAGGGTCAAACGGGGAAGCACCCCCTTTTTTTTATTAGAAATGTGGCTGATTGGATGTCACCTCTCGTCCTCCCTCTGGAGACATCCTCAACCACGTGTGCTGCCGCTACCCTGGTCTCCATGTTCCGCCAGCCCAGTTCGGCGTTCGCGTGAAGGTTGAACGACCAATCTTTGCCATCCAGGTCATGAGTTTTAGCAGTGGACAAGCGGGCATCCAACTATCATATTCCAGACTAGCAAGCTACCTCTGCGCCGGGAGGGGCAATCATATCTTAACCATGGAATCCATACGAAGCCAGAGATGCAAAGCGCCGTGTAACCACATTCACTGTTCCCGGTCCATCTGATCGGTTCAGAATGACAATGACCTCCGGATTTCTCCCGTGTAACTCCCATTGCTCAGAAATTGGTCCGTGGCAAGCAGGCTCTCTGACAATTTTGACCTATCGCAAATCGGGAGGAATTGCGGTCCTGGACCCTGGAATCTGCAGGATGCATAATTAAACTGCGGGATGTAGCCTGTCAATGCGCGGAACTCCGAGTCTTGAGTACCGGCATCCACAGGGCCTAATTTGGAGGAGGGCGATCACTTTTCTGGTTGCGATGAGGATGATGTCGACCAGAACCAGGTAATCTGTCCAACAGGAAACGGATTTACAAAGCAACGGCAATTCGATTCGTTTCATCCGATGGTAAACAATGCTCATGCTTTTGTGTTTGCTGGCTCTGGACGGGTGGCTGTGGGTAAGTACAATCTTATCTTATCAATCAAGTGCTCTTCGCCATCCCACCTTTCGCCATCAAAAGCCCGCATCCTCACATTCAACCCGGAAGCCCACATTTTATCGACTAGCACTCAAATAAGTATACACGGACTTTTGACTTCAAATAGTCCGAGAACTGCGTTATCCTTCCTTCTACGATTAAAGAGAAAATTCTCCCTTTGCTGCAATGCCGAAGCCGAAAACCCTGCTCAAGGATACAAAGTCTAAGAAAAAAGCAAAGCAATTAGTAAGGTTTACCCGGCAAACACAATATCATTTGGTCGATATGGCTATTTTATAGCCTCTTCCATCGCGTATTCTAACAAGTATAAACAGGAGCCCGAGACGGCAGATGAATACCTTGCTGGTGAGTTCCGCTCGCAGGTTCAACAATGTCCATAAGCTGTGACGCAATGCATTAAACTTGGAGTGGCTCTAGAGGGCGTCGAGTTCGAAGAAGCTGGTGAAAAATGGCGCGCTGGGGACGCAGTGAAATCCATGCGATTCTTCATGCGGGCAATAGATACTTATGATACGGGTTTAAGAAAGTACCCGAACTCCTTTGATCTCGCCTATAACAAGTATGTTTCCATTCAACGCCTTCCGTTTTTTTCAACGCGCATCACTTTTGCGCATACTAATCGACAGCATCAGGGCTCGGGTACAATATGACATCACTCAGCATCCCAAGCTCGCTTCTCAGCTACCTGCACCTATGGCTGAAATTCTCCAGATTGCGCTAAAGTCCCATAGGGAGGCGCTGAGCAAAGACCAAGACAACGCAGATATCCTCTTCAACACAGCGCAAGTATTAACAAGCCTAGCGGAGGTGATTGGTGAGGGGAAGCATCCTTCGGGTCACAAAGCCCAAGAAGCTATCAAATATCTTCAAGAAGCGCTCGAGTTGTTCCAAAGATGTCTTGCGATCCAAGAGTTGCGCTTTACTGAGTACCAAGAGCAAGTAAACGCAATGGAGTCTAACATATCCGAACAGCCTGAGACTGAGCAATTACCACCTCCGGAGTCGTCCTTGCCCGCGTCCACACCGGTAGAACAGTGGGCAGTTGTGGTCGAGCCAGTCACTAAGAACACCCTAGTCGACACTGCTATAGCGCAACTCGAGACATTGGCGACTCTCTGTGGATTGCTCATATACGATTCCAGTACCAGCCTGGCCTGGATCGAGGAGTATTCGTCCGATCTTCTCAGAGAGAAGATCAACGCGTATGCAGAGGGAACGGATCGAAAGAAGGACATCGCGTTGGCGCGTGCCAGGTTTATTGCAGCATTTACGGAGCTAGTGTATCGGAATGGGCAAATCGATCTTGAAACATATAAAAATGAGCTCAATAGCGCCTATACCGATGGACTCGACGTTTCGGGTGATCCGGCTGGTCTATGTAGCCAGGCAGAAGCACTGGTGGCTTTCAACTCTGCCATGGCAGATACATTCAGCCCCGATAGTCCCGAAGAATTAAAGATTGCGTTGGATCTGCGATGGAAATCTCTCTCTTCGGCTCTGGACTTCTTGACCGCCGCCTCCAAGCTGCCCAGTGCTGGCGAGAACCTTCCCAAAATACACGTCGCACGGGGTGATGTAGAAATGTATCGGCTACGTTTGGGAAAAGCTCCGTGGAACTATGGGCCAGCAAGCGCAAATAGTGCACTACTACTAAAAAACGCGGAAACATACTACCGGGGAGGGGCGGCCATAGCTAGGCGAGATGGATGGACAGCGGAGGAGAGAGAAGGGACGTTCAAAGAGGCATTAGCAAAGGTGCTTTCTGGGGATCCTAGCCAGATGGAATCGTTGTTAACGAGTGACAAAGAGGGGTTAACTCAAGTCGCGGAGGACATGGCTGAGGATGGCTTGATCACCAACAATGACCTGGAGAAGATATTACATGACATGGCACCGGACGAGATCGTTTTCTAATGACACTAGGAATGACTAATTAATGGTGTCCTATACGGTTCGAAGGAAGAACCAAACCTCTCACCAGCTACCCATGCTTAACTTTAAACCGGGGACCTGCACCATTTGCTAGCTAGATGGCTGTTCGTGTAGCCAGTATCTATGGAATGGCAAAACCAGCGCACACCGCTGATGATTGTAAATAGATGCAGAGCATGAAATGTTGCCTCAAAAGCCGTGATTCTTTATATCCCGCCAATAATATCACAGCCTTTTGCGCTTCACAGACAGCCAGAGCAGGTACTTTACCAGAGCCTCCCCTGGGTCGATGCAAATTTACTTTAATGGTTTGTATTGTTGCTTAGGTCTTAATGGGCAAGGTGGTTGGATTTGATGACGTTACAGCGGATAATGGCAGCTGGGCATATGGATGATTCTAGCGACCGTTGCGTTCCCCCCGCTTGGACTTCAGGTGATTCTTGGTCCCATTCTCCCTAACAGTCACCAAAATTCTCACTTTATGAGTTTGCTGTCAGTATAAAAGCGCTCATGGACAACCTGTCTGCGTTCATGTAGAGTCCTCTACAGCAACATGGACAACGACGTGTGGCTAAGTTCGCAGAGTGTAGTCCAACTGTGCTGGAACCTGGACTCGAGCCCAAACAGGGGCTGAAGTTGGGGAATAGCCAGCAAAGATGCTAACCTGTTTTCCGTGAAATGTGCGACGCTAAAACCGGACATTGTGCGGTAAGGGGTAGCGCTCAGATTCATGCAAGACTCCATTAATGGTTTGGCAATCTTTAAGCTGGATAAGAACTATTTCTATCGTGGTGTTGCCAATCTATCCAGTACAGAGTTGAATTGGAAACTTTGAGATGCATATGATTGTGATGAATGAAGGAATCATGTAGAAGGATAAACGCAAATGAATCACCTTAAGCCATTTAGCGGTATGGAGAATTTAAAGGTAGAACAAGGGCGAAGCGCACATGACAATGGGGCAGAAGATGCGGTGGGCGGGGGATCGGAGTTGCGGAGTTAAGGAACGTGTGCGGAGTAAAATAGAAACTTCAATTGAGATTTAATGTCCCCATCGGAATCACTTGACACCAGCTGCTTGAACTCCGGCCAAAATATGCAAGGCCTTCTTTCACAGTTGCCTGGTTTGTACTCATCCAAAATATACTTAACAGGCCATTGCCCATTATAAACGTTCATGGCCGCTAACTCTCATGTTGTTAATGGGAAAGTCAGCCTGTGAATCATTTTACAGCACAGCATGTCCCACACAGTTCGGAGCAGAAGAGAGAAAGACGAGTCTGTGGCACAATCCACTCCATCCGGCGGAAACCCGGAAGTCGGTGTATCACATCCATGCAGGAACACTGGGCCGAATGCATTTGCGCGCTCTGACAGATGTTGCAAATAACTTAGGCATTACAGCTGCCATGGCTGAAACATTATTGTGACCTACAGAAGTGTTACCATGATTATCCAGTGAAAGGTCGAGTGCTCTGAAACTATAGATCTTAATATAGAGTTAGCATAAGGTAGAGTCCTAGTAGGCTTAAGCGAAGTTGCAAAGAAGGGCTCGGTAAAGGTATACAGCTGAACCAAATTTTAAGTGTCAATGGAGGCATTTTACTTACTTGGAAATAATTCAGGTATTGTTTCAGGGTCTAATATGTGACGAATTGGTCAAATTTTTCTCGGGTTTGAATTCTCTCTGTTGGGTAACGGAAACGCAATGTTTTGCTAGGCGTGTATACCGTAGTATGGTCGTCGATATTCCCGCACAATATGCTCGGCCATGCAGCATTGGTTTGTAGTGCAAACCTTCACGCAATATTCCATGCCAGTTATATAGCGAGCTACCGTGCCACGTGAAAACTGTAGGATATTGAGGATTTTGTTTCAACTGATAATCGCTCTCTTGAACTTCCTTTCGTCGCATCGGGACCGCGGGGTGACTTGGCGGAGATGTGCATCAATCATGTTGAATCGATCTGACTTCTTCATCCATGCGTTCGGCTTCTTTCCTTAGACTGCTATCTGGATCGAATTCCTGTATTGCCTTCACGGCGCCGCCAACATCTGTGACAACTCCCTCCAGACTCTCGAGTAATTGACGTATCTCTTGTCTTTGGCTCTGTATCCTCTCGGCCAATTGTATATTCTGCTGTTGAGTCTCTTCCATTTTCGAATCGAGAGTCTCCTTCGCCTCTCTGAGGTAAGGGGCAAGGTGTGCCTGATATAATTCATTCGCGCCAAGGGTGTGCGGGCTGTCGTCGAATCCAAATGGGGTCAACTCAAGATAAATGGAAGCAAAAGGATAATGACTCCAACGTACGAGACACTACTTCCCCCCTCTCCTTTTTCCTTCCTTTTTCTCGCTTCCCGGATTAATCTATCCAACTCGTTTAACCCTTTGACCACCTCTCTTTCCCGTATCACGTCATCGAACTCTGCTCTCGCGCTCTCCTCCAACTTCGCATTCAGTTGTCTCCATACTGACTCGAGACTGTGCGGGACATGTTTCGCCGGTGTGGGAAAACAAGACGCAAAATTAGAATAGGAATTTGCTCGAATGGTATGGAGTAATGCTTGGTTAAAGATCTGTTGGAGCCGAGCCGCACGAGGGCCTGGGGTGAGAGGCACAGGGGCCGGAGGCGGAGGGGACGGCGAGCCCTCCTGTGCACTATTTTGAGTCTGCCGATTGTCGGCTGGAGGGGTCGTCGAAGACATTCCGTTGATGAGCAAGTTGAAGAGTTTGCGATTCACAACGGCGGGGGAAACATCCAGCGCGAGACACCTGCATCAACGCGTCATCACGTGGTTTGAACATTCGCGTCGTCTTGGCACTGAATACAGCTGGCCAGTGACTCAGCCAGCGGTTTAACGCACGGAGTACTATTGTCGGTGTGTGCTTGACGATGAAAATGAGTGGACATATGCCCGCAGTTTTCAAGGGTTAATAGGCATTACTACCGTTGAGATAGATCGAAATCATCAAAAATCAGGAATCTACGAGTAACAGGTGTAAAAAAAAAAAAAAAAAAAGAAAAAAGAAAAAAAAGAAAAGAAAAGAAAAGAGACAACGGTACCCAGCTCAAAACACCTCGCTATAAAAAGGAAAACCAATATCCCACCCGGTCGCGAAGATTTTTCCTAGTAGCCTTGTGAAACAATCCCTTGAGCGCCATATCCGGCAGTCATATGTTGCTGTTGCTGATGAATCGCAGCTTGATGATGAGCTTCCTGCGCCTGCATCTGATTTAACTCGTGAAACCAGGGATGGCGTAACGCTTCGGCAGCACTGATCCGCATCTCAGGCCGTAATTGAAGCATCCGACTAAGGAGATCTAAACCAAGCTGATCGATCTGAGGGAGGATCAGTCGTAAATCTTGAGTTGCGTAGACGTGGAGATTAGGTTTATACTCCGGGAACTGGGATATACCCGGCCACGAGCGTTCGGAGGGTGTTCCCATAAGACGAAAAATTTTCTGCAGCTGATCTTCATTCGTAGTGCCTGGGAAGAGCGGACGGCCCGTGTACATCTCAGCCATGATACATCCAGCAGACCAAATATCAATGCTGGTGTTATATGTCCTGCTTCCAAGTAGCACATCGGGCGCTCGATACCAAAGAGTGACGACTTCATTGGAGAAAGTATTCACCGGAATACCGAATGCTCTCGCTAAGCCAAAGTCTGCAAGCTTGAGCTTTCCTTTGTTGTTGATGAGAAGGTTCTGAGGCTTTAAATCCCGGTGAAGGACGCGATTTTCGTGGCAAAATGCGATGCCGCGGAGGAGTTGCTGCATAAAGGATACGATAGTGAGGTAATCCAGCTGCCCGCGATCGCCTCGCTGGTCCATGTATTTCTTCAAATCCCGGTCCATATATTCGAAAACGAGCATCAATTTACTTTCGGTATGGATCACATCATATAACGAGACGATATTCTCATGTTTGAGCTCTTTCATGAGCGAAATCTCCCTTATCGCGGTTGACGGTGTGCCTTCCTCTGAATCTAGATGTATTTCTTTTAATGCAACCATTTCGCCGGTCTGGCGATTGCGCCCTTTGAATACCTAATCGGGAGGTTTAGCTTTGCCGAATCGCTATCGGAGGAGGGATCCGAGGTAAGACATACAGTCGCATATGTACCTTCACCTAGCTAGAACCTAAGTCAGCTGAACATCCTATAACTATGTAAGGCGAGGGGAATATGATAAAACATACCTTCTCGAGCTGTTGAAACGAGCTCGGCTGCTGGCGCTTATCCATTTTGCCTGACTTGTACCTCTGTATCGGGACCGTGGGCTGCGCGGTGTAATAACAAAAATAGGTGGGAGCAAGTCACAGTTTAATATCCAAATAAGAGGCCAGGTTACGAGAGCAGGATTGGGAATTTGCGGGAGCGACACTGATAGATCGACGGTTGTCCATGCCAGCCTTTAATGTAGTTATTTCCGCTGGACGATAATCTGTTGCGCCCCCGCCAACTTCCTGGGTCAAAGCTAAAAGCGGAACTTGTGCCCAGCCGCTCTTAGCGCCGGTGGCTATTTTTGTCTGAAGAAAAAAGGCCATCCGTATCAACCAATCCCTAACCCATCCCTCGTTAGCGTTGAAACAATTGCAAAACAATCCTATTCCTTCGTTGACTACGGAGTACAGAGGAAGGACGAGGGAACTATGCCGTCTTGGCCCCGTCTTGGTCTACTGCGTATGTGTGCGATCATACAATATTTTGTCCCATAGCAATACATACAAGTATCGGTGAGTTGACCGCTCCTACTTGACGTAAACGAAAGCCCTCGACTCTCCATGCATGCTCAGCGAAAGCCAAGTTGTTCGAGTCTTGAAACCACCTCAGGTAGGACAAGTTCCGTCTTTTCGCTACATCGCAAACGTGCCATTGGCCAGAAATGCTCGTTGCCCTCCTTAAATAAACTGGCTTCGTTGCGGACACCTCCCACATTCAGGATGCCAATCGACATTCCTCGATTTTGCGCTCTTTCGACAAGCCGCCAGGCGGAGAAGGTTGCCAAGCTGCTTCCCATGACGAGGAGTTTGCCCGCCTCGTCAATTGCTTCTTCAGCGGCCGTCTTGGTGGCTTCATCGACGGATTCTCCAAACATGACAACAGCAGGCTTGAGGATTCCGGCCCTGGACCGTGGTGACCAGGCCCCGTCAGGTTCCGCCTCTACTATTGCTTTGGTTTTCCCATCCTGCAGATACGGAGGTGTCAGCAGGCACCTGGGGCACGGTGGATAGCGAAAATCCGAGTAATGGGCACCGGGAATTTCTACGTCGCCGTCTGGATTCACTCGCAGCCCCTTTTGGCGTTGTTCCTCTGACACATCAGTCTTCAAAGCTCCGCTTTCCATAACGCGAGCTAAAAATTCCGACCAAGCAGGATTAAGGCGCAGAAGAGATTCTTGGAAGCTTTCTCTTGACATCATATGGCGGCAATTGACACAAACGATAGATCGTAGATATCCGTGAAGCTCTAGGACAGGGAGGTCTGGGTGGGCAACATTATGAAACGAGTCCACGTTTTGCGTAATCACTGAACTGATGTAACCTTTGCGCCCAAGCTCTGCGATGCAGAAGTGTGTGGAATTCGGGCCAGAGTCGCGCAATGTGGGATATCCAACAAAACTGCGAGCCCAGTATCGCTTTCTCGCTTCGTGTATGGTCACAAACTCGTGAAAATAGATCGGACGGTACGATGCGTTTCGTCTGTAAGTCCCATTTTCGCCACGGTAATCCGAGAGCCCAGAGGCAACGGATATGCCCGCACCAGTGAGAAGTACCGTCTGGGCATTCAACCCGACATCGGTACCTCTCAGGAGGGGCGACGGTGGAGCGGAGAGGAAAGCTGTTATCGCATCGATCGCACCTGATAGAGTGTTCGCTGAGGACGGGAATATAATGGGCGGTGAGAAGGGCGCAGTGAAGGGAATTCTCAACCGCCTGGTCATGAGCAAGACATGATCAAACTAACTCGGGATATTTTGGTGCCTCCGTGGGACGAATTGGGCAAATTTTTGGCTTTGACACGACTGTCTGGGCCGGATGTTCCGAGATCTAGCAATCTTCAGGAACTGAGGCTGCGGTTCTAGATTTTAACTGGAAACGTTTCATCGGCCTCAAAACATCAGTGCATTGCCCCCAGTGAGCTAGGATCCGGTCTTGGCGGAGCGTCGCGAATCCTTGAGCTTCCGTTAGTAAGAAAAGGCGGGTTGTGTGGTTCGATTCGGATGGCCCGCACCGACCGAGATTTCTCCAGGGTTTGTCGGTAAACTAGTGCAGAGAGATCGTAGATCAACAAAGGCAGCGAGCGAGACGGTGAATAGGGCTTGTTGAAGCAAGCGAGAAGAAAAGCTGCTCGCTCCAAGAGCCCATGGATCCCGGTGAATTTCTGCGGCACTGAAACCAGGCCTTTGCCAGCTTGGCTTGCGTCAAAAAAGGTTCCTGGAGCTTGGTGAGTAAGAAGGAGAGCTTGGCCGTTGCAGCTTCGACAGTACCTTGGATATAATTGTCGCGGAGTGCAGTGTAAGCTGGCCAGACGTATAACTAAACCATCCCGGCTCGAAGGAAATAAGGCAGTTCGAAAACAAATCACCAAACATCCTCCACGGTCCAGCTTGTGCTGGGCCGTCGCTTTACGAGGTGATGCCGCTGACACAGCTGAGCACGCGTGCCAGAAGCGGAACCGTCAGACTCAGCCTTTTGATCTGCCGACGCCCACACGAGCGAACCGTCCCACCAACCAACGAGATCGCGGAACGACGCTGCAGCTCGATCCAGCAACGTGTCTTCCAGACATCAGCCAAAGGTATTTCCTCCCAACCCTTTCGTGCTCATGCGCATGGGCAAAAACCAGCGACACTCCTCTCGCACCCCTTGATCTCCACCGACAGACCCTCTCGCCCCTTTCTCCTCGCGCCCCTCGTGGCCATGTCGAGCCACCAAGTCCGAAACCATGGCAGCCATGGGCATCACCACCACCACCACCACCACCATCACCATGATACCACCTACCTTGTCTCCAAGAACAGGAGCGATCCCGGCGTCCGCATAACGCGAATTGGGCTCCTGGCCAATCTCGCCATGGCTATCGGAAAAGGTGTCGGAGGTTATATGTTCCATTCACAAGCGCTGGTTGCCGACGCGTATCATTCTCTCACAGACCTTGTGTCGGACTTTATGACTTTGGCAACGGTAACCTGGTCGCTCAAACCGCCGTCATCGAAATTTCCCACCGGATACGGGAAGGTGGAAACCTTGGGAGCACTGGGTGTGAGCAGCTTGCTCCTCTGCGGAGGCTTCTTCATGGGCCTAAATGCAGCTGAAGTCTTGCTTGTTCAAGCTTTTCCAGATATTGCAGACATGGCTGCCCACTGGGGGCTTCTTGGTCATGGTCATTCTCACGGACACAGTCACAGCCATGGGCCTGCAATTGGGCCTAATATCAATGCTGCTTGGCTAGCCGCAGGATCTATTGTGATTAAAGAATGGTTGTACCATGCGAGTGAGTCGATCTTAAAACTAGAACTGAACGCCGAGCCTGAGAGTTTTACTGATGTGGCTGTTTTTCTTTTGTTTCCTAGCTATGAAAATTGCCATTCAACGCAAGTCGTCCGTGCTTGCATCCAATGCCATTCACCACCGTGTTGACTCCCTCACAAGCATTGTTGCACTGTTGACCATTGGCGGAGCACATGTCTTCACAGATGCATCCTGGCTCGACCCCGTCGGAGGACTTTTAATTTCATTGATGGTCATCAGGGCGGGATGGGGAAACTCAAAGACATCATTGTTGGAGCTGGCAGACGTGGGCGTAGACGAAGATATGATCGATTCCGTCAGAAAGTCAGCCATGAAAGCATTGGCTACCGCGTCGAGCGGTTCTGAAGTGGAGATTCGTGACATTCAGGGTATCAAATCGGGTCCGAACTACCTCATGGATATAGAGATGGCAGTTCCAGAAACCTGGTCGGTCGGCCATACACGACACATTGAGGAGTTGGTCCGACAGCGAGTCGGTGCGCGCGTTAAGAGCGTCAAACGGTTGAAGATACGCTTTACGCCAAATAACCAGAAAGAAGTCACCTTTGCGGAAGAGTTCATAGCGCCGGATATCAGTCCTCGAAGTAGCCCTGAGCCAGAGATAGAGCACAGCGGCGCCGAAACAGCCATCAATTCTAATCCAAAGTTACAACAAAATGGTATTCGAAAACGTGGGTGAGCTCGTGATACAGGTTTCAAATCGATCTTGTGGACCCTCTTGTGCTATATGCGCAAAATGTATTATCCTGACCTCCCCTATGAGGCCGTTTGATTTACGGCTTCGGGCATGCTTCAGGAGGAGATGATACATTCAGGGGTGCCTCTATTCCGAACTCCTGCCGTGAAGCAAAGTACGTACATACAAGCAGCTACTCTAAAAGAGGGGGGTTGGGGGCTTTTTCTGTGGCGCGCTTTGGTAGCTTGATCTTGAAATGCCACATTTCCAGCGTTTTTTTCGAGGTTGGCGACTGGATTTTTTGTATGTCCTCGGATAGATTTCGAATATACCCATTCAACTATTACTATGGTCATATTATATAGTAAATCGTATGCAGCCTGGCCGGCAAAGACCATCACACCCCGGCGCCTGGCATCTTATCCTGGAGGGCTATTCTCGCTACCCGAGAAGTTTGGGGGGCACATTCCGGCTCTGGGTCGGTCCTGCTGAGGATTATCACGATCCTGAATCTGGCTGGGCCCCTCCTTGCAGCCACGCGAAGGGGTTCAAAAATTCCCTGAGCGGTCAATCACATGGTCTTGCGTTGGCTCAGCTAGTTTCAATTTAGTTACGTAGTTACGGAAAACAGCACATGGCTTGTTAGTTCGTGCCCAAGTCCATCTGACATCATCGCAGCCCCTCAGCATGCCTGCGAACAGAACTGGATTTGCTGATCGCATGGGACATTCACATCACCGAAAACGCGAAGTTGGAGGCTACTGAGTACCACTGGGGAAAGAATTTATAGAGATGTCTATGAGCGTTTAAACATCCATTCAATTATTTGACTTATATGTGCCTGGTTTGTTTGAGACAACCTTCTGTCCTCCTAAGCTTGATCACTGCTATCCATGCGACAAAAATGGCTTCGCAAGGCCCTCTGTACATAGGCTTCGATCTCTCGACGCAGCAATTGAAGGGTCTCGTTGTGGCCTCGGACCTCAAGGTCGTCCATATTGCGAAATTCGATTTCGATGTCGATTCGAAAGGGTTCGATGTAAAGAAAGGAGTCCTTACCAATGAAGCCGAACACGAGGTGTTCGCGCCCGTGACTATGTGGCTGCAAGCGTTGGATCATGTCCTGCAACAATTAAAAGACCAAGGCCTAGATTTTAGTCTGGTGAAGGGCGTTAGCGGGGCAGGGCAGCAGCACGGCAGTGTCTATTGGAATAGCAACGCGGAGACGACGTTAAATGGCCTAGATGGCGGGAAAACGTTGGAGGAGCAGCTTGGAGCGGCGCTATCCTACCCTTACAGTCCCAATTGGCAGGATGCGAGCACGCAAAAGGAATGCGATGAGTTTGATGCGTTTCTTGGGAGTAAAGAGAAACTAGCCCAGGTCACTGGGAGCAAAGCCCATCATGTAGGTCCCCAAAAAAACAACAAAACAAAAGGAAAGGATATATATACACGACATTCTGCACAGCTCTGACGGACAACCATAGAGATTTACGGGCCCCCAAATCTTAAGATTCCAGCGGAAACATCCCAAAGAGTATCAGGAAACATCGCGCATATCACTTGTCTCGTCGTTCCTAGCTTCGGTACTTCTAGGTCGGATCGCGCCTTTTGACATCTCTGATGTCTGCGGAATGAACTTATGGGACATGCAGAGAAATGCTTGGAATGACGACTTGATTAAATTCTGTGCCGGAAAGTATGGCGTAGATGAGCTGAAGAAGAAACTGGGCGACGTGCCGCATGATGGCGGCTTACATCTCGGAAAGATTCACAAGTACTTTGTCGAACGCTACGCATTTCATCCCGACTGCACTGTATTACTCTCCACTGGGGATAATCCCTCAACAATTCTCGCACTTCCATTGAGGCCCTTGGATGCCATAGTATCTTTGGGAACTTCAACTACATTTCTCATGTCGACTCCAGAGTACAGGCCAGATCCTTCAACCCATTTTTTCAACCACCCAACCACGCCTGGCCTCTATATGTTCATGCTTTGCTATAAGAACGGAGGACTTGCTCGTGAGCAAGTCAGGGACGCAATAAATGATAAACTAGGAGCTGGACATTCTTCAAATTCATGGGAACATTTCGACCGAATCGTGTTAGAGACACCTGTCACTGGACAAGAAAATGATTCCGATCCGATGAAAATGGGACTCTACTTCCCCAGACCTGAAATTGTGCCAAACCTTCGCAATGGTGAATGGCATTTCAATTATAAGCCCGAAGACCACAGCCTCCAGGAAAATTCCGACGGCTGGAATCGCCCATTTGACGACGCCCGTGCGATAGTAGAAAGTCAAATGCTCTCACTCCGACTACGTTCTAGGGATCTTGTTCACAGTCCCAAAGAAGGTGTTCCGGCGCAGCCTCGTCGGGTATACCTGGTAGGCGGAGGCTCCCGTAACCATGCTATTGCCAAGGTTGCCGGAGAAGTCCTAGGGGGAGTGGAAGGGGTATATAGATTGGACGTTGGGGAGAATGCGTGTGCATTGGGAGCCGCGTACAAAGCCGTTTGGGCAGTTGAGAGGTCACCAGGCCAAACATTTGAGGACCTGATCGCACAGAGATGGAGAGAAGAGGAATTCATTGAAAGGATTGCCGATGGATACCAGCCGACTACTTTTGATAAACACGGAAAAGCTGTGGAAGGCTTTGAGATGATGGAGAAGCAAGTGCTGAAGCAAGAGTCTCAAAGAACTAGTTAATTGCCAGAAACCTGATGTGTCACTGTGGACCAGATTAGTCCGGGATAAGAAATAGCCCATGTTCTGTAGACGAAGGGCTCTGTATAGAGCCTAATTCTCCCATAGACCGGAGCCCTAAAATAGAAGACGTTATGGGATCTGGAAGAAGCTTGGGTGGTTGAAGCTTAATTAGATTGGGGCTTTGGAGGGCTCGTGACCAGCAGAACGTTGTGTGCCCAGTTGCCCAAATGACGGGAAATGTGCGGTGATAAGCAGTTCAGCCGAATAGGCACCGAACGACGATCTCTCTCATAATATTCTCTCGAAAATTTGGTTACCTGAATAGAAAAAAAAAGTATAACTGATCAATCAATCTGACTGAGCATCTTGTCCCTCTGTGAAAAAAGTCCTAGTTTTCAGCCCGCAATGCCACTGTCTTGACTAAGTGACATGATCCTCACCATTAACAGCGACTGTCTACCGCAACATAACTCTCCTGGCTGAAGCTGCATAAAGTACGTCACAAGTATACCGCCCATCCCTCCAGCGAGCCGAAGGAGGAGCTTGTGCCGTGCCAGAGCTGGGGGAAGATGGAGGAACAGGTATTTTTTTTTTTTCTTTTTTTCTTTTGCTTCCACCGTCGATAGCGTAGCGCTCTGCCCCGCTGTAGCATTTTTTTGGACCCCGCGACGAGCTCAGAGTAGCTGACACGGATTTCATATCTGACCAGGTAGCAAATGCTATTGAGATCGCGGGAAACCCGTCCTCTGACCAGACCATCAAAGCCCAAGCGTTCGACTATCTCAATCAGCTCCGAGCAGACCCCTCCGGCTGGCAGGTCTGTCTGTCACTCTTTACGAAAACCCCGAGACGTTCGGATGTAGTTCGCCATGTTGCTTTGGAAATCATTAACAGCGCTACCCAGACCGGGCTGGTTGACATCCAAGGCCTCAGCTTTATCAAGGACAATCTCTTGACATACCTGCAGCAGATGTACGGGCCCGACGGCGCGGCGCAATCGGATCCTTCGAATATCCAGAACAAAATTGCCCAGACAATAACGTACCTATTTTCTGCCCTTTATGCAACCGAATGGAATACTTTCTTCGATGACATTCTACGCTTAACGTATAATGGACCGGATAGTGGTGTGCGGGATAATACCCTGGGTATTATATTTTACCTCCGTGTTATCAACTCGATCCATGACGAGATTGGAGATGTGCTTGTGTCACGCTCTCGCGCTGAGCAGGATAGGGCCAACATTTTGAAGGATCTTATTCGCGAAAGAGATGTTCAGAAGCTTGTTACATCCTGGCAGGATATTCTCTCGCAGTGGCAGGAGAGAAACGACTTAATTGCTGAAATGTGCCTTAGAGCAATCGGGAGCTGGGTGAGCTGGATTAATATTTCCTTGGTAGTCAACCAAACGATGCTCGACCTTTTATTCCGTCAGCTCGCCAGGGTTAAGGATGTTGATCTTCATCAAGGGGGAGAAAAGGTTCGGGATGCTGCCATTGACGTGTTTACAGAGATTGTGGGTAAGAAAATGAAGCCCGCTGACAAAATTGACATGATTGTCTACTTGAATCTTGAGAGCATCGTAGCTCAACTTACTGCGAGTCCTCCGTTGCACGAACACCGATTTACCTCTAAATACGATACCGATCTCGCCGAGACCGTAACTAAGCTGGTGAACATTACGACAGTTGATATCGTGAAAGCTCTTGATAGTGAGGATGCCGACAATGCTACGAAGGAAAAGGCTGAGGCCCTGCTGCAGGCGTTCTTACCTCACATCCTACGTTATTTCTCAGACGAGTATGATGAGATATGTTCCACTGCCATTCCTTGTGTAAACGAACTCCTATCATATCTCCGAAAGGTGGCGAAGAGGAATCCTGCCATTATTCCCCAACAGAGCGCTATGTTATTGCCAATCTTGAAGGCTATTATTCAGAAGATGCGCTACGACGAGACCTCGTCGTGGGGAACTGAAGATGATCAGATGGATGAAATGGAATTCCAGGATTTACGGAAGCGGTTAAATGTTCTCCAGCAGATCATTGCATCTACCAATGAGCAACTCTATATGGATGCTGTGAGTGAAGTCGTAAGAGCAACATTCCACAATGTGCGGCAGTCCGGAGGTCAGATAGATTGGCGCGATCTTGATCTTGCTTTACACGAAATGTTCCTCTTCGGCGAACTTGCTGTCCGATGCGGAGGATTATATACCAAGAATAAACCTAATAACCCGGCTTCTGAACGGCTAATCGAGATGATGCTCATGATGGTCGAATCCGATATAAGGTCGTTCCGTCATCCAGCGACACAGTTGCAATTTATGGAAATATGTGTCAGATATAGCTCATTCTTCGAACATCACGCCCGATTTATACCCGGAGTTTTGGAGGGGTTTCTTCAACTGGCTCATCATCAAATGACAAAAGTGAAAGTCAGATCTTGGTATTTGTTCCATCGTCTTGTCAAGCATCTGAGAAACTATATCGGAAATGTTGCCCAGACCGTTATTGCAGCATTGGGCGACCTTCTCACTATCAATGCGGAGGTACCTGTGGAAGGACCTGACGGTGATGATATGTCCTCAGAAGACCACGAAGGATCGGCTGATGCATTATTCAATAACCAGCTTTATCTTTTTGAGGCAATCGGCACAATTTGCTCCACTTCCTCTGTCCCGTTGGACAAACAAGTGGTCTATGCTCAGTCTATCATGAACCCTATATTCATTGATATGGAGAGAAACTTAGGGGCCGCAAAATCGCATGATGAGCGAGCATTATTACAAATTCACCACGATATCATGGCTTTAGGCACTCTTGCAAAGGGCTTCTCTGACTGGATACCAGGGACATCCAGTCCGGCTGTGCCACCCGCGCCAGAGATCTCGGAAGCATTTGGACAAGTGGCCGAAGCAACCCTGGTAGCCCTTGAATCCTTAAAGTTTTCCTTCAGTATTAGAACAGCAGCTCGAGCAGCATTCTCCAGGCTAATTGGTGTCCGCGGATCACACAACCTACCTCAATTGCCACGATGGATTGATGGATTACTTACGCAGACTTCATCGAAAGATGAGATGGCCCTGTTTTTGCGTCTTCTGGACCAAGTGATTTTCGGATTTAAAACTGAGATATATGGAATTCTGGATACCCTCCTCACCCCCTTCCTTCAGCGTGTTTTTGCGGGAATCTCTGAGCCAACAACGGGAACGGACGATGAAATTCAGCTTGCTGAGTTGAAACGGGAATATCTCAACTTTTTATTGATGATCCTCAATAATGATCTAGGGACAGTGATCATCAGTACCGGTAAGTGTCTATTATTATACCGGCCCTGAGTCATGACTGGAAGCACTGACGGCTTGTTTTAGCAAATCAACCTATTTTCGAGACCGTTATCACCACCATCGAGCATTTCGCCAAAGATGTTGATGATTTTCCTACGGCTAAAATGGCTTTCCTCGTACTATCTCGAATGTCTAATCTCTGGGGTGGACCAGACGTTGTGCAGCCCTCGAACCCTGCGAATGGCACAACCCCATCACAATCTGCTCTTCCGGGATTCACACAATTCATGATTACGCGCTTCTCTCCACTCTGTTGGGCGTTGCCCATGAATCCCTCTTTCAATCCAAAGGACGCACAGGCGAAGCAAGTTCTTGGAGAGGCAGCGGCTCTTCAAAAAATAATCTACCTTAAAACAGGCCCAGAATACGTTCGGTGGCTGAGAGAAACAGAGCTACCCGGGATGGGAATGGGGCCTGATCTTGTTAATGAATATGTCGGATCTTTAGAAATGCTAGATATAAAGGGCTTTCGTCAATTTTTTCAGGTATTCACTCTTCCCTCCCATATTTGAAGATGCGGCGAAACCGTGGGTTCCGACACTGACTCGATATATCTTTTATTTCCATAGGCATTTATACAACGTTTTAGCGCATGATACCAGCGGGTTCTAAAAAAGAGAACAAAAATTTTTTGTATTTCTTTTGCAGACGCACATCTACCATTGATTCTACGCCCCATCCACATTGCTCCTCCTAACCCCACGATCGTCCTCCCGATCTGCCTTTTTTTGACTCTTTCCCTTCCTACCCTCAGGTTCTAAGCTATCTCGCCGTCCTCCATCCCCCATACGATTCCTTAACCCTCTCTTTCTTCGACGTCCGTGGTACTGCAATCGGTGAATCCACGCTATGCTTAAGCTCGCAAGCAAAGCCCATCTATATTCTATCCCTAGGTCTGATTGCTCTGATCGGCTGGTTAGGGTTAGTCCTTGCTAAAGGGATAAACCCCCTCAGCTGTCGATAGGGTGGATGTTCGAGGTAGGACCCTTCATGGCTGGATAGGGATGATTACACTCTTCATGCCGATTCTGGGTATCCTGCTGATAACAGGGAGCGCGATAAGCTGTGAGATGATAAAACTAGTTGAATGATAGTTAAGGAAGTCTGCGGCACATTTGATATTTTCCCATTGTGAGATGTGATGAGGTGCAAAGCTGTGAATAGAGAAGTGACGCAATTTACGTATTACATTAAAAAAAATATAAAAAATTTCAGCTTTTTGGAAGCTTTCAAAATATTTAAAAACATAAATTACTTGGATATTTAATCTAGACTGATTGTCACTGAATGATTATCTGGAGTTTTTACTTCCTAGATTTATTGGTCCTGTATTCGCTATGCATGCATCATAGCTTTTGCTGTTTTACATTATCGCTTCTATCAAAGTCAGTACCCCAAACTATCACGGAAGCAGGCCTGAGGACATACTATGCGAGCAAATACTTTGCAGCATGCTCGATATGGTCATCTGAGAAGGTAGCCATAGTGTAGTAACTATGATCATAATCTGGTTGGTATCTGATGTGCACACCGGACCCAAGACCAGCTTGTTTAGCCGCCTCAGCAAAGTTCTCAGGGAGCAGCTGGCCTTGCTTATAGAAGTTGTCACCCGTGCCCTAGCACAGCCTTAATCGATCCGTTGCTGCGAAATCAAGGAGCGGATGCCACTTACCACATCGATAAGGATATCTAGAGGACCTCCCTTCCATTGTTTTATCAGCTCCGTGGCATCGTGTTCTTTCCATTTCTGCGCATTCTCTTCTCCGAAGTAGCCCTTAAATGCCTTCTGACCCCAGGGACAGTTGATAGGGTTGCAGATTGCAGCAAAGGCGGAGACCGACTTGTATTTTCCGGGATTCTTAAGGTACTATTCATAATCACCGGTTAGCAACTTCATATGGGAATTCGACTATGTTTATTCCCAGATCGAAATTAGAAGTGCTTAACGGCATACCAATGTCAACGCTCCATGGCCTCCCATGCTGTGGCCCGTGATGCTAACTCGGCGCGAGTCCAGTTGTGGGTAGGCGGCGAATACGGTCTTGGGTAATTCTTCCGTTATATAACTGTACATTTTGTATCCCTTATCCCATGGTGCCTTTGTAGCGTCCACGTAGAATCCGGCGCCCGACCCAAAGTCGTATGCATCATCTTCTCCTTGGATATTAAGCCCTCCTATCAGGTATATATTAGCTCCAGTACACTCGGGAAAAGGTGCACGAGGACCCAGGATATAAGGACGGCATCCAAGAGCGATGACAACATACTTGGGCTGGTATCCGGATATAGCACAGCAATTCCTTTCTTGCTTGCTCCATGCTGGAAGAAGCCTTTCTCCGAGCAATTTTCGGCTGTGCACGTCAGCCCAGAGAGGTAAATTAAAACGGGAATGCTGGAGCCCGATTTGTTTATCGCTTGTGGTGGGAGATATAGGTTGAAAGCCATCTCGCATCCTGTTGTTTCAGCTTTATGAGACAGCTTCAAGAGCTGTCCGCCAAACGAGGCGATGGTAGCTTTCACTGTGACGGACATTCTGCAGGTTGATGACAAGAAAGGAATTTGAGCAATTGAGAACTGCAATTGATGAAAAAGAGTAGGCTGGCAAGCCGATATAAATATCAGTAGAGTTCAGAGCAACCCCAAAAAGGGTAAAGAAATGCAGCTGAGGGGCAACTCCGATGAGGGGAGCTTGGGGGAAGTGCGGGGCAACTCTGCCTGCGAATCGGCCGATGTCGTCACTCCCGATCAGCCCCTGGTTATGCAGCCATTTCTTCTGCAGGTCTCGCACGGACTAACTACGCAGTTGACTCCGACAATTATCTCCGGGATTGTCGGGCCAAAAGCCAATCAACAGCTCTCGAGATCGACTCCCCGTGCGAACACAAGTCGACAGGAAAGGTTCTGCATGGAACCCGGCAATTGAAACTGACGACCGATTGAAAAGCTTAAATATTAGGGAGCAATCCCTTCTATTTTGTTACCTGTCATCGTCTAATTGTAATGTCCCCCAACCCCTCGCTAGGATTAAACAATTCCAAACCGTATCCTGAAAAACGCCTTATTCCAAAAACACAGGAACACCATAGACAACTGGCGCCGCGCCATTTAAATATTTCAAAATGCAAGCATCCCTTGATCTTGCAACTGCAGTGTCCAATCCAACCGACCCAGGCTCTTCCAACCCTAAACCACTCTCAGAGTTATCAGCCATCTTCCCATTTTTCCTAGATAAGCGACCTAGTCCGGGATTCTCCCCCTCAGAGGAAAACAAGCCCCACTGCTTGAAAACCCCTTCCGCAAAACGATCGATATCCTTGTCGGTAACGTCCCAGAGCGTAGCAACCAAAGCAGGAGAGCCAGCTTGCATATAATTCCAAGGTGTACCATATGGTTCGAATTCGCCAGCTTCGATCATTGCTCCGCTACTACATCCCATCAAAAAAGTGACGGCGCAGCGGTCAAGCCTTTTTATCGTTCGGCCACGGATATATTGGGCGCCGCTTCCATGCCCAAAGTAGAGGAGAAGATCCTTAGATTCTAGAGCTCCCCTAAAATCTTCCTCGCTGGGCTCTTTTTGAGTAATGTTGGTCCAGCCATCGAATTTGGAGAGCGGAAATTGGAAAGTGTTTTGCGTTGATTTGAGATCTCCACTGGGGTTGAGAATGAACGCTCCGCTTTCTTTCTTAATATGATATCCTTGTCGTGAGACATTTGCCGCTTGCTGGGCCTTAATATCAAAGAGCCGTTCGCGCAAACAGTGGAGCGATGGTATCCTGGACACGGAACATCCTTGCAGACAATCCAATGACTCCCACGGGAACGAATGAAGAGTTTTGTCAAGTATGAGAATTGTATGTGGCTGTGGCTGAGAGTTCTCTTCCCTCTGTTCCGCTTCGGCGTAGCTTCGCAAAGCATCCAAGGTTTCAATGACCATCATGTCAAAATCAATTTCGTCGTATGCATTCCTCTCGCCCTGGAATTGCAACGCGTCAACAACAAAGTATAGCAGGTCCATCACGGAGTCTTCTGGGTCATCCTCATCCGATAGTCTCCTAATGTTGACGAAAAGCTCCATGACGTTTCGGTCCAAGCTGAGCCGGCAGTCCTTGTTCTTCCCTCTTTTTCCATGCCTTGACGGCAAGTGTTTATTGAGAATTTCCTCAAAAGTGTGGATGAATCGCGAAAGCAAAGCTTCATTCTTCGGCTTCTGAGAAAAAATTCCCCGAAAACCTCCGAACCATATATTTTCAATGTTGTGAAGGAGATCTTTCAGTCGCGTATCGAGAGCCTCCCGATTAGCCCACCATTCCTTTTTGGCCTTTTTATCCACCCGAGCACGGGTATCATGGGCGCTTCTGTTGGCTAATTTTATTATTTCCAGTAACTCTGCCTTGCCATCATCAAATGAAAATGTCTCTTCATCATCGTCATCTGAGTCGCTTCGTTTTAGAGGAAGGCATAGCATAAACGGTGCCTGGCCAGCACGCAGTTTCGATATTACAAATTCGTTGTGGTCAACGCCCAGGCTTATGGAGACAACGTTCCAAGTATCGGGGAGGAGATCAATACAGTCTTTCGAAACGTCAGAAAACTGGAGCGAATTTCCATTTGTTATTATGTCTGGAACCAAGGGCCATTTCGGCAATTTTGCAGATTCGCTCAGTTGTTTATCGGCCATGATAGCACAGTGCTCCCGTAGTAAAGCAGTATTTCGTCCGGTCTCTGTTCCAAGATCAGATGATATTCTTTTTCGCTTGACAAAGTCTTAAACGTAATTGCCTACCTTTAAGTTGCAATGTAGAGAAAGGGTCGATAAAATCACCACCTTTTGATGTTGCGTATGATAGAGCTGACACTTTACTCGTTAAGTAAGAAAAGACATGGCAGTCCATTGTCGAACAGTGAGTCACTGCCAACGGGGAAAAGGTATAGAGGTCTTGTCTGGCTGTGGATAAAATCCCGGTGAAATCTTCTCCAACAAGTCGACTGGGCTTTGACTTTTTCTTTGGAGAACTAGCAGAACTTGTGGCTGATGAAGCTAGGTCCTGCGCGCTCTCTGTTTGCTGGACAGAGGATAGGGCGATACAAGACTCAGGAAGGACACAGTAAACGCCATGGCTCGCAAGTTTATGAACAGCCTCGTTCAAATAAAGGTTAGCTCTGCGGATGCATTGAGAAACATGACTATTCTTTGAACTTGCAAGTTTCTCGGCTTCGTCTAAGAGAATTCCAGCATCCTGAAGTCGTCCATTAGAGAGTAAAGCCTCCGCCTGTCGACGTAAAATATCGCCGCGTAACTGCAAAAGCGAGGACGCTCGAGGAAGGTCAGGTTCTCCGTAAGTTTTCGTAGCTGAAGCTTTTTCTGACTGTTTGCTAGTTTTTCCTGACCGTTGAGCGTGTCTTGTTTTCCGCTGGGGTCGGCATTCCTTTCTAGTGTCGAGGCTTAGTTCTTTGATTTTCGTCTTAATTTCATCAATTTCGCTGTTCGGCCGACAAGGTAATTCGGTAATTCCAGTTCGCAGTAGCTCCGCCAAGGCGTTGTGACATGCATCAAGCATTTCATATTCTTCTTCCAGTTTGCCGCTGAATTCATGGAGTGCAGATACGTGGTATCGCAATGCGACGGTATGGATTGTCTCGTGGCCTGTCGGCAATTCTGCTTCCAACGCCTTCAACAGTTCCTGACCCTTATCCACTTGGTTACCACGGATGTTATAGCTACCCAGCTCTGCCTTGATGAGAGTGGCTAAACAAGTGGCCCCGAGAGCTTCGCTTGCATCTAAAGCTAGTTGGGCATAATAGACAGCATCTTGATACAGCCCATTATTAGCAGAGATCCGGGATAATTGCTGCAACGCAGTGCAGTGGGATGAAAAATATGGCCAGTAGACGGATCCTGTGCGGTAACCCTTCGCCGGCTCCTTGCCGGCAGATGACAGGTCCACGTTAGCAAGTTTCTCTGTAAGGGCATCGGCCTCTTCGATATTGTCGGCGACCTTTTTATCCGTTTTCAGATTTGAATACTTTTCCAACCTTGCCCAAAGTCGGGAACTCAATTTCACCGCATTCTTTGCATAAAACGCGGCCTCGCCAATTTTACCTTCAGTGAATTTTATTTGTGAAAGAATACACGCTGCATCAATTCCTATTTTATCGAGGCAACTGCGCAAGCGCATAGAATCCTTAGCCATCTCGCCAATGTTAGTTTCGAAAACCATTTGGGCATCTTGAAGAGCCTCGAAGCTAAATATTTCGTTAATACACGACCTTCTTCCGATGGATTAATGGCTTCGAGGCCTACCTTTTTTCCGGGCGCCCCATCTCCACGAGATATTCAGCGTACGCAAGATGCCATGATATTAAAACCGACGGGCATATCGCATGCCGTCCAATAACCTCCTTTGCCCTTGTTAGTACTTCGCCTCCCCTATCAGGAAACCCGAGGCGACTCAATTGAACACCCATTATGGACAGTGAAGTCACAAGCAAGGAAAAATCACGTCTTTCTTGAAGCTCCAGGACCTTTTCGAGGACTGATAGCAAGGTTATTTGCTGCATCCATTGCGCCTTAATTTCCAAATAGTCGACAAGGCCACGAAGTTGAGAAATCCAGGTGTGAGGATCGGATATTTTAGCTTCCACCGATTCCCAGGTAGCCCAGCTTTGCGACATTTTCGTCCATGACTGGATGACAAGTTGCAAATCGGCCGTCTGTAAATCACCACTGTAAAACCCCAGTGCCAGACGAAGCGAACTCATTATATCTTCTTGGTATGGATACAAATCTTGATCTTTGTAGAGCTCTAAACCCTGGGAAAGACATGATTTTGCTTCCTGTGAAAGATAATCGCAGAAATCAGAATCAAAGTCAATGTTTGATTCAAGGAATAGCCTTAAGCTGGAGACAAGGACCCTTGACCGTCGTAGGGGGAATATGTCTATAGAGTATATTGCAAGCAGCTTTGTGATCATAGAGGCAAGGCATTGAGCTAACATATCGGAGGGATCAACGGCAAAGCTATCAACTAGAAACGCCATCTGACTCTCGAGCAACAGAGCCCTACTCTCAACATCAAGGGCCTCATCGTCATATGCAAGCTGAGAGGTCTTGCGTACTTGTTTCAATCTAGCCTTGATGTAACTGCCTAGCACGCGGCCCAACGCATACGCAGGACTTTGGGGGTTTTTCCAAATGTAGCGGAAGGGCCTCTGGAAGGACTGGGCCCTGGCCAACTCCAGAGTGCCAGCTATTATGTGCGCGCGAATTGCAGAGCAGTAATTGGTCTCTGCTTTTGCCTCATGCCCCATCTCCGAATAAATAGTGGCAAGTCTCTCGATTTTGATAGCAATGAAACCTGAAGTCTGTTCAGCCGGTGCACAGTGCCCTAGGATGTTTATTGATCGCTCTAGCAGAGGAACAAGTTCGAACGCTGATTTCCCAGCTTCCTTCTGCGCAGCGTATCGTGACCAGTAGAGATTGGATAATCTGAGAAGGCCGGAAGATACGCCATTGGATGCCTGGTTATTGTCATTATTGCAATGGTCGTAGCTGAGACGGTTGAGAAGGCCAAAGCAGTCGATTAAGAGCGGGCTAATTCTTCCCCAGGGAGGTTGTTCCGTGCTCAATGATATTTTGGCTACAGCGATGCTAGAATCAACGGCTGAAATCGCGATATTCTTGCAGGTCCCAAGTCGTAGCATAAACCCGGCTTTTGAGTTTGCTTCCGCATCAAACGGTGGCGACGGGCCCAGATAACGGCTAAGGAAACGAACAAAACTCATGAGGTACTCATTAATACTGAGCCATAAACTCTCAACATCGGATGTCATAGTATTATCGACAACCGCAGCATCTGTCAAGCCATTCACCGCTTTCATAATCGTTTTTTTGAGTTTTGCAGCCTCCATGAGCAATTCGTCCAAGTCGGTTAAATTGCCCTTCAATGGAGCACTTAGATTGTTCGCTGCGTCAGAAATTGCCGAACTTATCTCCCGCCGATGACGAGGGGAGGTCTTTAGAAATTCGATCTGGACAAAAGCAGTTTTGCAGCAACAAATAGCTAATTGCAATGGCTGTGAAGCTGTCAGACAAGCAGTGGAAGCTTTACAGAACTCAATTGCATCAGATAGACACCCGGCAGTATACGCTAACTGGCCCAAAATTCGCAGCACTATGGATACGGAGGCAGACTTAACATTTCGAATGTTCACATTGTATCCGTTCGAGTTCAAGCTCGTTTTAAGTCGCAGAAATGCTTCCTTGATACATTCAAAGTCAGCTTTCTTGATGGCCGAGCAATGTCGTGTCAATGCCGAGAAGTACCGAGCGAGAGGGTGCCATAGCTCCTTATCAGCGTCGTATCGATGTCCTGCCATCTTCCACCATAGGCACTTTACTTCGAGAGAGAGAATTTGCAACACTACTGTCACAGTAGGCTTGATTCGCGATTTCATGCTGCAAGGGACCCCCTCTCCCGGAGATACCGTTAACGCGGCAAGGGATAGAATTGAACTGGAAAGGGATTGCAATTGTTGGGCGGCCTTATCTGCAGAAAGTGTGCCAAATTTGTACGCCGCAAGAATAAGATTGGGTGGGCTGCAAGGATTGGAAAATACCAAATGATTCATCATCTTCTGCGCTGTGGCAGGTTGACCCTCAGTGATGACGGCTCTCAATGCTAAATTTTGAAGAGAAACAAAAAGTTGAATCATAGCGCCATCTTCTGGTACTTTCGGAACAAGAACGAGGTCCTCCATTTTTTCGCTTGCCCGTTCGCTTTGGATTTCTTTGGCTGGATTGACTGTTCGTCTAAGTTTCCCTTTTGGAGTTTCGCTGTCGAAATATGCTCGTATTCTGCCTTTCAATAGCCGTAGCTCCCTAATTGCCATATTGTTGAGCCCAACGGCAAATAGCTTCCCGATCAAGATACAAAGCCCTTGTTCCAATTGGACGTTAAGAATTCGAGTTCCATCTTCATTACATTTTAGATCTCGAAGGCTAGATAAAGCCAACAGCGCCGATTCTGCAACCCCTGTGACATTGCTCGCTGCTGTGTTTCGCTCATTCAACCTTTCCGAAAGTCCTTTGGCTTTCGTTGGTGATCGGATTGTTCGATTCGGGGAGGTAGGCTGAAGCGGTTTCTTCGGTGATTCCGGGTCTTTCGTAACCGTATTCTTTTTTAGGGCATTATCAAATGGTCGCGGGGATTGAAGTTTAATATGTTCGGAGAGTGTTCTTGAGGAAGCATTGAATATTTCCGTGGCCAAGGTTATTTTGTTCTGTTTCGAGAGTAGAGGAATGGGAGACTCGGTTCTATTCTGAAAAACGGCCACTTTTGTGGTAGCTCTAGAATTACCCGTCCTTGGCTGGCGACGAGAGGATGAGGCACCCTTGACAGTCTTTGCACTTTTGCGCTCCCCAATTTTGCGTTCGTCATCCACGGCTGAGAGGAGTTTACGCAACAACAATACGGTGTCGCTAGTGCAGGTTGACGGGCTGAGGACGGAGCTCTTCACTGAATCAACCAGTGAGTGCAATGTTTGATTTGCCATCTCCGTAAAAAGCGTCTGTTGACTGATGAATGCGGGAACGGCTTTTCTCTTCACTGGCACCACAGCGATATTCGATGATCTGGTGTTCGCTCACGTTGCTGGGATGTTGGCCAACACCTGTTGCCGGGCCAACATATGATTACATAATCATCACGTGATCTGAACGGCGGTCGTCAAAATGTGCAGCAAAAGAATTTCGCAGACAGGGAGACAGGCACACTCGGGAGAGGAGCGAGGCAATGTCAGCGAGACTCATCCTCGCCAGATCGCGGGGCTATTTCGGCCTCGGGGTATCTCACAGGGAGCTAACATGTCCACCTTCCCGATTCCAATGCCTCTCCACCCGGCCAACCGTTCCTCGAATCGCTGAGCCATCAATATGGCGAGCCGTCATTCCAAAATTTCTTCGTCGCGATTGGCCTGCGTCACAACGGAACTCCCCGGAGAAGGAATGGAATCCTGCAACTTACTTCATTGTGATGTTCATTCTTGTGGGATCGCAGGCCCTTCGAATGGTTCAAATTAAAAACGACCATGCGAATTACATTCGGAGCACAGAAGCAAGAATACGAGTGCTAAGGGAGGTGATTGAGAAGCTACAAAAAGGAGAGGATGTTGATGTCAGGAGAATTCTCGGGACCGGAGACGAGGCTGCTGAGAGGGAATGGGAAGAAGGTAAGCATGGAGTCTGTTCCAAATTTGTAGACGCGAAGCAAGCACTAAGCTATATCATAGTTCTGCGGGAAATCGCACAGGAGGACGAACCCCGACAATCTGGCTCCAGAAAGGATGAGCCTCAAGCTCCAACGAAAAACAAGTCTCTCAGGGATGATAATTCGATGAGCTCTACGCCTTCGACAGAAACTACGTCTGAAACAGGTGAACCTCAATCAAGCAAACGTGCAGCCAGGTTCTTCTAAGGGAAGAAAAAAAAAAAAAAAAAAAAAAAAAAAAAAGGGGATGGCTCTAGGATGCCAGAGCCTAAGCCAAGCCCGATGAGCAGCAAATATATCAGTCAACAAGATGCAGCCCTCATGGAATCACCTTCGCCTTTCTCATCAGCTCCAGGGCACGGATCCAACTCTCCTCTAGTCTCTCGTCTTCCGCAAATCCAGTTGCTTTCAGCTTCTGAAGGTTGAGTTGTCGGTCAAAACTTAGCTTGGTCAACCCCCAATTCGGCGAGCCATCCATCGTTGGAGAAACTGCCGGCCAATGCTTTAGACCGTACTCGTCCAACATCCTCTTATATTCGTTCTCGTGCACACGGATATATTCATCCGGCCCTGATAATCTGGTCTTGTCCTTGTCGCAGTCAACGGGTGGCTTTCCCACAAGGCCAAACCAGGAACAAATGGCTGGCCAAGTTGCTTCCCAATTAGAGGGAGTAGCTGAGGAAGCAACATTATATCCTTGCCCATTGACAGACGGATCATCCAATAACGACAGGTGTATAGCTGCTTTCGCAATCATCTCAGCTCCTGCTTGGTTAGACAACGCTTTCCATGTGCCGAAGCTACCAGGAAACGGGCATTCTGCTCTTTCTCCGTTTATGTATGCAAATAGTGAGAGATAGACGGCGATGGGGTGAGCGGCGTTATAAGAATTCATTCGAGGAACGAAGCCTGCGAGATATCAGGAAACTGTCTCTCATTAAGGCTGAGGCATACCAGACCAATTATTTCGTCAGGCCTTGTCTCACACCATCCCCAGCTCTTGCCTTTCGAGAAATCCCTCATGAAGTCTGTCCAGACTTGATAGTGAAGCATGTTGCACAATGGCTCCCTGATGGGCGGTAGATCCTCAGATAAAGGAACCGGGTGGTAAAAGTCGTCTGTGAAGCATACTCCATATATGAACGTGCCGCATTGGAGGTGAATAAACTTTAAGCCCGGCGCTAAGTTTTCGATGACTGAAAGAGTCCTGCTGAGCCCGCCGAGGGTAACAGCAAAAGGATCTGAGCTGTCAAAGTCGACAGGAGGATCATGTACTGTGGGAAAACATCAGACGGATATTTTCCCCCCCTCCACTGCTAATCTCATCTCTGCTCCCAACAAAACCTACCCAGGTAATAAACATGTGTCACACTTTCCACATCCTTTACCTTCGCCTCAAACTTCCGCTTCAATACCTCTTTATTATCATTGTGCAAATCGAACCCCGAGGCCAGCGTGAACCTTTCATCTTTCGGCCAATACGACATTTCCTCGTCGCTCATAGCTTTTCGCGTCACGCCGGTTATGCGGCTCCATACTCCCGGCCGCGGATAATTATGGAGAAGCTGGCTAGTGAGACTCCAGCCTGATATGCCTGTTGCTCCCAATACAAGTGCGTGGAAGCCGCTGTTTTGAGATATCATGGTTGGTTCGATAGTGTTTCTCTATGTACTTTTAATGAAGGCTCTCTGCATATTCTGAGCACTAATCTGAGCTTTGTATGTATGTAAATGCATATGTACCTTTTGTATATACTCCGAATATAAATTTCCTGGTCTTCTCTTGCGGTCTGGCGCTAAAACTTTTGACTGAATGGCGCATCCGCTTTTTGGAGCCCTTTATATCGGTTTCAAATGAATATCACGTGTTTCTGCGGCACTTACGCAACCGTGAGTCACGCCGACGACGCGCGCCCACTCTGAATACGAGGGCCCATTACGGGTTCACGCACCAATGTCATGAATTTGTGTAAAAACTCTCTGCTTTGCATGGGATTTGAACACAATTTTCGCCGAGTCACAGCGGCCTGATGAATCGTTACCAGGAGGGAACCGATTCAGTTTTGAGCGGTCTGGCAAGCGTACATATCTGGTAAGGTTACCTCTCGCTGGAGGGAAGGGTAAAACGTAGCATTAAAAAAAGGAATGGGAAAAAAAGAAAAGTTGGGATATCCAGCCGTTTGATGCCACCATGCTCACAATTAATACAGATTACTGTTCTGCATAATATGAAGCATGGGCCTTCAAACACCACACCCGTTTCGATATCAGCTTATGGATGAGTTCCCATATACGCTTATCAGCGGAGGTGTTGCTGATGAAGATTATCTCGTCATCCATGATCATATTCATGTAAATTTATGGTGGAAGCGTATTAGATATTGCAGCGCACGTGTCATACTTCACTGTAGTTCAAATGCGCCTTGCTTCAAGCTTAAAAAGCAAACCTGAACATCACAATAAATACTCCCAGTCATCTACAATGGCAACAATTAGCAAAACTCCCGTAAAATCCAATAATGCTGGAAAAGCTAGCACAAGAACATAGCGAGACACATTGGGAGTGGGACATCAAAAGAAAATGCGCTGAACCAGAGATCACAACCAGCAATTCAAAATGCTTCGCCAAACGCTTGACACTGTCTAAATTATCAGACTATAAGAATAAGAATACAAGCTATTAGCTCGCTCAGGATATATGTATTAAATCATGGTTGGAGGCCCCTTCTTTATATCGCATTTCAACCCTGAACCATACAGTTCGGGGTACGGAGGCATATCGCCCGCCAGTTCCACACGTATCGAATCGTTAGGCATTTCAAATTCATGAGGGATTGGTGAATGTGCCATTTCGTGAGGCCACATGCTCCGACTATTGCTCACTGGCCAACCCTCCCCATCGGGTGGCAGATCTTTGGACTCGTTATTCTGGTTGGTCTTATTCTTCTGTCTCTTTTGAAGATATATAGCAAATAAAATCCCACACGAAAGGACGCTAAAACCAACTGCAACGCCTATGCCGATGTTCACAGCTAAGGGAAGTGTGGAGGATTTTGGGGCTGATGTCGGAGTAGTTGTGGGAGCAATTGATGGAAATGAAGTAACACTGGCTGCTGAGGCAGGCAGGTCGGATAATGGTGAAAATAAAGTACTTGTCGGCGACGAGGGTTGGGAGGTGGAAGATTGAACTATGTTTCCTTCGCTGTCTAGAAAGATGCCGTTGCCCTTGTCGCAGCAGTTTTTGTCCGAGTCACAGCAGTAGCTGCCATTCAAGCATCTCCTTACGCGTGGTAGGTAGCCATCGCCATCCGCTCCTAGACAAGATCCTTATCAGCCAGAGTATTATAAAGATCATTCAAGAGACCTTACCATATTGACATATATTCGAGCAGTTCTGCCACGGATTAACCGCACACAAAGCGTTAACGTATTCGGGAGAATTTGGCTGAGTACAAAGCCGATTGCCTGTGCATTGGTGTAGATAGTGACAGCAAGCGTTCGAACCAGGACATTGCGTATTATTCGTTAACGGTCTCCCCGTAAAATCGAAGCAGGTTTGTAATGGTGTGGGGTCTTCGATTACAGAAACCGAGATAGAATAAGGAATAACCAACAACGTCAACGGGGCTACCGTGCTAAGCAGCCTCAAGGAAACCATCTTTCAGCAGGATATCGAGCGAATGAAATGAATGAATGAACGTCACTTCAATACACCCGCGATCCACGCAAGGCTTGACACTTTCGCACAGCGAAATGATACAAATGGCTCGAGGAAGAAAAGAGAAAGCTGCAAATCCATGGGCATCGTGAAAAGAAAGAAGAGCGCGGGGACGGGCGTCATTTTCAAGACACCCGTTTATAGATCCTCCCACGACATTGCACAGTTCTGTTCCATCGGGATGGCTTGATATCAAGCTATACCCGATTTGGGTATCAATAAGGAGCCGCTGTGAATGGGCGTCTAAGCGCCGGGGAATTTCATGGCGTGGACCTTCACCAGGCGTGTGCCTGAGGTGAGAGTTGCAAACAAAGAATGGAATGGTTGAGTTTTGCAGGCATCGTGGACAAAACATCTACACGACTTCACGCTGGGTTTCGAGGAAGAAAGGGAGAAAGTTGACGTCCTTGACACCGAGATTGGCTCCAGGCGCCTGCGCAGTCGAACAAAATCATGTGATACGGACAAAGCCCCATACCAGAAAAATGAGCTTTTCGGGCAACTGTTGGAAAACGTTTATCCAACACAACCCATTGAGCCACAGATCACAAGCTTGAAACTGTAGATCCACCATATATTTACAATGCATGTATAAAGGGTCCAAAATGTATAGAATTCAGAATATATGATGCACCAATTGAGGGTTTTGAACCTGATTTGGAAGCTTTTTAATTACTAGAAATTAACTACTAAGTGTTTACAGAACCACCTGCACAATCTGAATTATAATGAATTTTTTTTTTTTTAAATTTCAGAAGTCTCCTCACTGGTTGGAGTCTCTGGTTTAGGGACAGGGCATAAAGCAAGCACAGAAGAATTGTCAGAATGAGCTCATTCAGATCACTTGATTGTACTTTCAAGGAAATCAGCTCTGCTGCCTCCAGTTGGAGACAGGCCTGATGCAGATAGATTTGGCTGTGACTGAATGAAGAGAGAAGGCATGATCAGAGTGAAGAAGAAAGAAGAAGAAGTAGATATAGCAGAGAGCAGGACAGCAGCAAATTAGTCTATCTTAGCTGCTGATTCACAAATAGTTTCTTCTGTCTTTCACTTTTTCTGTTATCAAATATCAAAATCAGTTCAATTCATCCCAACATTGCATCAAGTATACTGACCACAGAAGATAAACAATTGAACTTTAAGTTCCAGCAGATGTTGGTCAAGATTCTTTTAATATTCTATATATATAACTGCATTAGCATGAGTTAAATGTATGATCTCCAATCAGTTCAATCTATCTTGACAGAGCAGAATATGTGCTCTGCAAGCTCTTTTTGTTTGGCTTGGATAGATATAAGCTTTTCCAACACTGTCAAAGTGGCAGCACCAACTTCAGTGTTAAAAGAGGGGGAAGAGAGAGAGTTGTCAGTTTGAACCAATAAGGGTGCCATTTTGGCAAGCATTTCACTGAGATCAGCAGCTCATTCCACCATGCTGATTTTCAGTTCTTCTCAGAGCATCACATTCTTAAGCCTGAGAAAATTATTATGATCAGACAGCAATGCTGCCACTTTCTTCTGTATTTCTGAAGAGATAGAAGCACAGGCTTTTTTATCTTCTGTATAATTGGTGCAGGCCTTGGTGGTTCCTTGCTTGTGTGAACAAGACTTGTCAATGTGTGCTGTATATATGAATATTAAACAGTAATCACAGAGTGTATTGTCTATAGCAGACTCTTCTTTGACAGCTGAGGGCTTTCACCCTGGCTTCTTCTTTGTGGACATTGGGGAGTGCTTGTCCTAAGCTGCTGCTAATTTATGTGTTTGTGGAGCTATTTTTTAATATTTCTGCATATATTGTCCTTCAGTTTGCTGCAGTTCCTTATTTCATTTGAAATCCACCACTTATCTTGATATTGGAACAGAAGAGGAGGGGTAATGAGAAATATAATGAGCTCAAGAGAAGGAAAAAAAAAAAAGAAGAGAAGAAGAGAGAGATTTTGTGTGGGAAGAGATTATTATATCTAGCATGTCTGCTTGATTGTTTTGGATTTCCTAATTGGAATGTGTCTATTTATACATTACTAAGTGCTAACTCATTTTGCTTAGAGCTCCTACAGCTGATTATGGTGAATGATAAAGAGATATATATTGAATATAGTGAAATTTGGCTCTTGCAAGCATTGATATAACAGAGCATTGCATTGAAGTTTAGATATCAAACCCTGAAATCTATTTTGAAGCACAAACTAATAGCTAATTTTGACTCAAGAAGACATCTTTTCATGTATTCAACTAGAATCTGTGTCTCTTTTGAGACTTGTGACCAGTTGTGGCTGGTGCAGGTCTCTTTGAACAGGCAGGCTGATTTGTTGCAGTCTCAAAATAATTCTCTATAATATTCTGCAAAGAATTCTGATTCTCCTTGTCTGAATTGTCATTCTCTGGCTCTCACAGGGCTTGCACTGTCTGAGCTGGATATGAATTAGGTTCCCTGGGCAGCATACTAGATGTTAACTGGACCACATCCAGAATTTCTGGCAAAGTCTTAACATGGACAGCCTTTGGCTTTCTTGATCAGATCTTCTGTTAGGTGAAGTTATCTGAATTAACATCTCTCAGTTCTGGTTTCTGTGTCAAGCAGTCCCAGAGCTTGAGTACAGAATCTCAGATATAGATTAATGGGGTGGATGTATCCTGTTTTGAACTGTTGTCATCAAGATACAGCTTCACATATGCTGCTAAATTTGCATACACCTCTATTGCCATAACTGTCAGAGCAGAAATCATGGCAATTAAGATTTACTATTAACTTATATTCAAAATACCATTTCTCTTGTGAAGCTGACTTCTCAAAATTAACACATGGCTTGACCCAGTAAAAGACTTTACAGAATTGATCTCACTTGAACAATTGGGCAAAATAACTGATCAGCTTTTGTTGATTGGTTATTTCATGGAGTCTGAAATCAGAATTCTCAGTCAAG